TTGCAGAATATTATAAAGAATTATTTTAAGACTGTAATAAATCAGTCTGTCTGTTTAAAGAAATCTACACCAGCTGCAACTGGTTGCATGCTCTAAAAGAGATGCAGATTCTAGTTAAATACATAAAAAGATATCTTCTCAGATTAAAATTGACTGTTAGTTTATGCTTTAAAATAGATTTTGGAGTTTGATATTTAGATTTCAATGCAATGCTTTGTTATATCAATGCTTGCAAGAGCCAAATTTCACTATATTTAATATATATCTCTTTATTATTTACTGTAATTGGCTGTAGAAGCTCTAAGTAAAATAAGTTAGCACTTAGTAATGTATAAATAGACACATTCTGATTAGAAAATTCAAAATAATCAAGCAGATACACTAGATATAATAATCTCTTTTTATATAAAATCTCTCTTTTCTTCTCTTCTTTTCTTTCTTTTCTTCTCTTGAGCTTATTATATTTCTTGTTATTCTTCTCTCTCTGTTCTAATATCAAGATAAGTGGTGAATTTCAGAATGAAATAAGAAACTGCAGTATACTGAAGAATAATATATACAGAAATAGTAAAAAATAGCTCTGCAAACACATAAATTAGCAGCAGCTCAGAACAAGCACTTTCTGATATTTATAAAGAAGAAGTCAGTGAAAGCTCTTAGCTGTTAAAGAAGAGTCTGCTATAATAAGTAATATATTCTGTAGTTATTATTTAATATTTATTTATACAGCATACATTAAAAAGTCTTGTTTCTATAAGCAAGAAACTGTAAAGATCTGTATTAATTATACAGAAGATAAAAAAGTCTGTACTTTTGTCTCTTCAGAGCTGTAAAAGAAAGTGACAGTATTGCTATCTGATTATAATAATTTTCTCAGACTTAAGAATGCAACACTTCAAGAGAAATTGAAAGCTAGTATGGTGAAACAGACTGCTGATCTTAGTGAATTACTTGTTAAAATAATACTTCTGTTAATTTAAACTGATAAATCTTTCTCTCTTCTTCTCTTTAATGCTGAAGTTGGTGCTGTCACTTTAACAGTATTAAAAAAGCTTGTATTCATTCAAGCTAAATAAAAAGAGCTTGTAGAGCATATATTCTGCTCTGTCAAGATAGATTAAACTAATTAGAGATTATACATTCAACTCATGCTAATATAATTATATATATAGAATATTAAAAGAATCTTGACTGATATCTATCAGAACTTAAAGTTCAATTATTTATCTTCTGCAGTTAGTATACTTGATGTAATGTCAGAATGAATTAAACTGACTTTGATATTTAATAATAGAAAAAGTGAAAGACAGAAGAAATCATCTGCAAATCAGTAATCAAGATAAATTAATTTGCTGCTGTTCTGCTCTCTGCTGTATCCACTTCTCTCTTCTTCTTCTTCACTCCAATTACATCTTCTTTCTTTATTCAGTTACAGCTGAATATATCTGTATCAGGCCTGTCTTTAACTGAAGGCACTGGAGCCAATTTGCTCAAAAGTATGATCAGACAGCCTGAATGAGCTTACTCTAACAATTTTTCTGCACTGGTCTTATGCTCTGTTCCCAAATCAGAGACTCCAACTGGTGAGGAAGCTCTCAAAATTTAAAAAAAAAAAGAAATTCATTACAATTCAGGTTGTACAGGTGATTTGTAATACTTAGTTAGTTTCTAGTAATTGAAAAACTTCTGTATTGGGTTCAAAACCCTCAAGTTTAAAAATATATATGTTCTGAATTCTATATGTTTTGAATTCTTTAAGGTAGTTCACCACTAAGTGAGCCACACCACTAAACAAGCCAAATCTTTCATCACCAAAATTCCTTCAATGTTCAACATTCAATATGCAATAACATGGTCAACAACATCTTAATTAGACTTGCAATTGAAGATCTTGAATCACAAGAAATCTTAAATTATGCTGTAACTACAAGAAAGTACTTAGTTAACTGAGAGACCCTGCACTGATAGTATAAAGGCTTGCAACTTGCTCAGAATAAAGCAGTCTTCTGATATAAGAAAAAGCTCTCTGATATACAGAAGGCAGAGCTTCTGAATTATATAAACAAGCTCTCTAGCTATGGCCTTGCCATTACATCTTAGATTCTACAAAATATTATACAAGAGATGACAGAAGAGAATATTGAAATCAACTGGATTAATTAATTTTATAAGTGGCATAATGACAAGATTAAATGCATTTATCTCAAAGTAATTAATTAAAATAGACAGATACCAGATAACTATCAGTACTTTAAGCACTTCTATATGCTTGTAATTTGATGATTTATTTGATTACTTGTGATTGCAGTTGTTGATGCTGGCTAACTATTTAACTACTACTTATGAAATAGTTGAAGCAGAAAATTAATTAATATAATTTTGAGCTCTCAAACATTTATAATTTTAATGAAAAAGAATTTCTTCTAGACTTCTGTCATGCCTTAAAGTGATTAGTCTCTATTGAAGCTCTATAAGCTGGAAAGAATATTATCATTCAGAATAGTAGTCAGAAATTTCTCTTATTGCTCTGCTCAGTCTCTGCTGAAGAAATTATACTATCTCCAGCTCTTATTTATCAGAGCAAATTGTGAGATCTTCAGAATACATGGCTAGATAATTATAATAGAAGTAAATGGGCCTACTTTGCAGCTTCAACAAATGGTTGGAGTAATGATGAATATGAACTGAAGTGATTGAAATGGGTTTTCAATTAGCATACTAAGAAACAAGCTGGTTGAAGAAGATATCTGCTTCTACTAGATAACCATTTCTCCCATATAAATATGAAATTTATCAAATACACTGACTATGAAAAGATTCTTCTTATGATTCTTCCACTACATTCAACTTACTGTTTGCAATCTCTTGATGTTGGAATCTTTGAATCACTGGACAAGACATATTCTAATAAGCTGGAAGCACTACTACATCAAGAAATAAGCTATATTTGAATGACAAAAAGAGATTTCTGAAGACTATTTAATGTGGCTTGGAAGAAGACTTTAACAGTTAAAAATATACTTGCTGGCTTTGCAAAGACTGGAATTAACTCTCTGAATTCTCAACATTAACTATACTGATTTAAAACTGCTTAAGTCTCTATACTGCCAGTTAAATCTTCTATTTCTAGTAATATGCACCAGCTCTGACAAGAGATCAAGAGTATATATCTCTGGTACAGTCTAAATTTACAGAGCATTAAACAGATTATTCAAGCTAGTGAGCAGTTTGCTCTTCATAATGAACTGCTGGAACATGAGAATCAGCAGCTAAGATCAACTCTAGTAATGAAGAAGCAACATCACAAGTAAGGCAAGCTTCTAGACCTACTTAATAAAGATAATTCTAGTCAAGTGCAGTTCTGATCTCTAACAAAAGTTCTTAAGACATGCAAGTGCCTGGATGAAATAGAGACTGAAAAAGCTGATAAAATTATTTAAATATAAGAGATAAAACTTCAACAAGAGCTTCAAAAAAAGCAGGCTGCTAGAGATGTTGAAAAAAGACAGATTGAATGGGAGAATGCCTGTAAAAAGACTCAGAAGCAACAAGAGACTGAAAAAATTAAATATACTAGATAAAGAGAGGCACAATATATTACTTGTGAGAAGAAGAAGGCTTTACAACTAGCAGAAAAGAAAAAACAAACAGTTGAACATACTAATAAATGCTGGCAGTCAGGGCTTCAAGCACCAGCTTCAAAGTGCCATTGAAAGAACTCTCCTACTAAAGAGTTTTATTGTGAAGAGTCTATACAACCTTTCAAAAGAGGAAGTAAGAGCTCTACAAGCATCTCTAGCAAGATATTAGACTCTCTAGCTGAGAAATCTACTGTTAACATTTCTTTGAATTCTTTCCTATCTACTCCTTAAATCTCTTGCTCTGGCTGTAATATTAGGCCATCCACCTGTTTATTTTCCTAACTATACTAATTTCTATGCTTTAAAGAATACATTTATTTAATATTTAATAGCTATTTAATAATAAAGATCTGGTTGTTGAGATATTTAATAAATTTGTTGTGTAGAGCATTTGGTGAAATTTGGCTTGTTTAGTGGTGTGGCTTGTTTAGTGGTGAACTACCTTATATGTGCATTGTAAATATATGGTTGATCTACAGTTTCAAGCTTGCAACCTGTGGTTCAACAGGTTGTGTTGGATAAATGTTTTCTGATGGTTGCCTGAAAAGCTCATTTTTCCAGTATGGTGTTCAGGGGAACTCACGTGACCCATAACTCTGAATGTATAAGGATCACATGATTCACACAGATTGTGGGAACCTCAGCATTCAGTCTCCTAGTTAGCAGATCTATATGTTCTACGCATGACTCCCTCCCATCAGTTGTGGGCATTGGACCTACTTAGGCTCTTTCATATCCCAAATCCTGGGACAACCCACGAGACCTACATCGGGTTCCCTAACAATATGCCTAATCACTGCTGTATGAAAGTCAGAGCTTTTGCAATTGACTCATGAAGAGAATGACTCTCAACAGTCTGATGAGTGTCCTAGGGCCTTATTTACAGATGATTCAACGCTATCTTTTGCAATTCTTATTAAATAACTTCTGGTACTATATATAATCTTTTTTGTTTCTGCTTTCAAGTTCTTTCTCCAGAGCAGGCTAGATAAGGCTAGATATGTATAATTTTATTTACTCCAGTTGTACAGAGCCTGTGTACAACATCTAGGCATGGCTTGCATCTCTATATAGTGCCTGGGACTAGTAGCCTGTTTGGTGAAGCCAAGCAAGCCATCTTAAGAAGGTTATATCACATGCAAAAGTGTCCGAGTTCACTGTGTGTCCAAGTTCACTGTGAAAGACATTAGTTAACTAATCATTTTAAGGTTTAGTCTCATGAAGCTAGTTTGGCATCCGTAAATGACTTGACGCACCTCACAACGCACTTTAAATTCTCCTCCTCAACCAAATCAAATAAAGTCGATACCAGGACGTTACGAGCTGCCACCGCCCATCGCAAGGAAACTTTTATCAAGAATGCCTCCCTCCACCTCTGGTTGGAACACTTGCCTGAGCTTTTTTCTAGGAGCTGGCGCCGTGCTGTTCATCACATCTTTGCCAATTATTTACCACTCGATTGGAAGTCAACATCGCAAGAAACAGCAGAATCAAATCTTTCCACTACCTGTTAAGCTGCCGTATTTTGCTCCTGATATACCATATTCTCTCCCGACACCAGCTGAGATCCAAGCAGCCCCTCTTCTAGTCAGCCACAACGGATACAAGGTGGTGAAAGTCAGTGACCATTTTGTTGTCAAGTTTGGCAGGGCAAGCCAAGTTGACCTCCTGGAAGGGCTGAATATGCTTTTTGTCCAACAAGCAACCAAACTTAAGGTCCCACGGGTTTACGCACTTTACAATGACCCCGAGTCATCGACAAATTATATCATTATGGAATTCATCAAAGGCGACACCCTGGATACTCAGTGGGCACACTTAACCCATTGCGAGAAATCTGAGATTGCCATGATACTCAGACAGTACTTTGATGAACTACGCAGCTTTCCCTCACCAGGGTTCTTTGGGAGTATTGGGAAAAGCCATCTTCTGCATGGTATTTTCTGGACCTCACAGCCTACGCCTTCCATCAACGGTCCCTTCAACTCTGAAGCTGCACTGAATGAGGCTCTGGCTTTGAAATATCTTGAGACAGCAGACACCCGTACCACCTTCAAGGCTGACTTCTATCGTCGATCATTATCGCATGTTTTCCGCGGCCATGACCCAAAGTTTACGCATGCGGACTTCCAGCGCAAGAATGTTATAATTAGACGGCTTCCCGGCAATGCAAATACAAATACCAACCAATATGAAGTGACTCTCATAGACTGGGAATTAGCTGGATGGTACCCTAGCTACTGGGAATACTCCGTGGCAATGTGTGCAAGCAGATGGGATGATGACTGGGATGAATGGGTTGCCAAAATCTTACAACCTTTCAACGCGGAGTTTCCTTGGTTGAGGATGTTGTATCTGGAGTTATGGTCCTGATTTTGTTGACAGCAACACCCATTTGACATTTCCTTTTCTTTTCTATCCCCTTCACTACGAGAGATTTGTTGTGATGGAATATTTCTAAGAGCAGCCTTTATTATCTCAACCATATAGAGTTCGCTGACAGACACACACACACACACACACACACACACTCTCTCTCTCTCTCTCTCTCTCTGTCTCTCTGTGTGTGTGTGTGTACCCTGTATATAACCACCCGAGGATGCTCCTAGTTTTCCACAGTCAGGACCGCTGCAAAATTTCAGCATCAGTCAACGCTTTTATAACGTCAGCGGTCCACTCTTGGCACCGGCGGAGGGGCTCATCAGGGTAAAGCCTTTTCGGTCCCTGGAACTGCTTCTTTGGCGGAGGTATAGTTTGACAGATAATCAGGATCTGAGGATAGTTGCTATGTGTCACGCTCCCAATCCGTTCTTTGCTCACGAATGTCGCTGATTCATCGGGTTTCTTGGCTGGTTTGTTCTCGAAAGTCATTCCGGTTTGGATGTCGCCCATCACATGGAATATATGACCAGTTTCCGGACCGTCCCCACCAGTTTCGACGAATATTGTGTGGTGGTCTCGTGGGAGGCCGCTGTAAGCAACATGGTAGACTGCGTATGCCATGCTCGTTTCAAGTGGGAAGTGTCCTACAGGCGAGGCAATTGGCTAAAAGACCAATGGAAATATGCTGACGGAATGTGCTGTTAAACTAACTCCCTCACAGAGAATGGCTGGTCTAGGCAAAGAAAAGAATAGGCCTGATAATAAACAGACGTACTGAAACTGTAATCTTGCCCTCAGAAGAGAAACAGTCCAACCGCCTGGATTAACTCGAGTGGGGATGAGAAACGCTTTTATATACATTTTCCTGAGCCCATACCATTTAGCAATTGAGCCCAACAATTCCCTGGCCTCATTCTGTTTCCTGATAGGCTGAAATCACCAGGGGTCATAATACAGGCAGGCGCATCGATTTTGCCACTAGCTTGGACAGTTTCCAACCGTCTCACCAGGCCAATTGCAAGCCTCGGGCCTTAGGGCATCAATGCAGAGGTCGTCCATCTCATGGAGTTGTCGAAAGCCTAAAGTTATGGCGCACAGGACAAGTCTCTGCTTGGCTCAAGTTTGGAATCGGCAGTAGGCGTGCTAATGTTGGGTCGAACTAACACACCACCCAACTTTTACGACGTCAGGATCTAACCGAGTTGTGTTGTGGCGAGGCACAGTTAAGCACACCCCACTCGGTGTCATGACACACCACACATGACGATGGGGCAATTTGGACGCATATATGTACATACTGTCTTGCAGAAGATGTCATTAAGGTTTCAGGCAGTGTTGATAACTAGCAGTTAGTTGCGGCTGCAATGGGGCTCAAGTCGTCCTTTAACGAACCTGTGTAAACATAACCTTGGTGGTGTATCGTCCCCAAGCCAAACAATATCCCTTTCATCACGGATCGGGTCTCTCCCGTAGAGAGCGGCCGTGTCATCCGAGGGTCCCAGAGTGTCTTCCCAAAGGGCTCAAGTACCATCATTGAGGGTTCGGCATCCGACAACGTTGGTATCACATCAAGCATCCGTCGAATATGCTTTGAGTTGCGGAAATACTCCTGCATCTGCATCTCCTTGGTAAGATTTGGCCATCCAGGACCGTCGCTATCATCAGGCTGTTTGATAACAACCTGATCGGTCTCATCAGTCTCAGTTGATGCACTCCAGACATGGCAGCGCTTCCCTCTGCGCTGGACAAGTGGGTCGAGCAACACGTAGGATTGACCGCGCTTTCCAACAACTTTTAGCCCGCGAGATAGGCTTCGCAAAGAGGGTGACATGGTATTGATGATGCGAGTTGTGTGCCATTACTGGGAGACATTGGGTTCATCGAACAAGCTCGTCTGAAAGAGACACCGGAGTTGGCTCAGAGATGGGACGGCTGGACGGGAAGCTTCGTGACCAGACCCGCCAAGAAGACCCACGAACCCGGCCTAGTCTCTAATGAGTTTAGTCGCTATCCCAAGGCGCCTCAAAGACGTTCGCCATGGTTCCAAAGCAAGATAGGTCTGTCTGTTTCGCGGTTATGGAAATTCTATGAGTTACGACCTCAGTTATCAGCCTCCTGTTGGATTGAGACGTCTGTGATGGCGAGCTCGCTTTTTACGCTTGACTTGGATGGTGAATGATGGAAAACGGCTAGCTCGTGTTCTCGTTGGATATCCAGGAAAATTGCCTGGCTGGTGCCTAATTTGCGCAGACTAGGATCTGATCCGCGAGGGTCGGTTGATGTTTTGAATCGACAGGTTATCTGCATAACCCGTGAGGCTTATCCAGCTGATGAACCCGGCAACCCCCCTGAATGGGTGTTTTTCCAAGTATCCTATTGATACATCATCGACGAATTGCTGGTCAGAATGGTGTTTAGCCACCCAAGTCCTTGACGCCGTGAGGCACAATTAGTTTGTTTCTCGAGGCTGGCTTGAGCGATTGGCTGAGGGCACTCCATTCTTGCAGCGGGAAAGGCATCTCGTCGGGCGTCAGCTCTGATGGAACAAGCCAGGCCTCCCGGTCAAGGTCATGAGGTATATATTGGCTTATCTCTCACAGTTAAAGGCCCCTTGACTCTCCATTTTCATTTTTGATGAAAAGTGATACCTCAATCTCTATCTTAGTCTTCTGTTGCCAACTCACCCAGACATCCAACAGTTTCCCAGTCATCATGGCTACTAGTGAGCTTCGTTTCTTAAGAAACCTTAAACCAGGAATTCCTTTATACCTTCGCATGAGCAAACCAGGTGGAACCTGGCGTCGCCTCGAGGCAAAGTACGTGGACTGAGAGCAGACTATGACGCGATGGCCCGGGAAAGTTTTGGTGCCACAAATGATGGTAAGGTCGCTCTACTTTGGGTTCAAGTAGAAGCTGTACAATCCCTGTTAGCATACATAACAAAATAGTTGGACTGCTTCAAATAATTTACCTTGCAAAGTGCCCTTTCTCCTTCTCAGTGTCTGAGGGCAGCTCTGAGGGTTTTTTCTTCTTCGGCATGGTGAGGGAAGGTGGGTTTAAATGTTAGGGGATGAACATAAAGGCTGAGATGGGGGTAATCTGCTAATTTTATGGACGCAGAGAGCTGTCCCTTGCCTCTTTAGCTCTGGGCATGACATGGCAGCATCAGAAAGCCATGTTTTTGCCTTCAGGGGAATAGCGAATTAAGTCACCCCGCTCAAGGTGGAGGAGGGTTTTGCGGGACGGCCCGGCAAATCAAGTTTGAGCTCTGCTGACAAAATATGTGTTTTCCTGATAAGGGTTAGCCTCTATCAAAGTCTTGTCTCCGATTGGCTGTTGAGGTCTTGCCTGATTCTGCCACGCGTCAGCCCCAGTGGCACAAACACATTGGCAGGAAATCATTGATCCCCCAGATAACACGTCCCAGGACGCGCCGAGAGACGCGCCAGGTGCCCCAGCGGAGCGAAAGCGTGACGCCGACCAGTTTAGCCTTGAAGCAAAGGGACAACAGACATCTAAACTTCTGAGGGTCAGGCCCCACTTTGACTGCTGATATGGTGAGGGTTGAACCATGCGCTCTCTCAGCCTTGGTCACTCTCTTCTGGTGAGGACACTTCGCATGATCGCTGGTTATGAAATCAAGGTCCCAGCAGGACCACTCTTTTCCCTGCTTTCACCGGAACCGGGTCGGCCCGGCACTAGCCAAACAGACAATAAACAAGACTAGTGGAATATCTTTTGGTTCCTCACCTCCCTCCCTCTTTATCTTTTTTTCAATCCCACTCTCCCTCAGCTTCACCTGGTACGTGACCTTCCGCCCTTCCGCCCGCCAGGCCACTTAACTGAAAATGATTAGTGGACCGGAATGTCCGCTCCAAGTTTTGACTCCACCCTCTGCCGGAATTCGGCTCCCATTGGCGAAAACCGGGCTGGAAACGGAAAAAATAAAATCCCGAATAATTTGGCTTCCAAGGGTACCTCGAGAACACGTGGTCAAGAGTCTCCACCCAATAAGATCGCCTAGGATCTCACGCACTCCTGGGACGGCGATGAATGCTATGCATCGAGGAAATCACGAAACTCCAACAAATCATCATCTTCTTGCTTCAATGTCTTTTCTCATTGCTTAACAGTCAAGTGTTCCATATCGGCGAGCCCTAATTGACCGTACAGGTGGACGAACTTCGACCAGGGAAGCAGTGTTCCAGCTACCCAGACATTTTCGGGAGGTTTGTCGTGACCTGCAATCATCAACCAGCGACCTCCGTGACCTGCGTGACTCCACTACGCGACCTCTGGATGCTTGCAGAACGCCATTGTCCATATTGCCCTGTCCATAATGTTTTCATTCCTCTGGCACTATTGCTCGGCGGCGTGGGCTGGGTTTCGACAGTTCGTCTATCTCCTGTTTTATTTTCTTTTACGTGATTCCAAGTATGAAATACCCGATGATATCGAGGCTACTTCCTCTACTGGCCTCACTTCCACCACGTACAACATGGAAGAAGCTCCACGAGCCCTTACCCTCCCCAACGCCGAAGCAGCACAATGGAACAGAGACATTCTGCTGGAATTTAAGGCCGCCTTGGAAAAGAATCCTGCGGTGGACCTAATATCAATGTTCTCTGACTCTTATCATCGTGAGCATCTAAATGCTCAGTATTCTCAGCTGTCTTATGCTGCAAGAATCAATCTCCGAACACTAACTGAACTTCATGACGCCCTAAGGCGTGAGCCAGAAGTCAATCTGCTATCTGCATTTCCAACAAATTATACCCGCAGGATCACAATGGCAACTGGTTCCCCAGCTTTGTCACCCGCAGAGGGATGCACATCTGAGAGAAGGGCTCCCGAGTTCCGCACACGTCTTGAGCTTGCTGAGACTGCTTCAGTTATCTTTCCATTGTCTGAGAAGGTTACATCTTTACTTGCACAGTCAGGAGAGTTAGTGAATAGTGGGCCAGGTGACACAGCAGATTCACTCTTTCTCTCCTTGAAGAAGCTTCTTTGGGATTCAACAAAGCTCTGGGAAAATCCTGTTAGAGGTGTGGTTGTCAAGTGCAATGAGAACATCATTGCCAAAGTCATTACAGGAAACAAAGATTACACAGAGTACACAAGCTTGGAATTCCTTGCAAAACAGGCACCTGATGTTCCTGCACCGAGACCACATGGTTTGGTTGCTTTCGGGCCCTTTCGAGTCATATTCATGTCATGCATTCCAGGCATGACCTTGACCCAAGCATGGCCTAGCCTGTCCCATGAGGAAAAATTATCAATACAAGGCCAGCTGGATGAAATCTTCCGCCGTCTGAGAATACTTCGACAGGATGATGGCAATGTGCTTGGAGGGGTCTGTGGAGAAGGGGTCAAAGAGCTCCGTGTTGATGAATGCGCCCTTTTTAAAGGCATCACCACGGCCATCAAGTTCAACGACCTGCAATTCTCCGCCCACCACCATGGCAGCTCCACTTATGTTGAATTCCTTCGTTCCTTTCTGAGAAATGACCGCTCCACTTCAATGCATGAATCGGTGTTCACGCACGGTGATGTTAGGACTGATAACATAATGGTGAAACAGGATCCCAACGGCCGCTATATTGTTACTGGAATTATTGACTGGGAGTATAGCGGCTTTTATCCTGAGTACTACGAATGCACTGGGCTGACTCGCACTTTGAGCCTGGTGGATGAAAATGATTGGTATCTCTATTTGCCGGAGAGCATCTCCCCATCGCAGTTTCCCGTACGTTGGCTGGTTGATCGACTCTGGGGCACCCATCTCAGAACCACGTAGCCCAAACCAGAATTAAATAAAAATCCCCCAAACAACCCCCTCCCTGGCCAGAGTATGGAATCCCCTGATCCTGTTGTGATCCACAATAAGAATGAATGGGAAGTGGATGAGATTCTGGCAAGCTGGATCCATAGGAAAAGGCTTCAATACTGAATCAAATGACTAGGGTTTGACCTGGATTATACATGGTATCCCGCCCAAAATCTGAAGGGTTGCCCACACAAGATTCGCGCCTTCCATATGGCAAGTGAATCAGGCTTCTCCATAATATGAATCCAACCAAGAGAGTGAGTCTGGGAATGAAGGTGATAATCTGAAGAGTGAATCTGATCAAGAGAGTGAATCTGACTGAGAGAGTGTATCCAGAAATGAAGACAAGAACAATACTGAAATCTCCCATGACCTGGAATTCAACTAAAAGGGTGAAACAAGACTATGTAACTGGCTTCCACATGTTTACAAAGAAACACCAAAGCACATGCAGTGCCAGGGAAGGTGTTGCTGCTGTTCTGTAGGGGGTTGAACCGCTATTCCTCTCGGGCCGAGCCCTCGATGCCATGCCGTGCTAAGGACGTCGGGCCGAGCTTACCGAATCAAATCTGTACGTGTTATTCTGTTTGTTTAGTTTGTATTTAGAGCATGTGACTGAGCTGGTGATCATGTGAGGTCACGCCTGCATAGCTGCTGACAAAGCGGCTGGGACGGTGGATGACATAATCAATCAATCAATCAATCAATCAATCTTAGTTAACTAGTTATTTACGAATCTTAGTTAGTTATTTACGACCTCATAAGTCTGTAGAATTGGCGATATATATTCCATATCTTTTGAACTCGTTTATACCATAGTGGCGTTGCGTTCCGTGTCAATGCCAGGCATTTCTCCCAATTATACTGAGAAGTGATGGACATTGTCTATTTAAAGTCCTATATGTACAGTACATCCATAATAGGTTCCACCGTGTGCATTCCATACTCCATAAGCATAAACGCATTTTCGCTACCAATGCCTCATCAATATACCGTTTAAACCTCTAATTCTACGTTGCCTATTATTCGCCCAATTATATCGCTTACTTTCGACTGACAGAATGAGTGAGTCAGCTTACTCGTCCAGATATCCTGGCACCACTTAAGTGTCTGTAATATGGTCGACCTTGGTGAGATAATTTGATTGTAGCACCCGCTCGTTTTCATCGTTGGTTCGGTTCCATCTGGCACAGGATTGTCCTTGCGACAGAGCTGGATGCCAACCATCATGATCGCCATAAAAAAGTCATTCTTGAATAATTCTGCGAACCACCTTGCTGATTCGCTATGCACGGGATCTTCGTGTACCTGTCGCTGGTGGACGAGAATGGCCAAAGAGCATTCCAATGCGGACCAGTAAGATGCTGGGTAACAAATAATCGCCTGCGGTTGACGGGCATATCGCTGGTGAAGGATGAGGAGGATGCGTCGCAAGGTTAATTCCAGTGTGGATACTTGGAGAGCTTTCCAGCTTGTTTCTGTGTTGGTGGGCCATATGGATAAAGTGTTTCGGAGAAATGAGGTTTCCATGAGAAGGCTTCGTAGAATGGAGTCGAGATGGATCACTCTGCTGTGGCTAATGTTTCCTGATAGAGAATTTGCAGTGGTGACTATCTCGAATGCTGTTGTAAATGCACCTGTGAGGAGAATCTGGAAGGAAGAATCTGTAAATTCGAACTCTGCAGCTGGCACAAAGGGCTCTTCCCTACACGGGTCGAGGTCATCGTCGTTTAAATTTAGAGGTGGTAGTGTGTTGAAATCATCTCTCTTAAGAAGAGGGGGACTGCCACTGGTGATTGACTGTTGCAGCTCAAGGTGGACAATGGTCGTCCATAGTCTTCTTTGCATTTCTGCTTGAAATGGCGATATATCCTTCAAACTTAAGGCCGGATCACAGTGTAGGCCAAGGGACATGGCATGACGGATCACAATTCCCATGAGAGGCCCGCACGAATCGTACTCGTGGCATGACATCGCGCCCATATGCTTTGCAATCACCATCATGCAGAGTGCATTTATAGTGAGGAGGGTCGGGTGGAGGATAAAGGACATTTGTAGAAGGCATACTTCCGCCGCTCTCAGCAATCGTTTTACTCGCTTCGAATTTGCATGTGGGGTGGTGAGCCAGCCAATGCCAATAACCATTAAGAACTGTGCCATCCAATCCCATCTGGGCATTGACTCATTCTTCCAGAAGGCTTCCACTTCCTTACGGAATGAGGGGATATGTAAAACGCGGTATATTCGTTCTACCGTTGAGAGATAATTCTCAACGTAAACCCAGATTTGGTCTTTATTAGGTATGATTGAGAGAATATAATCCTTGGGATTACCGAAGAGACTGGTGAAGTTCGAATTTAGGCCCGAAGCGTCGGCGTGGGCATCATCTGCTTCTGGGTGAATCTGTGGAAGAGGCGGGAACTCGAGGTGATTGTCGTCAGGAGAGAATATTGATTTGAACTTGTCCACTCATGTTAGCTATAGTGTTTAGCGATAGATTCGATGGCAAACCCACTTCCTTCAGATAGACAGCCCAATGAGTCTCGCCTCGAAACTTTGACAACCAGATCGTCGCCGTATCTGGGTATAAATACATCGCACCATTTGGAGACTCTCGAGAAACCTCGACTCTGAGCGGCTCAATCACCCGCCCAGCAGTAGGGGAATCACCACCAGATGGATTTAAGTCGTGAAGCAATTGCGGTGACTCTAGACCCGTTAGCGGACTGTCCAGGCCTCCTTTTTCGTCATCCGTGGAAGGTGTTCTAGTATTGGCGCTCTGCGATTCGGGCCGTTCAGGACGGGGAGAATTCGAAAGATAGATACATTCATCTGCACGCTTACTTCTCTTGCAATTCTCACAGGGAGTCTGTCGATCGCACTTTACCTTCAAGCGCCTGCATCGAGAGCAAGAGATTGCCAGCCGGTGCCGTCTGCGGACGACACGTTTTTGCTTCTTTGAGGCCGGCTCAAGATGCCAAACGTGCCACATGCTGTCTAGAAGGGCGGAATATAAGTATAAATTCAGTATTACAGTGAAAACAGTGCCCGTTGAAGCGTCGTGGGCAGGACATCCGGGGCTCTTGCGCTCGCGAAATGGCGAAGACGGGCTTGATGCAGCCTGGGAAGACGGATGGAGGATCTTATCTGATCAGATTAGATTGATAAAGTTTGCGCGAAACCCGAATTTGAGTCATCTCACGTGATCTATGGCCTGTGATTGGGCAGATGCAGCCTGGGCATACGTGTGTTGGACCGCAAGGTTGCATTATACGGAGGAACTAGCTAGCTACAGAAGTCCGCGCGCTGGTACGTGTGCAACACGGGTCAACTTCCCCTGCTCAAATTATGTTCAAGGACAACCCCGCTCCATGCAATCCGATATAGCGATTGCAAGGGTACTACAACACATTTCCAAATAACTAATAATGACACCAAGACATGCATGGATGCACGCAGCACACTCCCTAAAAGCGGAGCGAACAAATGACCTTTTACCGCTTCCCTTTCCGCAACTTCTTCTCCCGCTCATAGGCATTCGCTTCGCGTCCCTCCTCGCTCTGAATCTCAGCAATGAGACGACGGTATTTCCGCTCATATTCAGCATCCCTCTCACGTTTCTCCCGTAGGCTCTCGCGTGCAATAAAGTTAGCATCTTTCCGGAGTTCTCGCATCGCGCCTTTGCGCTCGCGCTTATGCTCCGCCTTGAGCTTGTTGAGCTCAGCCCGCTCGCGGTCGGGATCATAGTGCCTATCGGGGTTAAATGATTCTTCAAACTTGGGTATTGCTGTCTTGATTGCGAGCGGTCTATGATTATGGAGTAGTAGGGGGCGGCGGGCTCGTCGAGCTTCTGCAAGCTGAGCATTCATGCTGTGACAAGTACGTTGCATATGATCAGATAGGGCTGTAGGCACCTTTCCCGCACACGACCTAATCAAATGTTTGAGAACCGCTCGGGCGGGCTCAAAGACCTCAAAGAAAGCAGATTTGGTGGCCCATAACTCAGCAGCAGTTTCAAGTATTGACGTGAACGTCTCGACAAGAGACAACTTTAGACCCTCCGCCCTATCCTTTGCAACCGTCGAGCCGGTTAGAACGTCCCAGAATGACGGAGTCCTGACTTCGGCGGACACATCTGTGCCTTCGAGTCGCATTGGTTCTGAGGGAACACGCGCAGGGAATGAGCCCAGCTTAGTTTTTGGTGCTGTAGGTGCGAGAATGCATAAAGCATTTAAAACATAATTGACAAGTTCCGGAATGTATCTCTTTGATAATGCTTGATATTGGAGGCATAAAGTTGTCACGTAAGCACCGATGACGAGGTCCCCCAAAGATTCAATATTACCTTGTCCAAGGTAACGTCCCATTGAAAGCATCGCCGGTGTCACCACGGGGTGGAAGTGATCGGATGTTGGAAAGATAGTTGAGATGCCAGTCAAAATGACCAGGTCACTCGGAAGAAGGTTAAAGGGTCGATCGTTGGCCACTGCACGAAGCTGAGCCCTAAAAGCAACAGCTACATCCTCCGGATGCGTCTTGGCGAGGGAATGGATGTGACGTAGTAGGTTCTCAAGGATGGCGAAGGGCGGGTGTTCTCGTAAATTTGCAAGGTACGAGACATGTTCCACGAGGACTCTAGAGAACTTTCCCAGTTTCGCCTTGTTGTCGCTATGAAGCCTGGAGTGATGTAAAGCGCGGATTCGTTGAACCACTGTTGGCAAATCTTCCATCTTCACGTCCTTTAATATGTTTAAAAACTCTTCATGGCTCTCAGGGCACGGATAAGTATAGGCTAGGGAGTCGTCTTGGGTGGATAGCGTCTTCTTATCATCAGGTATACTCTCTGCCCCTGGGTGTAGAGTTAGCCCGTTAATGAACTCGTCATCATCATCATCGTCTTCCTCCGCCGCACTTTCACTGCCGTCGCTGTCGTCGAACGACAAGTCTAGGGCGGACCCAGTTTCAACCAACTCATCTTCGATTATAAAGTCATCTTCGTCTTCCACATCTAGGTCCGGCCGTGTAGTTAATTGATGTAGACCGAACGGCTTGGCATCATCGACTTCCGCATCGTCATCTAGATCCGCACCACCTTCATCTGCTGATCCTTCATCATCTTCGCCATGCATTCGCCTCAGCCTCTCCTTCTCAAGTTGGCGTAAGCGTGTAGCCTCTTCTTCAGCTATCTCCTCTTCCGTTTTAGTCCTATCTGCAGGCTGGGAGCGTTTATCAAAGGCCATCTGCTTCAGCCTCTGATCATACTCCTTGTCCGCAGCATCCCTATCTTTGCCATTCAAAAGAGCAGCACGATCCGGATTCATCATCGGATCCGGACGCTGCTCCTGCAGTGGTGGCTCTGGCGCCTTGATACCCCTCATCATTTCAAAAATGCTCGGAAGCCCCTGATCTAGAGTGGCTCTCAAGTCGTCGTCATCTTCCTTAGCCTTTTGCCGCTCATATTTGTACTGCTTTGATTTAGCAATAATCTCCTTCATGACCTCTTGTTTTGACTTTTTCCGTTCGGGCTGTTCTTCGTCGTCGGATTGCCCAGCTAAACCCTCCATGTCATCTTCTTCAACGAGGCGTTTCCTCTTATTATTCCGACCGGATTCACTGTCATCCTCCGAATCTCTCAAGTCGCCTTCGTCGAAATCATCCCCGAGCTCCTTGTCAAAAGAGAGCGCCTGGCCCCCGTGAGTGAGCAGCATTTCTTCATCTTCGTCATCTTCCAAGTTGAACATGGACTCTTTCTTGAGTCGCCTTTGACTTTCTCGTGCAAAGCGTTCCGCCGCTCTCTCTTCGGGTGTCATTGTCGGATCATTTTCGCCGAAACGTCGATCGAGGAGCATTCCAGTTTTATTGCGGCTATGGATTTCTTTCAGGAGAGTTTCTTTTCTCTGTGACCAGGTTATCAAACTGTGCCCTATCAAATAGGACGCTTCCCACGGTGAATGCTAGAGAGCTTACCCGCTGCTCGCCCAGGCCTCTCGTGACGCCGGGACGATGTCGAACCGGGTCGGTATTGCCCTTGTTGGTTGTTACAGCAAACTTCGCAGGCCGCGCTGGTGCTCTTGCTTCGAACGGATTGAATTGCTCTCGGAGTTCCTGGAGAACAGCATTGCGATGGATGCGGTTGGCGGCCGCAGCTCCAGACTTTGCATTTTGCTTCCGCTGTTTTTTGGACTGCTGCTGTCCGATAACTCCCTTCTCGCGGAGAGAGGCTTTCAACTGCTTTAGCTGTGAGGGCGCCATCTTGACTTGCAGCGCTGAGATCCACGCCGGTGCCACTGTCAGCGGGTTATCTGCGCTGTCGGCACTGTCCTCACAAAAGCACGACCGCCAAAAATCGCAGAAAATTAAACCCTTCACCGCCTTCAAAGTTAACTTTCTGCCAACCCCGGTCGTCGACGCTTGACCACCTTCTTCCTCTCCGCCAGCACGCAGACGGCTAACGAACCCGCGATGGAATGCTAAATGGTATGGCGACGCACTTGAGTGATCGGCTCCTGTGGTTCGGCCTAGGTATGCGGCTATACAATCATTCCGTTTTTTATTTTTATTTTTGTTATTTCTAGCGACAAGACCCTAATCCCTCTGCAGGAGTTACCCTCTTTTTCGCATTCCGGGGCATAACCTGGGAGCTCTCCCAGGTCAGGCACCTTACGGAAATCAAAAAGGAAGAGAAAGAGGACCAACTCATTGGAGAAGCTACGGAAGATGGTAATTATGATGTTGCATCTCTACCTCTTTGGGACGCCTGGAACCTGACTGTCTGGAAAGCCCTGAAAATAGAATCGCTGTTGAAGCTTTCTGAAAGCTCCAGTTTCGATTTAAGAGCTGCGTTAGTCTTCTATCCTTCCAAGCTATTTTGAATTGTGAAGCTAACGGCCGCTCGCGTATAATAGTGCGTTAAAAATAATAGCCGAACGAGCAACTAAAGGTCCCACGCGAGATTTGCTCCTTGAGGATCTGTCCAGCCGTGACCCACTCCTCCGGCGGCGAGCCTTAGATGCACTACACTTTCTGATCTTAAGCAGACCTTGTATGCCGCCCTCTTCCCTTTCGCCTGTGTCTACTATTCTTGGCCCTTCCTGATCCGTTTCTTATGATAGTGGCCCGCTCCAGCGCGTCTAGCAGATTAAGGGATCTATCTACTTTTAAAAGTCTAGTCGGTTGTTTATGCTACTTTCTAAAGGACCATACTGAGAAGATTGGCACCACTTCATCTCCCATACTTCCGCGAACCAGACCCCCGGGAGAGGAGAAGGCTTTAGGCGTCCTCCTTGCCCTTTTACCAGAAAGCGTGCACACGGCCCTAGAAGCCGGGCTTGTGAGTCAGTGGCTAACAAGATATCCGTTCCCGTGTACTTTGCAAGATGATACGAGAAGACGTAATGTTTTTTTGTTTATGAAGACCTGGGGCTCCGATGACCCCTTGATGAGTAACATTTTCAATATTCTAGCTACTCATCATGAAGGAGTAAGACAGCTCCGAAGATACGGCCTAATGGGAGCCAGATTGGAAGAAGACGAGCTTGATGCATATGATTCTTCCGTTGAACGAAGCCGCTTCAGTATTTTGGAAGGAGACGATGACTGGGAGAGTGTTTGGGTGCCAGACGGAGCAGATACAGGTGCTACCCAGGCCTGGGGCGGGAGACGTTTGCAGGAAGGCACCACAACAGATCAAGAGCTGAGGCGTCGCCGGAGAGAAGTAATGGTCTTTTCTGAAGGTGGCAGGCCCCTGGATCAGGACAATATCATTGAGCCAATACAAAATCGCGCCGTCTGGGGTCTAGACGATCAATTTAACGAGCTTCCCGGAAGGGTTTAGAAATCTTGTGACTCTGAACAGAAGTCAGCAACCCGCGAACAAGCGCAACGAGGGGATAGAGCTGGGTTATTTTCATATCATAACGATATACCCATGGCCAGAAAACAGCAAAAGTCTCGGGCAAGAAGAATGTCATAAGACACTTTTGTGGTTGAATCCATACTAATTTGACAGTACATACGATGAAATGAGGATACGACGGCACGGGCAATGCTAGAGAGGATGGGTGTCACGCTTTATGAAGCTAAATTATATATAACCGTCTCATTATAATCCAATCCAGCTTAGCTTTGCTAAATGATCCGTCTTTCGTCGACTCGACTTCACCATTCCCATCATCTTCAATTCAGAGACTGCGCGATAAAATATACTAAGCGCCATTCGTTCATCAAAATTCTCCCCATCCTCACCGCTAATAATGGTGTAGAATGCCTTCCATAGGTCATAAATGTTCACGACAGCTCCCGATTCCAAGTAAAGCTGGTAAAGCAACGCAGTAGCAGGCTGAGAAGCCGAAAGACTCTCGAAGAATGTGCCGGAGTCGAACCCTAGATAATCAGACGGGTTCGATAGCGCACGTTCCACTGTGAACCTCGGGCGAGGAACGAAAGTATCCCCAATGGGCCCTTTGAAATCATATAGGAAAGCTTCATGCATAAAGAGGCTAGTTGGCTGGATAAGATTCTCGATCAAGTACGTCCGGAAACCACTGTGAAAACGGTCCACTATACGAGTATATTCGGCTTCTTCGTCAGAGAGCTTCGCTCTGCCTTTTGTTAGTTTGAGTCGCTGGGCAACTAGAGTGGTTTTGTGGGTGATGCGAGAGTCGTCGTATTTCGTTCTCAAAACTCCAGGACCTTTCTTATTAGACAGAAGGGTTTGAAGCTCATCATACAAGTCACCTGCTAATGGCAATGTTTCTCCTAGTGTAATGAGGAGGCTCACAAGTATGTTGGACGTCACCTTCTTGATGGCTGACAGCGCTTCGATAATAATCTTCGACGAGTTCAGCTCCCCGCCAACTGCTCGGATAACGAGGTCCGACAGACTCGGTGTTTTTGCTGTCCTGGTAACATCCAACACTCTTTTTAGGGAACCCACGCATTTAAACATACGGTTCATGGTTTCTTGGCCGATAATAACGTTATTCAAGGCTTCCTGGGCCAGAAATACATCGTTATCCAGGAGCTTTTTCACCGTTTTGGTTTCCTTCTTGTCCAGTAGTGTCTGTGCATGCCTGCAATCTATTAACACGTCTTCGTAAACAGGTTGACAGGATCCGAAGAACACGCACCTACGAAATGACGGAATGTTCCGGATCGCTTCGCATAGTTCTGGTTGAAAATCTTTGTCACATATACCGTTTGAGAGTAAGACCGCTAATGGGTTTGCAAAAAAATGGGCCATGTAGGTGTACTGTTACTATTAGCTGCCATAAAACACCTCGTTTTTGCATCAGCTGCATACCTTCAACGAAGAGCTAAATCGTTCGGGGCTTTGAAAGTGATCTTCCGACTGCTCTACGAGCAAGTTGCTGACCCTGTGACCGAGCCATAGGGTGCCATCAGGGCAGGTCTCTAGATCAAAGAATATCCGCTGAATAGAATCCACGGAGTCGCGAATGTCGAAACATCGGCCCTGGAGCAAACTCACAGATGACCGAGGTAATCGAGATTCAAATAAGTCCACTGAGGTTGCCACGCCGAAAAGGAAAACAAGAGGAATACGATCTTGCCATGACCTGGTGCAATCAGTAACTGGATAAGAATAGGTGAGGCCCCGGTCAGAATTACCATAGCAAAGAGATCAGATCACTCAGAACACCGTGGTCGAATGCTTCGCTGTCCTTGAAGGCAACGACTATTTTCTGCCCCGTGTTCCGCTGTACGTAACCATGCAATAGCTCCAAATCGTATGGGAGATGTTTCGGGCCCTTTCAACCAGTCAGCACAATCGGGTTTAAATAGAGGAGACATGTAAATACCAAATGGCACGAAGCAGAGTTAATATCGGTCTCTTCGGCGCTATTGTCGGATAAAATATTCCGAATGAGGGTCTTCAGAACATTTTTTACGCTCCCAGCGTCTCCAGCTTCGATTACTGCAACTTGCGCAATGCCGTCAGCTTGCACCCGCTTACGAAGCCGGTCTAGGAGCCCCGATATTGAAGAGATATTGGATCCTAAAGTAATCATTCCACATGGAATACGGTTCTCGTAACTATGACCAGCAATTAGCGAGCAAGAGATTATATGAGCGCTAGAACCCACACCTCTCAGGTCCCGCTTGCTTAATGAAGTCCGCAAGATCTTTCACGGCTTTGGAGTCAAGCTCGCTAAGAATCTCCTACAATTGAATCAGCATGACATTATAATCTCCCTAGGACTGCACGAACCTGAATTCTCTGGCTTTGGACGGACCAGAAATCTGTAAACGCATCATGACGGCGCTTCACCAATGATGAGCTCTCCTTGCCGTCCAAGAGTGGAACGAATGGCAGTTCATCATCCCGAGGAGTTGTTTCAGATAAATGGGCCAGTTTACGCCTTTTAGGCTGCTGCGGTTCATTTGCTTTAGAACTTCTAGCAGGCTTATATATGTATACACCCTAGGATAACTATTAGCCTTGTTAACCGCTTGGACGGTTTTGGATAGGGGGGTTAAACCTGATGCTCGAGACCGTGATGTGCCTCGGTATCTCCCTTTATGAACATCGTGGTCTAACAGCATTCCTCTTTGCAGCGTGATCCGATTGAGTCTGTATTGGGTATATTGAAGACACTCCTTTAAACCTCCCCAACTTTAGGATTTCAACTGCTCTTTTCACGATATCCTTTCTCCCTGAACGAGTTCCTCAACGCGTCGGAGCGGATACGATTGATTATGTAATCACAAAATTACGAGTCGCACGTAATGGCTGGTACAGCGTAATGTAACCGCCTTGGAGTTGAGGACTTCCGTTTTGCACCGCTGATTTCGATTCCATCCTCGCAGCGCAGCTTTCTTTTCAACGTGCTTTTCTTTCGATGAGTTAGGCTTCACTTCCTACATTCATGCGCCGTTTGACTCTACAGGGAGCTCGGTGGCATCAACATGGATTTTACACCCGTTGCATCAACCAAGCCTCCCCTGCGATCTCAGCGGTCCGCCGTTCATTCTCCTTCACGCCTCGACTGGAGAAGGGAGGCAGAAAACAGGAGGTAACCATCCGACATTTTGAACAGTCGACTCCCGCCAGCAAAGATCGGACGGAAGTAGATTTCGACTCGGAAAATCAAGCGGAGCAAGAATTGCTGAAAGCGAAGATCGCCGAACTTGAGCGAGAGCTTGCGGAGCTAAGAGAAGGCCCCTTTGGACCGAATAGTCCTTTTATGAAAGAGCTTTCTGAGGAGGACAGGCAAAAGGCATTAGAGGCACTTCGCAAGTATAAGGCGGAACATAAAGAGGAGGATGTCGAAAGCGAAGAAGAGGAACGACTCGATGCCGAGTTTGACAAAGCTATGGAGCGGCAATTTCAGGACTTGATTAGTGAAGAGAAAAGGCTATGGGATCCAACAAAGGCCCCCGAGGAACCTTCTCCGACCCCAAGAGAGTCATTCGAAGTTGAAATTACAGTTCCTGATACACAGCAAGCCGCTGTTGCTCGATTCAACAAAACTTTGAAGGTCCTCCGCAATAATCCAACCTTTACCCAGAGACAAGACGCGTGGAGGTCATACAGACGTTGTAAAGAAGGGCTACCTTTTTTCCTTGATATTATTCCGGAGGAGGGCTTGGAGTTGCTTTGGCAATCCCAGGTACCATCGTCCCCTGTTGAACATTCTCGTCTGCTTCACTGGGAGAAGCTAGCCGAAGACATTCTCGCAAGCGGCAGGGATTTCACGACAACCCAGTGGCTAAAATATCTTGAGCTTTTATGGCACAGTGGGAAATCTGAGAAAGCGATTCCCCACTGGGAAGGGCGTGCACAAGATCTAAAACATTACAGCCCAGAAGAGGTTGACAGCTACTTAAAATTGGGAGTACGGCTCCATGTTGCGGTACATCAGCCCCAGACGGCCCAAGATATCGCAATGGCCTTCCTTTCGGCAAATACATCCCGTGATCCCCGTGTACTGATACCTGTTATTGCTTCGTGGGCGGAGCAGGCCACCCCAAAAGCTAAAGAGCTGGCTTGGACTCTATACCTTCAGGTCAAGACTATGCTGGGACCCAATATAAATATGCAAGATTACGACTCCATTAGCACCGGTCTGTTGAATGCCGGCCAGACGGAGCTGGCCCTTGCGGTTTTTAAGGACATGATGCTTACAGGACAACAGTCAACCTCGGATTCTGTAGCTCTCTTTAAGACGAGTCTTGGCCTCTATGACAATCTTCATTCCTCTAGCATCAATGCGGCCGATGTCAACAAAGCTTCACTTGCGGCTCTGACTATACTGCCGCGCAAATTTCACAACAAATTTTTCTTTGCCAGTTGGATGAAAAAGCTGATAGGAATGGGCGAAGTGGATGCTGCCGCCTCTGTGGTGGAGTTGATGTATGAGCGAGGTATTAAGCCGGATGCGAAGCACTTGAATGGCATAATAGGGGGTTGGCTCCGTGAAGGAAGCCCAACTGCGAAGGAAAAGGCAGAAAAACTTGCATGGGCAATGGTTCAAGAGCGCATCGAGCGAGTTTGGCACGATATGCCAGAGAAGCCATCTGTTTACGACACGTCAAATGATGTGGTTATTCCAAGACACATGCAACGAACCGTTCCCGCTGCAAGCATAGAAACTTTTTCTATCTTGCTGCTATACTATACTCGGCGGGATCAAGAAAATATGGCGAACTACCTGATTGACTGCCTCGACACTGCGCAAATCAAACCGAATGCCTTCTTCATGAACCATCTTCTGTATATGGAGCTTCGAAAGCAAAACATTCTCGGTGTATGGACAAAATACAAAGATATGACGGCTATCATTAAGCCTGACTTGGCAACATTTGCTTGTCTCTACGATTGCGGAAAGATTCAGTACGATCGCACCCGTTATCTTTTCGACGCGAAATTCCCACCTATCCGCTCTCTATACAAGGAAACTATGCAATGGTTCGGGAGCCTCACTCCACACCAGCAAAAGACCACAAAAGAGGAGTTCTCGAAAGCGCTATATGATCAGATTACGCGATGCTTCTGTTTATCCCTTGACCCGCAAGGGGCCCTGGTGGCTATTCGATCCATGAAACAAATTTTCGGCTTCTTCCCGGACGTCGATACAACCCGCATCCTTACGTTCCTTCTCGTGCGCCTGGCACCTACTCCTCCGGGCATTCCTAAACCCCGCCGCAGGCGTATTGCATCAACACCTCGTTCGAAGGAGAACTTCGAGAATATTTCGAATCTTTTAGTTGCAATAAAAGATTGGAAGGTGGCGCAGCTATCTCGACAGGGAATCAACCCCGATGAGTTAGACGAGGAAGAGCAGAAGGCGTTCCAAGTTGACTTGATGTGCGATCTGTTACGCCTGGTCATGCGTCGAATTCAGGGAGACTCTGGAAAGGTGGAAAAGAGTATTCGTGCTGCAGCAGATGAGATGGCGGTGGGGGAGCTCGATTTAGGTGTGGATCCGGACATAGAGCTGTGATCTCCCACGCCATTTGATTCATGAGTTTTTCGTATTGACCTCTTTTGCGGGACCGGGGCGGGCGTTTTACAATGGCATGGGAAAAAAAAAAAAGGATTCACAATGTATCATAGCGGGCATTTTCACTTTGGTAGTCCTCCCTTGGAGAAGCCGGGGCCTATTGTAAGGTAGGGCACGGCGATGTATATTATAGAAAATAATTTTGAATCAGGCAAGCATTTACTCTCTTCATCTCAGGCACTCGAGTTCCAGCTAATGCGCCGAACTTTTACACAAAGGGCCAATACACGTCTACCCAAGGCGACTTCTGCTAATTTAGCACATAGAAAGACAAGGGCCTCTTCGAGGATGAATAGAACAGAAACAGATGTATTTATTTCTTTCCTTTCTTCTTCTTCTTTCCACCGCCACCGCCAGGATTCATAGCTGGACCACCGCCCTCTACCAACACTGTATCATCATCACTAATAAGTTTATCGCCCACCACTGAGCCAGAAGCGGAACTAGCCGGTTTATTAACCTTCCCAGCTGATCCAGCTGTAGACTGTTGCTCTTCCTGCTCTAACTCTTTCATGAAGCCTTGCTGTATGCTCGCTCTTTTGCGCTCCCACCATTCGCATTCCTGTTTTGCCGTAGCTTGAATTTCGTCAACTCTTTGTCGGAATATTGTGTTCAAGGTCATCTCGTTGGCAGACTGGAAAATTGTCTGACCCCAGCCTGGTACGAAGGCGTTGGCCTACGAGTTTTGAGAAGATTTGAGTTAGCTATTCATGACTTGATCACACCATTTTCACTTGCAGGAGCAATGGAAAAAGCGTATCTACCTCGGCGACAACATCTCTAAACTCCTCCTCGAGCTCCTTTTCAGCCCTCAAAAATTGTTGCCACAAATCATCGCCGACACTGCCCTTCTGGAGGAGCGCGCCGAGTGCAGGTTTCTGATTTCTAAGCTGCAAGAGGCGTTTAAGGTCTTCTGCAGCACGACGAAGGAGAGCGGCTTTTAATACTGTTTCGGGAACAACGGGCTTCTTCTTCTCTTTCGCATCGGAGGGAGAGTCCATGTGTAGGAGTGAGAGGTAGACATCTCGCTGGACATGCGAAGGGAACCATGGTTTGAGGGATGCAGACTTGGCTATATATCACGCATCGCGCTCGTGTTAGCCGCTGCAAGTCGCAAAAAAATATGCTCTTGCCAAAAGGCAACGTGTTGCTTACCGGCCTTTCTCTTGCGGTATAGAGATGAAAAGGTCGCTAATGAACCGATAAGGACGCCAAGGTAGGCAAAGGGAATGATCAAGCTTAGCCAGTCTACCATTGCGACTGACTCAATGAAGGATATGGAGTATTAGAGGGGAGTGCGAGGAGTAAAGAGGAAATATGAGCGGAAGCCGACGTCGCACGAAGACGAAGCCGCTCAGGCTGCAAGAGCCAAGATATTTTCAGAAGAATATATAGTTACAAACAATTCTAAAAATTGGCTCATTGCAAAGAATGGTCGAAAAAGAAAAGAAAACAGCAGAATTGTTGTTGCTTGATAGTTGCTTGTGCAATGTGGACTGGGGCCAAAGGTGATGCCACCTGGACAAAATTAGTGACATTTGGGAACAGAACACAATGTCACATGTTTTGAGTTTCTGCAGATCAAGTCCGCTCGCTCCCTTGTTACAACACACATGGACCAGAGTTGTCAGTCAATAATACATTGTAAAGAATGCAATCATTTCCAAGGACAGTCCTGTGGATTTCAATGTCCAGGTACTGATCATTTCATGTCTGCCTTGCTAGTTACCACTGTTACTCCAGGCTCAAATAACATTATGAACAGCCTAAAGATCTCACAATATTGACAACATCCATCAAAGCACCAAACCTTTATTCAAAGAAAATGTGTATCAACAGAAAGGAAAAGGTATTCTTTTGCAAGTCATTGACATAGGAGACCACCTGACGCCAAACCAACTAGATATGTTCCGCCGAAAGAAAAATACACAAGCTGGAGAAGAGAATATCACATTTGATGCCACATAATAGAATCCCATTCCACCTGTGACTCTGGGCTAAAACAGCAAATTAATCAAAAATGTTGCATGGATTCAATATCCTGGAGAACTTCTTCAAATTCTCTCTTGACTGCTTCCGCAACACGCCTCCTGTTCCATTCACCACGCATGCTCCAAATACAGTCCATCAGACTGGTGTTGATCTGCTCCAAGTGCTCCACGGAGAATCCATCCGTTTTGGCGGTGAGTTCTAAGTGCAGTTGCTTTATAAACGCATGATCAATAAGAAGTTCTGGGTTGCGCGGCTTCTCTTCTGGATTGAGGAGGCCTTGAAGCTGGTTGCTCGCTCGAGGAGTATGGAACAGGGGCACGGGAGGTTGAGACCCCGGTTGCGAATATCTCGGTTGCGATTGACTTCCATTAAGCAGACTAATCTGAGAGAATTCTCCGCCACTTGTTAATGGTGTTTGCTGCGACCCCCAGGCACTTTCTCCCTGTTGAGTATCAGGCAGATGTTCATCGCCTGAAACACGGGATGGGTAGAGGTTAAGATCGGGGCCTTCGTGTCTCATAGAAAAATTAAGGGAGGTCTGTGTATGGAGCTGCACCTCAGAGTGACCCGAATTCTTCTTATCCGAAGTAGTCTGGGTGGTTGACGCATCATTGGCATAATCACCTGGCTGAGAACCTGGCGCCATTGGGGTCATTGTACCCTTTTGCGACAAGTTAGAAAGGCCAGATTGCTGTCGAAGTTGCTGGGATGGCGCTGTATAGGAATGTGGCGGTCTCGGCTGGGCGGACTGTCCAAACGAGCTGTTCTGAGTTTCTCGGCTGAAGCCAGACGTATCTTCGGAGTTGGACATTTGAATGTCCGCATCGCCATTCCCACTCCGATTGAATATCGAAGTAGATCCCTCGCTGTTCGGATAGCACGCACTTTGGTGGACATCTGAACCATGCTGTGGGGGAACTCCATTCGTCAAAGAAGTATTTCCTGTTTGAGGAGTAAGCGGCCGAGCACCCAAGCCGTGACACGTGTTTCCAAAACTTTCGCCCAAGACAACAGGCCCGGTGGACTGGTTTGACGATTCGACACCATGAGCAACATTCAGTGGTGGAGGAGGACCCATTGCATTAGTGGGATTTTCGGATTGCTTCGCTTTTTCAATAGCCTGGCGTTCTCGTTCCAGCTCCCGAAGGTATACATTTTCGCACTCCGCAACTAAAGCAGGCTCGGTTTGCTCAATAAGGCCGATATCAACTTCGACATTAGACAAAAGTTCATTGGCTTTCAACAGGCGGTCAGGGTCGTCAAGTGTCTTTGCATCCTTTGCCAGACGTTTGATATCCGCAAGGAAGTCCTTTGGTCGTTTGTAATAGCCGTTTGACAAACGTTTTTCGATAATCACAATGTCGATATTATAATAGAATTTACCCGACACAACCTCTCGGAGCCCAGGGACGCCAGCTTTGTCTTCATCCGTTTCAAAAGGCCGGAAGGTGGTTCTTTGTTCCAATGGAAGATCAGATGTGACGATGTTTGGGTCATTATCATCGAACAAATATCGAATTTGAGCCTCGTCAACCGGGCCAGCACGGAATCTTTTGTAACTTCTCTTGATTTGGTCCATTATGGGTTGAATTCGAATCTTTAGCAAGTTCAAAGTTTGACGGTCCTTCTTCTTCTGTGCCTTCAGCTCTTCCTTGGTGGGCGGAAGGGGAGCCTGGGGAGGGGCTGGAGGTGCCTTTTCTAAGGTCTCAAGGACTCGCTTCTTTCGATTTTCCGGATCAGGAAAATCAGTCGGAGCTGTCATGATATATCTCATCGCCGCCTCGAAAAATTCGTGCCGCCATGCGTCCATGGGTGCAAGGAGATCATATCGATTTTTCTTTGAGAAACCAAACAAAGACTTCATGATTTCCTGATCGGCTTCCTCCCCATCGCCCTCTAACACCCCCAGCAGCAAAACCGGATCCGTTGGGGGAAGAGATCGCAGCAATCCAAGAAACGCCGAGATAACCGTCTTTTCCACCGTATGATACCAAGTTTCAATATTGGGAATGTAGATAACACTTGGTTTATGACGCTTGACTTCTGCGAAAAGATGAACAATCGCTGTTTCCGGAGACTTGATGGGATCACTGAGGAGTGTAGGAAGATCAAAAGACTGAACATGGACTCCCTCAAGATGCTGCAGCACCGCAGCTGCCAAGTATTGCTGGCCCATGCCCGGCCGTCCACGGATCAAAAGCCTTGGTCTAAAAACACGGGATTTTTCGAATGCTTGCTGTATACGTTCATGTCTAAACCCAGCATCGTCATCCGGCTGCTCGTATTGCGCCTCCTCCAAGGCGGTCAGTGCCTTCTTCTGCGGCAAAATCCGGCGAACTATCTCCTTAATTTCTTGGAGGGCATGTCGCAGCAGAGGCTCAACGACAGGCGGGAGGGGAGAGGCACCTGATGAGGTTGACCGCTCAGAGGAAGGAACCATCTTTTTCAAAGATATCATGAAATCCTTCGGGGTAACACGGATCTTTGCAGGATCAATCAACAGTCGTTCCTTTGATTGATATATTTGAGGATATATCCGTTGGACCGCATTCAATGCCGCTTCCGTACAAAGAGCACGGAGATCGGCACCACCATATCCCTTTGTCAATTCTGCCAGTTCATCCTTTATTTCATTTGATAACGGTGGATCCCAACTCTTCGTATGGATATTTATAATAGCCCTGCGGGCGTCTGTATCAGGAAGAGGGAAATAGAATTCGCGATCAAACCGCCCAGGACGCCTTAGAGCCGGATCTATAGAGTCGGGTAGATTCGTTGCGCCAATAACAATCACTTGGCCTCTACCGTCCATGCCATCCATTAACGCCAACAGAGTTGAAACAATAGATGCATGGATTTGCTCTTGCTTACTCGATCTGACGGGGGCAAGACCTATTCAACATCAGAATCGATTTGATCCGTGAAATTGACCATGCTGCACTCACCGTCAATCTCGTCAAAGAAAATGATGCTGGGCTGATTCTTCCGGGCCTCTTCAAAAAGGAGACGCAGCTGCCTTTCCGCCTCGCCCACCCATTTACTAAGGGCATCCGCTCCCTTTCTCATGTAGAAGGTTACCTTCTTGCCCTCGGTACTAACGCTTGTTGCTAAAGCTCTGGCTAACAGAGTCTTTCCTGTACCTGGGGGCCCATGGAACAGAACACCACGAGGAGGAACAATACGAAGTTTTTGAAAGACCTCTGGATAGAGCAACGGCAGAGAAACCATCTCTTTCAGTTGATCAATATGCCCTTGCAGTCCACCAACGCTGTCAAAATTGACGTTAGGGTCAACCCCTAAGGGATCAGAGTCTGCTAAAGCTTGTCGGTCTTTGATTTTGCCCATGTTCGCCGGTGTTCCGGATGGTCCTTGTGCGGCATCATTGCTATGAAATTGTGCCGAGAGATTCCCAGTGTTAGCGAGTCCGGTTGCCGGCTGCACTCCTGGCAATCCTCCAGGTTTAGGTCGTTGAATAGCATCATCATCACTGCTATCGCTCTCCACACCTCCGATAGCGCCTAATGGATGTGGGCCGCCTAAAAGAGGTGGAGGCCCACCACCTCCAAAGGGACCATAGGTAGAAAGCAAGCTCCTTTGCCAACCGCCCCCTCCACCGCGAGGCCGACGGGAAGGAGATTCAGCAACCTCGTTTTCAGCTTCTTCTAACGGCAAAGCTAGCTCTGGCCTAATGATTCTGTAGTCGACAGATTTTCTGGCTCGACGGGGCTTTTCATAAACAATTTCGGGCTCCACGCGTCGACGAGGGCGGCTGCGTTTCAACTCTGCCAATTCAACGGCGAGTTCATCAGCTTCAGACTCCGCACCACCTTGCGAATTGCCACCGCGCTTGCGTAAACGTGATCGACGACCGTTGCTACTATCTTCCCCTTCGTCATTATTTTGACTTTGTTTACGGGGGGAAGCTTGGGAAACTTCCGAATCGGAGAGATCATCGTCCATAGCTTCATCCTCGCCAGGATCAAAGTCGCTCCCATCATCTTGTTGTTTTCGCGAAAGCTTCCCCGCAGTTTTTCGGCTAGAACGGCGAAGCGGCTGAATCTCCTTTTCCTCTGCTTCCTCATCTCCTTCTACTTCTTCGTCAACATTATCCTCTCTTTTTCGTTGTGGTCGAGTCCTCGTGCCCGATCTTGGCGCTTCATCCTCCTCATCGTCTTCTTCGCCATGTTCGGACTCGGGTACAAATCCTTCGTCAGCCATCTCCTGGTCTTCAGCTGGTTTCTGTGTCCCTGCCGCTGGATGCATCTCATCTGTTGCAACAATCGCAAACAGCTCCTCCTCGAAACCGCTCTCCATAACCTCCCGCGGCGAACCTTCAACAGCGTCTGGGAGTTGTTCGTGCTCGGCTAGGCTCTGCTCAACCTTGGAATCTTCTTCTTGCTCTTCCACGATGGCATCAGCTGTCACGGCTTCTGGTACAGCCTTGCGACTGCGTGTCGTAACTTCAGGGCTACGTGTCCCCTGGCGCACTGTTTCCACGTGGCGTCCGGAGCCAGACAGGGCGACAATATCCTCCGATTCATCGCGGTTCTGGCGTGTAACCCGTCTATTTCCGAAGCGAGCAGCAAATTTACTCTCCGTTTCCTTAATGCTGGCGCTTCTGCCTCGCGTAGACCTAGTAGTACGGGAAGCTGCTGGTGTTTCTTGATGCCGTGGTACAGAAAACTTCAGCAATAACCGGGGCTGGTTGGCACTCGGCTCCGCTTGTCGGGAGGTCTGCTCTTCCTCTTCCTCCTCCTCTTCAGAAAAATCATCCTCCGAACTCGAGTCTATATGAAGCTTTACGTTCTTTGCTGCTTGTCTCTTTATTGAACCCCTTGCGGTCCTCTCCACGTGTGGATTATCTTCTTCATCATCATCCTCCTCGATTTCGTCCTCGATCGACGGCTCGTCCGATATTTCAGATATTTCATCATCGGAGAGTTCTCTTCGTTTCTGCTTTTTAACAGGACGCTTCTTGGACTTCGATTTGGATGCGGGGGCTTTTCGCGATCGCGGCGCTCGGTCATTGTAATCTTCGTCACTCGAGTCCGACCGATTCGCATAGTCCTCTATGGTCCGTTTTGAGGCGCGCGGCATGGTTAGAGCGTTATTAAAGACAGTTCAGAGGACTCTTTTTCACAATGGCCCTGTAAGCAGCATGCGCAACAATGAATGCAAACATCAATTTGAAAAATTGAAGTTCGAAGATCTGCTCACAGCGAGATATCAGAGATACCGACGAAAAGTAGGTCTAAGTAGCAATGTCATGAGACAGACATCCAACTGGCCGGCAACGCTTCTGTTAAAAGAATAACTTGCGTTAGCAAGGATGAATGAGAAGGCTGGTTTCGTCTGGTATATTGTGAATGGGTTGATCATGAAAAGCGGAGGGCTTGAGTTGCTACCGTGAATGAATATGTTATGGATAAAGGGTGGGAGCAGAACGAAAGAATGGAATGTAGCAACAGTCAAGCAGAGACGGGTCGGGTTGTGAGGTCTCAGCAGTGGGTGCCTGGATGGACGGAGATCAACGGCCACAGGTATCCTCGCGGGCGTTCGGCTGGGGAGGAGGTCTTTCTTCCTGGTGTTGCTTCCTAAGCCTAGCTGGGAGCGGCTGGGTTTTGCTGCAGCCACAGCCTCTAGGCCCAAGGAGGACTAGCGCCACGGTTACCGCTGCCACTTTCTGCCCGATCCGGTTTAGCGCTACCTGCGCTGCCTCGCAACTCCACGCGCCGTCCACCACTGCAGCGTCGCAAACCTTGAAAAGTTGTTTTGTTGCTCCCAAATCAACGCCAACATCCCAAGTCTTTCCATTTCAACTCGCCCACAAGCGCATCACGACAATGCAAGTAAAACCTCCTAAAAGTGAACAGCATGCCTAAATTGCAAAAAGTAGCTCATTTAACACGAAAAACCCCTCAACGGCCCGTCCACTATACTCCTATGAAAACACCTAAATGTGCCTACTCTCCCTCAAGGTAGCTCGATGATCCATGCCAGGGGCACGGAGGCTCAAAAACAAGCTTATCGCCATTAGGGTTGCCGGCCGCCTTGTCGGCACCCGCAGCTTGTTCCATTTTTATGTTCTGGTTGCCTCGAGCCCGTCGAGGAATTGCGGATTTTCCCCGCCATCGATATAGTCATGTGATCTGATTAGTCATGTATTAATGGATTATCACGTGATATCAAAGTTGGGCGGCCAAACCTTTTCCAAATAACCTCCCTCGGCGAACGGTGCTGGGAGAGAGCAATCTTTTGACGGGAGGTCACTTTCTCCCCAGTCGAACGGCTCTGCTAGTTACGGTCATTGCCATGTAAAGAAGCAGGTTCTACGAACACAATGGCTTTTCTAAGATCCTTTGCGCGTTCTGCTTCTGTCAGATTTCATCACCCCGTTTCCTGCAGGTCTTTCGCCACAACTCCCTCAAGATGGAATGCTTCCCAACCCGCTAGCAGCGGTAGCGAGGCCCGTAAAGTAAGCTCCAACATACTCTGGCTCCGTATATATGTACATCGACACTTATCTAAATATGAATAATTTATAGCCGGTCTCGCTCGCCTCGTTTAAGAGGCCCTTGGCAAAGGTTTTTCTTGCCTCGTTTTTAACATATCAAGTCCTTTATTTGATATGGCTTCAGCTCGAAACTCAAGAGTTCGAAGCCGAGATGCAGAGTGTGTCAATTCCCCGTCAGAGTTGGCGGAATTTAGGGGGTCTTACTAATTCAATATCTTATAGGGGAGTTGACGACCTTAGAAAAGCGGGCTCGGGGATTAATTGCCTCGAAAGACTCGAGCAGTTCTAAGTGATCTTGAATACTTGACGCTGAACTTCTGAAGAGTTGCCTTCGGGGGGACTAGGAATTTTGAGCCGCCAGAGCATGAACTGGCTAATCCTAACATATATTGGCAAGGACCCGTGTTTTAAATAAATGTCATGTACCAGTACTGTATTTAAATTATATCCAAAAGGATTGATGCCCCTTACTAGCATACCATCATTAGGCCATCTCTACGCCATAAACGACCAATCAATTCCGGTATTCCGACAAAACATCTTGACCTGCCTCACAATCTATCATCACAGCCATTCCCCCCATTCACAGGAAATCCAATCCGCCACTAATTGTCTCAAGATCTACCCGGATGCTCTCTATATCAGCACCGACTCGACCCGCTATCTCCGCCTTCCGCTGCACGCCCATGTCAAGCCATCTCAACAAGAGGTTCCCATCAACAATTCCTCTTCCGCCGAACCCGTCACTCTCAACCGCCCGATATGCTTTCGGGTTCAATCCACAAGGGTGCTCCATGCTTGTTACCAATTGAGATTGTAACGCCGAAAGGCGGCGGTACGAATCTTCGGTCAAGGGAGTTACGACACCTATCGAGCCTTCCTGGGATGTCACAAGGACTTGATAAGATTTAGGCACATAGTCAACATCCATGTCATCTTCTTCGGGATCATCAGCAGAAGGTGAACTGGAGTGCTCAGGCAGCAACGTCATTGTTGAAGTGAAGTGGCCCGTGTGGAAACTACTGCGATGTAGAAGTCGATCACCTTTCGACGACGTAGGGTCTAGCAATTATTAGGCTAAGGCTGCATATCAAAAATGAGGAGATATAATTTACCTTCTGGGTCGTATTCAAGGACATGAATGGTGCAATCATCATCAGCTACTAAGATATATAGCCTTTTCCCGTCCGGCAAAAAGTCAGCGGCGATGACCTGGAGGTACTCGTTGTCCTTGCCGAAAAGGGTCAACCTGTATGGCTCTTCCTGCAGAGGACATCTAGGTTAGCAGGTAGTCCCGAATTTTAGAGGTTAATGCGATGAAAAAGCTTACAGAATATCCTGCAAACCAAATTCCCTTAAGGGCATCGCCCATGATGCATAATCCGGTTCCCTGGAGCTCTTTCAAGACCTTGACATAACATTGCATATCCATGAATGCTACAGGAAGGAGACTGCCATCCTCCTTGAGGCCACGGACCATACACTTCTGGCCTTGAGCCATGATCAGAAAGCCTTGTCCACCGATGCCAGACACAGCAGTTACTGCGCCTTTAACGTCGTCCTTGGCAAAAATTTTGAGCTTCCGGTTTGTCTCTGGACGATCCGGATCGGGAGCTACTTCAATAATTTCGAAAACGTAAATGGAACCACGGGGAGTAATATCCTCGCCTCGCACTGTGGCAGTTCCTACAACCAGCATATCTTTCATTTCATGTGTGATTTCGGAAATTTCCATATTGATTGTCTTCATACACATGACACGCTCAGCATCGCCAAGCTCGTAACTGTTATCAGGTAAGCATAAGACCAAGATCATTACAAGTTACACTCACCTATCAACGACAGACCACGTTCTAGGACTAAGCAGCTTTATACACCCTCTTTCTAGCTGTGGCATAAATGAAATAACTAGAGATGATGTCAGCTAATGATTAACGAATCAAAAATGTTGGCATACCTTCACTTCGCCATTCGGGATGTATTTCGTCATCTTCTGGAAGTTTGAAGTCCACTTTATGGCTGCTCCCCAATGCGTAGATCTCTGAATGCGCAAAATATTCCACACAATCTATTTGGTCTCCAACATGCACTTTTCGTGTGACCCACGAATTGTCAAAACGAGTATTGCTCGGTAATCGACACATTCGAACCATGTTCTGTATCACCAAAATCAGCTTATTCCAAGGAGCGAAATATTCTTTTGGCACACATACGCTTGCATCGACGTAAGCAAAACCTTTCTCGCAGGCCGGAATGTGGAAGCTGCTAAGAGAGGAGACGGCCTCCCCCCTTAGTCTCAAAACGTGAGGAGAGCTCGTAGAGGATTTCATAACAAAACATGGATTTGAGCCAGACATAAAAACAGTTTTATAACCACAAATATCAGAGTATGCACGCAAAAATTTAGAATGAGGCATATATGCCTTCGGCGAAGGGTCAAATCTGGGCAAGAAATGGTCAATTATCTTCACAAATCGAAGTTCCGGTTTGTCCAAAGAGGTTTTCGGATGGTATGGCTGATATAGTATAAGGTCATCGTTTGCTGTTCGTAACTGTATGTACACTATTAACCTTGCGGCCGGGTGAAATAATAGAGGATCACATACTATCATATAGGGCTGCCTGCTGATAGAATCGCCAAGGTCCGCGATCAATACTTCCGATAATGTTTCACGATATGTCACTCGTTTAGGAGGTGGCTCGCATGAAAGAATAAGCGGCAAAAGGTCCACGCCGTCGACGGAGCAGAGTGGTTCCGTAAGTGTAGGGAGGGAGAATATCTAGACCAGGTCAGCAACCACATTATCGGCGCGATATCTGGTCGCTTACGAATAAAGTATGGTCTGCTCGTAGAAGAACTAAAAGAATGTTATCGGATAACGGTTGATCTTGGCCTTTGGTCGGGACAAAGGTATGATATTTATCAAGGTAGAGACAGCCAGACAGCCACCTATGGGAGCTCAAAATTCCGTCGATGTTGACTTCGTCCAGATCCCCACTCTTGTCCGCTTGAAGTAAGAGGAGTGACTGATCGTCTCGGACAATCAGGACATATGGTTCAGCAAAACTAGCGCTTACGACAGAGAGCTCGTCGCTGGTATCTTCGTCCCAAATGGGGTAAATTTGGGCCAACTCAAGATCTAAACCGGCGATTAGCAATAGAGAAAGGTAGCGTCCGCACGAGAGAATCTATTGATGCACTTACTAGTATCATAACTCCGGACCTCGGATTTAAGCACTTGAACTACTCTAGTTCCGCCAGCGAGCGTGCCGATATCCACAGTCGAATCCTCATTGGGATTAAATTCCGGAGCTTTCATTTCCTCAATTCCGCTGCCACCAACCGAGTATACAACCGATTGCTCCTTCCCGGGCTCTGTTGATTTCGAGAAAACCAGATACTTATCGTAATTGCGTGAGGAAGTTCGTGTATTTGTGGAGTCAGGGGCCCCGACTTGAATCGACCAAACTCCGTCGACGTTATCCATTTTCATGGAGTCGATAACATACGGATCCAGCTCCCGTTGTAGAACCGCGAGACCGCCCGCATTACCTTTCCCTTGAGTGACAACAAGTTCTAAATCAGCGGATGTTCTGGACGATGACTGCTTTCTGTTTTTATCATGCGAGCCAGGAGGCCTTCCCAGGGTTACATCGCTCATTGGGCCCAGGTTCCATAATCGATCGTGCGAACGGAAAACAAAATCGTCCTTGTTCAGGCCGTTTGTCTGCGAGGTGGTTTTGGAGAGCGTAGTTTGGTTGACCGGAGTGGAGTACAAATCATCTTCATAAATGTCATCCTCATCATCCTCTGTTTCAGAATGATCTCCAAATACATCGTCGGCCGACTCTACTTTCGGTTTTCTCATCGATTGCGAGGGACGACTCCATCCTATCAGAAGAGAATCGGTCTCCTCGCTTCCAAAAAATACTTTTCCCCTGCCCAAACTAGCCGAACAGGAAGGTCTCGCTTTCAGAATGGAACCTCCAGCTTTTTCAGAGACCAATTGTGCTGAGATCCCAGACACAGAACGCCCATCGACTTTGAGTCGTAATATAGCCATCTTGCCATCTGCTAAAACCAGCAATATGTCACCGCTGTCGGTTCCCAGCTGTTCAACCACACAGCCCTCAAGACGTAGTCCTAGATCTGATTGATCCACCATTGAGAACGCAGATGCCTGTCGAGCAAACTCATTTATGCCAACGGCATTGGTTTTACCCGCTTGGTCGACATGGATTAGCTCATTGGACCCAATCAACAGGGCGCCTCCGATGGGAGGCGGGAGGGGAACGACCTTCCATAGGTCACTCGGTAATCGCGAGACTGTAATGAGGGTTGTGGATGCCCGTTGTTGTATATCTAGAGTAAACACAGCATATGAAACTATGTCTTTTCGGTCATGGAGAAGAGCGGATGAGGTCGTAAGATGAGAATAGAGGATGCCAAACGTAGGTTCTCTATACTCATATAAAAATGCGAGGTGTATCGGATGGACAAGAGCAGGGTCCAAGGCGGTCAACGGAAGCACAAAAGAGGATGCATAGGGTGTTTTGTACATTGTCGTATCATTTGCAACGGCGGCTTGTGCAGGGATATTGCTTGCTCCTTCCGGCTTCTCGTCTAAGTCTTCGTCGAACTCATCCATGACGAGGTCATCGCCTGTTTGGTGAAAGGGAAGAATGGCGACGCTATGAATGCCGAAATTCAAAATGGCGCACCTGCTGCTTGGATCCACTGCCAGAAGGCTCGGGCAAAGTCTTAGATCTGGCGTCCAGGGGCTGCTGTGCACATCTTCTCTTTCATAATAGTGAATGGATATGGTCGATATTCCATGTCTTTCATGGTCCCACTCGACGAGACTTAGCTTCGCATTTCGGGTTGAAACTAGCAGCGCCTCTCCACCGCTTCTTGAATCGAGAATTTTCACTCTCCCCAAGCCGGTTATTGTCCCGGAGAGGTCATATTCGGCAACCAAGATTAGTTTGGTATATTGCTGCCTCTCAACTCGGCCTTTGTCATCCGCATTTGGAGGTGCGCTTGTCCCATAGGCGACATTCACCAACGAGAAGACTTGAAGTATTGACGTCTTTGCGACTATCAAATTGTTGGATGTCGCTGACAAGAAAGGCAGAGAAATGGCATGGGTTACCCCCGAAGGAGGAAGCAATTCCGTATAGCACTGCATGCTTAAGTCCGAAGCTCAAAGCAAATCCGTAAGACCACACATCCAGCTCATGAACTCCAAACCATCATCCCGTCTCAATGCCTCATCTCCGTGAGAGAGATTGTCAAGGAAGCTTTGTCATTGGATGCTTTTTACTCTGCAAGCCTAGCTAACGGACAGTTTTGGCCTAGCGTAAGGCTGCTATAACTAACCAGCGTTGACATTACGTAAGCGATAAAAATCCTTAGTCATCAACTCTGGATCGCGTGACGCCTTTTTGTTCAACCAGAAGATGACGTCGAAATCAGGAACACTTCTCCCCGGCTACGGTTCTCACTGCCCATCGGGCCATCCTCTCTTCTTAACACGCCTTCTCACGCCATGCGCAATTGAATAGCGGCATCGCCAACTTCAATCAGGAGGAAGGATCAATTGCTGCCAGACCATTTAATTGATACCCAAAATGGCACTCCTCCACTCCACTCTGATTTGGATTGTATATGCAATCGTTGTCGGCATTCTTAGTATCGTTGCGTCAACTTTTGTTTACATTTATCAGACTCCTCGCGATCGCTCGGCGGCTGTTACCACTGTTTGCATATTTACACTTACAGCTTTGTTGGCGACTGTGCTTCTACTACCTGTGGATGTTGCCTTGGTGTCTTCAACGACATCGGAGTTCGGTCGAAGAAAAGACTGGGCGACAGATCATGAGGTTGAGAAAATCACATACTCATTAACCGTGGTATACTACTTCCTATATTCGCTCGACGCGGTTCTTTGCCTCCTGATAGTACCATTCACATATTTTTGGTATGAAGAATATGATGAGGTGGCATACGAGGATGATGGACGATTCACTAGAAAGCCATTCTGGGGTGCCTTCAAATATACCCTCGTATTTATTTTGTTGACGATAATCTTGTTCTTGGTTGGCTTTTTTGTGCCGGTGGCGAAGGATCGAAAAGGTGCCCATTTTGATTTAGACTACTTCAAGAGGCTTCTAACAGAGAACCGTGCGTACCCGTTCATGTTGTTCGCACCTAGAGGAAACTGAGACTAACAAAGTAACATGTAGATGGCGAGAGGGCTCTGACATTTGCTCTGGGCCTTCTGATAGTAATGGGCATCATTGTTTATGTTATCTATTCATCTACAGGACTCGCCTTCTTTCCGATATCGTTCATCAAGTCTTCCCCGTCGATCTCTAGTCCTATGCTCAGCGCCAACATCGAATCCAGATTAGAGGAAAACATTGAGCGCCAGCGCCAGCTTGAGGGTCGCTGTGGTGGAAACCCGGACCATCTGTCCTCTAAAGACCGGAGGGAGCTTGATTCCTTAGTTCGAGAAGAACGAACATTGCGCCGCCGCAAACGCCTTGCGGAGGCTTCTCGTGGACAAGGGAGAAATTTCGTCATTAAGGTCTGGTACAAGCTTGGTGCGGTATTCCGACCAATAAAGCTCCTCGGAGGACTTCTTCTCTTAGCGATCTCCGTCATGATCTGGATTTCGATGCTCCTTACCTGCATCGATAAAGCGAAAAATTCCGTTTGCAAACAAAAGTGCGGCTACATTCTAGGAAAAATCAATATTATTAATCCAGTTAACTGGGTGCTGGTGGAAGCTGCGAGTGTCTTCCCTGCGGATTATGTTATATTTATTGTCCTGGTCCTCCATTTATTTACCAGCTCTGTTGTTGGCATTGCAACAATCGGAATCCGATTCTTGTGGATCAGGCTTCTTCAAATTAGAAAAGGCCACACATCACCCCAGGCGCTTCTTCTCGCAACAGTGATGCTCACGCTTATCACGCTTGCTCTCAACTACTCGATCTCTATGATTGTCGTTCCACAATACGCAACGTACGGCCCACAGACGTTTTGTGATTACCCATCCATTCCTGCCTCGGCACCTTTGGACTGCTCAAAACATAAGGAGTACCTAAAGCCGTGCTCTGAACTCGCGAACAATCCCGCGGCCAAAGCTGTCTGCACTCCAAGTGTCGCTAGCACGTTCCTCAATCGAATCACTCTCAACTTTCCTTTCTTTGGGATTGTCGATTTCTGGGCTCAGTTTGTTTTTCTAGGTGAGTGCGCGTACCAATGCACAAGATACCCCGTTTAACCGCTTTAATATTAATTTATTATCGATAGGATTCTCCCTCATCGTTCTTTTGATTTCGCTATTCCGTACACCTAGGTTTGATGAGCAGCAAATGGATGAAGACGCAGAGGAAGCCGAGGAAGAAGGTCTCCTTGCTGCTAGCGGAAGTCGATTTAATGCTGCCTGGCAGGACACCACTGGGCGAACACGCGATCAACGGGTGAGATTTCGTGATGACGAATGAAATGTATCTTGGTGTGGAGTTGCATTTTGCACTCGCAAGATATTCGCGTCAGCCTGGTTTGCTTTATGGGGTCTTAATTCGGAAGACGGAGCATGTGCATTGGCGAGGGATACGGTATGACACGGTTACTGGTGGATTATGGATTAAGTAAATAAATGACATAGGATTAGGAAGGGTGGGAAAATGGCAGCCTGCTTCACTACGGGAGGGATGAGCATGAGGTTATGCATGTCGACATATACGGTTCAAGGGGACCGTAATGGCTCTTATGACGGACTCTGACTTGGGGTAATTGAGCGCTAATTAGTACAATCCCGGAATATAATATAAAGAGTTCCTTTTACCGCCTCGTCATGCTTCCATAGCCGTTCTCCTAAACTCCACTGCCCGATGGCCCCTCTCATCTGCATTCCCTTCGACAAGGTGCATTTCCTTCCAGCACCTAGGGCAAAAAAGCGGCAAGTCGTAACAGTCAAGGCATTTTAATTTCGCGTCATCACTGCAAATGCAACACCAGGTTGGCTCTGACTCGTCCGGGTCAGTAAAGATGTTCCTTCGGTTTCCCAGTGCCGTTAGGGAATATGTTGTTGGATTTGATATAGGCACACAGGGAAGATCAAGAGGGTCGCTTAGTTCTCGTCCATTTTTCTCTTCATTATCGGTTCTTGCTCGGCTTTCGGCCAGTGGGTCCGCCCCTGGGCTTTCCTTCGGATGATCATCCGGAGCAAAATCCGGAGTTCGTAGCTCATCAAGAACATTTTGAATGTAGTCTTCGGCCTCCTTCTCTTCAGAAATGTGGTTGGAGCACCGGCTAGGACTCTCCAGTCGTTTGGCTATCGCTTCATCGCCACCCCTCAAGAGCTGGTAGTGTCGGTCAGATATTGCAGATTTGAAGGGGGATCATGATAGTAAGTACAAATTTTTTAGCCTCATCAACCAGGCTTTTGATTTCATTTTCAGCTTGAAGTTCATGTTCTAGTTTCCATGTCTCCCTTGATCTTAGATCCGCGAGAAGGTCTTCGACGTCCTCCTCTGGCTGGCCTGGAACTGCATGAGACACTATGCCTCCAAGATTCTTGAATCTCGCAGACAAGAGGTCGACTTCGTTGGCATCAGGCTTATCGTCCTCACAACGGTCATCATCATCATCGTCATCATCACTTGGACCGCCCAAATCCCAAGATAACCTGCTATGGTAATTAGTGTCCAAAAAGTACTTAATAAGTATAGCCATGACTAACTTGTTAGGCTCGAGTTGGATAGTGGAAGGCTTCAGAGCATTTAACCGCTGCAGGAGGTCCTTATCGGCGTCAGACGGCTTTTCGTCCATGACTGCTACATTATAAGAGTATGTATATAGAACTCATACCCGGCGCCTACCGACAAATAATAGCCCACGAGCCTGTAACGGGGTGGGAAGCTTCAATGTTTCAATCATCCCACCAACCATGACAATGCCATGCTTGGCGGCTGAAGATGACGTAAGGAAGTATGCCATGCATCCAAATTGTACCACACCATGTGCCTGAAAGGATGGAAAAGGCATTTACATTTTTCAATCATCCCGCAAAAGGGCTAACGCGTTCTCAAATGCCCTGACAACATTCGCGTCTGTGGATGCATTGTTAGTATCTCAAATACTGTCAGAGCGCAGCACCATCTCATACAATGTTGCTTTTTATCCTCTAACCGCTCCTCTGAGTTTTGTACGTAGTCCATCCTGGTTTTGAATCTGTGTCTTGGTTAGTGAATTAATCTCATTTCCATTGACTGGCTCAATAACGGGAACAATGGCACCTTTTATAAGCTCGATCCTCATCGGAAAAGACTGTAGTTTGCGACCATGCAATGAATACCTGATTTCAATGTCAACGATAGGTTGAGTTGATGTAGTTATATCCACAAACCTCAAGTAAATCCGCGGTCTCCTTCTGAAGCGCATTCTCCATATCAGATCGTTCATCCATTGCCTCTATAAATCGCTCTTGAAGCTGTTCCCAAGTGCAGTTGCGAAGGGACTGCGCCAAACCGTCCCATTTGCCAGGCTTGATATTTGCTGACGTAGCGATTTGGTCTTCTGAATTTTCCAAGTTCAATTCTCCGTCATTCTTGTTCGCTTTGGTGGTGTTGTTGTCCGTAGAAGGGGGACTGTTGCTTTTGGAGGCTGATTTCGAACGGGAATGTAGGGTTGGAGGCATGTTGGATAATTATAATAGTTATATGATGACAGAGAAGCTCAAAAGCTTGATATAGTTATCTTGATGAGGTGAACTCCCAACAATTAGCATTTAATGGGAGGTTCTCCGTTGATAGGGATCGTGCATCTATCACTTCCACTCCAAATGGAAGACAGACTTGATTATCAAGTTGGTCAGCATCGCTGGGGGGCTACCTGGGGCGCCACGGGGTTTGAGGTAGCACCCTGCCTTGTCTTGACAAACAAAGCAAACAATCCCGAGGAAAGTAGGTCAGGTGACATCATCTATGGGAGTCCAGTTCTACCGTGTGACTTTAGCACCATAGCCATTTCTATCATACATTTCAGCCTAACTGAGAAAAGGGAGAGATATTGAACGTACCTCTTTTTACAGTAACTAGCTGATGACTATAATGACATTGGAGTGGTGGGCTTGGGCAACAAAGACACGCATTAATTGTTCCTCTTGCTCCTCCGTCTCTGCCTACAATATCACTCCTCAGCTCGAGTGAGAACAGGAAAAGAGCATGGAATCCAATTCTACTTCATGACCACTCTCAAACAGTCATATTTAACCTATTATTTGCTATGATTTGCCAGGTGTGCCATCGTCCACCCGACTCTTCACTTCCATTTTACTGTCCGAACTGCGCTCGCAACCGGCTGTACCCGCTCCGTTTTGACCTCGCAAAGACGTTGCTGGAGAAAGAAGCAGCAGGCCAGAAGATTGAGAAGGCAGTTAAAAATGCGGCCGGCTTCGAAGGGATCGCGCCCGAGGGGTCAGGTCAGTCGAAATCGACTCTGGACGAGCCCTCCAAGATAGCCATCGAAACGATGCGCACCCTTAAGACGCAGTCGGAGATTAGAACAGAGGCCATACAAGTCCAGATTGCCAAACTTAGACGGGAGATAGAGGAAGGAAAGCAAGAAATTGCGAAACGGCGGGCCGCACTCGCAAAGCGACGCTCTGACGCCGAGGCGGTGAACTATCAACTCTCACAGCGACGAGCTGCTATTTTGAATAATGTGCAGAAGGAAATCAAGAAGACAGAAAATGCGTGGAATACCCTTCATTCGAAAACCGCTGAGTCTAGAATGTTTCTATGTCGTGAGGTAGCCAGCCTCTATAATCTCCGACAGAAGACTAGGAGGAGAAACGGGGAGATCATAAGTACATATTCTATTGGTGGTGTGAATATGGTTGATCCTAGGGATATGAACAGTAAGTCCATGGATATTGCAATAATATATTCTTTCTGAGAAAGCCCGGCGTTTTGACCAGGAACCAGACGCGAGTCCGGCTCAGATTACCACGTCGCTTTCGCATATCGCGCACCTGCTGGTGCTTGTTTCGCATTATCTTGCTCTACGTTTGCCAGCCGAAGTTATTCTTCCACACCGCGGATATCCTCTACCCACAGTATTTCCTCCGGGGTCATCTTACATCGCAAAGGACATCCCGTTTCCTGGCCTGTCTCCTTCGAATTCTTTCGGCCCAACCGCATCAAAAGCGCCCGATCCTCGGCCACTCCCGCGGCCCCGGCCGCTTTTCCTCGACCGCAGCCTTCCTAAACTTTCCAAGGAAGATCCTGGTGGCTATGCTCTTTTCGTCGAAGGGGTTGCTCTTCTAGCATGGAACATATCATGGGTTTGCCGATCACAAGGTCTACATATTGGACAAGATTCTTGGGAGGATGTCTGCGAGATGGGGCGAAACCTCTGGCAGCTACTAGTTGCACCGCCAGCGCTAACAAAAGCCCTGGCCGGTCGAGACTTGCAAGCAAAGCCTCCAAGCAATAAGGACGCGCCTACAAGAGGAGGCGCGCTTCATCGGACGAGATCGCTTCCCTTGCTAGGGCACTATTCTCACGGCACAGCGCATTCCTTCCTTGGAAGCGCTGAGGGACTTGAGTTTATGAAAACTTGGAAACTACCATCTCCCCTCAAGGTTGCCGACAAGTTGAAGTCCACTCTGCTGAGCGAGATGGCCACGACGGAGTGGGAGCTCCTCGAGGAGGATGAATGGGACGAGGGTGGCACGCCGCAACCAGAAACCGAACAAAATGACGGGCACGTTCTCGTCGCAACCAGGCAGGCGCGCGACAACGACCCTGGTAACGAGGATACGAGGAGTATCCTCACGGCCAGAACGGTAGTGGATGAAGAATACAATGAAAGAGCGCGTGGGGAGCGGGGGCAAGCAACCGCTTCCAGTGCCAGGCCAAAAGGGACGAAAGGGTGGACCAAGGTGAAGAGCAGATAACAGCGTCTCTTCTTTTACGGCGCATCGACCCGAGTTTCTTGGGGCTTTGGACGATCATCTATCCTTCGATATCGGCACTGATTAGTGTGATGCGTCCATCGCGAGTCTTTTGGCAGAGAAGTCGGCCAACCGTCATCAGGATGTCGAGAGCGAAAGAGGTAATAAATCCTCCAGTGCGGGGGGAGTGTGGGTATCCGTCTTAATGGCGCAACCGGGATCAACGGAGGAATCATCTAGACCTTCAAGAAAGAAATGTATATGTACGTATTTTCGGAGACGGCTTCTTTTGCCCTGTGCCCTATGGATATTTGCGATGACCCACACAGGCGCCACTCCCGGGAGAATTGGGATATCCGAAGCCTTTGCCGCGTCTACATATCCGTAGAACTTTTTTCTTTTTTTTTTTTTACTTTCATCGCGTGGGCTAATCGTGGGGCGGGTGTGATCAGAGATTTTCCATCGTGGGGTCCGATGCCGGATCCGGCGGGGCAATATTTTGCATGCGGTCTGGAATTTTGAGGACGTTTGAGGTGTTCATTCCATGGACAGTGAGAGAATTTTAGCAGGAACCATAGAGCAGTGTTGTATTTCGCAATTTTTAGGAAAGGTATGGAGTAGTGTGAGCTGGATCAAGGGGTGTTTACAGCGCTGAAAAGGACCGTGTGTGCTCTGCAGGGTGATTGTATGCAGTGTTGGTGACACAACGGCGAAGGCATCACGCGAACCTGATAATATTACGTAGGTAGTTAATTAAGGTACTTTTTAATTTTGGGATGAAGCACTTCTATCTCATGCATATTTGAACAACTTGGATGGTCTCGGATGATCGATTACCGTTCGCACTGAAATATACATCTCCGACGTCCACTCCGACCCTCAAATCTACAAATTTCCCTTTGGCTCGCTTATTCGGAGCTGCTTTTACGTGATTTGGCCGAGGACCGTTTCGACGAGCGGTGAAAGGGAGAGGAAAATGATAGGACGGAAATAAGAGGAACCCGGAACTAAAAGAGCAGAAGAGGAGAGGCATCTTTCTTTGGATGAGCGGTGTCCAGAGTAGAACTGAGCATTTTCTCTCAAGGGAGAAAGTTGGGTTTGGATTGTGTGTTAGTGACAGGGAAGGGTGTGGCAAAATGGCCATGGAGAATACTCTTTCCCTATCCCTTCCGCTTTCGACGTCCCTTGGGACTGGTTCCGCGGGAACTGGTCTTGGCTTGTGAGACAGAGGACATGAACCCCATCGCAGATGTACTTTGGCATCGTGAATTAGATATAGGTTACCATGCGAATGAGGTGTGGAAAATGGCCAATCTATACTGTTCTGTATATATCAAGAAAGAGGGGTTGGGGGCCTCTGCGTAGAGGTGAGGGCTGATTGACAGGGCTCTGGGGTCTACTGAATGCCTCAAATAAACGAAGAGCACCAACAGGCTTCATCTTGGCTGCTCACTTCGTCTGACAAGAACGCACAGTCAACTGTGTTTCAACGTGGACAAAAATTCTGGGGGCCTGAGGAGCCGAGGGGCTGATCCGCCCCTGACCTCCCGCCAGCAAAGACGACGATGGTCGAGAGACTGCAGAGGGGCGATACGGGTCAGCAACGGGGCAATGTGAACCAGATCGGCTGATGGAGAAATGCTCCAGTTGAGTCGTGCCTCGTGCTGTCAAGTCTAGCATCCGGAGTCTTTGAGTGCGTCGTCAGTTACCCCAGCGGAAAGATGGATGGAACGGAAGCAAAAGTGTTCCTCCATCCGCCGTGGTCCGTTATCCTCTTGTATGAAAAAAGTGCTCCGTTTGCCTGGCCGCCGCCTGGTGCCAGTCGGGCGTTTCTCTCCCACACCGTGGCAGCACCCTAGCTGTCAGCGTTTCAGAGTTTGCACATGTCAGCCCACAGAGCAGCCTACCAGCGGATGGCTTGGCGCTGGTTGCGTCTTGGCCGGTCGGCGCTAAGCACGCGAGGGGGCTCGAACTTTGGACGTACATAGCCCAGTGCGCAGCCGGAGCTTTTTTTGGGCGGTTCTCCGGTGGGGCGAGGGCCAGGCACAAACATGTCGCAGCCACTCGTTTCTCTCCAAGGCTCGAAGGTTTGCGAGGTGTTCCCTGGTTGGTCTCAACGTGCCTGGAAGCAAAACCATGGGTGTGCATCGTCGTGGAAAGGGGGCAAAACAAAAGAGCGATTGCTTTTTTAACGGGTGGCCGTGCGATGAGCTGCGAGTCTCCATAGTCCTTCTCTCACGAAGAATTTGTCAAATACGGAGTAGTGGACTTGGCGCCGAAACTCCCTGAGCCGCTGGGCAGTTGAAATGATGATCATCCAGGGCTATTGAATCATCGACTGCCACCTTTCTCGATCCAGCAGAATAAATTACAGGCCGTTCAGCGTCACGTTTCGTTTCACCAGAGTTACACTGACCAGTAGGAGTCGTTGGTATCACGTGAGCAATTTAAAAAACTTGCGCTGATAGGCTGAACTGGGCTTGGGTAAATTGAGAGTTACAGGGTCAGTACCGTTTGTTACCCGCCCAGCAGCGCTTTTATCCAACCATCGGTTCCCATACGCCTCATGGCAACCGACATCCAACAGACAGGAATCCGCTGCTGTTGACATTTGGTAGTGGATACCATGGATTGCAGTAGAGTGAACATACAGCACAAAACTGGTGAATATCGCGAGTAAGAGAAGAGGATAAATTCTGCTGTGGCCTGTGATGATGTGTGCATGTGTGTGTGTGGGTGTGGAAATTAAAGGCAAACCTCACTCTCCGTTCTGTTCCTTGGGTGAAGTTATGGTGGGGAGACGGCGGCCACACGGGGCCTCTCCCGTAACCTGTTGACTGGCGCACTCCATACTGCGGTAACTTCGAGTATGTCGGGTGAATGTCGAGGCTCGCTGGACTGGGTCGACATGGAAGCCAAGGCCCCTGCTATGTGCCTGGTTGCTGGCGGTTCTCCACGTCCAACCCAGGCCCGGCCCTTGCCCAGCCCAGTCCAATCCAGGAACCGCCTCCCTCCCCTTTAAAATTAATCCCATCCCTCCTCGCGCCGCCCATCTCCTCTCGTCTCCTCTCCTCCCTCCCCTTCTCTTCTTCCTTTGCATTTCCGTCTGCTTCTCAATCACCCTGCGCAAGAGGTTCCTTGCTCTGTCACTCTCTTCAAGGCTGTCTTCAACGCCTGTCCACTCCTTTCTGGGCCTCTTATACTCCAACACTGGTCGCTCATTCGCTGGGATCCTCCTCGCAGTCGGAATCCTCCACGAGAACCAACACAACCACACCCATATCACTCACAGTATCAAAAGGCATTCAGTCTCCTGTAAGTTAACACCTTCTGCAATCGCAGATGCACTTCAATTGCTGCTTCGCTCCGATCTTTCATGTCCCTGTACTCACTGCCATGTGATTCTCTCTACATTATCAACCTCACTTCGCTCCAATCCTTCACTTTTGTATTTTTACTTTGTTCCAATCTTTTTCCTTTGTATTCTCACTTCTCTCGCATCCCTCTTTCACTCTAGTCCACTTTGTTTGCAAATTGTCCTCCTTGCACAATCGCACTTACAGCTGGGCCCTGGCTGCGCGGCGACCATTTAAACTTAATCCTTCTTATTCAGCTCAGAGTTCCAGATCTGTTCTAACCTGGGAATCGCGTAACAGACATCTTGCGGACTGATCATTTTCTGCCATGCATCTTAAGCTCGCTGTTGGAGCTGCTCTTGCAGCATCCATCTCCACTGTCTCTGCTCAGGCTTGCTCTGACGGCAGTGCTCAACAGTTGGGAGGCAACTGGTATTGCTCCGCTGTTGATTCGATCGCTTACACCAATTTTGGCTCCTCCGGCAGCTATGACGAAGTCACCCAGATGGGCGGAGGAACATGTGCCTCCAAGAAGAAGGAATTCAGTGGGCCACTTGCTCCTTTGGATGGCGAGGTATGGTTGGCCCATGATCCATCTCTAACATCGAATCTTACCGTGGCTTCCGATATAGGTGTCCTGGCATTTCCGTGGCCCTCTTCACTTAAAGAAATTCGCTTATTATACCCTTGGCTCCGGACTCAAGCCTGACACAAAACGCAGCTTCCATGCACGCCGCCACGGACACGGCCACATGCACCGCAGAGCCGAAGAGAAACGTGCAGTTGGTGACATTGTTACTGCCACTATCAACGGCGAAGTTGTCACCTGGGCCAACGAGTATGACGGCGGTGCTGCCCCTACTCCTGCTCCGGGCTCTTACAAGGGCTCCGACAAGGATTCTAAGGGCTCCGGTAAGAAAGGTGGAGATACTCGCAAGAAGACTCCTGAATTCAACGCTGGTATCGGCAAATGGGGTCGCCAAGGTTATTATGATGCTGAGAAGGGTGTTGCCGATGGCCTTACTTTCCTCAACCACAACGGTGGTCAGGGATCTGGTGTCTTTGACTAGTAAGTTGCATACCCCAAAGTAGCTTCGAACCTCGTGGATCTGACTCGCTCATCCAGTGACTTTGGAAACTCCCTCTCCTATGCTTCTGAGGATGGTCTGAGCGGTGCTGCTTCTCCCTGCGTTTTGAAGGATAATTTGATCCCCGACAACAAGGAAATTATCATCATGAGCGACAAGGAATGCAACGGTGACTCTTGTGGAACTGTCCGTCCTGGAACTGTTGCCTACCGTATGTCTTCTGTGTCACCAAAACGACGGAGGGAGCCCCACTAACCTGCTACTTAGATGGCTTCGATGGCGCAAGCAAGCTCTTCCTCCTCGAGCTTTCCATGCCTTTGAGTGGCAAGACCGGCTTTAACATGGATATGCCCGCTGCTTGGATCCTTAATGCTGCCATTCCTCGTACCCTTCAATATGGCAAGGCCGAATGTTCCTGCTGGAAATCTGGCTGTGGAGAGTTCGACGTTCTCGAGATCCTCGATTCTGGAAACACTAGAGCCAAGTCCACCATCCACGCAAACATCTCTGGCGGTGACAGCCACTTCTTCAATCGTCCCACTGATAAGCCAATCAAGGTCGCAGTCGTCTTCAACGCTCTTACCAGCAGTGCTCACATCAAAATCTTGGACGATGACGTAGAATTCGCTCCCGTTATCGACTCCACCGAGGTTACCAAGTTCTGCATTGAGGCAACTCTCAACTCTATCTTCCACCTCGGCTCCTAGATGGATCGCCACCACAGCTGGACTTAACCAGGATCGTGCGAATAAACAATGTTAAGTGCTCCAGGTGTGCACACTTGACAATAGACCACATCGTTCTCGCTTTGAACATTCTCGTGATGAGGTTCCGCGACTGGTGCTGCCGTGCGTCGCTGGTATTGATATCCATACCTTTTTTTTTTTTATTCTACCCGTTTATTTACCCCAATAAGTATTTTATTTATTGTATATGAAAATGCGCTCTTCTGGATCGCCTGAACTTGCAAATGAGGGTCTCCCGTGATTTTCCATGCGGCTGATTCGGCTATGTCCAGATTTGCGTTTCCCCGTTTATAAAGACTCTACAGTCAACTGGAGTTGCATGCTTTGCCTGTACTTTACACTCGATTTTATTTTCACGGACATGCTTCTGGGCTGGAGGGGGCGCGGGCGGCTTTAGCTATTAACTGGGATTCCTTTTTTTTCAATCTCCTATTGCCTTTTTCTTTTTTTTTTAAAAGAAAAACATCAGAGGAATAACGAATAGCATGTGATAACACTCTTACAGTATCTTGTCACTCTGAGAAAGTCAAATGGTGCTTTTTCTCTTACTGTGCTAAAGCTCTTGTTCTCGCAAAAGAGGGTCCCAAAGCCCTACATCACCCCTCGCGTATGTATGTACGTTAAGTGATCGGGTTGGCTACATGCTAGCCTCTCCGCATAATGCTTGTTATTTTAGTACCTATGTAATTGATTGTGGGTGGTTGAATTCGTCGTCCAGGGATCAAATATCCTAGTTGATTAATTACGTGCTCGGAGGTTAGAGTTTGATGTGAATTTTAGACAGTCAGGGGTGATTGTCACTGTTTCACAGCATATTGGCGTTTCTTCTTCTTTTTTCTGATCACAGCTGCAGTTCTGACGCTCATGCTTTGTCTCAGCCAATTCCGGTTGACTGGTCAACTGCAACATTACTGCCATTACTGCCTTATGTGCGGAGTACATTCTTGGCTTCATCCAGCTTCTCATAAGCTGGACACTCTCATACCTAAATGGTTTGCCGTGCGTACATGTCCCTATTGTCCAAGATTCCACCATGATTCGAATACACGCTTCAATCCGAAGCGCTCGTTCGAAATCCCCAAGGCATCTGATAACAGCCCAGCTCCTACTCTCTCACCGACACTCCCACACAGCATCTTCCCAGACCCCCATGAAGATTTCTTCCGCTACACCACGGGCCGCTGGCTCTGGAATGAGGAAGAGCAGCTCCGCAAGCGCTATCGACGCTTTAATGTCGAAGAACTTCAGAATGCCGCTGCCAGGGCGCTGGGAGGCACATCCAGATGCATCCAATAAGTAAGGACCCCGAGACCAATTTGCACAAAACGTTTCAATTGCAAATGGATGATGGGAGGGTCGTTATGGCGAGAATTCCTCATCCCAATGCGGGTCCTGCTACGTACGCGACGGCGTCAGACGTGGCGGTGATGGAGTTTGTAAGAAGTCCTATGCTTAAAAATAACGGGATCATACTCAAATGATGCTTAATTCTAGGCGAGGACCGTGCTGGATATACCTGTTCCGAAGGTTTTGGATTGGAACGCGTCGGTGGCCGGGTACCCCGTGGAAGCGGAGTATGTTCTCACCGAGGCGCCGTCGGAAACGCCTCTGGGAGACTTATGGTCCAAGATGAAGCCGTCAGAGAGGAAGAGCATTATCGAAGAGGTTGTGGAGTTGGAGCAGAAGCTGCTTTCCGCCGAGCTTAACCTGTATGGAAGCTCCGCTGTGGGAAAGTTTGAAGGGCAAATGAGGATGCTAACTGTGAATGCTAAGCTCAGGATCTATCTACTTTGCGGACAACGGCTTTGCGGGCTCTAAGCCTGCGGAAATTATCAGAAATGCGCCGTCGAGCATCAGAGACTTGGCCAAAAACCGCTTCGTGATTGGGCCAAGCGTCCACTGCGAATTTTGGGAGAGACAGAATGATGAAATGAATATAGATCGTGGACCCTGTGAGAAAAAGGTTCCCGGAGTATACAATTTTAATGCTGGAGAGTGCATGAGCTGACTATTACGTGAACAACCTGGACACGGCAATCGGCCGAAGAATACGTCAAGGCTATCGCTCATCGCGAGATGGCATGGATACCCAAATATGGGGAGAAGTATCCCCATGACAACCGATACACATATGCACCCAGTCAATCGTCTCCACAGGAACACATCGAACTGCTGAAGCGATATATCTCTGTGGTCCCTATGCTTCTTCCTAAGAGCCCTGAATTGCTTAGGCCAACTTTGCGGAATTTAATCTCAGCGGGCACAGTTTGTTCGTACGGAATGGAAAAATCTCGGGGTTAGTTGACTGGACCTGTAACCCTGTTGCGCCGCTGATTCTCCAAGCACGCAAGCCGTCGTTAGTGTCACATAGAGGGGAAGGCATCAGGGAGCGCCCCGATAACTTCAACGAGCTCGACGAGCACGAACAAGAGAGGATAACGGACAAAATAAAGCGGACTGCTACACAGGATTCGTATATGATGCAGACTAGTTTGGAGAACCCTCTTCTATCCCGAGCCCTAGATGTACCTCAGCGTGAAGTGCTGGGTCACCTAGTTGCCTTTGCCGGTGATTCTTGGAACGCCGATCACGGCTTTATGAAACTTCGAGAATCTTTGCTGAAAGTTCTAAGGCAAACAACACCTGTCCCATATTTACCGCTACTCCCGGATGGCGGAGGTTTTGCTAACTTAAAATCACGAATGACAGACGCTGGGATCTCTTCCGCATGGAGGGACCAAAGCCATATCGTTTCACGGACGAGGAATCGAGCAACACAACAAAGGTGGCGAAGGATTCAACGAGCTCCAGGATTTCTGGGATCTACTGGATGGAGCCGTTGACCGGGAAGGATTCACGTTCCATGAAAATTTCGACGGCGCAATCGATTTTTTCTCCGAAATGCGTGGTGCATGTGATGCCGGAAGGCGAGGGAGAGGATCGCGAAGAATGGGAGCGCTGGACTCAATGGGTCGTCGAGCGTAAGAAGGAGAGGGAGGAGAGGAATAAGTCAGAGTGATCTCTCTCGCTTCGGCGGCTTTTTTGTTGGCGCCTTACTCCCACCAGGCAATAGGGACAACGTTTGGTATGTGTGTAGGTACTCCGTACGTCGTGATTTTAAAATAGTCTCGACGCAATTTCAGCCCAATCTCAGCTCGATATATTGATCTTCTTAATTGGTTTGGTGTTTCCTCTATTCCTAGAACTACTCCGCATAGTAAGGAGGATAACCCTTACTCCGTCCTCGCCATCTTCTTTCTTGGCACAGCGAAATTGAAGCGGAGCGGAAGTGAAGTCTTGGCATCGGAGGGCTAGATTGATGATGTAATCCGAAGCTTAGCTCGCAAACTAAATTTGTGCTGTCGTGGAAGTTCGGGAGTAGAAACCTCAAAAGTACGATAACACTGGCGAGGCCGTTCTGGCAGCAAATTCGCGGATGGACAATTTTTTCCTCGTTACATTCGTTGAACCCACCCAGATCTGGTTATGCTAGTTACGGTTATTTTGTTGGGATTTTTTTGATTGGTCTCTGCGTTCAGCACCGTTTAGCGGTCGTTTCACGAAGTTTTCCGCCCTTCTGCGCGATTTTTCCCGCTACCTGGGTTGGTACGAACCCTGGCTGTGACGATTCAATTTTCGCAGAGTATTAACCTTGATAGCATTGGGAGGGAATTGCCACAGTCCGGCTCTGCGTGCCATTTCTGCGCAGACCTCAGCCCGTTAAATGTTTGTCATGGGCGCATTCACCAGCCGGCGATTGATTTCATAAGACGTCACGCCGCAGACTGGGGCGGAGAATACCCGGTTGCAAAATGCTTCAAGGTACGCCCACCACCCCTCCCCCAGGATTTGTTCAATTGTCGGCCCTCGAACATGGGCGTTTTGATGCCGTTTCTGTCGTTATCCCGCTACAGAGACCGCTGTAGCGCAGAAGTGCTGAAAACCATCTCCAGAAACAGGACCTCGCATTTCCTCCTTAGCCGATGTGCCTATTTCTCTTCTAAAAGCAGAGTTGGAGAGACGGAGCTTAGATATACGAGCGCAGGGAGTTTCTCCGGGTCCAGCGCAGCCGAGCACACGACCAGCTTGCGGTAGTACGACGAGGGCAGGATCTTATAACACACCAATCCATGTTTTTGCGCTATTCCTTATACTTATCCTCAGCACGTTAGGTATGGTGGATGGAGACCTTTTTATTTTATCCTTGAGTTTTTTGTGAGCCGTGGCTGATGCGATCTTGAATTTAGCATGTTCATTTCCAATAATTGCTCGCCGCTTTCCCCGTCTCCCTATTCCCCGTCGCTTTCTCTTTTTATCTCGACACTTCGGCACGGGAGTCCTCATCGCAACGGCGTTTGTTCATCTACTTCCGACGGCATTCATTTCTTTGACGAACCCATGTCTCCCGCATTTTTGGAACAGGGGCTACCCAGAAACAGCTGGATTAGTTGCGATGATTGCGGTGATGATTGTGGTCACTATTGAAATGTTTTTTGCGATGAGAGGCGCAGGACATGTCCATGGAAGTGAATATGATACATTGATGGATGAGGTATCACACCATAACCATTATGAGGGTCTTGGTGTGGGACGCGACGATACTCGTGGTTCTGGAACACAACACGGAACGCGCCAAATGTCTCTTGGATTTCGTCCAGTTCCAACCGCATCTCGAGACAGCCTTATCGACGGCGCCAGTCCGACGTTGGCAAAAGATCCCGAAAATCAGCGGCAGGGGGACGACGAGAACCTCCAACTTGAAGAGCTAGATCCCTTCCCCGACGACTCTTCGGAGTTCAACGATTCCCCTACCAGTGAAGCTCATCCATCGCACCCCCGACCGCCCCCTCACCATAGTCATGGCCACGTCCATTTCAGTGGTTCTCGCTCACAAAAGGCTCAAAAGCAGCTTATACAATGTCTTCTCCTTGAGGCCGGTATTCTGTTCCATAGCGTTTTCATCGGCATGGCTCTCAGCGTCGCCACTGGCGCGAATTTTATCGTCCTCCTTGTCGCAATATCCTTTCATCAGACATTTGAAGGTTTTGCGCTCGGCGCTCGAATTGCCTCTTTGATACCCGATTTATTCCCGGCTTCATCGCCGAAACCGTGGCTTATGGCTCTTGCATATGGGACGACCACACCCATCGGACAGGCGATAGGGCTGGGATTGCATACGCTGTATGATCCCGCAAGTGAAATAGGATTGATTACGGTGGGAATGACAAACGCTTTCAGTAGTGGGTTGTTACTGTTTGCGGGGCTTGTGGAGCTTCTGGCAGAGGACTTCCTGAGTGATAGGAGCTTTGAGACATTGAGGGGGAGAAACAGAATTGAAGCATGCTTTGCAGTTGCTGGTGGTGCAGCACTTATGGCGTTGGTGGGAGCCTTTGCATGATGCTTCTGCGAATCCGTCTTTGACCTGTAATTATCATATGTGCATACGTTATGACTATACATTTGTCTTCCTATTTAGAGTTCTTGAATAGAGAATCCCAATTAAAGCTCTTAATATTTAAAATACTTTGGGATATCAAACTATGTGTCTTCGAGTAGAAACAACGAAATTGTTCTATCAGGCATTCTAGGCGCTTGCTTCATGCACATAGCATAAAAATCCACTCTCAAAAAGGATTGAAGGAAAGACATGAAAAGTCACACAGAAGACAAAGCCTTACTGCAAGTATTCAATAACCATGGCACTAGCTCCGCCGCCACCGTTGCAAATGCCGACGCAGCCCAGCTTGCCTTTCTTTTCTCTCAACACACCCAACAAGGTGGTCAAGATGCGAGCACCGCTAGCTCCAAGTGGATGGCCCAGGGCAACAGCGCCGCCGTGGAGGTTGACCTTGTCCTCGGAGAGGCCGAGAAGTTTCATATTTGCGAGTGCGACAACACTAAAAGCTTCGTTGACCTCGAAGGCATCGATAGCAGATTGCTCGACGCCAGCGTGCTTCAGAGCCTTGGGGATGGCGAGAGATGGGGCGGTAGTGAATTTGCTGGGTGCCTTGGCTGCATCACCCCAGCCAAGGATTTTGGCAAGGGGCTTGATGTTAAGCTCTTTGAGCTTGGATTCGGAGACGAGAACGACGGCGGCGGCGCCGTCATTGAGGGGAGAGGAGTTTGGAGCAGTGACGGTGCCGCCGTTGGGAATGAACGCGGGCTTAATGGCACGGAGTTTTTCAGGGTGAAGCTGGTGGCTGTTAGGTGGAGAAACGAAGAATAAATTTGGATGAAGGGTTATATTGACTAACGTTCTTTGGTTCCTCATCCTTATCAACGACAGTAGAGGGTTTGCCCCTGACACCGGGAATCTCAATGGGAGCAATCTCAAAATCGAAGCCACCGGATTTTTGGGCTGCCTGCGCACGTTCATATGTCCGGATGGCGTAGTCATCCTGCTGCTGCCGGGTGAAACCGTGGTCCTCAGCACACTCTTCAGCCTGAAGACCCATAAGCTCTTTCTTTCCGTAGGCATCGGAGAGACCATCCTTCATAATTCCATCAACAAATGTCTGGTGGCCGTATTTGGCACCCGTTCTCATGTTTGGGAGGTAATGAGGGGTATTCGACATCGATTCAGTGCCGCCAGCAACGATGATATCGGCGTTGCCGGTCATGATAGTCTGAGCGCCGAGGATGATGGCCTTCAGGCCAGAGGCGCAGACCTTGTTGACGGTAGTGCAGACAGTCGACTCACGGAGGCCAGCACCGAGAGCGCATTGTCTGGAGGGGTTCTGTCCGACACTGCAAGCCGTTAATCGTCGGGCACTCGAGTTCGCAGGAAGGGAGCAACTTACTTTGCAGATAGAACGTTACCGAAGAATACTTCTTCTACATCTTCTGCTTTGATTTCAGGGACTCTTTCGAGGGCAGCTGTTGGGTTGACCTGTTAGCCGGACATGGCATCTCTCATCCTTGGGGAACTGCAGGGATCTTACCCTTGATGGCATGCGATCCCAACTGAGGGGCAGTCAGGCTGGACAGAGCTCTGGAAGTATCCCAATTAGCATGGTAAGTTCGAACAAAGCAAGCGACGGGCTTGAGATGCCAATAATAGCTATCTGAAACAGATTTGGTCGCCTAGGCGTTGGGATTCAGGGAGCTACTCACCCGAGAAAGGAGCCTAGTGGGGTACGCGCGGCGGAGACGATGTAGACTGGCGGACGGGAAGACATCTTTGTTCCTGTGCTCAACAAGTGAAAAAGAACGTAGCAAAAGGTTGTTATGTTCTTAAGGGAGAGGAGGAGAGAGAGGGAGGGAGGGATAAAATATTGCGCACAAGAAGAAGACTGGTGAATATGGTTCAGTGGAAGGTTATCTCTGTGAAGTAAATAACAGAGGGTGTTTCTGGCTTGTTGGGAAGAGTCTAAGACTAGGTGGAGCAGTGGGCTTATATAGTTTGGCTCTAGGATGCAGAGATGCGATACACGCCTCTTCTCGATGACAATGCAACCAATCGCTGATATCGATAGTAATTGGTGATGCCGAGTATACGATCACAAATCAATTATTATTCTGCGCTTCGAGATGCCGCCGCCGAGCGAGCAAGAAAATGTTGAGGCAGAACGGAGCATTACAAGAACTGCAAGCTTCGTAATTACACTATCTGCGGCAAACTTTGTATGGTACTGTATCGAGAGCTTTTCGCCGCTTTTGGTTTAGTGCAACAATAAGGTTTGGCTAATGTTGACTAGCGCTGGTATTATGTAATCAGTTGATGAATTTAGGCTCCAGGAAGACAGACGGCCAGACGAACTTGCGCTGCTGCAACACAAGATTCCTGGAGGTGCCCGTGTCCGGGATTGGTCAAGCTAGGTCCCGCGTTTTGGACTGTGTTCTACGGAGATTTACGGCCAGAGATTCAGCAGTCCGCCCTGAAAACCGTTTTGTGAAGGAGAGTCGGTTGATCGTGCGCTTTCAAAATGGATGACCTTTATGACGAGTAAGAAGGCCTTGCGCTGTGTTGAAATATGGTCGCGAGACATTTTTGCTCAGCGATTGTGTTAAGATATATACTGATATTAGCTACGCAGGTTTGGAAACTACATTGGAGGTGCTGAGGAGTCTGATGAGGAAGAGCATCATGGCGAGGTGCCGGCCCAGAGCTATGCCTACGATCTGGAGTCAGAGGAAGAGGAAGAAGCGGCCGCTCCAGATCAGCAATTGATGGAAATAGACGGTGAGGCCTGAGTGACTGTATTAATCTCCCGATGCTGCTCTGGCTGACCTTGAATTGTCAATTCAGAGCAGGGCCCCTCCAATGCCGTCATCCTCCATGAAGACAAACAGTACTATCCGACCGCGCAGCAGGTCTACGGCGCAGAAGTGGAGACGTTGGTAGAAGAAGAAGATGCACAGCCGTTGACCCAGCCGATTATTGCTCCGATACAACAGAAGAAATTTGCCGTCCAGGAAGCGGACTTGCCCCCGGTGTTTTATTCGCGCGAGTTCATGACAGACATGCTGAATTTCCCGGGACAAATACGAAATATCGCTCTTGTGGGGCATATCCATCATGGGAAAACCGCGTTCATGGACACCCTCGTGATGGAAACGCACGACCTTGCTGCGAAACTAGACCGAAGAACGGGGAAAGCAAAAGATGAACAGCTACGATATACAGATGTGCACCTTCTTGAACGAGAGAGAGGTTTGTCCATAAAATCTGCACCAATGAGTTTAGTATTGCAGGGTACAAAAGGAAAATCCTACTTGTTTAACGTCCTCGATACTCCCGGCCACGTCAATTTCGTGGACGAAGTGGCGGCTTCGCTTAGATTGGTTGACGGTGTGGTCCTTGTTGTGGATGTGGTGGAAGGTGTTCAGATCAACACAGAACAGATCATTAAATACGCCGTCATTGAAGATCTCCCCCTCACGCTGGTCGTGAATAAGATGGATCGCCTAATCCTCGAGCTTAAACTACATCCGACTGACGCTTATTTCAAGCTCAAACATGTGATTGAAGAAGTCAACACTGTCATTGAAAAGACATTGCCTGGGCAGGGAGAAAAACGAAGGTTGAGCCCTGAGAAGGGTAATGTTGCATTCGCATGTACGGCCATGAACTGGTGCTTTACCCTTCAGTCATTCGCGAAGATGTATGCCGATACATTCTCCAAAGTTGACATCTCAGAGTTTGCCATTCGCCTATGGGGAGACATTTTCTTCAGCCCTAAAAGCAGAAAATTCACAAGAAAGGGGGTGGAGGAAACCTCCGAACGCTCCTTCGTACATTTTGTCTTAGAGCCTATTTACAAAATTTTTTCCCATACGATCAGTGAGAGTCCAGAAGATTTGAAGGATACCCTTGCTACGCTTGGGATTAGCTTAAAGCCCTCGCAGCTGAAGTCGGATGCAAGAGTCCTCCTGAAGCTGGTGTGCGAGCAATTCTTTGGGCCCGTAGGAGGATTTGTGGACATGATCGTGGATCACATCCCGTCTCCAGTAGAAGGGGCACCCAAGCTTCTTGAGAAGTATTATACAGGCCCTCTTGACACAAAGATTGCCGCCGGGATGTTATCTTGTGATCAGGACGGCCAGCTTGTTGTTCATATCACGAAGTTATTTAATACCCCCGATGCAGCTGGGTTCTATGCTTTTGGGAGAATTATGAGCGGCACGGCCCGTCCAGGCCAGCAAGTCAGGGTGCTAGGACAAGGATATACTGTCGATGATGAAGAAGATATGGTCGTGGCTACGATTGCAGACACATTTATTGCTGAATCTCGCTACAATATATCCACGAGCGGCGTTCCCGCTGGAAATTGGGTGCTCTTAAGTGGCATAGACAATTCAATTGTCAAAACAGCTACGCTCGTTCCCCTACGCCTTGAAGATGATGAAGATGCTTACATCTTCAAACCTGTCCGGCATATGACCGAATCTGTGTTTAAGGTGGCCGTTGAGCCTATTAACCCTTCTGAGCTCCCCAAGATGTTGGAAGGACTACGAAAAATAAACAAAAGCTACCCCCTCATCTCTACAAAAGTTGAAGAATCTGGTGAACATATTGTTCTTGGGACAGGTGAGCTCTATATGGATTGTGTGCTCCATGACCTCCGTCGACTATACGCCGAAATGGAGCTCAAGGTTTCAGATCCGGTAACACGATTTTGTGAAACTGTCGTTGAGACATCTGCCATTATGTGCTATGCAATGACACCGAATAAGAAGAATAAAATCACCATGGTTGCTGAACCCTTGGACGATGGCATCGCTGAAGATATAGAAGCCGGACACGTTCGCATTCGGGACCCTACAAGGAAGGTCGCTAGATTTTTCGAGGAAAAATATGACTGGGACAAGTTGGCCGCTCGGAGTATCTGGGCATTTGGACCAGATGAAATGGGATCAAATATACTCCAGGACGATACTCTACCATCTCAAGTCGACAAAAAGCTGCTTGGTACGGTAAGAGATTCTATCCGTCAAGGGTTTAGCTGGGGCACTCGTGAAGGCCCTCTATGTGAAGAACGTACGTCCGTAATATGTGTTTTATCTCCCCATCCCTTCTCCCTCTCTTCCTTTTTTTTTGTTTTTGGTTGGAAAGCTATGTGACTAACTCTACACAGCCATTCGAAACACCAAATTCCGCCTCACAGATATCACACTTGCCGATCAAGCCATCTTCCGTGGCGGTGGCCAGATCATTCCCACAACGCGAAGAGCCATTTACTCCTCCTTCCTCTTGGCCTCTCCACGCCTCATGGAACCGATCTATACATGCTCCATGATAGGCCCGGCTGACTCGGTTGCATCTATATACACTGTACTCTCCCGGCGTCGGGGGCATGTTCTCACTGATGGTCCTATTGCAGGCACTCCCCTCTATTCTGTTCGTGGATTAATACCAGTGATTGATTCCTTTGGCTTTGAAACGGATCTTAGGATCCATACACAGGGCCAGGCGACGGTATCTCTAGTATTTGACAAATGGAGCGTGGTTCCTGGTGACCCGTTGGATAGAGAGGTGAAACTGCGGCCTCTAGAGATGGCTAGTGCGATGGCGACGGCGAGAGATTTTGTGCTAAAAACAAGACGGCGGAAAGGTTTGGCAGAGGACGTTACTGTTAGTAAATTCTTAGAGCCGGAGTTGTGGAAGGGCTTGAAGGAGAGTGGAGTTCTTGGTGAAGGGTGAACCTGGGCCTAAACACGGCATATATGTGCATGTATTATAATATGAGCAACTGGTGATTTGAAATCAAGCCATTGAATAAATAGCTATTTACAGATCCTGTCCCATTGTGCCGTGGCGCCAAAAATACTAAAAAGATTCCTACTTCAATGTCCATTTCTTGAAGATTAACTCCATATAAGGTTGCTAAAAACATCCAAACGCAGCTTATTTGCAAGTCTCCAACATTTTTTCGATCACGCTCATTAGCGTTGAATTCTCCGCAGCGGCTGCAACTCTCTCCTTATCCGCTAGCTGCTTATTCACTTCCTCGGCGGTGCTATGCGTACCCTCTTTGATCCGCACATCAACTCTAAACCGTGATGGCAAGCTCTGTTCAAGTCTCACACGCACCCCAAGCCCAATCACAGTGGCCAGACTGCAATGTGTGATGGTGGGCGTAACTAGTACGGTAACTTTCTTAAGGGGTGACGAAGGGTCACTGGGAAGTGCTGGGGTAATGGAAATGTCTGGAAGTGATACTACAGCAAGTTCGCCGAGAGATATTGGGTGTTCAGGATCAGATATGGTAGATATTAGGTCTATCGATGTCCATGCTAAAATGAGTATTTGTCCGTGGATGTGAAACGGCGAAACGGGGGTACCAGGACGCACCATAGATTTCCTGCTCATCAATCGGCTCTTCCGAATCATCTTCAAGTTCCCCTACGCTCTCTGTTTCACTGTTTGACTTATCGAGATATGTAGAAAACGGGTCGTCCTCCCAAGGTCGCGTCGCAAGATTGCTACTCGCGAAGATTGTGCCATCAAACACATCTGCTTTGCGAGATGGAGCCGTCGTCTTTGTAACAGACTCACGCCTTGGTAGATCTGCGGCGTTGATAATCGTAGGATTGACGTTCTGCATATTGGACCCGACAGCTTGGATTCGTCCTTTCGTGACTTCGTTTCAACAAGGATTGTTTCGCCTTTGCACGATCAACTCTGTACCCGTGCCAACCTCGCTTACGTAGGTGCTCTTGCAGTGGGAAGAGGCTCTCTGGGAGGGAAAGCTAGCTGCTGACTGGCTTAACCCTGGACAACAGAGGAAAACTTTTTGGCGTCTCTAATATGAATGTACTATGTTGAGCAACGTGCATGCGGATTGTTTCAGGTGACTCTTCCGCGACGTCAGGGACGATGCAGGCGACGGAAGCAAGACGCAGGTCAATAGAAACGCAGGTCCCAGCCACATGAGATCAAATGCGGTTTCATCTAAAGAAAGCCGACAGGCACTGCGAGCATTGGGGTCGCTTGTCGATGGCGTGGGGGCGTGATGAAGCTGATAAGAGAATGACATAAGCGGGAGTGGCGCTGGGGCTGTATTGTAACTTTGTAACCGAACGATCGCGTGCGAGTGTTTCAATCATTACGTTACCGGAAGTTAGTTCAAATAAGGTTAGAGCCGAGTGCCGGCGATCGCCGCGTCAGTTCCGCTTGACAAGGGAGTATGACTTCGTGGCATCAACAATGCTGCCGGCCTGCATGCTCCTGTCTAGTTTTAATGCCCATAGCAGGGTCAATATATTGGACCAAAGCTCTGAGCTCTGAGATTGGACATACCTTTCACCGCCTTGCTCCCACAATACAATAATATCTTTTCAAATGAGGAGAAGAGCATTGCAAACAGCTTATATTGATGACGGTGTTTAAACGAGATACCCTTTGCCATATTTGGGATCAAGACTCGATATTGGGTATTGCGAAGACTCTCCTTGTCTTCCATATGGGACAATGGTATCAGGTATCAAGCACAAGGTTTCAGACTACTCCGTACTGGTGGAATGAATCTCCTTGCTACCCCTGGGCTTCTTGTCAGTTGCGGTACAAGTTCCTTTCCTTGCAACAAAAACTAGAGTGATGGAGGTGTGCAACTTAAACTGGTTTTATTTGGGCCTTTCTGTACAGTAGTATTCTCTGTTTGATTCATACAATGGTTTAGCTTCTGATGAATAGGAAGCACAAGCTTACCAACAGTCCATCGATGCTCTTGGCTTCCGGCATGGGACAGCCACAATTTGCTATAGCCATGTTTCCTCAAAATCTGCTACTAGTGTGGGCAGCGGTGACACCAATGAGGCCCCAATGCACTCCTGCTATTCAGCAGCCTCCCATACTTATTTATTTTTTTTATAGCGCCTGTGCCTTTGCCTTGCACCTGTGCAACATCAGCGCAAAGGATAATTAACATTAGAGAGTTTGCTGGCTCTTGAGTCCTGAAGATATTCTTCAATCTCTCTCCTTTCGCCTTGTTCTCGTTACAGAGTATTGTAGAACTACACATGCCAATGAAGGAATATTTGATTTTATGCTCGCGACACTTGGGTTAGTCACCTTGTGATCCATAATCTTGCCAAATTTGAGTGGACTCTGCGGGTGTAAAGCATGCTCTGGATTTCTTGCAGGCCATACAGCTTAAGCAATCTCAACTGATTGAACTCGAAAATATTGTCGGTGGAAATGGAAAGAAGCTGACGTGGTTAGATGATCATCATTTTACGACACCGCTTTTTTTTAATTCCATCTGCATGCCCAACAGGCAGCAGGCGGGATGGAAATGGAGCCCGTTAAAGAGAAATAATTTTTCTTTCCCTCAATATCCAGATACAGCCCAACCTGGCCTCCACAAGCCGCAGCACCAAATCCTATCAGCTTGGAAAATTAAGCTGCAATCTGAAAGCCTGTTTTAACCTGTCTGCCTGAAATTGTTATCTACCAGACGTGGATGGAGCGTGTTGGTGAAATACGGAAGAATCCGGATGAAAATTATTGCTCCTCACGAGGAATTCGGGACTTGCAAAGAGGAGGCACAATGAGCGCTGTTATTTCTTCTGTTGTTTTATCACAAAGATATGTGTGACGTTTCACGAGGCTACCACAGGGAAAGGGTCGCGGCCTGAAGAGGACTCGGCAAAGTTGGAATGATGTTACATCTCAAACTTGCCCATACGGACCGAAGGTCAACGACAATAGGAACTGAGGGATCTCTCAAAAAAGCTGGAATTCCTTCGAAGTCAAGAAGTACAGTCGCAGCGTGCTCCAGCTGGTGGATGTTTCAAAACGAACCGCGCCCAATGCCGAACACTACGTTTATGGAGGCTCAGCAAATACTACTGGGGGGCCAAGGGAAGAATGTCTTGGACGAGATTGAGATAGGGCTGAAATCCATCCTCACCGTTCCAGAGAGTAAACCTCGCGGTGTGGCTAATAGGGAACGGCGTCCTGATTTTTATTTAACGGGGTTGTATTTGAAATAATACGGTTAACGAGATCTTGGCTGGGGATATTTTTGCGGTTGACAAGCGATCCCACTCGAGTACTCCGTACGAAGAAGTGAGCTGTGCCGGGGCTAAGCATAACGCCCAACGGCCTTTGGTACACAATCTCATGTCGATTCTTCAGGGATACTAGTTACCCACGTAGAGAAGGTTTCCCTGGTGTGTTTTAAAGCAACGAACAGGAGACGCGCCGCGAACGAGAGTTGTTACCACTTGTATCCTTCTGAAGGACCAAAAATCAGGCCACAGAATCGCAAAGCGTCAACCAGCAAATCATGAGCCACGTCATAGACCAAAACTTGCTAAGCGCCGGCTTTCCTCACGGGCCGACGCATGCAGGGTTGTGGATGCAAGGGATCTGGCGTGGGCCGAAAAAGGAACAAATCATAGTAGATAGATTTGGCTTGGTTGATGTTACATGGCCGACGGGGTACACACATGCATAGTTACATGGTACGTGCATATAGCATGATCTTCAACTTGGACTGCGTTGCTGGACGGGGAAGCGACACGGAATTAAGCCCGTCTGAAGGCCAAAATCGGCCACTCTTATGAAACCCCCCGGCTCATAAAGGAGCCCTTTGACGTTTTTGAAGCCGATACAAGATTCAAGGTTTTGAATCGCACTTCGCAGGTGCAGATCCGTAGTTTAATGAAGAGTGTCTCGACTTGCGGCCCAGCGGCGGAGAAGTATCGGACCATTTGTGACGATTTCTATCTGATCACCCGTGGTTTCTGGAGATGCTTCACTGTGTCTCCGGAAGAATTCAACGGCGCAGCAGCTTGAACTCGGCGAAGGTTGCATGGGGCGTCGTAGAAATTATATGGAACAACCGGGGTGCACAATGCTCTCGCTCCAAACACTCATCAGCACTTCCGAGATCGTCATGGCATGGGGAACGGTTCCGATATTCGAGCGAACCCCTTCTTCCTATGATTCATATATGCCACACTTGATTATTTTAACGAACCAATCATTCTAGTGTGCGCAGCGGGCGATCTGCGCCGTTTCCCGTTCCCCAGGCATGTTAGGGAAATTTGGAGATGGGAAAGAGTGTACTTTCGCTTGTAACTAGATGCATTTTGCTGAACCCCAAGTTTTCGCCCTTGAAGCACCACCCCTGCCTTTTCAGAGCATATGTACGGAGGAGACTGTACTGTAGACATGGACAAGCATGGATTCCCGCTCCGCGGCGAGACCATAAATAGAACACGCGCTATTCCGCTTTGGGAAATATTGATGTCGTCCGAATCACTACCCTCTACTTCGCCTCTTCCAGAGTGCGGCGCCATGGCTTTTCACCCTTCATCCCTCCCATTAGAGCATAAGCGGCCGGGAGGGCAGAAGAAGAGACGTCAAAATGGCGAAGGGTGTTCTTACTGCCTTGGGACCTGTGCGTCAAAACTGAATTTTTAACGCTTCCCGACTCTGTGTTTGATCTTCCGACGCTCCGAGCCAATGTATACCCATGTTTGACCGTTGGACACAGCGGATCAGACTGGTTACCGGGCAGCACACAGGACACAGGTTTTAAAACATCGATCTATATCTTCCCCTGCGCCTTTTGCTGTATCATCAGGTGACAAGGATGCATTAGTCCATGCTGTGCTCTCGCGTCTCCAACCCGACATTTCCAGAGTTGAGCTCTTCGCTCCAACTTTGGTGGACCTTGCCCTCCCTTCAGCCCCCAATTTCCCTTCCACGGCTACCCTCAGCACTACATAATCCCCTAATTGCAATCATGGCTATGTTGGTCAATGCTGTCCCCACTCGTGTAGGCAGGTACCTGCACGGTGGCTCCGTTCGTTCACTTTTTTTTTTTTTTTTTTTTTTTTTTTTTTCTTTTTTCCCCCCCAAACCCAGGCCCGTTCCTGATCCCTCCAGGCACATGCACTTAAACTTTCTGGTTTGATATATATTACTTCCTGTCTATAACCTTTCCTTTATATTCAACTATCTTGATTACCCTACCAGGATTTACGGTCTGGACATGGCACTAGGAGAAGGCCCTTACTACCCCCAAGCATGATATATGCCGATATCCCCGAATTCAGCAACCCCTACCTCTCTACATCTATGGGAACGTCATAAGCTATTCTATACGTTTCGTACCTTTCTGGTGGATGTATTTATATAGCTTTGTTTGCTTCCTCCCTTATTGCTCCACCATTCGGTCTACGTGGGCAACCAATACTGTTGCTTTGCCCTAAATTTTCACTTTCAGAAATCTTTTGCTATCTATATTTACACACACTCGTTTTTTGAAATTAAAATTGAACGCAGACCTCCTTTCCACAAATTTCGCTGCTTGCCCACAGGAGCATTCAAATTTGAAGGAATGGAATGTTGAGAAAAGGCGAAAATTGTTTTGGTATATCTCACATTCGTTCCTCAAGCTTCGCTCGTTTATTTGTCAATCGCTTGGAGGCACTTTGTAGCCTGAGTAATATTTCGTCGAGGGTTTGCGGGACATCCTTGAATCATATTTTCGAACCGGACAACATTCACAGCTTCATTACGGTTTGAAAAATATAGCTGCTTCGAGATTGCGGGACACTCTCGCTGGGAAATAAAATGCAACAGTTCGGTTTCGCCACTGGGGATACCTCATCCCGAGAAGGGCATAAAAGTATTTCCAATGTGCCTCTTTATCGACGGGCTGTATTTATGCTAACTATCGTTCCTAGGTTTCGTTTTCGTTGATGAACATAATAGGCATAAACGTCTTAAGGGTTAGTTCTTGCTCCGTACCTATAGCCACAACCTAAGCTAACCAGTTCTAGTGACAAGAGCCTGCAGTGGCTGTCGTAAACGAAAAATCAAGTGTGATTCGGCAACAAGCAATATATGGCCCTGTGCTGCATGTACTAGATTGAAGCTCGTCTGCATTCCGCCAAATTGGAATGCTCAGCATGAAAATTCTTTATATGGACAGGACTTTGATCCGCTGCGATCATTAATTCAACCGAGCAATTTTGACAACTTACCGCAGCCGGCTTCCACCACCCAAAATAGCTACAATTTAGGCCAATTCCAGTTCGAATTCTGTTGTCAGAATTTGGATGAAGTGCAGTCCGTTAGCAACAGTACCACTCGGATACCACAACCGCAGCCACAGCCGTACTTGGGCCATTCCGAGAATCAAATTCAATTTCTAACAGACGATGGCTCAGCTAAAAACAGCCCATTGCAGCAACCGTTCAGTTACATCCAACCATCTACTTACACTAATGACTATCCTCCACTTAATACTGAGATCGTTCAACCTGCTACTACTTCTGTTACTGCTACCCTATCTACCCCATCACCGTCCGTTTGCTCCGTATCTTCGAGCCCTATATCCTCACGGAAATTTGAACCTGCACCATTGAAGAAGTGCAAAGAGCTTACAGTTAAATGTTTGCCGAGTATATTTGGGCCGTTGAAAATAGACGAGAATGGAATTGGTGAGTCTCGCGACCATTTTTCCCCTACACTGGTAGAACATTCAGTTAACCTATTCCATTTAGCACCGTATATCAGCCAACAAACAAGAGTTGAGAGCCTACCTACGCCTACATCTCCATGCAAAGAGGACGATGCTTTTCTGTCAACTTATGCTGAGCCAAGTGGTTCCATTGCTATACCACCGGAGCTGATGCCCTGTGAAGAGGAAGCCAATAGCTATTTTGAGCTATTTTTTGATAAAATCCATCCTTATATTCCTGTGATTCACCGGAGTGATTTCTATCGGCAATGGCGATCCGATAAGACCGCTATATCCCCATTGCTTCTTGAGGCAATATTTGCCTGTGCCGCAATGGTATCCGAAAATCACACAAAGGGCGTTCGGTGGCTCAATTTGGCAAACAGTAAGTCGTTACGACCCACTTCCTGTACGCCTGCTGACTTTTTAAGAACATAAGCCGGCCTTTTTGGAGGCGCCTCGGCTTAGCACAATCCAGGCGCTTCTGCTGCTTCTAAAAGCCCGTGAATTTGCACCCAAAAACGGATTTTATTACCGATCATGGCAATTAGTGAAAACAATGGTCTCAATGGCTAAGGACCTTGGGCTTCATGAGCATTATAGTAATCACACTGGCGACAAATCCTGTGGTATCGATTCAGCGGAATGCCTTATCAAGACAAGAGTTTGGCAGACGCTGCTCATTGCGGAAGTTTTGATTGGTGCACCCCAAGGTGAGCGAAACAGCGGTTACCAAACATAAAGTTATTGGGATCTAGTTTTCTAACATTTGGCCGCATGTATAGGATTGAACGATTTCGGTGTAGACACCGAAACAGTGGAAACCCGCACCGCCTGGAATGTTTCCGGCTTGGATGCTTACGAAACGGAAAGGTCGCGACTGTATGCTTATTTTGTACGAGTTGCATTGAGCATAAGGCGTTTCATTGGTACCTATAAACAAACGAGCAAGCAAGATGATTGGATTACAGATCCTCGCTTCACCGTAAATAGTGGTTTGCTTGATGAGTGGGCTACCAACTTGCCTGAAGATCTGCAGATTGTTTTCCCGTCAGGCAGTACTTCCCCTTGGCTTTCATCCCATTACATGGGCAACTTGAACCTACACTTTCATCTTTCAGTTATATTACAGTACCGTCCGCAACTTGCAACCTCGGCGCGCGATACGTCTAACATGTGGAAATCGCACATGTCTAGGTGCTATTCTTCAGCGAAAGCTATTTACCATATCCAAGACGCAATTATATCGTCCTGTGGGCTGAGCGGCCTGGGATACATGCAAAGAGGTATCCATTTAACAGTGTACTGCATTTTGACATGCCTCACGGTACACTTGGTAAGTTCGCAAGATACAACAGTGTCACCAACAATGTGCTGATTACAAGTGTCTCCTGTTATAGACAGCTCTCGCCTCTTCGGATGTAGACTTTGCTTCCGATGCAAGTTTGTATTTCTCGCGCCATATGCGTCTCCTTGAGCGGTGTAGCCAGAAGTGGTCTCTGCCAGATATCCACGCGCAACTTGACTCTATCAGAGCTACGCTATCTGCGGATCCAACCAAGCCATTTGAGCTTGCATCGTCGTTCGTGCTTCCAGCGGCCACCAAGCAACCGGATCCAACGCAAAAGGCCAAGTCTTTACATAGGGATGGAGGGGGAATCGCCCATAGGCAAGATAGAAAACACACGGGGAATGTTACTCTTGCGATGCCTTCCCCGATCCAAGTCCCGGACAAAATAGAACAGGTACCGACTACGCCACCTCCAATGGTGTTTGAAGCGTTGTCAAGTGACACGGCCATGGATCCGTCGCTCAACGTTTACATGGACGGTATCGGTAGCTGGGACCCAACCCGTCTTGTCACGTAAGTTCACAGATTCTTCCAAAATCTCAATGGATCTAGAAGCGGTATGACTAACCTGCCTTTGTTTCTCAGGCAATGGGACTTAGAACTTTCTCCTAACGAAAGTTTGAGCCCAACATCATCTCTGGCATCAATAGTAATACCTAATCACCACAATATTGACTACTGCTTCCCTACCCAGCTTGTTTCGTCCTCTCCTGCTTCTCCTTTTCAAAAGGAGTTACCATATTACACATATGATTTCGACCACCCTTTTATGTCCATGTCTGCTCAAGAGTGGAACAAGGAATTTGCTCATGTTTACACCCCGCAGGGACTAAAACGAAAATGGGAGGGAACAGATACTTTTTTAGAAGAGTCATACGCGGCAAGAAACATGTGAAGTGGATGCGCAGGTCGCCCTCCTCTCACCTGGCACTTGATGAATGACTTCATTACATTTATATGGATTAATGATGGGTGAATATCCATATCCAGGATTAATGTGTTAGGGGTAAACTCTAATTTTCCTATCTCTATTCATTTTGATTGTTTTCCCTAGTTTTCGGTGTTGAGCATCCTAGTTTATAGCTGTACTCTGTTCAGTTCAGCCTCTTTTCATCTCCTTGACCATATTTTCTGGTTTTGAGGTATGAATTAGAATCTAAGACACCATTGTTGGGTGGCATCCGCTATATCCAAATGTGTACAATAATAGTCGACGTCTGAGATTTGGGGTACGGGATACCATTGGCTTAGCTGGTCTAGCATATACCATCGTAAAGGAATAGTCTTGACGTACATAAGCTGTGATCGAATGGAAAACAGCTGACGAGCAAGCGACAAAATCTCAACTTCGACCTCAGCGCTTATAAGAGGTCCAAAGCGTCCTGCCGATTTCCAGTGACCAAAAGCCGATGCACGATAAAATTGGGCTGGTTTGTATCATATCCCCCCACTCTTCCCACTCGCCATATGTTTCATGGCTCGCGTAAAGGGTGGCCGATTTCCCTATGACAACCAATTTGCTTGCGGTGCGGTTCCGTGGAAGTTCAGGGACACATAGAACTTATACTATGCGACTCGGGCCAAAATATCGTCCCTAGCGCTTGGTTCCAGATGACTGAACATCAGGTATCGCTTCATGGGACAGGTAGCTTGAATTCAACGCATAACTCCGTGTGGGTAATCGAAACACTTTATTTTCCCCATCCCAATAACTCTCTAAGTCTTCCGGAATGATGTTTCAGATCCGTTCACCCTCTCCGGCTAACACCAATTCTCTCATCTCTGCTTCTGATAATCCTTGCCTTATCACCCGGTAGGGGTTTCAATTCATCATTCGGATCAACAGCTCCGGATTTATTCTCGCTGTTCTTGGCCACGTTCTGCTGCTCTTGTTGCTGCTCCTGTTGGCGAAGACGGGCTTCTTCAAAGGCCAAGATATCTTCGGATGTGACAGTTATAACGGTTGGCTTGCGGCGAATCATCTTGTAGTTCTCTGCTTTTTCTTGCTCGCAGAGTTTTCGAGGTGTGGGCTTTGATTTCCGCTCGCAGTGGAGCTGTTGATTGCAAGGCAGCCCAAATCTTTGGCCAAGTGGTTTCAAGAGGCTACAAAACGCGCAGCGATTATGGCCTCTATCCGAAAGGTATATCTAGCAGAGATGTTTGTTTCCTGATGGATAGAGAGAGAGGAGCGGTCTTGCGTGTTGGGCGAAGCATACCGTTCGACGCTCGATGCCTGGGAAATGCCAAGCCCAAGCAGCCAAATCACGTGGTTTTGACGTCGGGGAAAGATTTCAATCCGGCGAATCCACGACCTGATTGTCTCCAGCCTGTCGCGGTCTGACTCCTGGAGTCGAGCAAGTGGAACGCAACAATGGCAACCAATATGGCGCCAAGGAATTGTGCCGTGTCAGCGCTGCAATTCAGAAACAGAACAATTGCTGGTCTGAGAGCTGCCCGGGGATTCTCCTCAACATCCACAAGGTACAACGAGCCCGGCGATGGTAAGTGACCTTTTTTTCCTACCTGTGAGACATTGGGAAGACGGAATCGGAGCCGTCTTTCTAGAGTAAAACCTCTAAGGAACAAATCGAACTAATAATCTTGGTCTTCTTTTCTATAGAATCCCCCAGACGCCCCTCGAATGCGACCTTCGACCAGACCGCCCGTCGCCAAAACACCAAGTCACTCCTCCGGGAGGTTTTCACGAAATCGTCCTCCCCCGCCTCTGATCGTCCGTTATTTCGGTCGTTTAAACCCCAATCACCATCCGGACCTGTAGATGCCCGGAACCTGGGCGCAAATTCGCCTCATTCTGGCAGGGCCGAAGGGGCGGTGCGTCTTGCTCCTCTTTCGTTCAGAAATCTTCCCCGAGGAGGTCGACCACGGGGTGGCGGCCGCAATCCAAACCAAAGTCTCTTGATGGCGGCCAATGCCATGTCTCGCAGACAGCGTGGACGACCAGGCCTGAGGCCCAAAGTTGCTCGCCGCCGAAGAAACGCTTCATGGCAAGCTGAGTCCGAAGATGTCGATGAGTCGGTAAAGTTATACGATAAAGAGAAGGAAGAAAAGGCTCGTCGGAAACCCGAGAGGTACGATCCAGATCCGTACAATGTGGACAAACTGAAATCTACCTGGCCGACGTTACCGATGTGTGAGGGCGGCAGCATCGTCGCCAACGCTGGAAGTGTGATGGAGAAATTAAATTGGATGGGCGAACGGTACGTTGGCTCGTTTGAGCCACCGCAAGAGCTTGCCAAACGGATGTATGAGGGAAAGAGAGTTCTATTCAAGAGTGAGGAAGAGAAGGCAGAAGTCCTAGAACTTGTTCAAAATATGGTTACCGAGAAAGCAGAAAGGTTAACAGAGCGCAAGGGACAAGTAGTAGAACCAGAAGACGCCAGCTTCGAGGTTGCCAGCGATTCAGAGCGAAAGGGTCTCGTTGGTACGTTGGTTCAAGGAAAATACGATAAACCGCTCGTGGATCGCCAGTCCGTCGGTAATTCTCCTGTCGTCCAGAATGTCTTAAGAAATTTGACCAACAACGGGACGTACCAATCTGCGCAGGCGGAGAAGTTCCTGGAGAAATTTATGAAAGGCTTGCCCGCTCGTTTGAGGAATCCACAGCCAAAAAATGCATAGAAAGGATCCTTTGAGGTTGTATGCATGTAACATTAGACTTTAAATGTGTATTTTCTTTCCATCTTCTTTTCATATTGATTATGCTGGGAAAATCTACGGCATGGCTAGAATGGAGTATTTTTTTTTTTTTTTTTTGAATAGGCTCTGTAAATAACACAATTATTCGAATAATATTTCACGAGCCCACATTGGGGCCGGCATGGTCTTCGCTGCTACGGCATCACTCTCTTTCAAGGGCCTTCTTTGCCGACTCGAAAGCATCCTTGACATCTTTTTGACCCTTCTCCGCAAGTTTCTCCATCTGTTCCAATGCCTTGCGTAGGTCATCAGGCCTCACTGCTTTCTTATTCCCCAGCGCCTTTAATTTCTTATTCATATTCGCTCGAGCATTTTTCACTGAGGCAGACGCCTTTTCCATGGCTGCTTTCGCATCTTTGACGGCTTGGTCGCGCGATTCGCGAGTTGGCGGCGGAATAGGGAGGTTAAGCTGGAGTTTGTTATGCGGATCAGGCTGAGGGTTAAGAGAGAGCGACGGCACAGCCTGAAGAGCGGAAGTGATTGGCTTGATGAACTAGAATGCCGCATCAATTAGCCTCTGGAAGTTTGGAAAAGGAAAACAGAAAGCAATAAAGAGAGCATACCTCCTCCTCTCCCACCAATATCGTAACCATTCGGCCGCCTTTTGGAATAACCTGCGCCAACTCACTCAATCGCACCGTCTCCTTCTCTTTCCCAGAGCTCGCGCTCGTCTTGAGGGTCACCCGTACATTTTCGATGAGTTCTGGATTCAATCGTCCACCGACCCGGAGCTTAGAAACATCTTCTTTTAGACGTGACAAAGCATCTTGGATACCATTGGATAATGATGAGAAATCGAACGGGTCCTCGCCGTTACCATCTGCGGAGGGTTCTTCCGAGGCATGGGAGGATTTATCTTTCTTCTTTTTGGAGAGTGCAAAGCTAGTGGAGAACGGACGGGCGCTGTGGAGTGTGTGAACGGTAGCTCGGGTGTCCAATGGGCCTGCTCTTATGTTGAAACAAGCTCGAGACCGGCTGGCATGGTGACGGAGAGGCTGGATGACAACGGGGCGCGCGCTGATGCCATGATTGCATCTGCAAAGTGCGCGTGCAGCTCCGTTAAGCCCTATTCTGAATGGAGGAGACATGGTGCATGTGTAGTGGATTTGGCTCTTCACTTATATTGAAGTGTTAACGGGGATGGAGCCAAAAACATTGATAGCTAAGCGCCAAGAAAACGCCCAGCCGCGGCGGAGTGGAGGAGCGGAGGGAGGAAGCGAGCGGAGAGCATATCTAAAGCCTCAGAATCTCCGTCGTTTGTTAAGGCGAAGCATCTCTACGAATCCTATCCACTGCATTTTGGAAAGGGAGATGGAATGAGAAAATTCAGACACAGTCTATCCATTTGCAAGTCGTGAAAGAAAGCTCCAGAGGCGCTACCTACAACAATGGATCGGGCATCTCAAATAAATGTAAAAGAACACAAAATAGCAAGAAAAGTACCTAATCAAAAGCATAAAAGAACGCGCATATCCCTTTTTAGAACCCCGTAAAACAGTCATGCAAGAAACATTAGAAAAGTAGTTACCATCCCATTCATGCACTGGGGTCTCGTATCAGGTAAAAAAGCGTAAGTCTGTCATCAGCATTTGCATGTCTTGCTGGGAATGGCGAGACATTCTTCTTTTTCCCTTTTTGGTTAATTATGCAAGGCATTTATCGTGTGGCCATAGCCTTGGTAATGAGTCTCTTGAGAGCAAGCTCCTTCTTCTTGAGATCCTCAGGAGAGGAGTCCTCAATCTCAAGCTGTGCCATGGCGTCGCTGAGAGCGGATTCAATCTTGTCCTTGGTGCCCCGCTTGATCTTGAGGGACATGGATGGGTCGGAGACGATCTCTTCAACGCGAGTGATGTAGGATTCAAGTTGCTGGCGGGCCTCAAATCTCTTGGTGAAAGCCTCGTCGGAGGACTTGAACTTGGCAGCCTCTATAAATGAAGTTAGTGCCTATTTTTACAGTTAAAACTCGACTTGATTGAGGAAAGCTTACCGTTGATCATGTTCTCGATCTCAGTGGTGGACAGCTTGCCGACAGCATTGGAGATAGTGATGTTGGCGCTGCGGCCAGAGGACTTCTCAGTAGCAGTAACCTTCAAGATACCGTTGACATCGACCTCGAAGACAACCTCCAAAGCAGCATCACCGGCCTTCATTGGCGGGATAGGGGACAGGGTGAATTCACCCAAGGAGGTGTTGTCATCACAGTTGGTACGTTCACCCTGGAAAACAGGAAATTGCACGGTCGTCTGGTTGTCAACGACGGTGGTGAAGGTGCGCTTCTTGATAGTTGGCACGGTCTGGCCACGGGGAACAACGGGAGCGAAAATGTTACCCTCCATGGCAACACCAAGAGAGAGAGGAACAACGTCCAAAAGGAGGAGGTCTTGGGTATCAGCAGAGGTGGCCTGGCCAGACAAGATACCAGCCTGGACAGCAGCACCATAGGCGACGGCCTCATCGGGGTTGATGCTCTACATAAACCGTTAATACTGTCTTAGTGATAGATGAGGATTGGATAGAGTAGTTAATTCTTACCTTCTCGAGCTTCTTGCCATCGAAGAAATCGCTCAAGAGTTTCTGGATGCGAGGGATACGGGTGGAACCGCCAACGAGGACGATCTCATGAACTTCGCTCTTGTCCAAAGCAGCATCCTTAAGCACCTGCTGAACAGGGTCCAGTGTGCCAGCGAAGGCCTTGGCGTTGAGATCCTCGAAACGGGCACGAGTGATCTGAGCGTTGAAGTCTTCACCGTCGAACAGCGAATCAATCTCGACAGTGGTCTGGGTAGCGTTGGAAAGGGTACGCTTGGCACGCTCGCAAGCAGTTCGGAGGCGGCGGAGGGCTCTGGCGTCACCAGAGAGATCCTTCTTGGTCTTTCGCTGGAACTCTTTCTTGAAGTGATCGAGGAGGTTGGTATCAAAGTCCTGGCCACCAAGATGGGTATCACCAGCTGTAGCCTTGACGGTGAACACACCACCCTGGATGTTAAGAAGAGAAACATCGAAAGTCCCACCACCCAAATCGTAGATGAGGACATTGCGCTCCTTGTCAGACTTTCCGGATCCCAAGCCATACGCAATAGCAGCAGCAGTGGGCTCGTTAATGATACGGAGAACATTCAATCCAGCAATGGCGCCAGCATCCTTAGTGGCCTGACGCTGGTTGTCGTTGAAGTAAGCTGGGACGGTAATGACAGCTTTGGAGACCTTCTTACCAAGCTTGGTCTCCGCAACCTCTTTCATCTATACAACGCAATGAGTTAGATCCAATGCCCAATCGTCAAGTGTACCTGGGGGCCCATATCCGGCGCATACCTTCATAAGAACCATGGAGGAGATCTCCTGAGGAGAGAAGGTCTTCTCCTCACCAAGATAGCTAACCTGAACCATGGGGTTACCACCCTGGTCGACAACTTTGAATGGCCAGGACTCAACATCCTTCTTGACAACGGGGTCCTCGAATCTTCGTCCAATAAGACGCCTGCCCAAGCTGTCAGCATCACCCCCCCGCTATGTGGGAAAAAAGATAAACTCACTTGATATCGAAGATAGTGTTCTCGGGATTCATAGCAGCCTGGTTCTTTGCGGCCTCACCGATCAAACGCTCCTCGGCGCTGAAGGAGACGAAAGAGGGGGTTGTGAAGTTACCCTGCTCGTTGGCAATGATTTCTACGTTTGTGCCCTCATAGTTGGCAACGCAAGAGTAGGTTGTGCCTAGGGTCGGAAGCCAGTCAGTTTTCCTCATTCCACTCCACTTCCACAGCGATTCAGATAGCTCTGCGACTCACCAAGATCGATGCCGATGGCACCCTCGTAAACCTCAGTAGACATTTTGGACTGGGAAGGTATGAAAAGACACTGGCAGCTTGCCTTGCGAAAAACACACACGAAAAAAAGTAACTCTTGAAAAGAATCAAAAGTGAGAGGACGAAACACCAGATCCCAGAGACTGAGAGGGGATGAGAGTAATGAATACTCTACACGAAGGAGAAGAGTGAGCGTGATGTTTTGGAGGAGAAAGTGAAGCGACTCTGAGAACTCGGCTCGTAATTTAAAAAAAAAATTCAGCGACAAAAAGTTTAAAAACTCTAAATCTTGCAAAAACCTTGCCGTAACTTTGCCATTTTGTCTGTATTGTTACCGTGGGTTTCTCGGGCTGCGCTAAACTGCATTCGGCCTAGTACATGTCTCTTTATACATCAGGAGAAAAGGGGATATTATATGAAAGGTAAAGCCGAGCGCATAGAATATCGCCATGCAAATGGCGAGTTGCTCCTCTTGACCATAATTCCAAGCCCATCCGATCCATGCCGCTGAAAAGATTCTTCAATGATACACCACTGGAACACCCCCCCGAACTTTCACGCCAATCCCACAGAAGCTCAACCAAAGGCAAAGCAACCTTTGTAAATCCCTAAGTGTGACCAACGAGCCAAGTACTTTTACGCTGCAATCCTTCCTTGCAACGGTGAATCCGAGGCAGACCACCATCTTGTTGCCGTCGAGCATACCCACAGACGGATACATCACCTGTGCATAACATGAACATACAGGGTAAAAGCCTCGTATTCCACCCCGGGTCCATTAGGCGTGGATAGATTCACAAGCCCTCTCCCAGGCGCAGCGTGCATCTCAATATCAACTTTAGTAACTCCTGGTCCTAACCTAAGCTCATACTTAGGTATTGTGAAATCCGTAGACCGTACTGGTGGCCCAATCGAAGGTATTTTCTGGCTTCCAACGGTCACAGTGAGCTGAGTCTGGCGCTCAAGATTGCTTGATATAACAGTAGGTCGGAGATACAAGAGGTTGTGAGAGAAGGGAACACTCAGAGTCACAGATTGTCTAGGCGTAATACAGGAGGAAGGAATCTCCAGATTGAACTTCGGTCCGTTTTCCGTGCGGAGATTTACATGAGTGATTAAGCGTGAGCGAGGCACTACTAATTATAAATTAGCTAACAGTGTTGACTCGCGGCGAACAACGGCTAGTAGACTGTGAATACGTACCATATCTCCGTGGTGGCCAACCTGTGGCTGGCCCAGCAGAAGGCTGGCTCGGGTTGACAGACTTATGGGAATTCATTTGAGCGGCAGCTCCGGCTGAGCGCAAGTAAGGGCCATTCGGTGTTGGAGTAGCGGCAGCGAGAGCCGGTGAAAGTCCATTTGATTGATTGTTGACTTCGTTGTGTGGAGCAACATTGGGTGCCACTCCTCGGGGAGATTGGCTCGGATGACCTTCGATCTTGGGCTTAGGTGTTGGAGGACCGGACGCCGGTTGCTGTAGAGGGGTTTGGCTTTTCGCGGCAAATGGCGCCCGGTCACGCAAAACCCTAGTGGAGGTAGGTGGCTGAGAAGGCGTTTCTGTACGACCAGAACCGGCTCTAACAAGCTCTTGCTGTCTTCTAAGGGATTCACTGTCGACACTGACACCAAGATGTTGCTTATCGCCAGTGGCTTCTGCAGATTTACCGGGGAATTTCAACGTAAGTTTCTGGGAACTTGGTTCCGGGGTCTTGGTGGTTCCCACTCTGAGTTTGATGCGAGTTGGGCCGCCCTCGCTGGCTGGAGCTGGCTCAGGTACGGCTCTCCTTGCTGCCTCAAGGCACCGGAGGAAGTGTTGCTACGTTGGGGTTAGCCGAATGGGCAATGTTTTTACAGGAGTTCTGGCATATGGTACCTCAAGTTCGCCAGCCAGTTCAACAATAGCACTTCCATCCTCGTTAAATTCTCGAGCATTTCGCCAGATATAACTGACTTCATCGGCAAAGGCATCCCAGGTCCTAAATGGCGAGATCCTGGGAGTATTTTTCTTTCGGGCAGTGCCACGAACATTTTTCAAGATGGTCCTCAAAGAGGTTGGGTGCTGGATAAAGTCGTAGTATTCCTTGTATAACGTGCGGTCGGGCTTGGACAGAAAAGGAAAGAATACTTCTTCGCCACTTGGAGATGGTCAGTATGGTATCTAACAGATAAGAGTGCGACATGGGTGGCGAGGTATACTCTTCATCTTTCAGGCGAATCATCTCAGATATGATTCTTTCTTGGGCTTGATCGAAAGTGTCTCCTTCAAAGGCATGGTTAGAACACTCGCTTGGCTCAACCTCACGATCTGTCGTTGGAGTGCGATGTGTATGAGCCTGTCCATTTCTCCGAGAGGTCGCTTCACTCTGGTCGGTCCGAGAACTTGATCGTTTGGGGGGAGGCTCTGTAGACACGTCCTCCTCTTCCTCCCCCTCCCCATCGTCCTCATCCTCGTCATCGTCCGGCACCGGTGCAGAAAACGGAACATATTTCTCATCCTTATAAGCCGGGTTGCTCTCGCTCATAAATGCAACAACAATTTTGCGAATCCGTTCAGCATTAGAGAATAGGGTCGATCCCTTCTCATTGTAGGACTTCGCATTGCTGACCATCCTGCGAAGGTCGGCTTCGAGAAGGGTGAGGCAGGGATATTCATGATTTCGGAGCTTCTTCTATATATTGGAAATGAGGAATGCGTCAGCCAAAATCCCTTACTGGGCGGATATCCGCTAGGCTTGCCAGGGGTAATGGCAGACAGCGGATAACGTACGTACCTCAATTATATCCAAGGCAAGAGGAAGCCGGATAGCCGCGAAATACTCCGGAAATTTATTCTATGGAGAGCCACCTGGTTAGCATGAACGAACTCATGGCAGGAGAAAGGAGGACTTCATAGGGGGGGAAACGCACTCGATCAGGAAGATGTAGGAATTCCGGCGAGATAGGATTGTGACTAGATGATAGAGCAGCCGAAAGTTAGCCCTTCGCGCAAGACCGGGAAGAGGCAAGCGACCACATTCGAGGAAGGGACTCACTATTTGTCCTTCGCCGCCTTTATCCTTTCGAGTAATTCCAACCCGCCCTTGGTGGTTTGCTCGGGAGTCTCGTCTGTTTCTGGAACATAGGTCTATGGACGAGAGCAACAGAGATCATTAGTTAAACAACATGTACCAGAAAAGGGAAAACCGCTGCTTCGGATCTGAAGGTGGGAGGGACTGTGAAGGCTGGTTATGTCATACAAGCAGAGGTACAGCAGGAGTTGAGAGCTGGGGAAACAGATTGGATCCAGCCGCGAAACATAGTTGCTGACCGCGCCGCTTGACAAAAGCATGATTTCCACCCCATAGTTAATTGACAGGACCAAAACCACTCCTTGTTAATGAAGCTGGGGCCATTGTTGTTGTGCTCCAGCCACAGACAATGCCTCAGGGCGCGCTTGTGAGGAAGTGTTGGAACTTACAGTGTATCTTCGCCGCTTCGGAAATCTAACTGGAGCCTCTTGAGGCCCTGCGGTGCTGGCTCGCCGTTTCGGCGGCATGGCTCTTATCACTGGTTGGCGTCGGCGAGGATCAGGGCTGGAGCTTTCAAACTCAGGAAATCAAACCAGAGCAGACTGGCAAACAACCAAAGGACATGGAGTGCACAGGCTTTTGAGTAAGAGTCTAGGAGCCCAAAAAAAATGCAGGACCAGAAGCCAAATTTACCGAAAACGACTGAGTTGCGACTGCAGCTCGGTTTGCGAACGCGACTTGGGACTTCAAGCAATCGCTCTGGGGACGTTTCGGGGGCGTCGGCGCTTTGAGAGGCTAGTGACTGTGGCTTGTTCGAGTAGTCACGTGGTTGAATGATTGTCCATGGATGTACTCCGTACAGAGTACCCAGAGCATTGCTTCATTGCAGAGGATCAGTGTGTTCAACCATCTAGCACAATCAAAACACAAAGTGATGATGGAATGACCTTTCCCTGTGTTGTTGCTGTCAGGGCCATGTCAAAGCCACGGAGACACTCCTTTTCCCCCCTTGTTGAGCATGATTGTCTTGTTCCTCTATGAACAATAAGGTTTGGAGTGCGTAACTTTTTCTCACAAAACTGTTGGCTGTTTTGTTTTGTTCGGGGTGCCGGATTTATCATTTTCACCCAATCAGAAGCCAGTTCAAGCTTGCTTTCCCACTCCCACTAGCGCTAGTTCGCTGTAACTTGGTATTGTCGCTTCTGTTTGGTTTCCGCGTCAATAATACCATTGATGCCGCCCTCATTCATCCCGCTCTGCTGTGTCGGCTTTTATCAGGACACTATCACCCCTCCATTCCTGACACTCTTCTTCAATCCCTCCCTGCTCAAGACTCATACCAGCTGGAACTTAAGTCCTGCAAAATTCACATTCTTTTAAACCGGCCCCAGTAAGCCAATTTTCTATTTTTCGCGCCCCATTTGAGTACCCTTGTGCCCTTTACCTCCCCTCATCTCCTTCGGGGGCGCTTGATTGAGCTTGCATGCTGAAATCCCCCCGTATCTTTCTGTGTCATCCAGCTGCTTCGGTCCGAAATATCTGGAGAATTTTTAACTAACACCGGCTCCGATCATAAATTACAGCGCAATTCAGCACGACACCAGCTCCAAACTCTCTCTGTATACCCCGCTCCAGTTCTCGCGCCGATGCCCCGCGCCATGGATATCGACCTCTCCCGTCGCAACAAGAAACCGCGGCTTCTCCTGGAAGCGGAAAGAGAAGAATTGGAAGAATTCATCGATTCAATTCACTACTCGTCCAGGTACGGGATTTTTTTTTCTAGGGTCGATCCACAATAAGCCCTCGGCTCTAACTATCACACAAAAGGTACTCCGATAGTGAATTCGAGTATCGTCATGTCCAGTTACCGAAGAATATGTTGAAGAAGATCCCGCCAGAGTACTTCGACCAGTCCAAAGGAACTCTCAAGCTTTTGTGGGAGGAAGAATGGAGAGGTCTGGGTATTACACAGGTAACACCGCACATATAAAGTTCACCGCTTCAAGAGCCAATCTGACCTTTCATTCAAGAGTCTGGGCTGGGAACACTATGAGGTCCACGAACCAGAGCCACATATTCTCCTATTCAAGTGAGTCTGGCTTTTACCCCCGGCTATCATGGGGAGTTATCACTAACAGCACCCACGGCAGGCGCCCGATTAACTACCAGCCCCCAGCTCAGTAATGATAGCAATACCTCCTCCGTAATGATTCATTCCAGGCGTTCTTGACTTTTTTCACGGGATCCCAGTTGGTTTGGTAACGAATACCATTTTTGTTCAGTAGCATGGGTTAGCGCGCGCAATTGATCGATTTGATACGGAAGAAAAAGTATGTACATGATCTGGGCTTTGTTTGTATTTTTGCACTCGAATTCCTTTCTGTGAGAGTCATCCCAGAGGCAACAGCCTCAGCAAACCCTCCCCCCCGCGGCGCAGTGACTGCCTCTTCTCTATCATTCCAGCTTAAAACAAAATACTCCTGGTTGCGTTGGAAAAGACCTGCCCCCGGCACGGGCCCCATCTTACACAACGCTCTTCTCAAGCCATTCTTCCCATTGTTGGGGGGTGAACTTGCTGTCAATAGACCTTTCTTCGATGCCCTTCGCCCAGATGCTTTTGTTAGACCTTGGATCAATGTTGCTCCGTGTTCAGGGAGGAAAGGCTCACATCAAAGAAAACAGTTGGAGTCACATGGGCTCCTACGACTCTGTTTGACTACTTCTTCCTTAGCCTTTTGCCAAATGTTCCCTGGTCAAACAATAGAGACACACCTTTGTCAAAAACTTGATGTCGTTAGTCACCTGGTTTCCAGTGTTAAGCGACCCGTCTGGCCCCGGCCTATCACTAATTTTGAGCAACCAATACACCTCTCCTTCGTCCAGACCCGTAACTTTGGAGGCTAGCGCTGCCAATCTCTTGTACGTATGGTTTCTCGTCTCGTTCACGACGTTCACGTCAAAATATTCTTTCTGGGCCTTGAAAAGGGCCTCGCTGAAGTCCCAGAACTTCGAAGGCTCCAGCTTCAAAACCACAAGCGCGGCTTCTTGGGTCAGAGTTGAAGAGGGATGCCAGGGTTGGACTTGCGGACGGAAAATAACTTGTAGATATGACCTGTATTTCTTCCGGATGATAGGGATGACGGAATTGTAGAATGTGTCGAAGAATTTGGCGGAGTACTACCCTCGAAATGAGTTAGAAAGTATATGTACTGTACATATGTATTCAAAATGACCTTTTAAGGATATCCATGGCTCTCGACATACCGGACAGACATAGTCAAGATCTGAACGAGCCCAATTTGGCCCCGGTTAGCTTCAGTGCACTCTGCCCCACGTGAAATCACTTACAGATCTCGAGGGTATGCCGTTGCTCAGTGATCCCCGAAGAAAAGAGTTTCAGCCCTGCATACTTTGGTGGAAACGACATGGTGACGGCGGAAGCGTTTTCAATGACTTAGTTCCAGTGGGATACTATACGGTAAGGGTTTCCTTAGATACTATAATTAGGAAGTCGATGCAATCGATGTAGTCGTACAGTTGAGACCCCGCGTCAAGGAAGATGGTCGGCGAGCGTGGGTCAGGATCTTGGAAGATTCTATTAACTACGTCACTGCCCGTGCACTAAGTTCCCTCCACACTGTAGAGCATCAAAAGCAGAGGCTCGTTCAAGAGAATCTAGTGATATTTGGATTTCGATTCTAAAGATTATCACTGATAAAACAACATGCTTTTACCGAGTAACGCCTGGTCCTTGTGTAAAGGTATCTCGTGTATATGTAAAGCCCGCCCATTGATAGTTCCGGATTCCCCCAAGAGAAGGAGAGAAAAGAAAAGAATTATGTAAAGACGATATGGGAACGCCGACTCCTGCCTCCACCCTATTTATAGTCTGAAGAACTGAGTTACGGGCTGGAAAGAATGAATCGAGAAGCTTGTCGAATAAATTATTCGCAAGAGGTCTTTCGGGTATTAGGTGGAAGAGCCTAAGTTAAGTAGTTTATATCAATATCGCATCCAATCCAAACCGCTTCCGAAGGGTCATATAGTGCATTAACATGGACAATACAATCCCCTTTTTGGCCTCGTATAGAGACCATGCCCCACACGAAAAAGCAGCCTCGTGGTATAGATTGGTTTGGCGGCCTGTTTCGCAACAGCTGTTTAAAAGTATCCGCAGCCGCCATGAAATCAGGGTCTGGTTCGGGAACGGTAGAAAGAATAGATTTAAAGCTCGATTTCTCATCAGAACGGAGCTGAGGTGAGGTTTCAATTTTGGGAATAGCCCCTTTCAAAGAGTCACTGGCAGAATAATTCGATTGTTTCTGTGACAGAGCTGTTGACCCGGGATCTCTAGCGCTTGAAGGAGATGATGCGCGCTGTGAAGATCCACTTTCTTGATGTTGCTCCTGAGCTGGGTTTGAATTATCCGCAAGAAACGATCTAAGTTTCGCTATTTTCAATTTGAAAAATGTCTGTCCTGCCCCAACCAAAGAGAGGACAAAGGCTGAAGGGACTATGATATCCCGAAACCTGGCCCCTTCATCCATTGGAATTTGGCGTGTCACTGTATCGACAGTGCCGTCGTCGTGAATTTCAAATCTTGCAAGTGGACGGCAACAATCAGTACAGAAGTGGGCGCATATCACGAGAGATGGTATATACATACCCAAGATGGCGGTACTCTGGGGGTGCTGTGGTCGGAAATATTGGGTTAAGCATGGCTTGGTTGATCCAAGAAGGCTGGCCTAGCCGGTCGGAGACCAGCGGATGCCTCGTCAGAATCGTATGCACAATATCTGCCAGCTCAGCTACTCGACCGTTAGCCAATCGAGACAATGCGATCCCACCTGACCTCCTTTCACGTACCCTGCAATTCTGATAACCACTGCTCATCCTCTGCAATCTTGACAAAGGCCGTCCACTCCGGGCCGTCTCGGGTGTAGCGTGGGCCGTCCACAAGGCTCGGCATGGCCAACGGAATAAATAACGGATCTCGGTCATGTTCTGCGCGATCTTCCCTATCGGGTACTTTTTGCTCCGTCTCCCATTCGATTTGTGACTCCTCATCCTCATCCTCATCGCTGTCGTCAAGAAAGTTGAGAAAAGGCCTCCAGACAAGCTTGTTCCATGCGGCGATGGCGAACCCGTAGGCTAGACATTTGAAGAGAAACCGCCTTCAATACCAGTAAGCTAAAGTCATGTAAGGAAGGGGTAGTAGGGAAGCATGATAATCAACCTTCGCGCCGGAGCCTGCTTAAACCTGACCCTTTTGACCTTTACCAAGCCATCCTGACGGTGTAACAGTCGGCGAAACGGCGGAGAAATCAAAGGGCGACTACGAATGAGTTGTTGGCGAATGGGGAAGAATCGTATAGGAAGCGGAATCATCTGGATGAAGTTCGGGATGGAAATCGCATATTGAGGGGAGTTGACCGCGGAGAGATCGGGGGGTAATATGTCCTCTCTGTTATGCGCAGTAGAACTGAACGAACAAATGTTGAAAGCTTCGGGTCTAATAAATGAAGATAGAAATACTTAATTTTCCAACACTTTAAATAAGAAAAGAATGGCTGCAGAATTTCAGCGATAGAAGGTCGGCAGACCGCTCAAAAAGTGAACAAAGTCGGCGGCCGATCAACCCCGTCACTCATCTCCTTACAGCGGCCTTGCGCGCCAAGCCCCATCATCGTCGCTGATCAGATGCCCAACGACAACCCGTCCTCACCCACCCATACCAAGCTCTGTTTGAGCAGAACGGCCACAAAGCAGGTCTTAGGCTATCATCTTCGAGCTCGTTTCTAAGATTTAAGATTTAACGTACCCTCCTGTGTGACATATTTCTAATTCTTCCGCAACGACACACCGGGGCGCGGTTGAAAGGCCCGGGCCCATGCCAGGATGAAAAAGCTCCTCCCCTACCTCATAGTAGGCTTCGCCGCAGCAGCTACAGCATTTGCCGAAGATGTGACGATTTTTATGCCAGATACTACACCGACCTCCGGCACTCCAAGTGACCGGCAAATCCGCCCGGATGTCGCTAGACTGGTGCTCGCGAGACGGCTGGGATGGCCCGGAAGCTCGTTGGCTGGACACGTTGACGAGGGTATATTACGAGATTTAAATGAATTTGGAGGGCAACAACCTACATTATTTGGAGATTCAGATCAAAGGGAGAACCATCACAAGCTGCTTGTTGTAGTACAAGGGTTTGACCCAGTTGAGGGTATGCGATCTGTGCCAGACATTCCTCAACCACTACGACGATCTATTCTAACTGATTGCTTGATGTCCCAGATGCGCACATGCAAACAAAGCTTGATCGTGTCAGAGTAGCTGGGGCTGAACGTGACTTTATGGAGACTACGTTTCTCAGCGGTCTTCTCTCAGAACCCTCTCCGCGGAGACCTACGTCTCGAGTATGCTCATATCAATGGGAAGTAGACCAATTGACAGCGGCCGATTTGGTGTTTAGAAATAAGGTATGATGAATGTGGTAATTTCTTTTGCCTGTTGGCTGACGAATATCGTAGGAAGGATTAGACTGTCCTTCAAAAACGCCGTTTGTTGAGCAATTCATGAACACGCTTTTCGAAGACGGTGATATGGAAAGCTTCCGGAGCGTTGTGCGTACTTATTTCGGAGATGCATCCCCCGAGCCTGGACAGCAAGTCTCCGCCATTCTCAGGCTCAGCCCTCTGCCCAAGGTAAGCAGTAACGCCAGCATCGCGTTCGGTAACAAGAACAGCTACTGAACGCTTCTCTCAGCACCCGAACTCCCTCTCCACCTATAACCATATCTTCCCGGTTCTGGCTCTCGCAGAGACGTCTATAATGGAAACCACCGTCGTCGCGTTACCCGGCAACACCTGGAAAACGTCTGCATTCACGAATCTAGATTCCGCCGTCCAGCCACTCGCGGACTCACACAAGCGCCAGCCCAGTCAACTTTACTCGGCCCTTCCCCGCGATTCAAATTCCACGAAACCCGATGACAAGCTCTCCACCCTCCTCCCTATCTGCTACGCGACCAACGAAACCTGCAACGCCCGCACCAACTCCTGCTCCGGCCATGGCTACTGCTATCTCAAGCGCCAGGGCGCCGCCAAAGGAAGCGAATGCTACGCATGCAGATGCCTCCGCACCGTCGATCACACCAATTCTAAAGACGGATCCAAGAAAACAACCCAATGGGGTGGACCGGCTTGCCAGAAGAAAGATGTGAGCATGCCATTTTGGCTATTGGGTGGATTCACGCTGCTATTGGTTGTCAGCATCTGGTTGGGCGTGGGACTGCTGTGGCAGATGGGACAGGAAGAATTGCCGAGCGTGCTGAGTGCTGGAGTTGCGGCTCCAAAGACGCAGAAGTGATGGATTGCTTATGGATGTCTGCATTCTTCCTTTGAACCATATACGGAGTACACGTACTCCTACTTACTCTCCACGCCATGTCGCTTTTTATTGTGATGGGGGTACGTATTTAAATTGCGAGTCCGATCCCCTGAAAACTTCCCCCCCGCGGGGGCCCATTTTTTTTATATTTTTTTTCCCTTAAATTCTGCCGGCATCTGGTTGTACATGAAGTAATATGGTTATCCCAGGGCTTCCTTTATTTTTGGTCTCCTGTATAATAAGTGCATGACATTTGTTGGGCCATGTACGTGGTTTGTGTTACAAAAGAGCGGTCACATGCTAGCTGCTATTTCCATATTCCGATACACCGGGTGTGCTACGAGAGAACAGTGTAGCTTTGGCATAAATGTGAAGAGTGCTTGATTGCTTTGGCGCAATATTACCATATAAATCCTATATCAAAGCTAAAATAGACAATCATATGTCGAATTACTCGGATATAAATCATACGGAGAGCGGATCATAGGAATTACCCACGCCCCATACTCTCCCAATCGAACGCCAATCAACAAAAGAGGAAATCGTATGGACACTGGAAGATATTAATCTACGGAAGGTGAATATGGTACGGGGGGTATCATGGATGGGGATTAATAGAACCAGGAAACGATGCACAACTTGTGTACACGTCAGGATGTGATGACTGAAAAGCTATAGATGCTCGGAGCGGGGGAGGAGGGGAGAGACCGTGTATCACGGAGGTCCAACGGAGCGAACGGTCTCGCATTGATAGATGAACGAGAAATTCCACGATATGCCAGGGCTCAATGGGCCTCCTATCAATCGCAAGCCCAATAAATGTACCGGAAAAAAAAAAATAAAACTCCAAGCAAATAGGGGAAAAAGAGCATACGCAAGAAACAACGCTAAGGACAATAGTAGAAAATGCAATATCCTAAATCATAAGACCCAACCTGCCCAGTCGAGGAACATAATATGAACTAGTCAATCGTAAATGTGTTTCGTGAAGAGGCATGTAGCGGTAGAAAGGAAAGCGGGGAAGAGAAAATTCGGCCGCTGGCGTGCGGTATGGTATAACAGAAACGAGGAGACATGGCGGTCGACGCGTGGAGCAGCCTCGAAACTCTGCAACGATGAGGGCAAGTAGCCCATCAGTTATATTTTGATTATAGAGGAGATTTCCTGGAACCGAGCAAGGGTCCGATTTGGGAGGATTATCATCGTGTGCCAGATTCAAGTTGACCAGGAGTGGTTTCGGTGTCCTGGCGATTGTGATCCGGACCCGGCCGTGATCTGTTCAACGACGGTAGGTTAATGCGAGGCATAGCCAAGGACGGTAGTCTCGGTCTCCACGCTGTTCTCGGAGAGTCCTGATTCGTAGCAACATTCGGAGAATCCCTACGAGCCGTTTGCTCTCGGTTAGCTCTGGAATCTCGTGGCCCACGAGAATATCCATTCCGACTGTCCGATGGAGCAATAGTGATGAATCGCCCTGGAAGCACCATTCGGGTTGAAAATGGGTGTAGACGGCCGGCAACATATACCGGCTCTGGCTCTGTCGGGCCGTTAGCCCGATCGGCGTTCCTCCGGCCACTTTCCTGGTTGCCATCGGAGCCATCAGGACGAGGTTTAGGAACATAGTAATCCGCCTTGCAGAGCGGGCAGCATGCTCGACGGCTAGTCAACCAAGGGTCAAGGCAAGAAGCGTGGAAAGCGTGGCCACAGGTTAAACCACGAACATCGTCATCATCCTCGATGCCATCCAGGCAGATGGCGCAGGAATCTCCAGGATTTGCAAGTAGCTCCGCGGGCACAGCTGCATGGATTGGATCATCGTGATCGTCATCCCCATCCAGATGGTTCTTGTCCACGTCTGAAGCGGGTGCTGGTGAATATTCCTTTTGCTGGACCCCGGATGGATGACTTTCCGAAATCATTTGCATGGTCTCCTTTTCTGACTGATCACTGTTCTGCAGGGTTTTACGTTCATTGTGGATAGCACCTGAGGGTTTAGCGTGGTCGTCAATTGTCTGGCCATCAGCTATATCGGGGAGAGCCCCAGAAGCATGTTTCAAGCTCGCAGGCCTGCTTCCAGGTGGTGGTTCTATTCCTCCAGCGGTGGGGAGTCCTTCGTCAGCCCGAGAAGCACGCCAGGATTTGTATTTTGTAAGTGGGAACCGGTTGTTGACCTCATCCATGGTCATGAGTTTCTTTTCTCTCCTTCGTCTGTGGGTCCTTGGAACAGCAATGAGGTCAATTGGATCGCCTGCTTCTTCTGTTCGTAGTTGTCTGTGGCGCTGATTGTAGCGGAAACAATATTTCACACCAACGATGATCCTAAGCGACAATTTCCGGGTGTCAGCGGGACATGATCTATACTTGTACCCGGGCAGGCAAAGAAGCACATAAAATTTAGACACGACAGCCAAAAGGGAGCATTAGGCATACCAAAGATTAGTGAAGACAACGCCAAATCCCAACGCGACGAAGAATAGAAGTGGCTGGCTGTTACCCCCGGAGCCCGAGCTGGGGGTACTGGTAGGTGTTTCGGTAGGCACCGACATGGTGAATTGTGTATTCAGCGAACAGGATGAGCTGCTATTCACGCTATATACAGCGAAGGCAGACAACTGACGGCTCTCGGCTCCTGGCTCTCACTCGCGAACGAAGCAAATACAGCGGAATCCAAGAATCCAACCAGCCCGGCATGGAAATACGTCGTGTGAGCAGATACAGGGATTTAGCTGCAGAAAAGAAAGAAAGAGAGAAAAGAGGGATTTGAGGGCACAGCGACGGGAGTGGATATCGGGGAGGGTATGTGGTGGAAATTAATCTTTGTTGAAACGCGAAAGAAGCTACGATAGGACGAAAGTCGGGAAATCGGAGTCGTTCGGACACTTTCAATGGTGAACAACACTTTTAGCCATAGGACACGGACGAGCCAGGGTGAACAGGAACATTATCGAGCCATAGCCAGCTCGCAGTAGCGGCGTGTGTTGTTCCTCTGAAATGACTAACGATGTCGAGAGGTTGCGGAATAGAAGAAACAAAGTTTTGAAATGAGCGGGAGCGCCGGAGGTTGTATGTATATACCCTGTACAGGGAGTTTGAACGAGTGGGATGCGAAAGCGGTGGAACTGGCGATTGCAGAGAGCGGGCGCACAGAGAGGAGAGACAGGCGTTGCGATGGAGAGGATGGAAGAGGATGGCTGATGTTGGCGGTTGTCGTGTGATGGGGGGGAAGAAGAAGATGAAGAGATGGAAGAGCGAAGCAGCGAGAGGCGACGCAAGGCAGTCCGTGGAGGGCGCTGGCAAGTGGGCCGTGTTTCCAGTCGTTACGGCGTTTGTTACGTGGTTGCATTACACGCTTAGCCCTGTTGGGACGGGAGGAGTTCCCCGATCCGGCTTAGCCCGAACCAGAATGGGCGCGAGATGTCATGTCGGACGGTAACTTTACCGTGGCGGGCCTAGCGCGGTCTCGTCGTTTCCTCGGCGTATGTATGTAAATTCCGTTTCTTTCAGAGCCGCCCCGTCGCCGTCGTTCGCTTTCACCACCATCATCGCGAGGATGGAGGGCATCGACAATAGCGCCGTTGTGCTGAACTGTCCCTTGGGCAAGGAGTACACACACAGAGGAAGTTGCAGGACTGAGTTACACCGCGGGGACCTGGTCAGAGAGAGTTTTCGGGAATCTTCCTCCCGTAGCATGCCTTTTCGCCTCCTCGATGAGAGCCAAGCATCAAGGATTCCAGAGAACAGCCACAATCAACCCAGGGAATCAGATTTGTTTCGCCCAAAGTATATTACGGCGGATACGGAGCATGTTTCCCGATCAGCCGACCGTGACAAGGCATGTCTGATCCTCTGAAAACAATGCTATGCCTACAGAGCGCACAAAGCTTTGTAGAAACAACCATCAATTGTGTGAGAGTGTCAATAAGACGGCCGCAATAAAGCGCTCTGGCCTGGTGAAAGCACGGGTGTGGCGGGCGATTCGAGATGCTCTTCTGGAGTGATCACCTGCACATTATTGTAGTGGTTTGTTTCCAATCTCCCCTTGGCAAAAACGCTTGTTGGTCGTTGGTTGATCCGCAGCAGCCCGATCGACACCCAAAAAGAAACTATCTCGGCGACCTGCAAATCTCCCTGTCCGGCTGTGTCAGCTTTGAAACAACGCAGTTTGGGTCTTTTGTTCACTCCTCTGCTTGAATGGTTCTTCAACTACCGATCCTCTACAGGTTACTCTGTACGTGATGGCACAATGGTTTTCTCACTGTTTCTTAAACACATTGACCAAGAATTACACTACAAAAATGATTACTCGATGGGGCTGTCAGTCAAGGGAATGATTTGAACCAACAGGCAAAAGGAAAAAGGAAGGGGAAAAAAAAAAACAAAGCAAAGGGCAAAGGACAAAAAGCATTGTTTGTCTTCAAGTCATTTGATGGCTGTGAATACTCCGTACTATTCCTCCATACGGAGTCCGGAGTAACTTTACATCCTGCATGTCGAAACTCCCAACAGAGACGCTCCCGACACATTATTGCGGGGACCCGTAAGGAGCTACAAAAGCGGGGAATGGACCCTGTGCATCATCTTTCGAAGTGGGACACGTCAAAGGTAACAGTGATCGAAGTCTTAAAAAACGGGATAGGGGAACATATATTCCAGATCACGATTCACAGGGTCTCCGTCTTACGCATTCGGCGGACTCGTCAATTCCATCAGAGCATGAAACATTGTCTCAGGGAAAAAAGGAAGGCCTTTGAAAGACCTAACAGTATTGTTATAGGGAGCGTGCAATCGCCTTCTCCTTGTCTTCCTCGATCCATTGCTGATGGAGCACGTGATATCGTGAGGAATCATTCCAGTCTGGTGCTCCGCAGAACCACGCCTTTTTGTCTGACGGGAACGAGTGAGATTAACCTTCATACAATTTGTGTTTAACTCGCTCAACGCAACCTTCCAAGCCCCAACCGCCGGCTCTTTCTTTCAGACTTACATAATACAACCGATTCCGCTGAAGAAGTTCTATTTATATCAGAGTGCGAAGCCATGGAATATTCCATTCCTATTTGGTGGCTCCGTATACCGATCCAGGGGTGCTGCTCAAGCCTTCGATTCGCCAACCATCGATGCTGGGTGTTGGAAGGTGTTGATTCTCGCCTCGGTTAGTTAATAATTCTGCCGGCCGCATCAGCGCCAATGACACAATCTGCCTCCTCTGCGGGAAGCTTTCCAGGCGGGCCGTTCTCTTCTGGAGAGTTGCAGGTTGCCCCATCCTCCTGCGCCCCTTCCAGGATACTGTAGCCCGGTGGGCCGAAGCTTTGTGAGTCCGCACAGCCGCAAAAGATTCGAGACGGTCAAGAGGACCCTCCGTCCACCGACAATTTGTCAATGAGCCTACGGGGTATAGCTCCGCAAATGGGGAGTTATTTTAAATTTCGACGTCCATTCTAGTTCCTAAGGTTGGGGAGAACAAGGTGTCACAGAACAACAATTTTGTCTTAATGATACGCTGGCTAACAACTTCAACTACTTCGAAAATGGTTGGTAATGCAGTGGGATCTGTGCTTCGCCTAGGTACGTTGATCCACCGCCAAGGGTTGAGGCCCGGAAATTTTGGTGAAGCTTTCGAGCGACGTCTGAGGGCGATGGGAGCCCGCTGTTTCTCCGTAATTGCGAGAGAGAAAGGAAAAAGATTGAACTTTCGCAGCCAGTTAAAACAAAGGAGGCCACGGGTCTACAGGCTAATATTAAGGCCGGGCCCGCCGTGCTATTGCCCTGCTCGTATCCATGGATTCCAAAACCCGGTGTCACTAGATCCGGTTTATTCACTGATTTTCGTGCATTTCACTTGACTTGGAAGTGTGGTTGCTATACAGTCACAAGAGCTCTTCCCTCTAGATACACGGTACCACTCTTCTCCTACTGGGCAATAATATCTACTTGAAACCGCCATGATGCTGAATTGCCTGTTGCTTTGACTATTTTGAACTTGCCTGAGCTCTAGAATGGTAAGTATATTTCAAGATTGAGTGGTGATTTATATCAATCTTGGGCAACCCAGTTCATTCGTTGCAGGCAATGCCTCTACTAGTAATTTTCACATTCATATCATGCTGGATCGTGAGCCCATAATTCTTCCACTTAAATGGCTCAACAGGATCCAACATTACAAAATCAAAGCGGCGGAAAAGCTACGGCAGAAATTCCCTGAATCAGTCGTTGTTTACAGGCCGACACATGGTAATTGACGAAAACTCTTACCTCAAATATTGTTTTCTCCATCTCCATATAGGCGAGCCTTTTGCCGAGACACTCCCATCTTGTCCCAACCGCGAACACCAAGCCGTGTGTTCCCTCCATTCGCTTCAGCTGTACGGGATCCGCGTCAATCCAGCGCTGCGGCTCAAACGTCCTCGCGTCCTCGCCAAAGACGACCCGGTCCTTCATTAGCGCTAGCGGCGCCCACGCGACTTGCGTCTTTGCCGGCACCCGGATCCCGCAAATTATGTCGTCTTCGTCAGATATCTTCCCCATCATCCCCATGATTGGCGGCCAGAGACGCAGTGTTTCTTTAATGCACGCCTGCAAATATGGGAGTTGCTTCGCTTCCTGATCTGCGATGACTGGACGAGTGACCGCCTGCGCGGCGGCATCGATTTCTTCCTGTAATAAGCGGTAGGCACGCGGATGAGTGGCGATGTAGAATATTATATTCCGCAGAGCTGTTGCCGTCGTATCTGTGCCGCTTAATAGCTGGACGAGCGCTTCAACTTCCACCTCGGATTGGCTCAGGCCCGAGTCGACGAATGATTGGAGGACATCATTGTTGCGGACCTTCTCTGGTCCGTACCGTTTGTCAACGTGCGTCTTGACGATGCCCATAAGCCAGCCTGCGCCGCGCTTGTCAGTCGCTTTAGGTACAAATGGCTTCATTATAAAAATTTGGAGAATGTCTACTACTGTGGGTAAAAGTGCGAGGCAGTGAAACGGTAGGATTGCGGATCGGAATGTCTTGAAGAAGCCGAAGATATCTGTGTCAGCTTCCAGATAGCCAACCGCCTTCCCAAACCCAATGGCTGTGATCACGTCTTGGGTAAGATACTGCATGGACTGGCCCATGTTCCATGGTCTCAGCGCATTGCGCGTTGAGATGTACCTGCTCCTGATTAGCGCGACAAGCTTCCCGACCTGCTCGTCTATGACCTGCTCCTGGTTCTCAATGCCCTTTGCAGCATATCCTGGCAGTAAGTAAGATCGTGTCCGATGATGTGTCTTATTCTCGCAAAAGGTAAGAATACTGTCCCTTGTTGGGTCTATTCGAATTGCCTTATACCACGGCGAGCGGTAATACCCAGAGCGTACACCCCAGATGCGTCGGATCTCGCTTGCATCACTGCATACCACCCAGTCAGGGCCGATTCGGACAAGAGGACCTCAACATTTATCAGTACCAGAAGTTCCAGTAAAGTGGAAATAAACCGCTTCCTACCGTATTCATCACAGACATCCTTTAACTTGTTGCATAGCCTGCCAGAAAAAAGATGACGGAGAAGCCACAATCTACTCCATCCTACTCCTGGAGGTCCCGGTATATGGCGAAGACGGTACCAACTGACAAACCGTGTGATGACGGAGTATATAAATAGGCCCACACCTCCAATAACCAATATTGTGCTGCTTAGCAGAACCATGGTTCCTTGAGAGAACGGCCAACTACGTCGACCTTGGTCGTTGTGTCGCTGCGCTCCTGGGAGATCTGAACAGGACAGTATTTAAATGTCGTGCGTTTCTCACAGGCAAATCTGTGGTCTGGCTCTATATGGCGCGCGACGGCAGGGCATTCGATTATCACCATGTGAAATGTTCCGTAACCCCTTCCTGTCCTCCGTACAATTCCAGCAATCTTTCTGTGGCCCGTTACTCCGCTTCTGGGTGAATATATATGTGAGAGACCAAAGGGGATGCTGGACTCCCGGGCCAACGCACTAATGTGTTGAGGTGCTAGGTCCCCGGAGGGATGGGTATCGATACAGCTGATTTGTGCAACTGGGTATTTCTGCTCCGGGCGGAGCACATTCGGAAGACGTGCGACTCAGCTGCGAATTCTCACCAATATAAGTAGTTCTTTTAAATCACTCCATACTCCAGACTTAGTCATTCACTAGTTATGCCACCGGTGAATCTTGGCAAAAGGAGCCTGGAGCGATACACCGGAATTGATGTGAAGTAGCTTTTGATCCTTGCGCTGGGAGAAATAAATGGGGCGTTCATCCAAGTCACTTCAACAAAGCCGGACATCTGAAGTCTAGAGCGTGATGCCAATAATTAAACTTTCGGGTAGAGCCTTAAGTTCCTCAGGGACGTGCGCTGACAGGGGGTGACTGCAGGCTTTGTTAGCCCTCCAGAACAGCTCGTTGCCAGTTGACCAGACACTGCTCTCGCTTGTGCAGGAGCCTCGAGCGCGCAGTCAGAAGTATTCAATGGAAAAAAAAAAGAAAAGAAAACAAAAGAAAACAAAAGAAAAGAAAAGAAAAAAGTTGAAATTTGAGGACATGAGACTCATTCCAATCCCGCGGGATATGGTATTTTCGGCGCCGGAAGTCAAATAGGCGCTTCGAGATGGACTGGCTTGCTTTGTGCTCGGTTAGCCTTAACTCAAAATGCTCTTCTCCAACAACAGAATCAAAGGCTCTGTCTGCCCTTGGACTCGATTGTTGGGTTAACTATTCTCTACTCCGTACTCAGAGTTGATGGTCTGGTTTAACTATACGCCTACGTGGACTTCAGTTTATCATGCACTCACTGAAAGACCTCTTCTCTGGAGCATTGATTATTGCTAGCGCCGAACGAGCACTGGTGGCGAAAATACCACCCGCCGATCCATATCCACCCTGCTGGTGGGAGATACATAGGCACCATCCGGAATGATGTCACACGAGAAACTTATTTGAAAGAAACAACAATGCAGAATAGCGTCGGTATTACTCCGTACAAACGCCATTTTCTTCGAGTTATTACTAACCATAACCTTGTGTCTAACTATTCGCAGTCAGGAAACCAACAACTGGGGCACTCCGCAAAGCCTTCAATAGCCTCACACCTTGCTAAGCACCTTCGAATTTTGGCGCAGGCGTGCCCAGAGGATCAGGGCGGAACCTGCAAGAAACGCGCCTGCATACATGGAGAGTGCGAGATAGCCTTTGGGAACTAAGCGCCCACTAATTGGAGTGCCGACAAGCCCGCTACAGATTGGATTTGGTTAGCCGACTGTTTATCGTTGACAACGCTAGCCGGACTTACGGAAGAGCAGGGGCGATCATGAGAAGTCCGATCGCGGTGCCACGAGACTCCGGCGTGGCTAGCTGCACCGCACAAGGTGTTTGCAAAATGAACATAGCCTAGGAGTTGACGTTATTAGGTACCTTTCGCACTTCGCAGGGAGATATGCTGTGGGGAGGATAGGCATACACCAGAAGTATAGCCATAAGCCAAAGCGAAGATTATAATTGCCGCCTTGCTGGTGGCCTTGGTCCAACACATAGCAATTACACCCGTGAGTGCAGTTGTAACGAAGCACAGGTTGAGATTCCCGTACTTGTCGGCGAGATACCCCGTCGACACTCTTCCCACTAGGGAGGCGCCGGTGAGCATTGAGATGAGGTAAAACGCTAGACTGGCCGAAAGACCATTCGCCACTGCATACGTCGGGATAAAGAACAGTGGTGCGAAGAGACCAAATGTTGCGACAGACAATCCGATACAGAGCAGGATGAAAGTGGGATTTTTCACGATGGAGATATCGGGCTTTTTTTCCTTGCTGGGCCCGTTATTTGCTCCCCTGTTGGCATTGTCTGCTTGCCTCGCATCGTTCCTCTTTGAAGGCACTCGAATTGCTAATGTGATGAGAAGGCAGAGAGGTATCATCACAGATCCCACGATTCGGAATGACCAGCCAAAGCTCCTCTGATGCTTATTCAAGAGCTGATCTAGCATGATTGGCCAGATAATACCACCAATCGACGACCCAGCGATCATGATGCCTGTCGCAGTACCCCGATATTTGTCAAACAGATGCGAACACTAATGTCCCATTCTACTCAGGTAAAGGGCATCAACAGGCAACGGTTGGAATGGGACTCACGTGAACTCGCTTTTACGGCTGTTGTGGCACTCTCAATCGCCGCCATAGGCAGCGAGGAATGATCTGGAGTAGTTGGAAGGGACGCCAGCTCTCTCTCTACCATGTTGACTTAAAGATCGCTGCCACGGCAAATACAGCAAAAATAAGATATATTTCCGGATGATGTCTTGAGCACAATGGTCAATGCTCTATGGAATCAGATGAGCATTTCACGATTGTTGCTCCTTTATACAAACTGTTGGGCCGATCTAGGGTGAATATAATGAGTGCTACGGGCATCGCACCGGAGTCCTCGGGCGGTCCTCGGATCGGGCTGTACCTGCTATGAGTGCGTATTGCAGTTGGCCGATGCCTCATCCTGTCCTTCTGGATTCCGCTGAGTGGAATCCCGCCCCGGGCTCCTGGACCTGGTGCCAAGACCCCTTTTTCCTTCCTTCCGCGGACTCTCCGCGGAAGGGGCCCACAGGAATCCAGCGCACCAATCAGGGGGCCGAAACAAGATCCAGTTTATTCAGACGGAATATATTGTGCAAGGCATAACTTCCATCCTCAACCTGAATTGGGGAAGAGTGAAGCTAGCATTGGTCAGATCTATGACTGTCGAGTTGAATAGAGATGTCTAAAGGCGGATGGGTACTCCCGGACCCTAGCCGGTTTTCATCAGGCTCTCCGATAACAGGAATAAGACGGTCAAAAGATCCACAATAATGATGCCGGACGTGCCAGGACCGGGTCAAGATCTCTCAAGGATATACGGAAATTGTGCTTACCTCGTTTGACTTGAAATCGTAAAAGTTTCTGTTGAAATACGGAGTAAATAGACACCAAGCAACCGTCTATTCATAACCGTGTAGGAGATACGCAAATTAAACGAGAGATGAATCACCGCTAGTATATATGCAATATCCAAAAGTACCCTGGATGGTAACCTGGTTCTCAGGTAATCTCTTGCCGAAGGTGCTGAGATCTCTTGAGCTGGTGGCCGCCTACGCTCTTGGTTGACCTGAGAACACAATGTAACCTTCCGGCTAGAACTGAAGACAACGCGTAATTAGCAGCGTGATTGCAACCCATGGCTAGGACTGTACTCTCCGTACAGTATGAGTCCAAGCGCGAGGAATCTCGAGTACAGTGAGAAGAACTTCCGACGTGCCCCACGCTTCTATGCTATGTAAAGTTTGTGTAGAATGTGCATAGAGTTAGGCGTCCATGCTCCCCGCGCTCGTCCCGGGTCGTCCCACTGGACGGATTGACTGCGCCTGCGCAGTCAGGGGGTTCTTGTGCTTAGTGCGCTGTTTTAAACGGTTCGTCGTTTGGGCCTGTTTGACAAAGCGTTTAGAACTTCGCTTGGAGAGTAAACGAAGGCTATTGGTCTTTTTGTGTATCATATGGTGGCTAAGAGCAAAAAGTGTGACCGGTGTGTCCGCGCAAGGTCAGGAAACGCTCGGTGTTTAAGCGGACGAACTTGGATGGATTGATGAATAGTGCGCGAACATGAAAGATTACTCTGAAGATTTGAAGTATCCTGAAGGACAACGCTGAATGGCTTCGTTGGCTTGTCGGCGACGATTCACTGGAACCATGTCGCCTTGTCGGTATTAATTGATGGAATATGTGGGTAAGAGATGAATTGGAATTGTGCAGACAGTTGGTGTCCGCGAAACATCAAGAACGGCTCCCCTTTCTATTCTCAGCTTTGTTCGCAAGGAGCTCAGTGCACCTTGTGTGGAGCTGAGACGCGAGCTGTGACAGATGAGGTTGTCGTCGAACTCGAGAGCAAACGAAGCTAGTCCACGGTTAACTTTGTTGGCCCGACCGGGCGAATGAGTTAGTGCCACCCTCAGACAAACTCACGACTGCCATGCGGACTTCTCGATCTCAAGGGGAAGATCTGAGTCGCAGAAGGATGAGTTTGATGGCTGTCACTATGCTTGGCGAAGCTTGACGGTTTCAATTCTGCCCGGTGAACCACTTCGCCTTTTCCTGTCCCTGTCTTCAAAAAGGAACTCTAGCATATGATAAGAGTGCTTTGGGGGCCTCCTGTGTCAGCAATATGGGCAGTTTCATACTTTTGCCATCCGCGACCTATCTTTTTGGATTTACTAGGTACGCCCCGTTGAGCGCTAGGGGATTCATATTTGCATCATGGTGGGAGTTCTTTCAGTGTTTTCCGGCTTATTCCGCAGCCTTTTTTTTTTTTTTTTTTTTTGGCTGCGTTCTACCTCCGAGACACCGTCATCTGGCAAGGCTGGATACTTGTACTAGGCTTCTTTGGGTTTGGGCCTCGCGATATCTTGCTATTTCACAGTGGTAGAGAAAGTGGCGCCCCCGATGCAGCATGCCTCGGGGTTTACGATGTCCACCAACCTCGCGATGATGAAGAAAGATGAGACGTGTAGAGTTGGAGCCCTTGGTTAAGTGGGCTCAAAAACAGTGGATGATATGGGGGCGCACCTCGGAGAATCTCTACTCACATGCTTGTACTTTCCCTATGCCTCTGTTATAAGAATGGTGGTGAGCCTCGTTCAGAGGAAGGACTCTTATGAAAGGATCTGCCGCAAACATTGAATTTGGTGTCCCGTTACGCATATCTTTTCCTTCCTTCGATTTGCTTTTTTAATTCTATTCTTAGCTTTGACAGCCCGGCAGTGGGAGGCAGGTCTTTCCACGCCTTATAAAATATGAAGTTCAGAAATTCATCCCTTCTTTTTGCGCTCATCGCGGCTGCAGACTTAGCGGCAGGTCACGGTGCCATCGTCAGCGCCTCCGGAGACCAAGGCGGACAAGGGAATGCTATCGGAAGTGAGAGAATCACTGGTCCTATATGCTCTCACGATGAATGCTGACATTCTGATGTAGTCGACCAAAACACACCCCGAGATGGAACAAGGCGAAGGCCTTTCCAACAGGATACTACCCGCTTCCGCGGAAGTCAGAGGAACACATGCGGAGAAACATTGCTGGTAGGCCCAAGTCATGTTCGTCTTTATAGAGGGTACTGACCTTGTTTTAAAGAATGGTGACAATGATATTGAAGCCGGGACCCAAAAGGTTATGGACGACAACGGAGGGACCCTTCCTCAGGTTTCTCCCGGTGGCGAGCTTCAAATGACCCTACATCAAGTCAATGCCGATGGTGGTGGGCCGTACAAGTGTATGATTGACTCTACTGGAACTGGAACTCAGTGGCAAGACATTCAAGTCACTCAGAATGTTCCCGGTCGGCTGGGTATCAATCTTCGTGGTCGTAAAACCGACTTTGTAAGTTGAAACATTTGTCTTGTTCTTAGTACCGACTATTTAAAGGAAAGATGGCTAACTCCGCCGATAGCCTTTAACTGCCCAAATTCCAAACAATCAGGAATGTACAGGCACAGTTGCAGGTCAGGAAAATGTTTGCATGGTCCGCTGCCAAAATCCCGCGCTCGCGGGGCCATTCGGGGGCTGTGTTCCTGTTCAAATGCAAGGCGCAGCAACTGGTGGCAATCAGGGCAATAATGGTAATGGGACTAATGGGAACAACGGCGGGAATAACGGCGGAAACAATGGCGGGAATAACGGCGGAAACAATGGCGGAGACAACGGCGGGAATAACGGCGGAAACAATGGCGGAAACAATGGCGGAGACAACGGCGGAGGCAACGGAGGAGATAATGGGGGGAAGAACGGTGGGTTTCTCGGTGGCTTCCTTGATGGCGTTCTCGGAGGTGGTGGTGGTGGTGGTGGCGGCGGTGCTGGAGGTTTCCTCGATGGCATCCTTGGAGGGGGAAATAATAAGGGTCAGAACCGAGGCGATCAAGACCAAGATCAAGGAGGACAACAAGATGACCCGTCTTTTGATGCAGAAGCTGATAGGCAAGCGGCAGATGCTGCCGAAGTCGAGTGAGGGACGTTTTCACCCAGCCGGCAACCCATCTCAGCAACGGGCGATTTACCCCTATCAGCTGTCCGCTTTCAACTCTTGCGATCGATGTTTCGATTTTATTCTTCTCATTTCAGCATTCAGATATCTACAAACCGCATAATTCTAGCTATGTCTCGAGAGTAAATAGTAATTCGAACGTCTTCCTCTACTACTGTGCCGCAGATGAAGCCAGCTATGTTTGCCTTGTTTGCAGTACTTAATTAGTTAACTAGTTACGCGGATTATTACTTTCCCCGATCGCCCGTTGAAATGGATCTTTATCTATCCATCTGTGGTAGCACGTTGGCGGTTCTGCAGTATATTATCGGCACTTCCTCAGGGGCGAGTAAATAAACTCTCTGATATCGTTCTCTTTTGCAATTCTCGCCCAGTATGGCGCAAAGAGCTACAGCTACCCCTCCTCAGAATGGCCCTAACCCGATTGTATTTTTTGACCTATCCCTAGGAGGTAAGCCATTCCGAACGAGTTTCCCCGTCGGGAGGTGCTATTAGTCCGAATACGGAGTCCCGAACATTTGGTCCAAATGCGTGAAAATGAGTGGTCAGAAGAACTGTTGAAATGGCCATATTTTATACCCCAATTATGCTAATCAATGCATCTTTGAGTGTTGCCCCTTAACCACAGGTGAACCCCTGGGGCGTGTCAAAATGGAACTGTTCGCAAATGTCACCCCACGAACGGCGGAAAATTTCCGCCAGTTTTGCACGGGCGAAAGCAAAGACGCCCGCGGAAGACCTCAGGGCTACAAAGGGAGCAAATTCCACCGCGTGGTGGGTATTTTCAGATTATGCTCTTCTGATGATTTTCGGTGGCTGCGGTCGAACGCTGATCGACTGAAATAGATTAAAGACTTTATGATTCAAGGCGGAGACTTTTTGAACGGCGACGGGACGGGCAGAATATGCATTTACGGCACTGCTACGTTTCCAGATGAAAATTTCAATTTAACCCATGATAGGCCGGGATTACTTAGCATGGCGGTATGCTTCTTCTTCTTCCCTCTCATCCCTATAAACTTGGAACTTCTGACATTGGTGCTGTCATCCGGAAGAACTCTGGGCCAAATACGAATGGCTGCCAATTTTTTATCACTACAGTTGCAACTCCGTTCTTGAATAACAAGCACGTTGTGTTTGGTCGGGTTATTGAGGGAATGGAGATTGTGAAAATGGTAGAAAACACTAGAACGACACGAGACAAGCCAAATCAGGATGTTGTCATTGCGCAGTGTGGGGAAATGTGAACCAGATCTTCATGAACGCAAGATCATTTCGAAAATTCAAGAGAAGCACGCCCTTACGAGAGGCCATCCGGTAACTGGTTTAGCATTATCTGAAATGTATTTGGCCCTAATCGGCCAAAATGGTCCGCGACAGAGTCCTGTTGCTGTATGGACGGCTCGGTATTACAAGGTTTTCTATGTAATTAGAACATGAAAGCAGAATACAAGCGTAGATTGAGAGACTTGATGTAATTTATAGGAAGATTCTCTTCCAGTTATTTGACCAAAAAAATCCCTTACTCTATTGATCCTCCAACAACGCACTCGCAGAGGAAACCACCCAAAACAACACCATCCAGATTAGCTAAAAAGGGAATTTATATCCGATGCTGACTCGGAAACGGAAGACTGAATGAAGGCGTAAAACTAAGGCCAACCTTTAAAAGAACATAAATCACAGTTGAAACTGTTCCAGGTACTTAGTAGCAGCTTCGATTGCTTCGTCGACCCTATCAACCTCTGTGCCATTGCCGATAGATGTGGGCGCTTTGCCACCAGCCTTTCCACCGACGATGCCAGAGACAACGCCGGACCAATTGCTCGCGGAAGCACCTTGGGCACTTAAGGACTAAATACATAGTTAGTCAGATAGTTATAATCACACGCATAGATGGGAACCTGTCGCTATGTTAATCTTACCGATGAAACGTAGCATCCATGAGCAACGCGTCCCTGCTCGGCATCCGCGGCAAAGACATAGATCGATTTGTCCTTCAGCTTTGACTTGGCATGGTTGATAGACTCGCTGATAGCCTTCGCGTTGGCAGAGGTGGGCAAGCGGACAATGAGGTGGGAGCTATCTTTATTCTCAGGTTTTTCAAAGTGTGAATTGATAGCGTCCAGCGCTGCTTTAATCTCTTGCTTTTGCAGAGCCTTTTGTGCTTCGAGGACTTGCTTGTGGATCCGGGCGAACTGTTCACGGAACCTGGCTTTCTCGACCGCCGAAATGGAGAGTTGATTCAAATCAGCCTGGATAAGTTTGGCTTCTTGTTCCTTTTTGGGTCCAATTTCCATCTTCTCGAATCTATTAAGGCGATCACCAAATTCCTTTGCGATGCGTTGCACTTCATGGGCATCTTCACCCGTAACTGCGATGATTCTCCGAATACCTTTAGCGATACCACCTTCCTCGAGGATTACGAGGTCCTTGATGTCACCAGTTTTTTGAACATGCGTCCCACCGCAGAATTCAATACTGACTCCTTTCCATCGGGGATCTTTAACGTCCTTGAGAATTTCCTCCAGTTCCACTCCAACGGACACAACACGAACAGGATCCGGATAAGTTTCACCGAAGACGGCACGTACTCCAGTAATCTCACGAGCGACAGAGAGAGGAACGTCTTTGGAATATACCGCACAATTTTGCCGAATGTATTCCGTGCACTTCTCTTCAATTTTTTCAAGATCGCTGTCAGATACGCCAGATTTGTGAGAGAAGTCAAAGCGCAGCTTTTCCGCGGCAACAAGGGAACCTTTCTGGTCAATTCCATTTCCAAGAACCTCCCGAAGCGCAAAGTTAAGAATGTGAGTGCCAGTGTGGTTGTTGCGGATAGGCCACCGCCTGAGCTCATCGTATTCGGAAATAACGGAGTCGCCCACAGACAAATCGCCGTACTTAATGAAACCTGTGTGAAAGACATAACCACCGTACATTTGAACGTTTCTGACATCCAACTCTGCCTTTCCGTCAATGATAATCTTCCCAGTATCATACTCTTGACCACCTTGCTCGGCATAGAAGTTGGTCTTATCAAGTATTATACCAATTTGATCACCTTCTGGGATGCCGCTCGTGGAATCGACAAACTCCTTGTCATGGTAGATGGCAACAATCTGCGATAATATGTTTCCTCTGCCGAATTTTGCGTCGTCATTTGTTTTTGGAACCTTATCCTTTTCAAGTTTACTGAGATCGTGCACAGAGAGTTTCAGTAAATCAGACGCCGCTTTAGCCTGGCCCTTGCTGGCCTCCTTGGCTTTCAATCTCGCCTCTTCAAATTCAACGTTATCAATGCTGAGTCCTCGTTCTTCGGCCATCAACTGAGTGAGATCCACGGGGAACCCAAAGGTGTCATAAAGTCGCCACACATCCGCTCCGTGTAGTTTATTAGAGCCGGAATCTTTGGCCTGTTGGGCATAAATTTCGAACTGACGTTCTCCACGGTCGAGCGTTTTGGCAAAAGATATTTCTTCTTCGTCCAAAATTTCCATCACATCAGTCTGCTTCTTCTTGATTTCTGGGAACATGCCGCCCATCTGATCCACCAGGGTTGGGACAATCTTGGAGAAGAAATTTCCGATTTCGACTTTCAAATATTTTCTGGCGTAACGAGCGCCTCGTCGCAACACACGCCGAACAACATAGCCACGACCTTCGTTATTCGGGGGAGCTCCGTCCGAAATCGCAAAAGTCAGGGTCCTGACATGATCAGCGACTACTCGGTAAGCCGTATCAATCCCATCGACGTCCTCTTCGCCAAATTTCCCAGAGTATGGGCGAACTCCAGTAATTTCGCGAATAGCATCGAAAAGCGGCGTGAAAACATCTGTATCGTAGTTTGAATACTTCTTTTGTAGGACAGACACTAATCGCTCGTATCCCATACCAGTATCAACGTGCTTATTGGGAAGAGGGCGAAGGATCGATTCAGACTCGCGGTTATATTGTATGAAAACGTTATTCCAAATTTCCAGAACATTAGGATCATCCATGTTGACGAGATGGGCAGCGTTACGACCACCAATTCTGTCGTAATGGACTTCGCTGCACGGTCCGCATGGTCCCTGGTCTCCCATCTCCCAGAAGTTATCCTTCATATTTCCGGACAAGATGTGATCCTCTTTCACGCCGACCGATAGCCACAAATCTTTCGTTTCCAAGTCGGGTTCGATACCGGCATCCTTGTTACCTTCAAAATACGTCACGTATAGACGGTCTGGCTCCAGGCCATAAACCTTGGTGAGAAGCTCCCATGAGTATTCGATGGCTTCTTTCTTGAAGTAGTCGCCAAAACTCCAGTTGCCCAACATCTCGAAGAAAGTCTAACCAAAAGAAATATCAGTATAACGAACAGGTCTCAGCATGAAAGGTGGTGTAGAGGGGTCGCCTACGTGGTGATAGCTGTCTTTCCCAACATCATCAAGGTCCTAAGGGTGTCAGCCAAACGTCTTGACATTGGTGTGTTTGATGTGATAATAACATACATTGTGCTTTCCGCCAGCGCGTATACACTATTTCCATGAGTTAGCATTAGTGTCAACACAACATCGGGCGCGGATGATGGACCTTCTGAGAGTTATGTGCACGTTTCAACTGCGCGAAATCCGAATTTGGATCAACCGTGCCTAGGAATATGGATTTATATTGATTCATTCCCGCATTCGCAAAGAGCAAGGTAGGATCCGATAGTGGAACGACCGATGACGACGGCACTGGACGTAGGAACAAAAGTTAGCAGGCATTTGGAAAAGGTGACTGAGCGGGAGCGGGGAAAGCGGGCGGGACTCACCAAACGTATGGCCATTTTTCTTGAAGAAATCGAGAAATGTATCACGAACTTTGATGGCAGGCCATTCTACTTCATTTTGCGATGGAGTGGAGGTAGAGGACGCCATTTTGAGCAGCGTGAAGGGGTATGGGCGGAGAGGGACGAATTTGTTGCGAGAAGAGAGAGGGATGGCGATGGCGGCGGCGGCGGGGTGGAAAGTCGTCGATGGCGAGAAGAACTTTCGAGTCGAACCGGCGGCGCGCCGATTCGCCAACACACCCAAAGAACTCCTCCCACTCAACATTCAAACCGACATAGAAAGCAATGAATTTGGTGTGGTGCTATTCTTGCACTTTGCATCCGATCAGAACAAGGGAGAAAGAGACCCTGGAGAGGATTAAAAATTTTTGATTGGGAGGCGATCCGTTAGCGAATTGATGGCGCACGGATGGCGGCTGTGGGGAGAGCTGAGCTTCATGGGCAGAAACGTCGAGCTGACGATGAGCTTGAAGGAGAACAACCGCTGACCAAGAGGTTTGGGCGCCTTCGCATTGGTACGTATTTCCTCTGCTCTGCGGGGTTATTCGTAGAAGATTCGCAAAGCCGACTCATTCGCCTCTTCTAGGACGAGTCCTTGGAGCTCCAGACGCCGCCGGGCATGTCGCCACCCCGGCCGCACATGCCGCTGCTCTTCCCACGGCCCGACGTGCGTGCAAGTTCAACGAAGATGGGATGCAAATCGATGATACGAAAACAAGAGTGTACATTAATGATCTAGAAAGCGAAATAGCGGAGATAGAGGCCGAGGAAAAGGACCACGCTATCGAATTCCTCCCCGAGATCGAGAAGAAACTCATGGCGATCCCGAAGTCGGTTCTCAATCCCAAACCTGACAATGAGCTTGTACTTTATCGCATACCTCGTTCGCTAAGCATACCTGAAGAGGAAGATAGCGTCCGGTCGGTGATCGCAGATGCGAGAGGGCGGGCAAGGGAGAAGAGTCTCGCAGATGCGAAAGAAGCCGAAGAGGAGGAAGAGACGAATTCATCGGGCCTCGACGATACATGCATACATGCCACACCGTGGAGGAACATCCATACCAACGAGCCTGATGATACACTATATGATGCCATGGAGATCGACTGACAGTTGGATCGTTTCCATGACCAGCGTCAGATAAACTTTTCCACTATATGCCGAAAGTCGGCGTTCATTTACTGATCTATGATGCAGCTATAGTTTACATAGATATGACAGCGTTTCAATAGACATCTTTTTGCAAACCCCTGATTAGATCCTCTCAAGTTGGTGTAGCACGAGGAGCTTTCATTCTCGATAATGCCACAATTGTGCTGTACATACAGCCACTCAGCTCCCCGGTCCGAGATAAGTCATTTCTGGCAGCAGTCGATGGTGTAGTTATGACTTCTTGCTGGGCAACGGAGTCGGCATAGCGTAGATGGGTTGGCCGACATGAAAAAAAGCCCAGATGGCCGGTTAAAGTTCGTCCTGGGCGCGTCGAAATAAGCGCTCGTGCCTGCTCCAGACGTACCTCTCACTACTTAACTGACCCAAATGCGCCTATTGTAGGGGACTTGTTTCCACCCGCGCCCTGACTGAAGGGGTACTCAGGCACTTGAGCTCCGATATAAAGCCAGGAGCCTAGAACAAATAGTCGATGGCCTGTCCCGCCCTTTTGTCCATCGGGGATCATGGACAACCTGATATGATTTCTTCAAAATCACCTTAAAAGGCTTTCTTTCAGAGAAACTTTCCTCCGGAAAAGCGAGAGGAGATATTCGAAGAAGACTTGTTGAGCAATTCTCGGCGTTGCGCATGATTGATTCTGGTCGGGCCACGAATGTCCTTTTCCTTGTCAAACGGTCGTGCACTCGGATCGTCTTTCTCAATGTCAGACGCCTTTGTCTGGTGCTTTGAGTAGAGCGATTTGCTTCGAACTTTTTCCTGTATATTTGTCAATATGCCTGACACAAGGAAAAGAGCCCCTGAAACCAAACGGGAGGAACAAGCATACATTATATTCTTTCACCTGCTCTGAAATCTTCCTCGATGGATCTTCGGCTTGCAGTTTGGATTCGCCAGAGGGCGCGGGAGCCTGTATCCCCATCACCTCGTTCTCCAAGCGCTTTCTCTTCTCCTCAGCCGTCTCCGTCCACGTCGACGCGACCGCCTTGCCAGTCGGGGCGTTGGCGGCTCTTCCAGTATTAAATTTCCGACTGCGCAATTTTGTAGGGTCAACCCTGGACGAGAAATCCAGCTGGTCCGGCGGGCGCAGCATCCAGTCGTCACGCTTGGTCGGCTCCGAGGCTGGAGGTGCCGATGGGCCTACTGAGTCACTTTCATCCGACATGTCATTCTCTCCTTGCACCACAGAATCCCCTTTGGCCGGCGGTAGAGTAGGCCCATAGCCAACATCGTCATCATCGCTGCTGCTGCTGCTGCTGTTGTTTTCGTCCTCCGAATCAGCTTGAGGCACCATATGCGCCGGCGGCATAATCGGGCCTATGACACGAGGCTTCTTACTTTGGGCATCTGTGGCGCCGCTCGAGGGTTCGACATATGCATTGAGCTTCCGCTTTCCGCGAGGAGACGACGGATTCGAAGCTGAGTCGGCCATTTTGTCCGGTTCACGTACACCCATCTGTGGTCTTTCACCGTCGCAAATTCGCCTGAAGCTGTCTGTAACTGGCTGATGGCTTAGTCATCGTTCTTATCTTATCATGAAGGTGGCAAATGCGGGTGGCGGACTTTTGCAAAGCCAATTTTCTCCGCTCAAGATCGTAAGTGACATTTTTGCAGTGGGCAACGGTCAAAAAGAGCTATATATTCCAACTAACTATTCCGTACTCCGTACAGCTGGTATAACTATCCTGCACGACATGGAACTTCTACCCTTGCCATAGTCTCCTAAGAGGATAGAAGATTTAGCGGGTCTAGCTTCAATGATTATCTGGGCTCCAAAAAGCCAGGTTGTTGCACCATATTTATTTCATCATCACATCCACAGAGTAGTTAACTACTGGCCTTTGCAAATCAGATAGTCGTGTAACTACGGTCGACGCCCGGAAACAAACCTTTGATTGCGGCCAGTCAGGAGCGCTAACTAGTGCGAAGCACTCCCAGTCATCGACTTTGCCAGGGTTCTCATTATCGATCGTATCCCTTATCGCCTATTCCATATGCAGAGAATCAGTTCAGGGAGAGTTGACTCAAATGGCGGCGGGGAGCCGGAAAGAGCGTGTTCGAATTGGGGTTGCTTGCCTCGACGGCCTTGAAAGCGCTTGAATTACGCGGTTGAATGTGCAACGAACGTTCGCGATCCGGGGAGCATATGTAATTACCTTGTCGCTCCATGGCTCTCCGTTGGCAACTCTCAGTACGATGACGAGTCCGTTCCATTGCCGGAGAGCATCCCACTTCCAGGCATCTACACAGCTGCATCCACAGATCCATGCATAACTATGTTTCCGGCAGTGGGTTTCTCGGCGAACGAAAGAGAGACAAAAGGAATTAAAGGGTCGACGTTGCAGCCGAATAACACCACTAGCCCTGAACAGGAAACTCGGAGGAGGGACTGTCTGGGGGTCAGCGGCGATCATCCGGAACAACGAGAAAAAGCCTTCCACGAGGGCCACCGCAAGGAGCTACTGAGCTGCTGGCCAGCGAGGGATGCATCAGTACGAAATATCCGACCCAAAATCAAGCACAGAGCCCGAGAGAGGTACAGATCCAGCCCGTGCCGCCCCGACTGCAGTGACAGCTTGATGAGCATCCACTGCAGAGTTATCCCGGGACACCTCAAGGGTGCACATGATTTTCTGCGTCACCGGGCCTTTTAATAAATTTTAAAGATGAAGCTCCTTCGAAAGTGTTTGAGCTTATTGGATTTAAAGCTCTTCATTCCGTGGAATCCTTCCGTGGATTGGTCTTAGAACCTGGGTCGCATTTTGGAAGAGTTGGAGGCAAGACGTGGGATGACGAACCTAATTTTAAGCACACATTCTTGCCAGGGACTGTACGACCAGGGAAACGCCGGCAATCCAGCTCGGGCAGGAAGGGATATTCCCCGCATTGCGAGCGCGCCCTAATATATGGCGGAGCGATGACCGCCCTGGACTGATGCCCACGCTTACAGACTTCTGCTACCTTTCGTCTAAAGGGGGGGATTTTCCCGTTCAAAAGAAGCCACAAGCCTTCGAATATGCGTGATTTAAAATTATCTCTTCTTTTTCTCTTCCTGTCGGCCCTCTACGTTGCGGAAGCCCGGAGGCTTGTCGGGATAAATGGAGCGGCAGCCAAGTTTGCAGGGCCTGAAGCCTTCATCGGGCATGCGATTGCGGGCCGGGAGATAGCAAACGGCAAGCCCCGTCATAGGTTTTTGAACCAGAATACTCAGCGTACGATCTAGCACGCTACGATTTTCCTTTTTGACTTGGAGCGTTCCCTCACTTCGTCCAGGTTTTGCTGTCGACGGGACAGGAATCCCTGAAGTCACATTTGACGTCGGCGAATCCTATGCAGGGCTTCTCCCAATTACCAAAGACCCAGACGAGAACCAAAAGCTCTACTTTTGGTTCTTTCCCACAGACAATGCCCAGGGACAAGAGGAGATTACCATCTGGCTGAACGGCGGCCCTGGATGCAGTTCCCTTGAAGGATTCCTTCAGGAGAATGGCCCATTCCACTGGCAGTACGGAACATTCCGCCCAGTTAGAAATCCATGGAGCTGGCACAACTTGACGAATATGATTTGGGTCGAACAGTGAGCAACATTATCAAATTTGACTGTCTATGACAGCTTAAGCTCTGACCTAATCTGGCTTAGACCCGTTGGCACCGGCTTCTCTGAAGGCGAACCCACCGTTACGTCTGAGGAGGATGTTGCGGAGCAATTCCTTGGATTCTTCCGCAACTTCATTGACCTCTTCGATCTTCATGGGAAGAAAATCTACATTGCTGGCGAGAGTTATGCAGGATTGTACGTCCCATATATCGCTGACGCAATGCACGCAAAGAATGATACGAGATATTACAACATCCAGGATATTCTCATTTTTGACCCGACGATCAACGAACATGCTATTCTTCGACAAGGTAACGGAGACCCTCTGTTCTTTCTCCTGGCACTTTTTATTAGCTTACGCTTAAGTCAGTGCCTGCCGTGCCATTCGTTGAACATTGGTCCCATCTCTTCCCTCTCAATGACACCACCGTCAAGAGGATTCACGATATCGCCGATTCTTGTGGTTACACCGATTACATGAATGAGTGGCTTACTTACCCACCCAAGGGGAAGATGCCTCAATTCCCCGAGTCTATCACTGAGAACAAAACCTGCGACGTCTGGGAGGCCATTTACGACGCTGTGTCTCTCGTGAACCCATGCTTCAACATCTACCACGCCACAGATACCTGCCCACTGCTGTACGACGTGCTAGGATTTCCAGGAAGCTTCGAGTACACCCCGGAGGGCGCAACCATCTACTTTAACCGCACCGACGTCCAGCGCGCGATCAACGCACCCTCCAAACCCTGGAGTGAATGCTCACCCCGTGAAGTCTTTGTCGGTGGACAAGACAATTCCCAACCAAGTTCCTTTACCGTCATCCCTTCCGTCATCGAAAAGTCGCGCAATGGCCGGACAATCATCGCTCACGGGGACTTGGACTACATTCTCATCACCAACGGGACCTTGCTCAGTATTCAAAATATGACCTGGAACGGTGACCAAGGTTTCTCCAGCCCACCCTCAGAACCGTTGGTCGTTCCGTACTCTCAAGTCGGGAACTTGGCCGCGATGGGTGGCGCGGGTATCCTGGGGAAAACGAGAACGGAACGAGGTTTGACGTATGTGGAGATGCACTTGACCGGGCATATGGGTCCGCAGTACAGCCCTGCTGCATCCTATAGAGTTATGGAATACTTGCTAGGGCGCATCGATAGCTTATCACAGGCTTGAAGCCGTATTATGGGGTAGTAGAAGCGTATTTCGAGATGCATGTGTCTACAAATAGCATATGCATTTTGGAAACACGCGATATATATCGGAACCAGAATTGTTAAAAGGACTGACGCTTTTATATTAATTCCCACCTGCCATATGTACGACATCTAATGGATATCAGTCAAACACCTTAAATTATTATGGCTAAAGGCCGGCATTAATGCATAACCCGTGCCTTTACAGGCAAATAGTGGAGAGAAACTACCATTCAAAAAGGGCAGAGTAACGATGAGTTCATATTACGATCCTCTAAGAATATGATAATACCAAGCGATTTTCACCTCTGCGTACCGTTGCTGACCCTTTCACGTCTGACGCAAGGGTGTACAAAATCAATACGCGAAATCCTGGTGAGACCTATACTCTGGGCGATGATACGCACCCCAGACTGGCGGTGCCGTATAATGTGATGTCATGGGGTGAAGTCCAGGATAAAATGACGGGCTGGCCGGGCGGTATCTGTAAGTGGCCTTCGGGCCGCGATTTGAAAGACCATATGGATGGGTTTCATACACTACATCACCCATAAAAGGCACTCCTGAGCTTTCTAGATAATGGGTATCATGTGTCCACGGCTCGTTAGGGGCTACGCGAGATCTCGTCATTGGCGGAATCGGCATTGTTCCTAGGGAGTCGAAACATCAATATAATTTGATGATGCGAAATCAAATCAGAGCCTTAATTACCTCGAGTGACACGGATTGAATTGTCTCTTGGATGTCGAGGATATGGCCGTCCAGAAAACACTCGCCGTCCGCGACGCCGATTATAAGAGCGAGATCTATACCTGTGACAATCTTGTTAAGCGCTCGAACCGATGTAAGGGCGAGGGGAACCATGGCAGAATAGATTTCCATGATTCCCGTCGTGTTCAATTTCATACCCTGAATCAGACCCCTCATCGTCTGTAAACTGGACCTGCTGTCCTCTGTCACGTCTAGGCGGCTCCCTATCACGACGACATCGGTCTCCACTAACAGAAGAACGCCGTCGACGTTCTCGGCCTCTATAATGCCCGTGATCCACCCTAGCGGGAATTTGGGGTTCACCTTGCCTAAGGACCATCTGTCAGTTAGCAGAACGGGATCGCTTTCAGAGTCCCAACACGCACCGATCTCGCGGCGGGTAGAATTGCGACGGATATAAGTCGACATCGGCCGGTGAGGACTCATTTGCTACGCGCGCTGGAGGCGATTGATATGAATAGACATGACTATTGCCGTAATTCATACGCCGTGGGGGTGTCTCAGTGTATAAAGCATGATGAATATGGCGTTCTTTAGTACTGGGGCGAATATCAAAGCAACACTTGGGAATATCACAAGGCTTCTTAGGATCGTGGCAAGAATGTGCATTATGCGGGCAGTTCATATCCCGATGGACATCGGATGATACAGGGCACGTTTCGCTCTTTCCGTGGCGCAATATCTCCTGATCGTGATAATGAAGGCATCCACTGTTCTTGTCGGCGCTGCAACCATTCTTATTCCTTCGGTTGCGTTTACCCCGCCACTTTCGCTTGCGGGCAATACTTTCGCTAGAACTCTCATCACTGGATGTCTGCAAGTCCCGACACTTGTGACAAACGCCAATAGCCAGGGCTTGTCCAGATGGGATTGGATGGCGATGATGGTACGCTGGCGATCTGTATCGTCCACAAACACCGCATCGATGCCTTGTTTCGAACTGTTGGTTGACAAACATGCCTTGGTTCCTGCCTGCAGGATTCAAAGGGGCAGAGATCTCCGGCCGTGCGGGCCCCGGCAGTGGATACGGCGGGGGAACAATATCATATCTAGGCCTTGGCTCCGTTTGATGGTCCATGCTGGGAAACAGGGGCCTATCAGTTGGAAAAGGGAAAGGGGTCTCTGCTTGTACGGGATTGTACGCCATGGATTTTGGATTAATCAATGTATTGAAAACTGAGCGACCGGCAGGTTTAATTTTGATTGGTTTGCGAACAAATGCAGGACGGCCAGAAGGCAGTTTTTGCACATACATAGCACCAGGCTCTAAGCTAGACACGGAAGTAAAGGGTGAGATGCTATAATGCCATGGAGAATAGATCAGTGGCCATTCCCGGAAAACTCGGTGTGGTCTCTAACCTAGTCAACATCACTGCATGCGTTCATCCCCACTCACGTCGAATGGAAATCAATATCTAGGATCTGCTAAAAATTGACACCATTAAAAAAATCCAAGAGAAAGTAGAGTGCCCAGATTGAATGTATCAACAGGCGAGCTTTGAAAAGGATTTCCAGCTTCATACTGGGTACCCTCTGGTTTACAAGGTGGGAGCAACCAAATACCCAGGAAGGTTCCATCAGTGGGGTAGCCATTTCTGCTGCTCTTCAGTTTCTTCAATCTCCTGTTGGAGGAGAAAAATGGCACTGAAAAGCCCACGCTCGTGCGAAGAACAAGATAATCGAGAATTCAACCGCTCTCCGGCCCTGGGACAGATACCGTTCAGAAGGCAGCGAAGTTGAAGGATGTCCCCGCGATCGTCAGGGAGAAGCTGAGCGGACGTCGCAATTGAGTTTCGGGTAATTGTTGATCCGTCCCGAGCCCCTCACCGCCGCCAGCCCAGCCACCGCACTGCCGGGTCAGTGTCTGTTTTGGACAACTACTACATACGAAGTACTCCGTACTCTAGTTCTTTTACAATCTCTGTGAATTCAACTCGGTTAATATGCACTCCCATGATTCCCATCTACTCTGCTCCGCGACGCTCTACCAGTCAACTCCGCTTGCCTCATCCTGCTTCCAGTCATGACTGCTTTGCTTGCCCTGATACCTAGTGGCATTCCACGCCGAATTCCCTCCTAAACTGTTCCTCTGCCTATCTGAGCATGAGCTGCTGCGATCCCTCGGATTATTTCCATTTTGAAATCTATCTCCCTCGTTTCTTGCGCCAGAGCCGTTGCTCTGGGTATGTATGCTCCGGAATGGATCTCCACCCTTATGGGGATTGCCGTTTTTCCTAGTATGGCGGCTTTGAAATGGATCTCCGCCTCTTGAAGACAATCCGCTGCCACCCCGATTGGTACCTTGACTGTGCTTGCTTTGGAATGGATCTCCAGACCTAGCTTTGTCAACCGTATTGCTGTTGCCGTTTCCATTTGCGTGACGGCTTTGAAACGGATCTCCGCTACCAGTTGAGGAACCGCTGACGACCCTACCGCTCTGGGAGGAATCTCCGGTATTTGAGGCGCCCCCTGCGGTATTCCTGTTGCAACCAGAATGACGACTTTGAAACGGATCCCCATTACCGTGTCCCCTCGTTTGGTCGGAGTCCTCCATATTCCTCGTGGCGTTTCCGGAGCTTGTAAGGTGGCTACTGCTCTTTCCGCTATTGATGCTGTTCTTGGTGCTCCCTGAACGTACGGAAGGCTTTCGACTATGGCCTCGGCTGTCCGTGCTAGTTTTTTCATCCCGTGATTGGAATCTCATGACCGGCTCGCAACGATATCCATATGACGGATGACGCCACATGAAAATACCTTGTAATGGAAGTGGAACACCATTGCTGTTAGTGCCGTCAGTGCTGAAGTTGTTCAAATCGGGTAAATTAGCTGGATGCGATGATACGCTGGGCCCCGGAGCTCCAAGTATCGGAGGTGGTGGAGGCATAAAATTGCTATCCAAAGGCCAATATCCCCGGAAGTTTTGGCCCCCTAGGTTTCCGACGTTGGTACCATACTGTACGAACTCTGCACTTGACTGTTCTGGTTGACCGGGAGCAACCGGGTTTAAAGTGGGCTGATTACTTATGAGTCCCTGTTTCGAAGTTAACCCGTTATATCCCCCTATTCTTCAGATCTTGTCTGCCATACCTGTGCTTGAAGAAGCTGGGTAACAATGTCAGATTTAGGCAACATTTCTAATTTCTTTCGTTCCACCTCTGGATCGCGTTCGACTTTCACATTGAACTTTTGTTCAATAGTTTCTGGATACCATAATTAGCTTTGCGTTGATGGATGGCGGCTTGAATTTCAACTCACCTTGCATCCGATACTTAAACACAAATTTGGCATACGGTTCGTCCATCGTATCCAAATACTCGGGGACCCGCAGTTTGTGCTTGTAATCCTGCGCTCGCCCTAGCTGTACCTGGTGTGACAACGATTCGGCTTGGGCAATTGCTTCTGGGACGGTATATAGCGGTGGCTCGTCATCTTGCTGGTTATAGTACACTTGGGATGCGCAAAGGGACTGCCGATTCGGTGCCACGAAACGATAAGGCTGTATTGGTATCCAGGGGCCTTGCTGAGCCGCTTGCTGGGACGCTTGCTGTGGAACAGGCTGAGGATCCACTTGGTCATTATTTGAAGCAGCCTGGATTTCAGGAGGATTCCTGCTGTTATTATTTTTATCTTCCCAGCTTCCTCCTGGGTGCCACTCGTGATTCGCGCCGCTCTCGTGTCCACCATTCCCATTGTCGTTGCTATCGCTGTTCCCCCAATTATTATGGTCTTGGGCTTGTCCATTGTATTGGTTGTCGTTGTCCCAATTAACTTGCTGGTGAGATTCATTGTTCGGATTCTCGACATTTCCAGAGTCCCACCGGCTTTCATTCGTACTACCGTTGTTATCGCCACCCCAACTTTTCTGGGTTTCGTTGTTATTCCAATCTGGCTGTTCATGGGTGTTTCTGTTGCCAGCATTGGCCCAGTCGTCTCCCATGTCATTATTGGATCGGTTATCGCTATTGTTGTTGCAATCCTGCGGGCCCAAGCTACTCTTGTCCCAGTTCCCCGATCCGTTGTTACCAGGCCCTTCATTTCTCGATCCATTCGAGCCATTGTCCCATCCCGGTTCACCAGTCGTGCGGTTTCGACCATCCTGATCATCTCTTTGACCTCCATTATGTATTCCATGATTGGGCCAGCTGGACTGATTGCCATTTGACCTGTCCGAGCTATGGTCCTGCACTCCAGTTGGAGGGGATTCTCCTGGGACATGGTTACAATTGCCGCTGCAATTACGGCTCTCCTCCCAAGTGCGAACATTAGGCGCTCGAGTTCGAGGCCCTCTGCAATAATGTGGGACTTTTTGACCGTCTGAGATCATGTAACAACCGTTATTAGCGACGTCAAGTTGGTTATCGCAGGATTTGCAGGTCGAATGCTCGTTACCCCATGACGGTGGGTTCACATTCAATACGATTGACGGCACACCCTGGGAAGTCGATTGTATGGTAGTCCCGTATGCAACTTTTTCTTCTCGGTTCGTTCCATTGCGTGAATGTGTATCGTGTTCATTTCGTGGATTGCCAGGGTGACTGCAATTATACGTCTGGTCGTGCCTAACATCCCGTTCTTCATACTTTTCACCCTCGTCACATTCAGGGCAGTAGTTGTGGGTGGTCAGCACCCTTCCCCGGTACCTGGAAAGTTCCCTGGGTACTTCGGGGCCGGTTTCTAGCATCAAATTGCATTCTTCACAGGATCTATGATCGCGTGCATCCTGAGCATTTGGACGGGTGGGTTGGCTCCAACGACTACACTTGGAGCAATGACAATTGGTTCCTATTAACTCGGAATTTAGCGAAAGATTGCGGTCGTGTTTTCCGTGGTTTTGTCGGTGGCGGCATCGAGGCCACCCTGAAGGCTTGGCTCGCAGTTCTCTGGGATTGTAAGGGTGATAATCCGAAGAATGACTTCTTGATCTACTGCGTTGTGAGCGAGAATGTCGTCTGACCGGGTGTCGGCCATAACGATCATGGTAACTATGGGGGCGATCTTGCTGGCCTGATGAGTATCGTGCGGTCCTAGATATATGCCTGGCGCAAAATGAAGAGTTATCGCCAGATTCTGATGGCTCTGGATCATATGATGCCTGTTTCCCACGAATATCCGAGCTGCTGTGCGAGGGCAGAGGTGTGAAATTTTCTGCGTTCCGTGGGCGATGGTGCGCGGAGTCACAACCTGGACAGTAGTCTTCATCCCGCTCGTGGGTCCGTCTTGATCGCTGACTTGCATGTCTATGATGATGACGTTGGTGTTGATACCGATGAGATGGATAATATCCATCGTTCGCGCCATCAAAAAGCATGCTAAAGTCTCCCAGTGCACATTCTAGCTGGGGCTTGACTCCAGGAGCTGGCTCCGGTTCTGGATTCTTATTATACTTTGCTTTGGCGATTTCAAACTCCTCATCGCTCAACGCAGCGTCGATATCTGGATTTAGGTTAGCCGCTGATGCTTTGGCCTATTAGCCGGCTACCTTACCGTTGGGATCAAGACTCGGTGCCATGGCTGAATCTGGTGTTCGGGAGCCATCAGACAGCCCATCGGCACCGCCATTTCTTGGTACGCAGCGGAGGACAATCACCATTATTTCTCCAAGGTGATCGAAATGACTCTTAGGGCCAATATCTGGCATTCCTGGCACTTCTGGAACTATCATGGCGAACCCCGCAATGTCAACACCCTTACTCGTCAAAAATGCACCCGTCAAGTTTTGTACTTACTTATCTGCAGCGGTTCAAATCTCCATGGTCTCCCAATCCACTTTCCATCACCTCGCATCTCTTCTTTTTGTCTCACGCGAAAATTCACTCCTTTACGCGCTCCTTTCCCTCTATCTCCTTTGGCTTTTTCTCTGGGTTTGCCTTCCGTAGCAATCAGGTCATCTCTGTTCCTGTTACACTGATAAACACCATCCATGAAAACGAACATGGCCAGACCCGGGGCGATGTAGCCGTTGGACTTGAGACTGACGGAGAATGGTGACGACGTTGAGGGGATGGCAATATAGCTTTCCACGGTGCCATCGCCGTAAGCTATCCCATATTCCTTGAAGGGAATATCAGTTGGAGCCCATTCGACATGGCAGGTTAGCTGTTTAAGGGTTGGCATTGTTGCTAGTGTATCAAAGGTTCAATGGTTTGGGAGTGGGATTGGGACAAGTGAAACCATGCTTTCTTTAAAAAAAAGCAAAAGGTTGAGGATGGTATGGGTTGGTGGAGTGAATGGCTGACAAAGTGAAAAGCCAAGTAGAAGAATATCGATGTTGATGATCACTGTGTGAAGAGGCTGTTGTTGGCGAGCAATCCAGTTCACTCAGCAACGGACGGAACTACCCCATTCGCTATTCTCCCACACCAACCGATGGGAGTCAGTAGTTCTCCGAATTTCATTATCAAGCTCCCCAGGCTGGCTTCTACATTGGTAAGGATATGAACCTGTTATAGCGACACGTTTACAAATAATACTTCTCTTTTGTGTGACCCCAATGTCTAAGAAAGGCCCGTGGGTTCATCATAAGGAAGAAGTCCCAATATCAGATTCAGAACTCCACCTATGTCTAGGGATGAATGGCGAGTATTCAAAACCAAAAATTAGCATGACTATGTCTAAACACAGAGCACGAAAATTGGGAGCCAAGACATGGACAATACACAATATAAAAACCGTGGTGTCATCTTTAGATACCCAGCTGGGAATGCAACCCCTGAGACAGGATCTCTATAACCAAACATTTGAACCAATCTGACCAAAGTTATACACCAAGCACCGCGCTGAAGATCTCACTGGCCACAATCCTGAAACAAATTCCGTACAGAAAGGACCTGGATAGTAGATCGTATTCCAAATACACCAAACACACCGACGTGGTAACGCCAGGAATTCGCCGGGCTCGGACCGTTAATGCGTCAACATAAACGTTTCGTTTAATTACGGGCCATTGGAGTCCCGTCTTGGTGTAAGCTCCAGGAAGCTTGCTCCGACATGCATTGTAAGGTTACTTAGACTTCCACTCCAAGCGGGGATGGATGACGCTACAGACGATATGATCGACTCATCGTCGCTATCCCAATTATTTAACATTGAGTCCACAGGGCTGTCAACTCTCTCTAGCTGGTGGTTCTCGAAGAATGTAAGGAAATGGTGGTGGTATTCGTCATAAATTTCGTTGTAGGCATCGGCAAGCTGGAGAGGATACTGGAAGCTCAGCCATTCATCAAGCCTATACGGTAGCGGGTTTGTTTCGTCGGTTTGGAATCCGTGGCGAGGTGGTATGAAGGTTGAGTCCGGTTCCGGATCTCGATACAAGACGCACCGTAAAAAAGAAGCATCGTTCTCATCGTCGCTTTCACTCGCGGGAGATTCTATTGGTGGTGTGCTTCTCCAAGAGGGGGAGGTATCTTGATCCAACATTTTCAGGTCCGCTAAATAATTGTGAGTAGCTTCGTGGACGCTACTTTTCCTCGAAGGTGGCAATCTGGGCGGCACTGATGGATGGTGACGCTGGTCATAACCACCAAGGGGGACTGAATATTCATCCGGGGGTCTAGGCGGCTCAACCGAATGCAACATCCTATTCATAGGGGCGAGGGCGAGATAAGTCGGCTCACTCATACTGATCAAGTTGAAAAGACCCAAATAATGTTAGAACACTGGTAACAGGAGGGGATCGGTTTCACAAATAATGTTAGAACACTGGTAACAGGAGGGGATCGGTTTCACTCAAAGGGAGTACAGTATCGCCCAGCTTTAGGAAGCAGATGGGATGGAGTCTTCTGTGAGGCACTTGAGGTAGACTGGGCTAGGGTGTTAGAGGAACAGGTCAGATAACAAATCTGGGCCTGAAATAAGGTATTAGTAGAGCTTGAAATTTGCAATCTAGCAGACAGAAGTGCAGAAAATGTTGAAAATATTCGTTGGCAAACTAAACTGAGAGACCGTGAGGTATCTTGGAATTCGCTACTCTCCACAGGCCACAAACGTCACAAACGGGTAGACAAAGCCTCCAATTTGTATGCACACCAGTCATCAGACAAGGGAGATGCAATTTAACCAGAGGCCAAAAAGTGTGTCAGACCATTTACACCCAGTTTCTGCAGCCTTGTGCGGCCTTGACCAGACCAAAGTATTGTGATCACAAATGAAACAAACGAGTAAACCATATTGAAAACAAGTGTGTCTGAGCAAAAAGCTAACCTCGCTGGAAAAGAGCAAAAGTGACAGGGATAGAAGGGAGCATAGCTTGAGGGCAGGCTGCGATAGCACCAGCATCGGAGCTGCCCGTCAGAGCGCAAAAGAAAGAAAAAAAAAAAAAAAAAAAAAAAAAAAAAAAAAATGAGGACACATTGTCTGGCGGCCAATGGAGTCCAAGTGGACGCAACTAGATTTCTTGGTATTACCCAACACGTCATAAAAGCCGGAGCAGGAGGAGGTACATCCTGTGCAAGCTCTGTTCGCATGTTGCATGATTGAAATCGGCAGCTGAAGCCGCTCACATCCGTTTGATGCGCAGACAAGGGAGGGAGGAATGTACTCGGCAAGATGGCTTACACTGTTTGGGCAGTGTAGAGCTTCGAGTCCCGGGAGCAGTTGACATCTAGAGATCAATCGTTCATCTTGGCTGCCAGGTCATGAAGGTGATATGAATTTGCAGGCTTGGAGGGAGGCCAATCCTGTACTGGCCGCCCACAGGATGATAGATAGCATCTGTCTGGAAGAAAAAAGAAAAAAGGGTATTAATGGTAAAAAATGAGAGGGGATCGAGCAACGACAGAGTATGGAGTTCAGGCCTCTCCTAATTCCATCGATGATTGATACGGTAAACAGAGCTCTCTGCTAATCGGCCAGTCCCATGGTCCGCAGGGATGATGTCATTCAAAGTACTCAACTGCTCCGTATTTTGCTTCAAAATTTAATAGTGCACTGGACAGGACCAGACCACGCCGCAGAATAACTAATCAACCACTCCCATATCATAGACTAACTACTGCCGGTCCATGACACAGATCGATTGCATACTCAAGCAATTGGTGCTTGTGGCACAAGCTTGCCACTGCTGAGGCTACCGTTTAGGACTCTAGGAAGGCATAAGAATGGCTTGCTCTTCTCTGGTTGCCTCACTGGCTTTCCTCCAAACACATGATTCCTCTCATTCGTCAATCCCTAGCTCCGGGGACTGTTGGCGATTGCCGCCTCACTCTTTTGGGGGGGGTAAGGATACCTACCTGCCTTGCGAGGTGGTCTGTGCTTGTCGCTGACTGTTATGTGGATAGACAATGGAATGAGCATTAAGCCTTCCAAAATACCTCTACAAGGCACCAGTGGTCATGAAGAAGTCACTGGATTGCACATTTCTAGTCTGTATCACTGTTGTGATTGAACCTAGGATGTTTTGGTTAGCTGTATGAGATTCGGTACCTCCAACCTAACTCCCTCCAACCTGTTCGCGATAGCTAGCACCGTTCCCAAAGCCCAAAAATGTAACCTGAGTTCCCACATGCAAAAGAGGAGGCCCTGATTTGCCTTCCCTATTTTAAGTTGCATTCAGTGTCACATCGGGAACGTTGTACTGGCATGACCTCAGACCGACCAACGGCTTTTTTGTAGTCTATTGTTCTTAATGTACTAGAACTTGCATATTGTTAAAAGGAGTTCAAACAAGAACCGTGAGCTCAGTGTCGTATCCGCAAATAACTAGCCTGGAGCCCTGGTGTGAGAAGGTCAGTTGAAGACGCTGACAATCTGTATGAAGGTAAAATGAGTACCCTTCTCTTACTTTTCTGGCTTGGTAATCTGAACATCTTCTTGGATCTCATCAACAGCAGTCTCCATAAAACCAGTGAAACCATAGTCACTGGGGAGCCTCCAATTTGTCCCTGGAGAAGAAATTTTCTGGCAGTTGTGGATAGCCCTTTAGTAGAGCAGGCGACATTGAGAAATCCACCTTTTCTCCTGTGGCATCCCTGCAACAACCTTCGACGTTGATTGGATTTTGCAGCCATTCAAAAAGTTGGAGTCCGGCTCGTAGGACCAGTACAGATCAAAAAGATCCGCCATATCAGTGTGATGGACGAATGAAACTAGGAATGTACAGGCGGTGGCTGAATGAAAGTTAACTATGTAAGACATATGGTCTTGTGGCTAAATAAAGAGTATGGGCTGAATGTGCTTTTGGCAGTGCGGAGGACAGAGTAAGTTGCCCAAAATTCCTTTTTTTAAACTTAACTAATCCCCCTATCTTGTTCGCCCATCTGGTTAGTTAGTGGCCGCCCGGGTGTTGGGAAGACATTCACCGTTGAGGGTACTTCGAGCGGTTCCACCTGCCGGCTTCTCTACAGTGTCAGTCAAAGGACAGTGGTTGATAAGTAGCTGGCTCACCTTGCGATATCTTTCTGATGTTTGACTTTGCTTTACACCCAGTCTTTCTGGCGCCCGACTTCCTTCAACGCGCAGCCATGGTGATTTTGGAAGAGAGGGGTTAGATAGCAGTTTCCTGTTGTCACACAGCGGAATTATTGACTTATTTTTGATGATGGGACAAGGTCGACAAAGGCGACACTCCCTCTTGTCAATACAAATGATAACTTCTTCTTTCTGCCCTTTTCCTCGAAATATATTATTCTGACTAATAATAATAATAATGATAATAGCAATGGACAAGAATAATGATAATAATCACTAACGAGAGATTTGTCTGACGGAGTTTTCAAGCTTGACTTGGTCAAAATCGCCTCTGGGTCGGCGGTCCTGGATAGCTCGAGAGAACAGCAGAGGAACCGCACGAAGGCCCCTAAGCAATATTGAGCGATATCCAATATAGGAAGACATTCCCTGTCTCTCTAGCGAGTTGCTACACGAGCTTCCATTCCCAAGGACCCAAGTAGGAATTTATCTGGGTTGCGCTTGTATTCGAGTCGCTTCAATTGATGGAGCATCCCTTCATAAAAACTGAAAAGTACAATGCCAGTCTAGAAGTGAAAACAAAAACACACCAGATCCCATACGCCGCGCGATCAGGACAGAATGGACAAGGCACTAACACCTTTGCTATCAAGGGGAATCGCCAAAACCGATAAAGATCTTTCACAAACACTGGGAGGATATAAAACTGCAGATCGAGAATCGTAAAACCCACTTAGTCAAGAAAATTCGTGTCGCTGTAAGGAAATTTATCGAACAGCAAGCCGAAAACCCTTTAATAGAACTTGTCGCCAAACACCGTGGCCAAATAAAATTTTGCAACCTAGCCCAACCCAGGAGCCCAAATGAAAAAAAAAAAAAAAAAAAAAAGAAAAATATACTCCGAAGAAATGAGGCGTGCCAAGGACTGGGATTATACCGCCCAGCTCCCTCTTGCTCTGACACCCCAGCCCTCAAGACCAGATCCCGGACTGCTCGCCCTAGGCTGCTGGCGTGCCCATTCGTGAATATACAACTTTAGGGCTGTCCACCGCATGCACTTGCCGTCGGTCTCTGAAGGTCCCTCGGGAGCGCCCAGATAACCTTTCGCATTGGCATGCTGGTCATCTTTCCGAAGTTCTTCAACGGATATTCCAGTAACAGAGCTGAATTCTTCGTCATAATCGCGTGCGAGACAAGGATAGCCAAGCGAGAGATAGTTGTATATCTGTGTGACAAAAGAATCGTTAAACTCCTGATTTATTTCCTCTTCCAAAGCTTGCTTGTCTTCGTATTTCTTTTTGTCCTGGGGACGAGGCGACTTTGTAGGTGGAATAGCAAGATTGTTCGTACAAAGTCCAGTAGCGGTAACAGACTTTTCACAGTCTGTATCCTCAGGGCCAGTTTCAGGGGCGGCTTTATTCGCGGAGGAAAGGGCCGATAAATTTGTCCCGCTAGGCCTCTTGCATGTCCCATTCCATAGACCGGGTTCGTCACAAAGATCGCAGTGAACTTCGGGAATCCAGAGGGAATTAACCTGCTGCTCAGGTGCACCACCATTGTCGTCTTTGTGGGAAGTCGGTGTCTGGTCAGTCTCGCACCGCGTAGTCTGCGGTGACTGGCACTGGGGAAAAATAATATCACCGCCCAACATCGGAGGGCGTACAGCGCGCCTCTTGTTTGTCGCATCAGCACCTTTCTGCCATCCACCAGTGATGCCATCCATAGCACTGGCCTCCTCCATCATTCTCTTGGCTGCCAGTGCGGCAGCAGAGAACGGGGAGTGGCCGGAGGCGAAGCGTTTCTCTCTAGCCCGCATTTCTGACTCTTCTTTATGTCGTCTCATCTCCTCCAGCTCCCATGTTAAATCCACACTAGATTCCCGTCGGAATCTTGCCAGATCAAGAGTCATGCTCCTAAACGTAGTCTCCACACTGCTATCATCGTCGCCCGTGTCATCATCGTCCTCCTTGTCGATCGCAAAATGCGCGACCGGCTGGTACACCTGCTCATTGGGGAAAGCCGCAAGGGCTCGCTCTTTCAACAGCCTTTCCCGTGTTCGAGCGGGTAAAGAATACAAATCAATATCCATAAAATGCCCACCGGTGTTATCGGGAGATGGAGCTTGCGCGTTGCATGGCTGCGAGGTTTTATCCGTAGTGAATGTGGGAGTAGTAGAAAACGAAGTCACTGGGGAAGGGAGAGAGTCATCGCTGCTGCTTGACGGTATCGCAGGAAGATCGGGAACTCGAAACGAATGTCTCCTGCTGTCCCGACGACGGACAAGATTTGCGTAGGAAAACCGAGAATCCTCCTCGTGCTCCGGACGAGGGTTCAACGGGACGCTCCATCCTGCAATTCGGATCCGATTTCGGCTTTGGGGTAATGTGGAGGGGCTGTCTGGACCAGCCTGTCTGTAGGAACGTTTTGCAGTTTCGATGAGTTGAGGTGTAAACTTCTTGGGGGAAGATTTCGGGTCAGGCACCGTGGCATTGCCTGCCTTGCCCTCCTGTTGCTTCAGGGATGGGTTTCCGCTATGGGATTTGCCCGACTTCCCGCCGCGATGATCCTTGGTCGTTTCGATGAGCTGTGGTTTTATCCGGCTTCGAGGTTGTGACTGTTCGGGGGCACCGGAACGGTGGTTTTCGGGTTTTCTTGACGATCGACTGCTTGACTCGACAAGCTGCGGCGCGAACTTCCTCTTTGGCAAGCTCCCGGACGACCCCGACTCGATGGTTTTACTGGTGCTATGTCCCTCCTTCGTGGTCTCTTCCATTATATTAAGATTTTCCGTCTCCTCTGGTGTGTGTGGTGATCCTCTAGTCCTCGGATCGGCGACTCGTGGTGAGCGAAATCGACAGGGCAAACGTGGCAGTGGTGATCGTTGTGAGGTCGCCTGCGAACATCGTTGAATCCCATCAGTTCTCCGAAAGCGGCCCGGAGGGAGTAACTATCTTGATTCTGTTGTCGCTGTTGAAACAACAGGATTAGGTGCTGGCAGCCGACCCACTCAGGCCCTGGGAAGACGGTGAGTAATGACGACCACGAAGTCACGAAAAAGAAATTAAAATCTGCAGCTCTTCGAAAACGAGTGACGGCTTCGTCCTTCACAGAACAAACAGGCCGTGCAACAGTAACAATCTCGTCAAAGAAAGGCAAAGGGAAGAGCAGAAGCAAAGACAAATAGCGCAACAACTTGACCCCCTTTTCCTCGCCTGGCGATGGCAGTAACTAATGAAGCTGGGTCGGCCAGCTGAAGCTGAAGGGGAAAAAAAACAAAGGCCCAGACTCGCTCGCAGCTCCTTTTCTGGAAATCCTTGACCCAGACCGCACCGAAAAGACACGCTTGCTAAGAATAAATCACTCACCGTCCAAGTATCCCCACAGCACCGCCAAGGGGGGTGGGATGACCCGCTGACTAACGAGCCTTATTAGCCACCACTAGTCTCAGTGCGGTTTAGCCTCGTCACGGCTCAGGGTCCCGAAAACGTCATCGCCTTGCGCTGGAAATTGGCGCATCGCCGAAAGCGGCTGCACGACATCGCAGTTGACGGCGTCAATCAATGCACCCGGCCGTTCGATCGCACCTCGCGCTGCATGGCATTGTGCTGTGGTTATTTGTGTATGGTACGTGGTGTGCATCCTCTCTGGAGATTGGCTCCATGGCCCGATCGCCCCTTACTGGTTTTAGATCTCTGCCGATGTCCGGTGTCTTTTCGCCCGGGAACATAGGCTTGATTGCCACGAAAAATCTCAGACAATCGCTCCACCGAAATCTTATTGTTCGTTAGTACAAATCTACGCGCTGCACGGCTGATCAATCGCAATTTCCAAGGTAACTGTGTAGTATGGAATAACAGTGGACTTCTGCTGAGGGTCTTCGAAACCTACCCTCTCCCTCTCAAAGCCAGGGGCGAGGGGCTTTCAGCTTTTGGCTGCTGCGGGAAAACTATGGATTGAATCAATCAAAATAAAAATAAAAAAAAAAAAAAAAAACAGCCAAACTCCATACAATTGTTTATCTACTGTGGCAAGTAGTAATAGTAGTAGTTCCATAACTCTACTCTCGCTGCAGAATAATCATTGCAAAACCACACACTCATAGAACCACGCGTGGAAACATAGCCTATGTAGGAGAATAAAACTGAAACATAACAAGAGCCAACCGAAATTAAGGTCAAATGAGGTGTCATATCCCCCTTAAACAAAAAATTATTCATCGTCATCGTGATCCTCCACCCTCAGCCACGCTGGTTGCTGCTCTTCAAACTGAGGACTGTCATCCTCGTCGACATCGTCCTCGTTACTCTGATCTTCGTTCGATTTCTCCTCCTCTATAGTCGTTTCCTGACTGATCCCTGCAGCTTCGTCGACATCATGCAAGCTGCTGTTGCGTCTCACCCGCGCGTGCACTATTCCAGGGAAGATTCTCTGCTCCATCAATGGTCCTGTTAGGCCGGATGGTGAAACCACCTCCTGTGGAACAGATGTGACCTGCGCAGGCGCGGAGGTCACTAATGAGGGCCACGTCTGCTTCATGTCCCAGCTTTGTTGCTGTTGGATACCCTGGGTATTGACGTTGTTATGATTGGCAGCGGCCGCATTGGTCTGTGTGTATGAATCCGTATGTGGCGCCCCGGGAGGCAACCGGGCAGAGTTCGTTGGAAAATTGGGGGACGATGCATTACCTACAGACTCATATCCGCCTTGGTTCGAGGACGGTTGGGGGAGTGACGGTGCTGGAGCGCTGGCAGCGCTGGTCTTGCCAGACAAGCTTGGCGACGGAGCCTGCGTGGCTTGCCGCTGTTTATTAAGCGCCACGATCTTCGGCGTTTGCGGCTGGGTTGCCGGCCTGGAAGCATATCTCTCCATCCTAATGAGCGGGCTAATTAGTAATCTCACCAACTCTCGTCCAGGTGGATGTCTGGGGTCTTACAAGCCAAGTTCTCCAAGTAGAGTCTCGTGTCTAAACGCCTCCCTGATATCAGGGACATTGCTTTTGGCCATATTATTACCAGCCACACCTGGTAAATGGCAGTTCTGCCCTAACCATCTCTGCTTCAGGCTTAATTCAAACCCACTGTGGTCAACAGAATGCTTTGCCAGCTCACACATGTCCGCGGCGCTAAATTTATATATTTGCGCTGCAACTGCATATTCCTCAATCAGTGGCTCTTTGGTAAAAGCAAACTGTAACGGGTCGTCCGTGGAAAGTGACACGTTTAAACCCCTTCTAAAAAATGTAGCGAAGGGGTTCCTCTCATAGGTAAGGAAGAGTGCATTGTTGCTCAATGGAGACATGGCAATCCCGATCTGGTCAAGGTAGAATAAATACTGCAGCAATGGCACTTTGCGAAGCAGAATGCCATGGCTGATTCCGAAGCAGCAAAGGAACGCGGATGCAAGGTGGTCAGGATCACCCGCCTCTCCGCAGTGCGGTCTCAGTACAAAGGTATTGAAACCACGTCGTTTCCTCCAGGTATTCAACGACGCCATATTTGCAAACATGAAGTAGATCCAGTAGCTATATGGCGGATTCTGCTTAGTGTTCCATTGCTTGGGAATTGGAAACTTGCGGTAGAGTCGCCGCTCAGCCTTGCTTTCGTCGTCGACACTATCGAAGCCGACAACCCTCTGCAAAAAGACATGCAACTTCGGGTGGCTGTTCGGGTCCTGTGTCACCTCGAACAAGGGCTGGAAGACATTCTGGATGATGGCGTCAAAGTCCTCAACAATACCGTTCGACTTGTAAACATCATACAATCGTGGAACCTGGATTAGCCATCGGATATTGGGAGAAAACAGCTTATTGTCCACAACCCAAGCGGCAAGCTTGTCCCATTCATCCATGGAGCGACCGTAGATAGAAATGCGCCATTCGGCCATCTGGTACTTGCTCGATTCAAGGTCGGAAATTACTTCTTTAGTAATTTCCGCCAGGTATCGGCCTTTGATATAATTGTCGGTCTTGAGGAATATCTCTCGCAGTCGAGACTCCCCGATAGGGTTATATTTCAGGTTAAACTTATCGAAGCGATGGAAGGAGTCGGTGTGTGCCTATGTTTCTTCTCTATCAGCTATGGCCCGCGAAGATGTGTGCTTGCGAATTGGAGAGACGTACGTGCATGTCAAGGGTATCGATGCTCAAATCATAGGCTGTGAGATTAATACTCTCGAAGACTTCTCGGAGTGTCAAATGCTTTCCATCTCTAAACAAGACGACTTCATCGGGCGATTTCTTCATTTTACTCTTGATGAACCGCAAAAGATGCTTCTGATTCATGCATGCTGAATGATGAACGTGAGTGTCCACCTTTCGGACGTTATAAAAGTCCCTGTGAGGGACCTTCTTGCTATCCGCGATCTCCTGGTACTCATTCAACAGCGCATGTAGCTGAAATTTCCCTTCCAGATATGAGAGTCGTTTAAATGCAAACGACTTGATAGGGCCATCGGTTGAAACGTCAATGATTGTGTCCAGATCCATGTAGAAGTCCCTCAACGACGGGACTTGAACTATTGGCTGGCCCAGTTCACAGGCCTCTTTGGTATCATAGACCTGATAAACGCTGCTCTCATCCAATTTAAAAACCATAGATGACGCTTCCGGTAAAGGTAGAAGGTCATCCATGTCAAAATCCTCGCCAATATTCTGTCCCGGCTTTCTTCTTTTGCGTGCTGGCGAAGGAGGTATGCCATCATTCTCAACTCCATCATTCTCGGTAGGAATCACCATGCTGTTCGCCATACTATTTGCGCCCGTTGGCTCGCCATAGTCTCCCCAAGCGGGCTCTGGTGGTGGAGGGTAGATAATCCAACTCGGGTCGTCTCGCGGGTTATCCTCGGACCGTTGCATCGACAGCTTGATATACTTACGGCGGGTATCTAGCAAAGACTGAATCTTGTGGCATATCACGCCCAATTCAGCCGTGATTGCATCATCATTGGCGACGAAGCCACCGGCTCCTTGTCCAACCCCAAATCCTGCCCCAGCACCATGTATTCCTTGCGACGCAAGCAAACGCGATTCATTTTCATGGAGAGGTGCATGGTGTAGCGAGTACCCTCGGGCAGATTGATTTGCAGCAGCTAAGCTATCTCTGCGAAGGGTAGTCGTTGCAAGCGGGGTGGACGTTATGTGCTGAGAAGGTGGTGGGAGGAACTGGCCTTGATTGCTCAGGCGGGACGCGGCACTTGCAGTTCGGGTAGGAGAATCAAGCTCGAAGGAGCTCGACGGGGGAGCTCCTGACGCCCTTGATGGTAAAGAAGGGCTTTGAGGTGTGTCTCCTTCGGCTGGTCGGTATGCCAACTGGTGACGCTGGTAGAACAGCTTGGCTTCTGCATGGCTCACGGACTTCTCGTACGCATAATCGTAGGTAGCTGTCCGTCGTTGTCGATCGCGGGGAAGGATGGGTGAGCCTCCGCTGTTAGTGGGGTCGATGTCGTCTGGAGTGCCGTCCATGTTTTCGTGGGACTGTTCGCCGTCGCCGTTGGCAGAATCTGAGGATAAATCCTGGGTTGCAATGCCATTCTTATCGTCAGACTCATAAGTCGTCGCGTCTTCGTGTGGGTCGGGCATTTTCCAGCGGGACGGTTCGAATGCTTGGTCTCGACATGGTTCAGCCATCGAATGCAACAAAAACGAGCGAATGGCCTTTCAGATAGAGAGCAATGGCCCAGGAGAAAGGCGTCACGCTGCTATCGAAATGAGAAGCGGTGCTGCACCAGATCCAGCAGCCGATGCCAGGCGACTGCTTCTACTCGCCAACGGCCAGCTGGCTACGCAGCTTTTGGTGGCGTTTGCCGCAGTCAGCTTGCAAGGTTTGGCACTAAAACTAACTAACTTCCCCTCCCCCACAACAAGCCAGGCGCTCACCGCTTGGAGCTTCTTGGGGCTGACGGGCCTCGCCGAGAACCAGGGGAGAAATCGTTCTACATTCGACAACAACGGCAAGCTGCGTGGCGAACTTGAAGAAACTCCTTGTCAACGGTGACTCACGGCTCACTTGGCGAATGGAGCCGTTGTCGTTGTATCACGCAGACTCCGCACATCAGTATGACCCCGAGTTCCCCTGCCATATTCCTTCGTATATGACCCACTGCTGCAAGAGAGAAAGGATCCATGTGTGTTGGAAGAGAAAGCAATCCAGCGGGGATCTACTCTCATCCTACGAGGAATAGTAACAAGAACTATTGCAACCAGAGCGAACCCAGGGGCGGTGCATCTCTATTCGTCCTTGTCGCTGATGGCCTCCGCTCCATCAACAATCCAAGCATGCACATGACGTCAAAGGGCGTATCTGGGATCCACGATTGACTGCGGAGTAACGGCTTGACGAAGAGAAGATATTGTAGGATCGACTTATGACCATATAAAGAAATGGCAGCTTTTGTTATTACATGGCAAAGGGCAAAACCTACCCCGAAGAACGTAAATACACAGCAGGAAGTGTTTAAAAAAAAATAAGATTCCCACACAATTATGATGATGATAATAATAATAGTAATAATACACAATTTGAGATCAGTACTTATTGATATGAGAACAGAGCAATTCCGGGCAACAAGGCCAAGGAACAAGAAAACGAGTACTCGATTCAAAGAAAAGCCGAGAAAATAAGAAAGGAACAAGCACACAGCTTCACCTCACATGCATTATACCCCCTTTGCACGCTCCATCGGCCACAGCTGAAAACTACAAATCTTCCGATTTGTTCTGTGCCTTCATGAAAACGTTAAAAGGAGCGTCAGCGCCGATATAGTATGACATCGAGAAGAAGTAAAAGCGGCCCATACATCACGGCGTCAGCAGACCAACTCCGTGGAAAGTAAGGCGCCGCCTCTGGAAGGTTGTAGAAAAAGCCACACCTTCCATATTTTTGGCAAGGGACAAGCCAGAAAAAAAGTTCAGGCATCGGCGAAAGCTCACAGTCGAACAATAAGAACAGAGAAGGGAGAGATGGTGACATCTTTTCTCCTGGTACTTAGAGAAGATGGGAAGAACTTTTTACCACAGAACTAATTCTGCTGTATCCAGTCATTACACATATACAAATTGTCGAGAGAAATACGTCGGAGGAAAAAAAAAAAAAAAAAAAAAGAGCCCCAGCGGAGCCAAACAGCTGGAGCCCAAAACGTAAATTGAAAATGGTATTCTTGATCACGCGTAATGGAGCAAGAACCGTTTCTTTAACGATACCGGGCGCGGCGCGGCATAGGCCCAGGTGCAGGAATAGTTTCTGGAGAGTAATATTGCCCCTGGTCTTCGTAAACAGGCTGTCGTCGATACTCCATCTCATAGTCAAGATACTCTTTTGGAGCGTCACGATGTACAGGGCGCTCAATGTAATAGGTGGGAGGGTTTTGCGATTCGCGACCACTGACGCGAACAGGAATGTATTCCACCGTACCGTCGTACGGCCGATCTGCATACCTGGGGTCGTCCAGATATTGGTACTGCGGATGAGGAGGTGCCCGGGTATACGGGGCAGGCTGTTCAAGAGGGACACGATCATAGTATGCCTCGGTGGGAGGATAATCCGGATACACTGGTCGCCTGGACCGGTTTCTTGGACTTCGATCACGATAATACGCTGGTTCAAGCGGAAGAGTATCATGGACTGCTGGAGATCGAGATCGAGGTCGAAGCGATCCTTGCCGTTGGGCTTCATACCTGTCGAATCTGCTTTGAGGACGACGTGCATGGTGGTCGGGCTGGTGACGTGATTCCGAATAAGCAACGCCTCGCCTTCCGTGTCGCGGTTCTCCAGTGTCTGGGGACATCGCTCCCGCACGTCTACCGGTATTGTCCTGCGGATCAAAGCGCTGGTCAAACTCGCGATATCCTCGCGCTGTAGCAGGACTATTTGTTCGAGCACCCCAACTATGTCTCGCACTTCGAGGGACATCGCCAACTACACTACCTTCTCCTGCTCCACCAGCATCAGCACGCCAGCGACGCTCATCCATGTCCTCAGGGTCCAGCCACTTGGCCCTAGACGGGTCGTTCGATCGATCAGCGTCCCCGGTGCCAGACTTGTATTCTTCCGGATCTTGGCCAGGCACAAAACTGCTGAGAAAGCGTTCTGCTGCGCTCAATTCTTCAACCGGAGAGCCAGTTTTGCCATTTCCTCCTTGGGGATGAAGGGGCTCAGGGACTTCCCCATCCTCTGACACATTTCTGGTATGTGTAGCGGGGTGCTCCATGTCTGCACGAGCATCAACAATAATACCAGTCGCTGCCTCAGTTCCACCCAATTCAGGCTTGGATAGCCTCTCTTTATACGGGCGATTGTCGGATTCCATCATCGCTGCGGGTCGGTGGGCAAGCCTGGCGGTGTCGGGATGAATTTCAGAGCTCGGTTGTTCGGGCGGCGGAACTACGCGACTTTGGTCGTCTAGACGTCCATCTTGAATCGGAGCTGTTGCTAGGTTTTTGGCTCGCGGGCGACGACTGTCTAGCCGACCGAATTGATCACGCACTGGTTCGATGTATGCAGGTCGATGAGGATCATATTCATTGTCCTTTGGAGGTTCAACAGGTTTGATACCATCACCCAGTGGAGATTCCATAAACTTGGGGAAATCATCGACAGCTACCTCGAGGCGCGCGCGATGAGGTTCTGGTGCCACAGGCTTGGTTTCAGCAACTCGCGCTTCAGGATATTTGGTATGCTCCTCAGTTGGGTGAGAGCGACCAGCTCCTGTTTGACCTTTCTTCAGCGCTGGTCTATTATCCTTGGTTGTTGCACCGTTGAACGAAGCTTTGGAGGCGTTAGAACCGAATACCCAAGGAAAGGCAGCTGTGACTAATTGGAACTTTGCTTGATCCATGCCTGGGGTTTGATTTAGGGAAGATATAGTGGCGTCATCGGGTAAAGCTATCATTTTCGTTTTCCAGTCGGGTGGCGGATCATCTCTAGTTAGGTGCACCGAGAGAAAATGGCTGATAATGGCAGGTAAATTAAAAGGCTTCCGATCATGCCCACGACCGCGACGTCCATGGGACGCGTGGGCGCTTGAACATGATTTGCAAACCAGGCCACATAGGTTCTTGATAGGCTTCATTTGTGGGTGGGTACTGAGGGCGTCCGAAAAGAGAGCTAGAGGTGGTTCGTGGCCAAAACGTTCTGAAAATCGACTGACGACATGGTGCAGCAACACGAAAGCCCGGACGTTATGAGGGAGATCTTTAATACCAGACGTGCCGTTCCAAATAGCCCGAGCGTTCTTCGCTAGCTCATCAACTTGGGATTGATAGAACCCATAAGCTTGGCTGTTGGGGTTGGATTTGTGGGAGTTAGAAGGAGGGGCCCCGGGTCGCTGCGCATGGGAATTGGAAGAATAGGGGACTCCATATGGAGGAATATGTGGCTGGGAGCCATAGTGAGGGGGATACGCGGGTGGTGGTGGCACCGGAGCTCTTGCATCAGGACCATGATACGGTGGGGGATAACCTGGGCCAGGGTATGGGGATCCATAGACAGGATTTGGCGGTGGAGGTTGAGTATGTGGATCATAGGGTCCATTAGGAGGATAGCCAGCCTGCGGTGGAGGATATGCATAGCTTCCCTGCGGAGGGGGATAGTACTGTGAACCTGCAGGAGAAGGGGGGCGATATGGTCCAGATCCATATGCGTAGGGGGTATATGGAGTTCTTCGGTAAGGCGCGGGAGACATATGCGGGTAAGCATCCGGCCCAATTGGATTGCTTTGGTAGCCTAGATTGGGCTGGCCCATAGTCGGTCGAGGCATCGCAAACATCAAAGCCCGAGCTGCATTTGGGTTTGGGTGAAAGGGAGGTTGCTCCGGCCACTCTGCACGCCAATGCACAACAACACTACCAAGGCTGAGGACACTGGTATGCTTTGCGGCGTAGTGCTGGACCACTCCCTCGAAGCCGTAGTACTTGGAGTTATTCTCACAGCCGTTGCAAAGGAATAGCTCCTTTTGGTGTGGGTCTGTAAGAGGTTTGATCTTCTGGTCGAAGATCCATTTCATGTTTTCCAAGATAAGCTTCCGTTTCGGCGGCGCGCCAGGACGGTCTTCCTCAATTGGCTTGCCGAGACTACGAGCCACGGCATCTTCTTTCACCAAGTCACTGTAGAATTTGTTGCGAACGTACATCAGAACATCTGCCGCGAATTTAGGACACTTGTCCTTGGTCACTCCATCTCCATCACGCCAACCTTCGCGAATGATTTCATCAGCGTAAGTTGCCATGCGTTCGCGAATAGGTCTCTGAATTTCATCCCATTCTTTGTCGAGTAAGTCCTTAGCTTCCTTCAGCTGAGCTTCTTGTTGTCGCCGTTCTTCTGATTTGGCTTGAAGAATTTTATCTTGTTTAATGCGTTCTTGTTCGCGACGCTCAGCGACTTCTCTCTGGGATAGTAAACGTGGCCTCAGGATGTCCCAGGCATGATCAGTAAAGGGGTTAGGAATCTGAATAGCTGCTTGAAAAGAGTCCATATGGCTCAAGACAGCTGCACTCAGGGGTGGGTCGAGTTCAGCACACCTCCGCTCAATTTCGGCCTTCCTGCTGGCTTTTGCTTCGTTTATTTCCCGAATGCTGCGCTCAGATCGATGATGGGATGCTTGTTGCATTGGAACATTTCCTGACTTTGCTACACAAGAAGTTAGTGAACGAGAAGGAAAAGAAGAGGCGACACAAGACTTTGGTGTCATGTTGTTATATGTAGCCCAACCGTCCCGCAGAGCCCTCGAAAAAATCTGCAAAACTCCAACAGCTCCGTGATAAGGACAGAAATGCAGCTATTTGCCGGGCTGCCGTAAACAGCCATCAATGGGAAATCACTTGAGGTGGCTTACCATGCGTATTTGAAGACCGTCTAGGGCGGCTAGGAAAGTTCCCCCCAGGAGGGCTTGAAAGAGAAGAATTGGATCCAATGGTGTGGGAACCGGGACCACCAGACTCTATGTAATCCATATTAGGCCGACCAGAGTGGGAGGTAACGGCGGTGATGAGAGAACGAAAACCGCCGGTAAGTTCCCATTGCTCCCATCTAGCTGAATCAGCAATCTTCTCCTTTCCATTCCCCTCTAAGCCCTTAACCCATTCCTCGGCTGTTGCGGCTCCTAGGGCTTTGACTTCCTCGAATTTGCTTCTCATCGCCTCGATATGAGATTTCAAGTAGAACTTAGTTAGATTAAGACCCGATGGAGGCTGGTTTGACCGAAGGACGACGGAAGACACAAAATGCATTGATTGGGTAAAAAATGCAAACGGAATAGCAGGAATAAGAAGAGTGGGCACAGTGGAAGAGAAAAGAAGGTCCATTTCCTACGTTCCGGTTAGAAAGAGTGACAGCAAAGGAGTCGGTCCTGGGTCAGCGCTAACCTTTTCGCAATTATTATGAATACACTCGCTGCAGGCTCGGACAGCAAACGGCCAGATGATCCGTACTCCATTAATACCGGGGCCGTTTTCCCATACGGAATTGTCGGACGAAGAGATAAAACCAGACTTATTGCAAAACTGACAGGCAGTTCCGCGAACAAGACGCCACATGTCCAGCTCAGACAGATGCGAGAGCGGACGGGGCATGCCAGGATGAAAGGTCTTTCGAGAAGAAGACCAAATAGAGTTTGGATGAACATACTTTAATGAACGAGGAGTTGCGCCCTTAGCAGACAACTCTGTCACGTCTGCAGTTAGCAGGTCCTTGAAGACATGGTTCACTTGAAGAACACGGCCCAGGGATGTGGGTGGAAGAAAACTAAAAACATGTTGCCAAATTTCCCCTGGAAGTTTTGATTTGTCCAGAGCATTTTCCGGCATTTCGGAAGAAGGCCCATTGAACTTGAGGCGTTTGTTCCCTTCCGGCGGAGAAGAACCGGCGGGGTACTGGGGGTCATTCTCAGTAAAACTATATCCGTCGCCGTTTTCCCAATGAGAATCTTTCTCTTGTGCGGGTTGATTGGCCGTGGCAACGCGCTTCCTTTTTCGAAGTTGTCGATCCGTCAAGACGTCCTGGTCTGGGAATTCCGGAGAAACGTTACTTCGATTCGAAGGCTCATCAGGTTCTCTCGAATTGGGAGTAAATTTTTCCTTATCATCAGGAATCTGTTCTTGATGGCCAAACGATTCTGGAACTTGGCCCAAGCTCCTTGCCAGGCTTTCCATCGGGCCTTCCGGGGAATCCGCCGAGTACGGATCGAAAGAAGAAGAGCCCGAGCTATGAGGAGATCCGGTTTGATCTGCCATCGTTCGCAATACGCCTGCGCTGAGTGGCAGGCGCACTCGGTAAATATTGAGATCTTGGCGGAAGTTGGAATTCACAACCCCCTTCAAAAAAAAAAAAAGAGCTTCTCTCAAGGGATGATTAAAAGGAAAAACAGACTGTGAAATCAAGTTCAGAGAGTGAAAACGAGTCCTTGGACGGTTAAAAGCCCCGGAACATGACAACAATAAGGTCCGCGCAAGGCAGAATACAGGGAAATGGGCGACTTTAGAAGATCTAAAAGCCTTCGAGCATTATACGAGCAGCTCCAGATGCTGTCAACCAGAGAAGAAAACAGGCGGTGGTATTCAGTGTTGCTGCCAGTGACTTGACAAAAAATCAAGGCAAGGCGGCAACAGGATCAGGATATGCTGCTGACAACAGTTTTGTAGAGCAAGACAAGAGGACGAAATAAGTTTGGCTTGAGAAATGGAAGGATGACACAGAGAAAGGAAACCAACAGCTGTACAAAAGTCAGGTAAAGACTCTACCTTGGTTGGGATACACCGATGAACATGAACCTGATAGCCAAGGAAAGGAAATGGAGATCCCAAGAAGGTTGGTGAAGATGGGTGTGAAGGAGGAAGAAAACAGCTGCAGATGTTGTCGGGAGGGAGGAAGATGTGAATGTGCGGGAGAGGGGTTTGCTGAGACGAAAAAGCTGGTGTTTTGCGACTGATGGAGAGATTAGGGCGGGTGGTGAGTCGTGGCACAACCCGCGTTTTTCCAGCCACCAGCCAATGGGAGACGTCGCTGTGGAGCAAAATACGTATATCACGTGATATTCACATGAAGGGTTCCTGCAGCCGACCAATCGGAGAAGAGTATTTCCAGCAGACGCCTCAGCCACCGAAAAGCGATTGCTTAGTCATAAAAGGGTGGCTGAGCTCCAATTTATGCGGCTGAGCAACCAGGGCGGCACTGTATCCATCCTAATCGGGCCTAGCAGGCGACCGGCGACCCGGTTACGTATTGTTGACTGCGCCGGCTGTTGGATTGCGAGCGACGATCAGTCAAACCTATTATTATTTCCCTGCTGGCTTCGTACCAATTCATCTCCAGACATTGAAACCGTTTGAACAAACCTCCCTGGGACGATTGTGTACTACTTGACTAACAGCATCTGACTTGCTGGCACTTCGGCTCCGACTAGGCCATCCTACACTCAAAACAGTTTGTTGACCTGAGCGAGGTGACCTCACGCCAGTTTTAACTTCCCTCCTTGGGCCTGCGAGGCATCCCCCGAATTTCTCCTCGACCGTTCTTCCGGAATCGTCTTCCCCTCCACTCTCTCTGTTTGCAGCTCATTCCATTTCCTTTCGATAGTCGATCATGGCCACTCTCAATCTTTCGACTAATGGTCATTCGATATCCAAAAGCTACCAATCCGTCGTCAACGCCCCCGCACCCTCAGGCCCCGCTGCGGAATCAGGGACATACGGACAATGGGCAGTTTTCACAGTTTCTGCGCCCCTTGTCAATGCATTTCAAGACACCTCTACGAAGGAAAGTGTGTTGAAGGTCCAGTCTACTGGCGGTTCGTCATGATATCCCCGTTTGACCATGCGTGATGTAGGTTGTTCGCTCCTAACGGTTTACAAATAATAGAAGGAGAGTTGATAGACCTGATCGAAGAGTTCTCTGAAGGCAGAATTCAGTTTGCTTATGTGAAAGTAAAGGACCCAAATACCGGTCTCCCGAAAAATGTTCTTATCGCGTGGTGTGGAGAAGGAGTGCCGGAACGGACGAAGGGCTACTTTACAAGCCATCTCGCAGCCGTTTCCAAACTTTTGCATGTATGGAACCTCAATCACCTATAGGATCGGGAATCCTACTCACGAATTATAGGGCTATCATGTCCAAATAACTGCTCGCTCGGATCGCGATCTCACCCCTGAAAGCATCGTTCGGAAAGTTTCTGATTCGTCCGGTGCGAAATACTCAGCTGCTACGGCCGCCCCACCCGTTGCTGCTGGGCCAAAGCCCCCGGTGGCTTCAAAACCGGCATTCACTCCTACCCGTGTGGGCGGCTCTTTCAGACCCCTAGCCGGAACCCATAGGGCCGCAGGCGCAAAGAATGAACCCGTGGATGAAGATGGTTGGGGAGCCGATGCCCCTCAAGTGACCAGGACCCAACTCGAAAAGGTGCAGCCTGCGTACCAGCCGACAAAGGTCAATATTAAAGAGCTTATGTCCCAAAAGTCATCGACGACATCATCCTATGGCCAAGAGTCGTCTAATAAATCCTCTCCCAGCAACGTCGTCAAGGGAGGCTATCAGCCTATTGGAAAAGTGGATATTGCTGAAATCAGAAGACAAGCACGAGAGGCTGGGGAGATAAGGGATGACCGGCCGGAACCGGTAAAGGGGTCTTACCAACCTGTTGGCAAGATTGATATTGCGGCCATTCGCGCCAAAGCGCGGGGCGGTGAACCTCACAGTTCATCCTCAGGCGCAATGTCTCCAGCACGAACGGGAGATTCCGTTGGTAATGATGAACCAAAGTCACTCGCGGACCGTTCTGCTGCTTTCACTCCCTCCGAACGGCTTACAACCCTTCCAAAACCAAAAGTGGCAAAGAAATTTGGTGGAGCTTCAACGTTCACCGGCACCAAAGCCCCTCTTCCAGGAGGATTGGATACGCCGGCCGCCCCTGCCGCTCCAGTTGTGGGAAGCGCAAGCCGGACCTTTGCTGACGTGGGCGGTAAAACTCCGTCCCAGCTGTGGGCTGAGAAGAAAGCGAAGCAAGGGGTGGTCTCTCCCACCCCGGCCGTAATCACAAGTCCTCCACCCATCCAAAGCCAAACCAGTGGAGAAAGTGGCTGGAAGAGCTCATATACTGGCAAAACTTGGGCCCCAGTTCAAACTACTCATACCGGAAGATCATCTGGAGCCGCCGTTTCTGAACAAAGAACTGGGGGATCTGAGCCAACGGCCGAAGCCCCGGAAACTGGAACGGTTGGTTCAATCCGGGATAAGTTCGCAAACACCCAGCCTATGGGGGCCCCAACGTCAACTTACGAAAGAGCCGCTCCATCTCCACCACCACTGGCGACTGAGACAAAGCCAGTTCCACCGCGTGCAGTTCCTCTCCCTGGCCTTCCAACCGATACCCGTGAAAATCTCGAAGATATTCACCAGGATGTCCCGCCCCCCCCTCAGCAACCACGCTCTCCCTCTCCTGAAACAGCGGCCGATGTTGAGCCCAGCTCCCCGATTCGCGTGGCCATGCCAGTAGCTCGTGGGTCAGCAGATGAACATGTCGCCGATGCCCACGAAGAGCAATATTCTCCTCCTGCCCCCCTTCCGACTAGATCTATTGTTGAACATGCTCCAAGCGAAGAGCAATTAGAAGCTCAACCTTCTCATGACCCCGCCAGGGCTGTTGCAGAAGCTACAGCTCCCAGCCATGCTATGACTGACCAGGGTATCCGTGCTCTTGTCCAATATGATTATGAAAGGGCGGAAGATAACGAGATTGAACTCCGAGAAGGAGAGTATGTTACTAATATTGATATGGTTGACGAGGATTGGTGGCTCGGTGTGAATGCCCGAGGAGAACACGGCCTCTTCCCCAGAAGCTACGTTGAAGTGGTCCAGGAAGGCGATCCTCTGTATCAACCGGCATCAAGCAGTACCCAGATCCCCCCTGCCCAGCCTGCGCCTGCTCAGCACACCGCGGCGCAGCCCGCTGAAAGCCATGGGCGTACTGCAACTGCATTGTACGACTATGAAGCCGCCGAGGACAATGAGATAGCATTTCCCGAAGGTGCTAGAATCACCAACATTGTAAGTCAATGGCTTCTGTACCCAGCTTACACCTTATCCTTGTAATTATTAACGGGACATTTTACAGGAATTCCCCGATGAAGATTGGTGGGTGGGCGTTTTCGGTGGTCAACGGGGCCTCTTTCCAGCCAACTATGTCCAACTCGACCAGTAGCCACACTGAAGTCTCTAGCCGAACATGTCACCCGCGCCGTGAGTTCATTTCCCATTCCAATTCGCAGCTTGGTTACTTTGGCTTCAGTAGCAGTGAAACAAAGCGGTCATCAAAATCCCATTTCCACCCAAAATGTATGTTAGCACGCATTCGCTTTTGGAAGCTTGGTTCTCTCGAGATTGTTGCTGCGAGGCGGATGGTAGTGAGTTGTCATTTCCAGTTCAATATACAACTTTTGGAGACTTTGGTTTTTCCTTGTACGGAAATGTTGAAACTATTAAAGATTACACATAGAACGTGAGGATGGTAGGACCTGTGAAATTGACGCCAAAAATGATGCTGTTAGTGAAATGAGGACTGTAACTTCTTCCAACCTATGTCATGAGTAGTATGAAGTGCTTGTTAAAGAAGTCAATGCGCGTTCACAATCTAGTTCTGTCAAGTACTGACTGGCCCCAAGCCCTATCACAAAGTCATACCACCAGAAATCCTCCTGAGTGAATCTTAGTGCTGTGGTGAAGTTCCAATACTCAGGGTACCAGCCTGCCAAACCCCAGCCCAAAAAACCCATGCCATGATTCGCCCCTTGTGTATGAGAATAAGCTGAGCAAGCTGATTATTATAGGTAACCCCAACCCAGCTACAATAAGACCAAGAGAACTGTCTAAGATATCTGTGGAAGACACCCCATAATCAGCATAACCATGGATGCGTTGGGCAGGCAGTCTCCGGTATTTGATCAGTCCTGGTAGGTGAGATGTGGTATGGCCAGTGTAAAATCCGGTATGAAGCAACAGGGCATTAACGAAATTCCCATCATCGGCCAGACGTGAATTGGAATGTATAACAAAAGTGCAATAAACATAGACAAGCATCGAAACTAAGTAGAGAAGAGCCTCAGAAGAAAGGCAAAGACAAGTTTGTTCCCGGGGCCAGATGCTTGTATTTATTTTCTCTGGGATGAGCATTCGTGTGGAATCTTATTCCCAGACTTATTGGGGTTGTGCTTATTTTTGATGTAGGGGCGAGTTCTCACATATAACTACATAGGTGGATCGGGGAGCTATTTCAAAAGGAATATTAAAACTAACCACAGGAGGAAATCCACAGCTCCTCGCAAACAGAGACATTCAAGACCATTCACTGCCTATTTTCCATCCTTACACTCCTTTCTTTTTTTTTCTTTTTTTCTTATTATTTATTTATTTATTTTTCTTTTAGCCCCCATTCCAAAAGGCTACCAAATGGGAACATTATATGCGCCAGCGAGACAAACCTAGTCATGCTGGGCAAAGAAGAAGTTTGCTCCAACCACCTCGAGCCCGTGTTCGGAGGCCCATTGCCGCACCCCGTGCCTTTGCTTGCCGTATCCCCACTGCTTCCGCTCCTTGGGTGCCTTCAACTTTCCAACATTACTAGCATCACCTTTGAGCAATACAAACACGTACCGATGATCTCCAGTTCCCGGCGGTGGGCTCGGAGGCATATACTTCTCTAGGGAAGTCCCGCCCGACTTCCCGCCGCTGGTTCTCGGGTTAGAGGCATTGCCGACCACCCAGTGGCAGAATTCGCTCCAGATGGGTTCCTGGCGACTTTTTGCGTCTGGGTCGGTAAGGACGAGGCTGTATGCTTTGTTGGGCTCGGTGCCTTCGGTGGGTGAGACGGGATGGAATTCGTAGACCGGCGGGTCGTGCGCCTGCTTGGTGGAGATGTGGTCGCCGAGATTTATTTCGGTCTTGGTAGAAGGATAGGTGACTTTGAGGGTATATTTGGGTTCAAAATCGTCCAGGACTGCGAGGAAGACCTTGAGGTTAGCAACAGGAGAAGAGAGTCTGGAACGCAGGTGACGGGGAGCAGGGGGGCCAACTGACCATCCGGGATGATGCCGTTGGACCGCAAGCTGGTGTAGTAGATGTTATGAAGACACGGTTAGCCTTTCAGTTCGATCATCTGCCACATGCCACGTGGATTATGGTGCCTTACGCTTCACGGGTTGAAGCAGCCATTTTGGACTCGAAAACCTTGGTAGAATGTGATCGCTGTTGACAGAGAAGTTGAGGCACGACGGTCGAGTGTGCTGACAGGGCCGAGCAGACAACACTCCTAGGTTTCGCAGCGTAGTTAACAACCGAGAGAACCACCCAACGTCTCAGAGAGGGCCTCATGTTGCATCTCGCAGCCTCCCAGCCTGTCCTTATCCAAGTCCTGGCTTGCCCGCGTCCTCGTTGCCGGCTGGCTGCTCAGTCGCCGCCGCAATCGCTGACATCATAGTTTGCGGTGTTTGCACTACGCACAGACCACCTCAGCCGATCGCTTATGTAATAATCAAACTCGCCGGTCTTCACGTGGGCGCTAGTATCTTGGCGTTAATTTTGCTCGGTTTGATTGGCAGAAGTCACGTGAAAATCCGCCTGCAGCCCTTCGAGGTCGGCAAAGAACAAAATCGGCCGCATATAAACACCAACTGATGGGGACCGTGTTTTGTCTTCTGTTCACAGGCTTTTCCCCAGTTTTACTTGCTCTTGACTGTTTCTCGTGTCGCCTTATCTGCGCCGCCATTACCCTGGTTCAGCAGGTTCATGTAGCAGCTTACCTTGCCGCAAAGTCTGCTCCTGGCGTTCTCTAGCTTCTCGCCCGTCCCAGCCCCAATTCTTCCGGCTTCTCAGCGGAAATCTCCTTGCTAGCAAGGATAATCGCTACCGCATATTGGCAATAGTGCTTTCTTGAAAAATGGCATCATTAGGGGAAGATTTGCTCTCTACCGTCAATAAATTACAGGACTTGGTTTTTAATACCATTGGAAGCGACTCCCTTGACTTGCCTCAGATTGTAAGCTAGCGATCGATTGCAGTCTCTTGAGCGAACCTCCCACCAACCCCCTCCCCACTTCTCTCATGCTTACAGGCTGTTTTATATAGGTGGTCGTCGGTTCACAGTCGTCAGGGAAGTCGTCAGTCCTTGAAAATATTGTCGGAAGGGATTTTCTCCCTCGTGGTAGCGGGATCGTAACCAGACGCCCCCTGATCCTTCAACTTATAAACGTCCCAAGTGATCGCACTGATGTACCCGAACATGACGAAGTCAATGTCCCTCACACCGCCGCTTCCGTTGCTGGACAGGGCGAGTGGGCCGAGTTTCACCACCAGCCAGGCAGAAAATATGAGGACTTTGCGCAAGTAAAGCAGGAAATCGAGAATGAGACGGCCAGGATTGCGGGAAATAATAAAGGAATAAACCGACAGCCGATAAACTTGAAAATTTTCTCCCCGCACGTGCTCAATCTCACATTGGTCGACCTCCCCGGTTTAACGAAAGTTCCAATTGGAGACCAGCCTTCGGATATCGAGAAGCAGACGCGGAATCTAATATCCGAATACATCGCGAAGCCTAACAGCATTATCCTAGCGGTGTCTCCTGCCAATGTGGATCTTGTCAACTCAGAAGCGTTGAAACTGGCACGCCATGTTGATCCTGTCGGAAAAAGGACAATAGGTGTCTTGACAAAACTTGATTTGATGGACCACGGCACGAATGCCATGGATATTCTTACGGGACGTGTCTATCCCTTGAAATTGGGCTTTATCGGAGTGGTCAATCGATCACAACAAGATATCCAAGGCGGAAAGCCACTTGCGGACGCTCTGAAAGCCGAAGCTGAATTTTTTAGGCACCATCCGGCATACAGGAATATGGCTATCCGATGTGGAACTCAGTACCTCGCAAAGACGCTGAATACAACATTGATGGCCCATATTCGAGAGAGACTTCCGGATATCAAAGCCCGCTTGAATACGCTCATGGGTCAAACCCAACAAGAGCTCGCTAGCTATGGTAACAAACAATTTAGCGGAAAGGAGCATCGAGGCTCTTTGATTTTACAACTGATGACTCGTTTTGCTTCCTCGTTTATCTCGTCTATCGACGGTACTTCCTCCGAAATATCAACGAAGGAACTCTGTGGCGGCGCAAGAATCTATTACATTTTTAATTCTGTGTTTGGAAACTCCCTCGAGACGATAGATCCGACCCAGAATCTCTCAGTACTTGACATTAGAACAGCAATTCGAAACTCGACTGGCCCAAGACCCAGCCTTTTCGTTCCGGAACTCGCTTTTGATTTACTCGTGAAGCCTCAGATTAAACTGCTTGAGATTCCCAGTCAGAGATGCGTTGAGCTTGTCTATGAGGAATTAATTAAGATCTGCCACACATGTGGCTCGACCGAACTATCCCGATTTCCGCGCTTGCAAGCCAAGCTAATCGAAGTGGTCTCGGATTTACTGCGTGAGCGGCTTGGTCCGTGTTCAAATTACGTCGAGTCCCTGATTTCGATACAGCGCGCTTATATCAATACGAATCATCCCAATTTCCTTGGAGCAGCCGCTGCCATGTCGTCGGTTATCCAAAGCAAGCAAGAGCAGGAGAGGAAAGCTGCTCTGGCTGAAGATAAACGTAAACGTGAGCGCAGACGGCTCAAGGAGCTCGGCGGTGTAAATGGCACGGCTACACCGGAAGAAAATGAGGATCATCACGAAGATGAGAGACACCAAACTCTTCCTATCCGCGCAAACAAGGTCGGTAGGAGCCAGTCGCCTCATATCGGGAATCTCGAGAACAGCCGGATTTCATCGTCGCTTAACGGTTTCCAAGCAGTTTCTCAGCCAACAGGAGGTCGAGATTCCTTCCTGAACTACTTCTTCGGCAAAGAAGGAGCCCTTCCTGCACCAGGCCCGGCACAAGGAGCTGCGCGCCATGTCAGCCATTCGACCGAGCCTAGCTTTAGCCAGAGCTTCCGTCGCAGTGAATTAAGGTCTCCTTCGATTTCACACAACTTTCCCGACGACGTGACTGCTCCATCGGAGTATGGAGATGCATCCTTGGTTGTAAGTGCTCGATTCCATCGCCATCGTTCCTTTTTTTAATACATGCTAACAAAGCGCAGAAGGATGACACCGAGCCCGCGCTTACAGATCGCGAAGCCCTCGAGACAGAGCTCATCCGCCGTCTTATTTCGTCTTACTTTAACATCGTTCGGGAAACCATTGCCGACCAGGTTCCCAAAGCCATCATGCATCTGCTTGTTAACCACAGCAAAGAGGTTGTGCAGAACAGGCTAGTTAGTGAGTTGTACAAGGAAGAACTCTTCCCTGAGCTTCTGTACGAGGATGATGGGATCAAAGCTGAACGAGAAAAATGCGAGAAATTACTCGAAACGTACAAGAAAGCGGCGAAGATCGTGGGAGAGGTGCTGTAAAGGATCTAACTGCATTTCTTCAAACTACATCCGTGTGCTTTTTTAACCTGTAACATGCATCTTTTCTTTTCCCTAATTTCTTCACTTCGTTACCTCAAAAATCATCGTGCATGCTTGGGAAAGTTCTTTCTCTTTGGCTATACCTCTTAGTGGCAGGTTCCTATACTCTCTTCATTTTCGCATCTCTACGCGCTCCCCTTTCTCCCCTTTCCGGTTTAAGCATCTTTCGTTTCTTGCTGCTATTTCTTGCATCGTTTGGATAACATGAAGAGCCAAGAATCGGACAAGAACTACTTTTAGAGTGAGTATAAAACAGGGTCTTCTATACTCGAAGCCTGAGAAGACTACGCTACGATGCCGAGGCGACACTTTGAATGATGTATGTATATTCTATGGGCATGTATTTCCATTCCACCTTTTTTTTAGTTTTTATTTTTTATCTCTTTTTGTACACGAATGAATGCCGGGGATGGTGGCTGGCCTTTTTTTTAATCCTTGTTTCGTTCCTTCATTGTTAAGCACCTGACGTTCGCATGTCTCTTTACCTAGTCAGGGCGCTTTGGGCACCGTTTCTGGGCGACGGGATGTTAAACTTTAATGCAGCTACACGACTTGATATTTCGTTATAAGGCCCGTGTAGATGTGAACTTGTCATACTATGTATTCAAATCAGGCCTTGGGGGTCTGCAAGTCTAGATATCTGTTCTAACATTGGGTATAATGCTATGTATGTATATGCAGTATACAGCATGTACTCAGAATGCAGCCTGAGTCTGGTCTATCTATCATGCATCTAATGCACCCAAGTCCAACCACAAAAAAAGAGAATCAGCACCCAATCAACTCCAACCCTGTGACAAGCCGGGAAATACCGGTCTCGGAACCTCATCTATACACTTTTTTCTTTTATCTTCGCCTGCATCTTCCTTAGCCTAGCCCCCTCCCATGTATAGATACCACCTGCGAGGAAAACTATTCCAGCACCCGCCATAACACCGGCAGACAGGTGATTACCAAACAAATACACGCTCAGGATTAAACTCACCAGCTTCCTAATGTTCAAGACAATAGTCACTGTGAGGGAAGAAGACTTCGCGCTAAGCAAATACACGCCACGAATGCAAAGATATTGTGTCAGTGCGTTCAAGAGAAGATAGATCATTTTCAGCGGCACACGTGAAAGAAGTGAGTGCAAAGGAGGGCTATCGACAAGTGACGTCAGGAGGAGATAGGGCTGGAACAGGCTGTAGTCAGAGAGAAAAGAAGGAAGTAGTGTTGACGCAGAGGCGGGGATTGTGGAGGAATTCGGCATGACACTATTAATAGACGAATGTGCAGACGAGGTAGAAGCAAGAACGGGGAAAGATGCGAGGACTGACGGCGAGGACAGGAGTGATTTTATCTGCGGGAGGAATTTTGGATATGTTGGGATTAGTATAAGTAACGACAGTGCATGCGAATAGAATAGACCTTCGCGCCAATTATCCCGGCCGTATTTCTGATAAAGTCTGTCAGCATAGACACCTTGGAACGCTGCAAGAATCATGGCGAGACCCAAAATCGCAAATCCGAGTAATGTTCTCGTTGGGGAGACCTCATTATCACTGGAATTCAAGCCAAGATCTAGCGATTTGCCTTTTGCACTGGCATCAGCGAGCGCAGAGGTGACTACTCCAATCGAAAGCATAGATACGGCGAAAATCTGAACTCGTGTGTATCTCTTTGAATTGTACAGGTATCCAATAATCATGGATGTCACCGGTCCACCACTTCGTATGATGATGTGCAATGGCACAGAAATCTTGAACAGAAAGGCAGAATTATTCATCAAGTTAACAGTCATAAAGAATGCCGTAAATATGATCCAGTCTTTCAATGGAATGCCACGAGCCTTCAGAAATAAAAACTTAGGGCCAGCAGAGAAAGAGAGGATATTTGGAAGAGTAAGGAGCGAGGTCATAGCAAACTGAGTAAATGTGATAAGCGCACCTGGGTTATATTAGCTCAGTGAACCTATGTTAAGCCCAGAATATGATTTTGTGCTCACCAGCATGGGGCATGTCCCTATAAAGAATGGGAAATCAGCCAGGAGTGATAAGAAAAGCAGGATATTGTTTCTGGTCTAAACTCACGTAACAATTGCTTCCAAAGTAAAAACCTGCAAGGTGCACAACTGGTTAGCTGCAAGTCCATGTCGATATGCACAAATGGTATTAAATCATCCAAGCTCACTCACATTTGCACAGCAGCCACCAAATATCAGGGCCAACATAAACCCCACATTTGCCCATGCAGGAACAGTGGCATGTGCAACTGCCGTTGCGATATCCCCCACCCTCTCTGGGCCATCTGGTATTGGTGTATTATTAGGCTTGACAGTTGATATAAAGCCATTGGGATTGGCTGGTTTGTGCGACGAAGGGTCCAAAAGAGAATTATCCAACTCGCGTAATCGCGGTGTCCTGCGTAGTATTGTGCGATCGGCATCGTGCGTTGGTGTTGTGCCCGACATTTCGGAAAAAATTTTCAGCGTCGCTGGCCTCCAGATGCACTTTGAGGCCTTGTGGTTATTGTCCACCAGCCCGTTTTGAACGTGCGCTAGTTGATGAAAAGCAGACGTGGACGCGACTGGCCTCTAGAGAGTGGCAGAAAGCAAATCAACGACAGCTGAAAAGGGGGGAGGGAAAGAAGGAAATATTGGCGGATTAGACGCGCCCAACATCAGCTTGTATCCAAGCACGTTGTCCTCTACTATCTAATAATCGATAACGCCGTGCAGAGTACCTACTCCGTCGTCTCCGGTTGTTGTGCATCCGCCGCGGCGTGGTTGAGGAGCCGGCTGAGTCAGCCATGGTTGGGCCCTTGTCGCGTAAAGTAACAAGCCCAATCAACATTCAACAACGGGGACCACACGTTTCTTTCCCAGCGGTTTAAGGGGATTGATTTGAAATATCGGATTACATTCTGGCAGAAAAATAAATCCCAACAGCTAAGTGGAAGCAGTAATTCTTATTCTCATTGCACAATCTACCGCCAGAAGGAGTAAGATGATAAGCCTTTTGCGACTGCAAGCCGCAAAACTATGAAAAAGATTCATTGAGAGCTTCCATCCAAACTATTAAGTAGTTATCCAATGAAATGAGGTCGATATATACACCGACGAATAAGGATCCTCTTCAGTCCTCGATATCGTCGTCGCTCAGAACCAGCTTCTCCACCGCATCTTCTTCCACCTTCGACGCCATAGTATGGAAGGGCCGTGGTCTGGGTGGCGGCAGCATTTTTCGTGATATCCTTCGCTTCTGTGGAGATTTTGGCACAGGATCCGTTGCCCAATGTTCGGACCCAAGATCTTCGAGAATACCAAAGTCTTCATCCGTGATATCGTTTGTTCGTCCAATCATACCACGGAACCGGATTAATCTATCAAGGTCGCCCATTTCAGATGGATCTTTGGTAATCATCCTTTGGTAAGGTAAATAATCCAATAGCACTTCTTGCGAAGACATCATTGTTCTGGTGGGCATAGAAGATGTCTGCGCATCCTCTGTAGGTCCGGAATTGGTAAAATCACGATAACTCCCCCATGATTCGATTCCCTCCGTTCGAGGACCGGAGCAAGGATTGTGCGTAGAAGAAACTGGGTATATTAAACGGCGACACCACATGTCTAGCAAACCCGACAACTCCTCGGTCTCACGCCAGAGACGCATCGAGGTTGGGAAAAACATCTTATAGACGTCACCCCCTTGTCCGTCAGGCATAGCACGTCTCCTCACGGGGTAAGGAAGGGAAAACAACAATCCTCGCACAGCTACCTGAAAGCTCATTTCATCTTGTCGTAATAAATCGACGCTCTTTCCAGAACCCCTCGAGGAAAATCGGGCTGATCCCACACTGCTTCGAGTGGGTCGTGCCCCTCTGCGACTGTCGACGGCAAGGATGTCTGCATTGGACAATTCCGAAATGCAGTCAGCAAAAAAATCAGTAAAATCTTCGCTCTCACATGAAAGGATGTAATTCTCGTGAAGAGCTGCAATGAATGTCTGGGTATCTGTTCCAGTTTCGTTAATCAACTCGTCAATCAAAACCTGAGAAACTTTTTGTCGAGCAAAACGAGAAAGATGCTGCCGAGGCTGGGGAGCCTGTACATTGGATCCCACAGTAATTGAGGGATCTTCGCGTTTGTTATATACAACTTTTCCGACAGCATGAAAGAGCCCTAGACTCGATTCTCGGTGTGTAATTGCGACCAACGATTCTTTCTCCATATTGGTCAGCGCAGCCACCGTATTACCGCCTCTTTTCAATCGACTTGCCACGGTTCCACTCCAGTCCCCATCTTTATCGCCCCGTATGCATAGAAACTCTAGCGACGCGATAGCACTCCTGATGTCACCCATTTCTGCAAAACTTTTGAGAGCCGCGGGACCGGGAACACGTCTTCGTTTAGATATACGAGCCTCTTTTTTCAGAACGAGATCCAGAGCCTTCGTTATGAAAGTCGGTGCAACGGGGTTGAACTCAATAATACTCACGCCAGGATGATTGGATATCTCGGGACCAAGAAGCCTGAATACTGTGAAATTATCCGAGAGCGCCGCTCCCGTTCCTAGCAAGGTTTCAGAGACAATAATGACGATAGGGGTATCCGATTCGTTGTCAGGTCTTGGGGGTCGACTATGAAACCCCATAGACGGGACGGTTGTTGCAAGGTATCGCTCAAGGCTCGATCTAAAAGCCATGAGGCTTGAAGAGCCGTGGCTCAAAGAAGTTGGAAACTCTTCAATGAGAATGATTCGCCTTCGATTACTTGAGGGAGTCGATTCGTCTTTAATAATAGATTTGGCGGATAGCGAATCTTGCGACATAGAAAGACTCCTAAATTTATCAGTCCGTGACAAGAAATCGTCAAACTGAGCGCTCGTCGACACGTATCCCGCCGAAGAATATTCCGACCCAGAAGAATTCTTCCACTCGATAATTTCATATCCAATTGTCTTCGATAGCAGCGAGACAGTTGTTGTTTTTCCACTGCCTGCGGGGCCTTTGAGTACAAGTATTCTCTATGTCAATCAGCATCAGCCAATACCGCGGGGCACAATCAATAAATTGAAAGATGTGAAGAAATTGCAAACTACCCACGCGTTTACTCCGCCCCATAAAGACGTCTACCAGCCATCTCTGCACATCGGCTACTTTCTTCTTATGGACGGCCAGTTCGTCAAGATCCGCAGGTCCGAATCGTTCAGCCCACGGTTTCAAATGATCACCCAAGTCTGCCAAATCAGATTTTCCCGTTTTAAGATCTGGAGGCATGACGAATTTCTTGATGGGTTTTGGCCTTATTGCTGCTTTGGCCGTGTCATTCTGCTTCCGCTCCTCATTTGAGCCGTTTTTGTGTCGGCTAATTGCAAAACTTCCAGTCCCTTGCCCCTGTCTTGCACCCTGGGAGGACGTTACCATATTAAACGACCGGCTTCCATTCCAATTGAGTAGCTCTTCTTCAATGTCTTCATCCTCAATTTCCTCCAAAATGTCCGGCTTGTAATCATCAGCAACCTTGCTCCACCGCTGCTCCTCCGTTGCAGGAGCGAAGAAAGAATGAAGAGACTTCGAGGATGCAGATTTATCGGGCTCAGGCTGTTTTCTTGTCCTGCGTTTCTCAGGAGAGGTCGCTGGAGAGGTTCGGGTGGAGGTAGCCCGGCTACTCGAGGGCCGAGGAGCTTCTTTCTTCGATTGAGACCTTGAATGACGCGTATTCTTCGCGCTTGTATCTATAGAACATGTAGCTGAAGTCCCCTTGGGCTCTGAAGCAATCAATCGCGTGTTGAGCCGCCGGTGGCTCGCTGGTGCTGCGAGTGAAGAAGCGAACGGCACGTAGGATTCATCCTCATCCGACGAATGCACTACCAGCCTCCTCTGCCGCTTTCTGGGAGGTTGAGCGGCCATAATGCCAGGAAAAGACAGGCATATCTCTTAAGCAGTCAAATTGCCTTGGGAAACGAGCAAAAGTGTGTCAAACTGCGCCGATGGCCACTCAGAACCATCGAAGGAGCCGATAGTGCGGTCTCGATGCCAAGCCTAGCTGCTTACCAGCTAACAAGCTTGGCGCCCCCGAGCTCCACCACCCCAGCATCCATCGAACTTCCATGTCAACAAACCAATCTCTCGGACGGAGCACAGACGCGATCTTCAACGGTTGAATTTCGAAACGTAAGGAGGCCTCGAATTACGCCGAGGCACCTCCGACTTTTTGATTGCTTGAGTTCGGAATTTCATATGACACCACACTGGTGATAGCTGGTGAGAGCGGCGCTGGTAGTAAACCCCAACCAAGGCCGCCTCCGCTTTCAAACGATCATCTACCCTGCCACTATGTTCCCCATCTCCCAGTGGTAAACTAGCACGGCTAATCCAGGTGCTCCTTTTCAAATGTCGTCTCCGCTGGCTGTCAGCTCCTCTTCCGCACACCATAGCTGCTCACCCGCGCTACAGGGCCATATCACATACAAACAATATATTATCCTCATTGCCTTCAACAGCCAAAAGAGTGGTAACTTTATACGAATTTTTTCTCCATGCGCTCTATCATTAGACAAGTGTAATTCAACGGCAATATCATGACGGCAGGCCATCATACACCAACCCGGAACATGCATACAAATCCTGGGAGCAAAAATATCAAACCACTAAACCGATTAGAGTGAAGGATACACTGGATTATGAGGCTCCGGCAATTCTCCACTTGCATCTCAATTCCCACCCAGAGTATGCTGACTAAACCCGAGAAGTGCCCAAGGCTTTGCGATATGGGCATCATAGATAGCCGGGTGCACTGGGGATAAGAAATTCGAGCCCTCCTCTGGTGTTGTTGCTGTGTAGAGGTGATACCGTTCTCTCACCGAGACGTCCCCAAAGCTTTGGTCGGGAGTGTGGGAGGGAAAGGGAGCCCGAGTTGCCCCCTTTTTTTTTTTTTTTGGTTGGAGGCGTGACGCTCATGGATTGACGAGAAATGCACCTATGAAGCGAATATTTGAGTTTTCGGTGAAGCGTGAGGCTTGAGAATTTGTTGATGGAACAAACAGAAAGACCTGGTAGAAAGTAAAGAAGGAAGAGTTGAAGAAAGGCCAGCTATGATTTAGAAGGGGAGGAAGAAACTAGAAAGAGCAGCAATTGAAATTTGTCGCGAACCCGGTCCGCATTTTTTTTGTACATCATTCGCCAACCTCACATATATACGCCAGCGCGATCCAAGCTTGGTATCAAAGAGAAATATTAATGATATTAAACCCGCCATTTTTCAAGGGCAAAAAATCAACCAAGAACCAAAAGGGAGGACTAAGCACCAGCAAAAATATCATAATAATAGTCTTCATCCAGTCCCTCACGGCTCGGAATATCTGGACACTCTCCAATAAACGTGGCATCATCAAACCGCACATTAAGGAGCCGAATCTTCAGTCCGTAATTGCTCACTAGATTGATCAGCTTATTTGTCTCTGCAGTTATGGGCTGCTGGTTTAGGAGCATAAGGAGGCCATCTAGCCATTCCGATGCGATGCTGTGTGACTGGGGATGGAGAGTCAAGAGGACGATTTCTTTCTGGGTTTGGTTGGTTTTTACGGTATTTGATCGCTGACGATTAGCTTTTTCGTTATGTGGGTCAGACGACGATTTAGGGTTGTTGCTCGAGGACGACGGGCTTTGAACGTAGCCGTGGATTGTGATTTTCGTTGTGGAAGAAGAATGTGCGAGGGTTTTGATTGTTGAGCCAGAGGAGGAGTCGGATGAGGCCGAGACGTTCGATACCACAGAGGAAACGGCATTGAGATCGACTATCGGTAGTTAGCAACTGTTTACTTTTGCTGGGGTGTTTCGAGGGGCTGTACTTTTGTGCGTAAGTGAATCTATATCAGGAATCTCATTATTCACGGAGTCAAAGTCCGCATAGTGAAGGTACCGCCGATTATGTGACAGTTGTGCATATCTGTACGTTGTCGAATTTGTTCGTTTCATGTCTGGTCTAGAAGAAGCTCCATTTTCTCCTTTAGAGCCCGACTCCGTTGGGAACCATGCGCCTTGCAATAGACATCGGATCCGCTGTTCCTTGACAAACTGTAGAGCTTCATGGTGCAGTTCTTCCCTGACCTGATGAAGGTGTTGGCCCCAGACATCTTCGTAAGTTAGCTCCAGCAATTCCATTTGTAATTCCCTAAGTCGCTGATATTCAAAGTCATTCATCTCTTCTTCGATTTCATGCATATCTTTGGTTCGTATAGCTCCGCCAACAACAGATTCAACAAGAATTCGAACTAGTTCGGCGATTTTTGAGAAATCTTCCACCTCAGCCCCAGTTGCTTTCCATAGGCGAAAAAAGGCATTCAGGGCTGCAACATGCAGGCGAGGCCAATGAAGCAGCAACGGTTTAAACACTTTGTCAAGGTTCGACCGTGACTCGAGAATCAGGTAACTCTTCGGATCTTCCAAATCGGCCTTGTCGATCTCGAAATGTTCGTATAAAATGGCAGTAACGGTCAAGGATGCCCTCGCAATTGGACACCTCTGCTCCGCAGGCCTTGTGGATTGCTCTAAAAGCATCTTCTGGAATTGATCCTGATATCTTCTAACGAAATCAGTGAAGTCCATCATGCCTAGGAATCCCATATCATGGAAATCCCATTGCGGACTTTCAGTCTCAAAACCAAGCCTTCTCCATTTATGTGGATTGTGTCTTCTTGACCCAGTCTTTTCCGTCTCTTGTGCCGGCTTTTCAGGGTTACTTGCAAGGTGTATGCCCTTTAAGGCTCTGCGATGTTCCGTGTTTTCCAACTCCACAGGAAAATCTCTCCATTTCTTCAACAATACTTTTGTAAGGGACTGAAACTCGAGGAGGGGTTGGGCAAGATCCTGGAGTGCAGAACCTTGCATAAGCACATATACAGCCCGAATCACTCCCAAATCTTGTAACCTCTTGATAAACTTCGGCCATTCTGCCTCGCTTTCAGATATTATCGAGTCTCTCATCAGGCTATTTATCAACTGAAGGGAATTCGCACACAGCGCATGGTCGGCAGAGGACAATCTGCTAACGAGCATTTCGAGAAATTGCGAATGAATGGCGATAGCCGGTTTGAGAGCCTGGAACCCGAAAAGACTAACATGACTGTGCACGGAAGCGCGTCCCGAACTATGTGGATGGGAAACAATTGACACCAGAATAGACATCGCACCGCGCAGGATATTAACGAGAGGGTGGGTAACGATAAGCTGGACAATCTGCACCAATTATTAGCAATACTAACACCAACCGAAAGGAAGAAACAAAGAAGATTCCTGTGGCTTCAATTGAAGTCGCGCACCCTCTCGATAAACTCCTCATCCACAACCTCCCAACCCTTGTCAACCTCCAACAATCTTGCAAATGAAGTAAGACTGTATGCCAGTGTGTTTCCGGTCGCTGTCATAGCCAAGTGCTTCAATTTGACCAATCCTTTCTCCGAAATAAAGACGTCCGCAAAAGAAGGGTCGCCGATATTCGACTGGAGCTTAAACACGGCCATTTTGCGAACGGCATCTTCATCGCTTCCTAGTCGCTCCGCGAGTTCAGATACATTGATGTTCTCCATAGCGAAGCAGGGCTCGGGAACGAAACCGGGGAGGAGAGGGAGCAATTCGAGAGAGGCGGGAATGAGAGCGGGTGATGATTCCAGTGCGCCCTGATTTCCTTCTTTACTCAAGTCAATGTCAGTTCACGTGGGCTTGACGGCGACGAGGAATCAGGGCGCGAAACGTCCTGTTCTCGATCGAATCGTGAATCGTTGAAGTACGGATACCATCAGCTCATTGTTAGCTGAGTGACTTATTGGCGGGCATAAAAGAATCAGAAAAGACTGAAAATTCAAAGAATTGCAGTGCAATCTGATCGCAAAACTATCAATTGGACACCAGTTGACTTTGTTTACATGGATGTGCCGTTCCCCGAACCTTTCCCCAGAATTTCTCTCAGGTGCTTAAACTCTCAGGGGAACGAACAAGATTGTCAACCGGTATGTAACTAACGAAGTTAACTAGTTAATTACCGCCTTGGATGGTTACAGCGCCCTTCCAACTCCGAAGAACCACTTCTCCTCTGTACTCCCTACAGTAGATATGTATACATGACCTGAAGAGTACATAAGGGGGAAAGGCTCAAATCTGCACTGAAGTAATGAATCAAATAGAGCCTATTTGCTAAAATTTCGGGTGGCGATGTCGTGACGTTCTCTTGCAAACCAAATTCGAGCCACAGGACGCCTCTCTCCGCGACCCGCAGTTCGACCACGATTCTTCACTTGTAAGAAGGGGACCTGTGAATTTCCGCATGCGGCCTAGCCCCGTCCCGCTAGCCCCGTTCCGGCATGGCGCCCTTGGCGGCCGTGCCGCGCCCGTGCGTGCGCCGAACATCTATATAAAAGGCGAGCTCGCACTGTCTGTCCTGCCTTCTCCTCCTCCTCCTCACACTGCTTCAACTCCCTCCTCACGTCCTCTCTCCCTCTCCCGGACTTTCCCCCATGGATCCTGGACCTCATGAAACCGCGGCTCACTTGTGAAGAGGAGACATCACAGGAACCAGTCATCTGTGCTGCATGCCAGTGGACTTCATGTCCTGGTGACAAACCCCCATTGGTGGCCGAGACAGAAATGAAGGGGTGACATGACACCATCTAGAATGTGTCACCTCACTTGGAGGGATCCCGGTGCTGCAGAAAGGAGGCGCGGTCAACAGAGATGGGTGAGTCTGGTTGGTTGCATGCCCCCATGGACATCACAGGCTCAGCTGAGACCTCGTGTACAAGAGCCAAAAATCCTGTTGTAAATGGTGATGCGCTGACATCATTCATCTAGACCGCACTACACTGTGAAGATGGTATGCCATTTTCAGCCCAGGCCCATCAAGCCAAGCCCTTCATCCTGGTGAGGAGGAGGTGACACAATGGTGATCATGATCACAATCAAAGCAAGCAGGTGTGTTACCTCACTTGAAGAATTGGCATTCTGCAAAGAATGCAGTGGGTGAGTCTGATTGACTGCACACCCAGCAGTGATCTGACTCATGGATAGCACAGACTCAGCTGAGACCTTATGTACAAGTGCTGAAAAGCCAGCTGGAGATGGTGATGTGCTGATATTGTTCATTTATACTGCACTGCACTACAGAGATAGCATGCTGTATCCAGCTCAGAAGTACTCTGTTCTTATAAGAAGAAGAAGAGTTATAATCCAGAGATAATTAACACTCTTGACTGATGATTATAATCAATAATTGCCAGTTCCAGTAGTTAATGCAGGACCATCACTCATGTGTTCCAATCTGTCCATACAGTCAATGTGAAAGCCATACCGACATTGTACGCAACTTCGAATTTCTCCAGCAAGCACTTCCAGACAGATTGGGCATGGTTCCTGTCGGACAGGTGTAGTAGTTGGTGGCTCCCGCTCTGGCATTACTGGTGTCCATGATTCTGGATATCCGTAAGCTGCAAAAAAGAAATCTATGTTTCTGCGCCTCCTTCGAATTTCGTGTTGATTCTATGGACTTAGCTGTAGTAGCTGTTGTAGCCCATGATACTGAGATACCACTTGTGGTATGTCCGCCGCATGAAAGTACACTGGCTGAAGATTTTCGATGTTCAATCTTGATAACTGTCGTAGAAATTCCCTATACCTTTGAAAGAGCAGCTCTTGTTGGAGCCTCACAGACTCATTATTGCCTCTGAGAAGGGTGTTCTAAAACTCTTGCAAAAGAGGCGTGAATTCATGCCACAATGGCATCCAAAACTTAGCAGCATCTTCACTGTACTCATATGTATCTGTTGGTGGAGTATTTGCCCATCCCAGTGGATACTGCATTTGCTCACATAATTGTGTGAGGGGAGAAGAGGCACCTTGTTGCCCAGAGGCTGTCCAAAGAGATACAAACCTATCATATCTGACTTGACCCAGCTCGAGCGGACTTTTATGAAGTTCGTTCAATAATTCCATTGCACGATTTTTTGCATCAAGAGCTGCCTCTGACTCGGAAGATGGACGTCCAGCCATAGTATTCTGATACAGCGTTCTCAGATGGGACATCATCTCAGTATGTATCCGCCGATTGTGTCTTCTTAAAGGTTCTTTTATATCTGGAATCTGGATATTTCTTGCTCCCAGCCTCTGCATCACATCATATCCAAGAAACACCTCAACTCCAACCAATTCTAGTGATGTTGTCAGCTAGAATGATATCATATGTGCAGATACACTTACTTTGAGAAGCATTTCTTGCTAGTGTAGTATCCATAGAATGAAAATTGGTTTAGTCCACCAGACATCTAAGGATCAAAATGTTTCGAGCAACTTCAGAAGGTGATTGTTGACGCTGGGCACCCACAAGTCCCGAATAATCATTTGCAACTTCTGGGTTTTCAATTCCATAACGAATTTTGCCCAAGATGCGTATTCTTTCTGCATATGTGAGGTAGATGTGGGCACTCTGACGTGGTGTAGAGATTGGGGAATTCAAGCTTTTTTCCTGCTGAAGAGACATGATACAATGGGCTGAAGTGAACAATTAGGATAGGTTTTTCTTTGACCAGCAAAGGATGAATCAATATTTGGGAGTTCCTTCAAGTCTAGGACAAAGCGCATGAGGCAGGTTGGTGGAATAGGAAGAAAAATGCTGGTTCAAGGGCCATTTATATCTGTCATCTGTATCAAGGAGGCCATGCTCTGGAGGTTGGTGGCCCATGATGGCCTGTGGTTCGTGGCTCATGGTCTGTAGCTCATGGCTAACAGTTTGTAGCCAGCAGCAGCTGCTTGAGAAGGTCAATAAACTTCACCAATAATTTTGAGCTCATGGATGGGAATCCCGGGCATGGACCTTTATATTAGTGTCTATCTCTGTTGAATCTGCAATATGAGATATTGTTATAGTTTATCTTATAGATCTTGATGACATTATACTGACTTAGACAATTGTATATTGGAGTGTTCAGAATATTAGAGAAGCCTGATGTAGATCTTGTGGGTTTCTCCAGAATTAGAGTATAAAAGAGCTAAGTAGATCTGATGCCCACAACTGATAAGAGGGAGTCATGTGTAGAATGTATAGATTCACTAACTAGGAGACTGAATGCTGAGATTTCCCATAATCTGTAAGAATTATGTGATTCTTATACATTCAGAGATATGGGCCACATGACATTCTCTGAACATCTGATGTTGTCTGATGCTTGGTTGGTCTAGACCTATATTCATAACAGCAAGATATTCTGTTGCTGTGCTTGCTTCTCCTGACTCTCCTCCTCTTGCCCTGCGAGAATCCAGGCGGGACCAATTTCAGACAGAAGAAGGTCCTCCCATCATTCCTGCCCCACAACAATTTAGGCAGGACCAATCTCGAAATCATCCCTTCCGTCCATCTAGGGCTGTCCCTGTAGCTCCTCGAGAGTCGCATCCACAACGTCGTCAACAGCGGAGGAGGCGGTGGGGACAGACGGGTCGCCGTACGGTTGAGGTGGGTGAGGAGGTCGATGAGGTGCCAGTTGTGGAGGAACGTTTGGAGCATTTGCAGCCCCGTTTACCATAGGAGGCCCTGTTAGCTACGCTACATGCCGAAAAAATGTGGGAAACAAGCTGGAAGAGCACCATCATTCTTTGATCAACTTCCTGTTCAGCGAGAACTTCAGGCCGTTTCTTAACTACCTCGCGAAAAACCTTGGTGACACAATTTCTCGCCACAGAGTCTTGGCTCTGAGGGCAATAGAATGCTCTTCCTATCATGAGTCATTCAGTCCCGAGTCACTTATTTCTCCAATCTATCCCATACAAGCAGCCCGTCAGCCGTCCCTCAATCTGCGACAACCACAGCGGCTTTCAACGGGGAGAGAAGAAGCCGAAGCGGCCCTCCATGCTACTCAAGCTCAGCTTTCAGAGGCTAATACCCGAGAACGAAGGGTAAGCGAAAGACCAGAGTCACTGATGGAGCGAGAGAGGGCTATTTTCGACGCCCACTGCCGGCCCTGGAAGGTCTGGAGGAGGGTCTGGACCACCACATGTTGGCGCGGACTCCGAGGAGAGGATGAGCGATCAAGGAACAAACCGGGCCCGGTGGTCTGAGGCGGACAACGAGCTTCTCCAGAACAAGCCATGGGAGGTGATCCAGCAGAGGTTCCCAAACAGGACGCTGGCATCATTGCGGCAAAGGTACTCGATTCTCAACAACCAATCAACACCAAGTAGACCAAGTAGCCGTGGGTGGACAAGGAGTAGGCAATTGAAGTAGAAAGATCTATGTGTAAAGGTTCCTAAAGCCGGGAAGAAGAGAGAGAACAATTCCGCAAAGAGGTTAAGATCTTCGACTCTCACGCCATCCGCCCTGTCCTTATGTGATAACCTGCTTCTTGCATTTAAGGCACAAGAGGAGTTGAAATACTCGCAAAATCAGATCAAGTCTCTCAAAGACAATCTCAAAGCCGAAAAGGAGGTCAAGGATAAAGTTGGTCCCAAGCAAAACGGTGCCTTTGGGGATCTTGAATCAAGTGGATTCCAAGGACCTTTTCCGCATTGTGATGAACGAACATCTCCGCTAGGTTTGTAATATGCTCATCAGCGACTGGGGGTTGGTCACAATCATCGAGAAGCTCATTGTCGGGAATCAGCTGCTTGCATAAGAGTTCATGGCATGGGCTTCATACAAGGCGCAAGTCTTATCAAATTCTCGGAGCTCCAGAGCTTTGGGCAGGGTGAGAGGTATTTCAATAAGGGCGAGCAGCTAGGAATGAGCAGTGGTTGCATCGTCCAATTGGATTCCTAAGGGGCTGAATAATCTCAACTCCACCTCTGAGTGCGGCACCTGGCGGTGCAAGCAGCGAATCAATCGCCTACAATCTCGTACAATTCAATAAAAAAGGGAATATTAATATGAGCAGGAGGGTAAACATCCACCACAGGCAGTGGACAAACCCCCCAAGGCAACCTCAACCACGAATCCGAAAAAAAGGACAAGGACCAAAAAAGGTTTAGTTTAGCACGTGATCGCCAACCAATCACAACCAGCAGCATCAAAACATACATCCTCAACGACGACCACCTGACCCCTACCTACTGGGACAGAGTACTAGTAGAACAATACCATCGTGTGGTCTTGCTTTAGCGGGCCGTTTCCTTTTTGTTGTCCAAACCCTCCCCTCCGTGGTACCCTCCACTCCAGAGACAGAGATGAGCAGCGAACACCACCAACTTGGTCCCACCAGAAGGCAGAGATAGGCATACGCCGCCTGAGTTCAGCGGGTTCATTCTAACTTGACCGTCCAAAAGTAACGGGGACAAGAACTGCATGCAGGATTGTCTTGGTGAAGGCTTTGCACACCCTTTGATTTTCAGTACAATCTCAGATGTTCTCTGATAGACATGAGGCCCACTTGATATCCTGCCATGGAGAGTGTTGTACGCGTTGTTGTCCGTGTGTTGATTTGCTTCGCTCCCCAATCCTGGGTTATGAGCATATGTCGCTTCCTCAAGAATAAACAGAACCCTGGCATCACCTGGGGAAATTCCATCATCAGGCTACCTGGTGGCATCATCGTCAAAAGAGGCGGTGTTACCCCGGGTGAAGTCGCCACACAGTCCTATGCGTATCACCACCTTGATCCCCGCATCATTCGCGTTCCGCGCATCTACCACTATTTCCAGGATTTCAGCGATCGTTCCTTGCCGACAGGCTATCTTTTCATGGAATACATTCCTGGACCGACTCTGGAAGAATTCGATGAACCCACCGGCACATATCTGACGCGGCGTTTGGCAAATGTGGTTGAGCACCTCCAACAATTTCAGGCTAGTATTCCTGGCCCTGTTGGAGGGGAAATCCCTCGAGGGAACTTGTGGGGCTTCGATGACGCTGGGATGGCCTTCAAGTCTGTTGAAGACCTGACTGCATGGGTGAACAGACGGATTGAACTGCTTAAAAAGACTGTTGATTTCAGCTCATACCCTCTTGTTTTCTGTCACTTGGATCTTTGCCGGCGCAATGTCATTGTGGCCAAGAACGGCACACTATGTCTTCTTGACTGGGCCTATGCTGGGTTTTACCCACGGTTCTATGAAACGGCAGCCATCAACTTCTACAATGACGATTTCTGGAAGTCTTTTCTTGATACTGTCAACGAAACTATTGCTTTAACTGATGATGAAAAGCGAAGCATGGATTTGATTATGCGAGCTCGTTCTGCCAACATGCGGTGGCTTTTGTAAGTGCACTTGTTGAATGAGGCTGAATTTGTGTTGTTTGCTATTGCTAACCGTTCCTCCAGCAACTAATTATACTCGCGCCCTTCACATCCTGTGACCCTGCATAGTTTAACCCTCACCGTCCTGATCTACACAAAGGTTCCTGGCTCCATCGGGTCATATTCTCGGGCCTGGTTTTTGGAGTAATTGTATTGGAGATCCTCGATGGCCTCGTTGACTTTGATCGGGCTCGATGGATTGATGTACCCCGCAGCTTCCAGATCCTCAATCATCGTTCTACTATAACCACCAGCCGTGGTTAGCCATTGTTCAGTGTTCGTTTGTGGATACGATCTGTCTGAACTCACACCCAAAAGCGACAGCCCATGCCGCTTGGCGCCAGTTTGTAGTTGGCTCGACCCTTCTGGTCTAGGAGTTGAAGGACTTGTCCAACAGTCAACCCTTGAATCGCCTGAAGATCAATTCTCTTGAGGGCTGTGTTCGATAAGTCATAGCCACAACGCTTCCGAAGCAACGTGCCCATAACATCAGTTGGGCCTGCTTTGATCATGTTGAGTTGGACCGATTGTTTGTCGCCTGTAAGGAGATAAATCGACGTGTGATTTTCGCTGCGCGTGTCGGACTCGAAGAAGATGCCCAGCGTGTGGATAGTAACTCTGATAGATGTGACAGGAAGTAGGTAGTGCTCTTCAAGCAACTTCTGGGTTCCCTGGGTTGCCATTCTGCTAGAAGATAATAGTTGTTTTGTTCGCGTGGAATGCTTCCAAGGTTGTCTCTCGGGGCGAAGATGAATGGAAATTTCTTCTCGTGTTTGTGTGTTGCGAGTGAGAGAGGGAGAGAGGGAGAGAGATGACGACGAAGCTAGGGTCCTGGGGTCACCCTTGAAGGGAGATGGCAGCCTTGCAGCATGCAGTATGCAGCAAATCACAGCCTTCCTTTCTGGGGTTGGTATGTTTTCCATACAGCCAGGCAGAGGGGTTTGATTTCTGTTACTGGAAGGTAAAATCATTATTTCTATATACTGTCCCCCTACAATGTACCGCGATCAAGCCAAGTATACAGCACAAGGTATAAATAAATAGAGCAAGAGTATAAAACCCCAAGGACAAACATAGTACATAGGTGGGGGGAGGGCGGCAGAGCTTGTCAAGAATCTTCAGGAATACGGCGAAGGAGGGTGCATATACTTATACACTGTTTAGGCTAGCATATGGAAATCCCGCCTGAGGAGAGCTGGGCCTCGTTTAGTCTCCATCCATGGCCTTGGTGTGATGTAGAAGTAGAGAATTTATGTCGGCAGACGATAGCACTGATGAGCCTTCAAAGATGAAAGTTTGGCTATCTTCGTCCCAGTATTCGTGTTGTTTGTAGTTAAAGCCGCTTAGATCTGTGGCCATGAGCCACGAGCTACGAATCTCAAGCCATGGATAACCAACCCTCATGGCCGTGGTCCATGGCCACAGCCACGGCCACGCTAGGCCATCTTATTGCAGATTTGTTGTGGCCTTTGATGATGTGCTTCTTGTTATAAAGGGCTCTTCGAGTTCCAAGTAAGCCTCTCCTAGCACAAGTCTTCATCATCTTCTTCGCCGGCCGAAGAGTCTCTCCCTGAGATTATTATTTTTCCTGCCCAATTCGGCCTCTGTATACCCTACCAAGCCCCAAGGGCTATCATCCACTGCGAACTAGTACCTACAGCTGTCGCAACCCCCGAGTGACGCACTGCTATCGCCCACCAACGACCGCTAGGGACCTGCTACCAGGTCCTTGGTGGCCTGAATCTGGTGTGTGAGAAGTCACTCTCCATCAAAGCACTCTGCATCTGGGCCAAAGAATCATTCAACCAGCTGTGCCCTTTTGGGGAATGTGTATTTGGGGATAGGTAGCTCCCAGTCCTCATCAACCTCCATAGCATCTTTCTCTGGACCTATCCCCAGCATCTGGTTGATTTGCCTGTTGACCTTGTGCACTGGTGCAGTTCTGAAGTATGCTTTTCTGGCTGCTTTCTCTGTTTCTCACCTCAGAGTCTTTCTCAACCTGGTCAGCTCCTTCTCCATCTCGTGATGTCTCTGATGGAGCTCAGGACAGAGCTTTTTTGCATTTTGTAATGTTCTTAACTGCAACTTCATCTCTTTAAACAGCTCTTTCTTCTCTTGCTGTAATCTAAGAATACAGAAATCTCTGTAGATGGCTTGCAATTGCTTCTTGATCAGACCAGAGAGTGCACAGAGGTTCTGGTTCCTGAGCATGCTTGCAGCCTGTTTTAACAAGCCTTCCTGGTGGAGACACAAAAGGACAAAATGCTGCATGTCATAACCAATAAACTCTTTCTGGTAGTGTTTCTTGAAAACCCATGATCTAGCGTGACCTAGTATTTGGTTTTGCTCTTGGTCGGTGAAGTCTAGGAAAATAGTGAGTATCACAGATGGAAGGAGATGGGAGAGAAACAACTAGAATGATGGACATACTACAGTTTGCCTTATTTGCAGTCCAGTGCTGATAGGTATAAGAATTCAATGGGTCCTCCAGGCCTGCATCCCGATCAAGACATCTCATTACATCTAGGATGAGGTTGTATGTTAGGTCACCCAGGACAGGCACCCCCAGCATATCCTCTTTCCAGTAAATTGGAAGAGATTCACAGCACTTGGGCACCTTTAGGCACCAGGATAGCTCGGGTGTCAGACAGTCATTCTTGAAAACAGTATCACAAAATGCCAATGTGATGATGCGCGTGATAGAACAGTATGCAAGTTGGTAATCACCATGCATGAAGAATTTTGTCCTAGTTGATGTGTGAGTTGAACCACCATTGTATCTTTTTGGAAGCAGGGGAGGGAATGATGTGAAGTGAGACACCCACCAGCACCTTCTGGCTGATGCTTCAGGTTGTGGAAGTTGATAACCATACAAGGCACATCACAGGCTTCATCTTGATTCTGTAGAATGAAGAGTTCAATGTCCTTCCAGCACACTCTCTTTGGCAGCTTGGAAGGCTGGTTCTGAGAAGAGCATGTTGGTGGTGCCAGTTCACTGTTGCCATTGCTGCTTGCAGGCTGGGGACTTTGGCCTGATGTTTTTGCAGAGTTGTGACAGAGTAGCATCATGCCTGGATGGCTTCCAGTGATGGCCAGCCGCTGTTGGACAACTGCAAACTGAATGATATGGATCTCATGGCAAAAGTATGTGAAGTACATCCAGTAGTATCTCAGAACAACAGCAAAGGTTGCAGCATCCAAGGTGCATTTCTTTTTAATGGCCCTGCTCACTGGGTTGACATTGCCTTCAGTAATGAACCTGCCCTCCAGAAACTGCATGGTGCTCAGCCAGCATGATTAGTCGGTGCAAGCACAGTGGTTTAGTAGCAGTGATGTGCATACTCTTCTCAGCTGCTGCTGAACCTTATGGCTCATTGCCTAGCACCTAACCAGCTCAAAGAATTCACAAAGATGCCTTCAATACACATCATATGTTTGGAGCACTTTCTCCTTGGATGTTTGCTTCATCCAATTGAAGAAACTCATAAAGACCACTGTCTCTTCTTGTTCAAGAAGCTTTCCATAGTCTTCCTCAAGCACTGCACAATATCTGCATACTTGTAGGTTAGTACTGTTGTAGGGCAGCAATGGCTGGGAGGGAGCATGCCTGATCCAGTATCTCTCAATCACTGTGATATTTCTCAGGGTTCTTGACTTGAAATTTGGTCCTATCTGTCCAAGAGAGTGATGGTGCTCCAGCCAGGCCCGGGTCTCTTCTGTAAGTATGGAGGTGTCTTTCCAGAACAGACATCCATTGGGGGGAGGTGGTGGCAGGCACTTCCCCATGGGGAGGAGAGTTGATGTATGCTTGGAATAACAGATATGTGTCCATGAACAACTGCAGCCAGGACAGTGATATAAATAAGGGCCCGGAATTTCGGGCCAAGGCAGACAGGAGTTGACATCAGAACAGAGGCCATTGTATTTGGCATCAAGTGTCCCGCTGCATCTTAGGATCAATCAACGGTGGTTGGACCGTGACTGATCCTGATGCTGATGTTGATGTTGTTAAAGCGGCGTGGCGCGGAACACGCGCTAGGCCGAACAGAGGTAAGTACCTGTGGAAATGCCACGGGGATGGACCTCAAAGGCCACGGAATCCCGTGGCCATTTCCCAGGTAAGTACTCCGTACCCGCCCTTATGTTGTAATAGCTCTTGGCTTGACGAGGTCGCTTAAAACCAACTCAAAGCTTCTCGTCCTTTTGGGCATTGTGCCCATGAAAACCTAGAGATTGCGTCTTTATTGGAACTGAATCAGCCATGATGTTGACGTTATTTCTCACGGCTGGATCGCCTGCGATTTACCCTCCCATTTTCCGGGTCTTTTTTCCATATGTGCCATTCCAGTTAGACTCGTCGAAGTCTCCGCACCTTCAGCCAGAGCTGTCACCTGGGTGCTCAGCGAAGTTTGATTTCTCCAGATATGCAGGGCCTTTCTAAATCGTAGGACTGACAATCTCCTTATTCTCTTGTTTACGCAGCAGGTTTCTATATCTTGGAGGCTTCTTTACATCCACAGCTGCTTCAACTTTGAGACGTGGTTTCAGAGTTTTCCAAAGTTGTCGTTTGATAAGATGGTGGAAAAGGCATTCTGGAGTGATTGGTATAGGTTCTTGGATGGCTGACATTCAGACCACAATCTTCCTCAAGAACTGTCAGATAATTATGTGCAGTGCATGTACCCTGAGCGGTTTCAACTTGCTCAAATAAACATTGCATAATGATGGTTCCACAAGGTTGGATATATCTTTCAGATTTTTCAACATCATCACCAAGATGGTCCTATAAGGATAACGTCCAGTCATTATGAAGTATATCAGTGGTTCCAGGGTGAATATATCGTCTCCAAGCACCAGTGCAGCGTTCTAGTCATAATCCGGATGTCAGAATCTTGTCAACAAGCGGCAGACAGCTCTCTGCCACATATGGAAGCACCTCCAAAGTCGAATGTCTTCGATTAACGTCATGAATCCAGTAAAAGATTCCATGGGGAGAGGTCGCAATGCATAACATCAATGGCATGAGTAGTTATAGCTTCAGCAGCCTGTCTAGCCCATTGAATCCAAAGTTATGTGCTTTGGTATTGTTTTACTTATATTCCCTAAAATATCCATTTTCTACATACTTCATTCCAAGACAGCATGTGTCAGAATCCTAGCTCATCAATCTATAACTTAACACATAGTTAGTTTGTGAATGATCATTTTCTTTAATAGGATAGTATGGGTTCGGGGACAGTGTCATAATCACTATGCCTGACAGTAACAACTCACCCATGGCAGTTCATCCCTCATCCCCAAGCTGGAGACTCTGTTATGTGTATTGAAGGCTAATTGTCTTATCTGAGTTCAGGCAGCATACTGCAAGTCCCATCACCCAGGCCGGTTGATATATACATAGGGAATTGTCCCCTCTGGCCTTTGCTCCTCATCCAGTTATATAAAGTAGGTTCAGAGTGACTATGGAGTATCTAGTTGCTCCTTTTGCCAGACTCCTTTAACCACTTAACCCATTACTTGCGTCCAGTTGCAGTGGAAATACAACAGTATCAGTCAGGCCTGTTATTGATCTATCATTACAATATTAATATCCTAAAGAAACATGTAGAATACACTTTTTTTTCACATCCAGAAACACAAAGCAAAACTTTCTAAGAAAAAGAAAGAAAAAAAAAAAAAAAAATTATGGTGCTGCGGGCAGTGCAGAGTGAGCAATACGCGAAACTAGGTACCACCGAGAGAAAGTTCAGATCTTCCACCCATAAATACCTGATCTTGTGATATACAGAAAAGCTTTTTTGATAAATATGCACAAAAGAATTAGAAGAAAGTAGGCAGAGATCAGATCAGGTCAGGTTGAAAAAAAAAAAAAAAAAAAAGAAGAAAAGAAAAGAAAAGAAAGAGAAAAGAAAAGGGTTGAGAGAGAGAAGAAGAAGAAGAAGAAGAAAAAGAAGAAGAGGCTTATAAATCCAGGTTCTGCTCGCGATCAGGGCCTCCAACCGACGTTCCAAAGAACATGAACGATATCTCGGAGGGTGTTAGCTACGTCAACAGCTTTGCCAAGCAGATCATAGGGAGCGCGACGGTCGCCCTCAGCCTCCTCGCTTTTTGCGAGCTCCCCATGTGCACATGGCATGAAAACTCCTGATGACGAAAGATACCACTCTTCGTCCCCATTATCGTCTGTGAGGGCCTCCGAGGCACTGGGTGAGGCTGGGGGACTTGGAGAGGAGGGCAGGACATCCGCTAGCGTGCTTTTAAAAGGCCAGCTGTAAGCATTATCGGACTCAACGTACTCGAGATGTTCACTCGAGGGGTACGTCTCGACCTCTCCTGTGTCGTGCACCTTGATAGTATCAGTGGAGGCCGATCGATAGAACGATGGACGTTCTCCCGACCAGCGAAAGTATTGATCCTCGTCCTCGGTTTCGGAATCGCTATCGAACTTTAACGTAGTTGGCGGTAGATGCGCAATGATTGTTCGGGTGTCGCTGCTGAAGCTGCTCCTTGGCGTGCTGCTCAATGAGCGCCGTGGATGTAGTTGCTTCATTGTGACCAAGGTAGCTTCAGAGTCGTCATCGTCCAATAAGCAGTATTCGCCGGAATAGGAATAATTCTCATCGTCGTCTTCATCTTCCTCGTCCTCGCGCCCCACCGCAACCACCTGCGAGACCACCCTGTTAAAAGTGATGTGTCGTCGGCTACCGGGAGACGGCATATCGGAAGATGTAGTCGATAATGTAGATCTGGTAGCTCGTAGTGGGCTTCCCATGTGTGCGGTACGCACAGTCGTATCTGAAACTGTCCTACTAAATCCTAAACGAAAATCTTCGCTCTGGGATTTGATGATAGAGTTGTGTTGGAGGAGGGAACTGGCGGAAAGCGAATGTTGGAGGATGGCTTGAGACACGGATGTCTTCTTGAGGATAGGTTTTCGGCTCAGGTAAGAGTTGGAGGTGGATGTAGTCGTAGAAGCCGGAGGAGGGCTGGACGAATAGGACGTGTGATCCTCCTGTAAAGGTCCAAAAAGCCAAGTAACGTCGGCATCTTTCAGCCTGCCAAAGGTTAAATATTCTGCATCCTAGTAGATGATTTGATGAGGCAACAACTTACCAGTTTAGGGACTCGGGTGTAATAGTTCTGAGGCGGTAGAAGGATTTCGTCCATGATCTCCATGCAGCGTTCTCTAATCTCTGGCCAGTTCGAAAAGAACCTCCGTTGCGTTTCATATATTTCCATGATCCCCAGATTTCTTCATCCTTCCAGTCATGGGTAAGGTAATCGACCTGCCTTGTGGGTCGCCGCTCTACGCAGCTGTCGTCCCCGGCTGTCCTTGGTTCCTCAGATATATCGGAAGACAAATCATCGTCATCTCGGACCGACGTCGGTTTCGAGTCAGACGTTGACTTTCTGGGCTGCGCATCGTCCGTGTTTGTGTCGGGGCTAGGATCATAATCCGGGAACACCAATTCGTTATCACGAAGCTCAGGTTCATATTCAAGAAGGCTACTCGTTGATGGCGAATACACCCCAGAGATTGAGACCTGTGACGGCACGCTGTACGCATTGGGAATCCAAGCCTTCCGGGTTGGACAATACGACAGCGAATTCATGCGGCCTACAGGCCGCAAATGAGACTTTTTGGAATGACCTCCTGCATGAGGACAGAGCTGTGAAGTAGAATGGTGATATGGAGGCGCCAGGACGTCCGCCATTTTCTAAGAACGACACCTAGTTGCAAAGCGTCTTTGCCGAACTTCTTCCTCCTGATACCGCGAACCGTCTGTCCCAAGCGGGAGAGTCTTGGAGACGTATCTTCTCTTACGAGAGGAAAAGAACAAACGAGAGTGAAGACCAAAGCATCGAGCGATGGCACCTATCAACCACAGCGCGAGACTAAAGCATTCAAAGAGCGCCCAGCAATCAAGTAGCCAGTACGGAGCAGAGGCAAAGAAAAAAGAAAAAAAAGAAAAAGCAATTTCGGCTATGAGTCCAAAGAGGAAAATATTGCAATGGCGGGGAAATCAAAGAGGAATGGAGGGTAAGATATATCGGCAAAGGCTTCTCTGGCCGCTCTTATCTCGAGATTGTCATAAATTCACCGCCGTGTCTGTGGAAGCTCATCAGTGGCTTCAAGGGAACCGAAAGTTTGGAGCTATGGAGGCGACAAGGATCTATCTATGTATGTGATTCGGTCAATTGGCGCAAATGGCAACGAGAAGGGCGGGTTGAATGGCTAATATGAAGCTTGCGGTCGATTCTAGCTTCTGTGCTTCTTCCCCCCTCCCCGCTCTTGGGGTTTGGGAGAAGGAATTGCTTTTTCTTTTATTATCCGGTTGCTCGATAAGTAGTATATGTCGAAAGTGGCGAGGTGGAGAAGGCGGTCGCGGCCCTTGAGAAACACGCGAGGAGCCAGTCTCTTTGGCCAACGCCACTCCTTGGAAAACGTGCAATGAGGCTAATTCGACCGGGCGATCCCTGCAGCGTGTTGGAGGTCCAATTATCGTCGCCGGCGATAGCTTATCTTGACAGGGTTATCCACGGGAAAATGAAGGTTGTTCGCCGAGCTTCTGTCGCACTTTCGAACGGGACGCACCACGGCAAGGAGAAGAAGGAGACGAGAGGGAGGGTGTGAAAGTGGGAGTGGGAGTGGGAGTGAGAATTCAGCAGAGAGAGCAGTGGTGCAGAGAAGTGAGGATTTTCTTCAAGCATTCCACATCGGTTGGAAGTTAGTTATGTCATGGAGTCGAATGAATCACCATTCGGCAGCAAGACATCATCGCACCCAAGGGAACCTTAACGGAACAAAGCCCCACGGAACACTCCAGCAGGGATCGAAAGTTGGCAGACCCTCCACGCTTCCTCCACTCAGGTTCGAAACTCAACCATATTAACCTACCACCCTCCTGCTGGTGTGTTGTCTGGACGGAGTACCCCGGGGATACTGGATGCGGGTGTGCTGGGCGGCCATCATCTTGAATTAGAAGCTCCTGAAACTGGCCATCACCGCCTCGCTGGTAGTTAGTCGGGTATTGCCCACCTCTTGAACCAATGGATAATACCATCTACCTTATTTTCGAGGGCCAGATCTCCTTCCGGAAGCCCGCCACATATCCATAAATACATGATACATATTTAGCGATCCCACACTGCCACCGCATTCCTCTCGGCAACCTACCCAACTCTTATGTACATACATCCGTACATTGATATGCGTTGTTTTATCATCAAGGGAGACTAGCTAGGGAGCTAGTGAATTTAGTCGCGAAACAGGTTGCGTTTTAAGTGATTTGCACGCCTGCAGCGTGAACAGGGTCACTGGTTGGATCCTCTGTGCCAGTCATAGCGTCAGACACACCAGACCGCTCACGAAAGACTGTTCGAGACTTTGGGCTTGTCACTACCCACGAAGCACATATCTACACACAGTTCTGTGCAGACGCACTTCCAAGCAGAACCTGACTGTCAAGCAAACGGTGACAAATCCCGTTCAAGCATGCAAATGGCAAAAATTCGCGGAGCGAATCCTCATTACCTAGACAAAACCAAATTTCCCCCGCAACTAGAACGCTGCAAAGATTCTAAAACTGTACCAAAAAGTTATGCTCCCTACCCCTTCTTGAGAATTAACATCACAGTTCCTTGGCACTGTCAAGATTCTTGGTCGAAATCTTGGATACGCTCCTGGCCGGAAGTCCCGCAAACCTTGAGGGTTTCCAGTAAATATTAGGCAATCCAGGGCAGCTCTCAGAATCTAGGACTACGTCCAACTGGCGGGATGGTTGGAGGATCAATTCGGCCCTTCGGGACGATCGGCAAAGGCGCTGGCAGACGTCTGAGACTTTTTCAAGCGCGCGAGACTCATTGAGCCTCAACCGAAAATCAGGACAAATTATGCGGGGTTGAATTTCTTGTCAATTGGTTTAATAACATTGGACCTTCTGCCCTGTCTTCCTTGCTTTTCGTGGGTTCCAATTGACTTGTCTCATTCGCAGTTTTCCCGGGAAGTTCCATCATGCTGTCCTTCCCAAGGCCCAACGCTCAAGCATCACCTCCTCTAGGCTGGACAGAATATTAGGCCAGAGTAGTACAAATTGGGCTTCTCCAACGCGTTACGCTTTCTCGTGGCACGATTATTCTGGTGATTAATGGAGGAGTGGACCCTTCATAAGCGAAACAGGTTGTATACCCTGTTTGTGCTGTCCCCAGATTTTTATTATACCCAATACCATTTACCCCGTCGAAGCTACAGCTGGGAATGAAAGAAGCCCGATCTATCAATCATATAACGCCATAGGCAGCTATCGTGGTCCCCCTTCCTTTTACAAAGAGACGGAATGTCCCGACTAGATTCCAGAACAGGAAAAGGAAAATTTGCGTCAATGCGTCAATCTTGAACTGAAGGTTTTGCCCCTGCAGCGAAGATCATAGCTGTGCCGAAGGCCATTGCTGATGTACCAGAGAATTCTTGCCCTGAGCGGAGAAATCTTGCGAACCATGATTTTGACATTACCGACGGGAAAAGATCTTCGGGATTAGACAAAGTTCCGAGAAATGTTGAGTTAATTTGACCACTTTTGTCTCAAATACTGACGCGATTCGCAAGTTTCTGCGTTGGGCCGATGGATTCGGCAACGGATAATCGAACGCAATAGAAACTTGATAGAACCTGACAATGGCGGAACCTGTCGTTGGAACTGAAACAGAATAACAACGCACATACCAGTCATGCATAGTACTGGGACGAATACGAGCGGGTGGTGCATTGGGCTGATAGCTCTCTCGCGCAAATAATAGTATTTGACGGTCACTATGTCATCAACTAACCCCCATACGTAAAATTGACCTCATACATACGGAGGGAGTACTCCGTACTCGCGGCTTCTTAAGTGGCACCAATATCAAGTTTATGTTGCACAGAGCACAGTGATAGCGCTTTGACACTACCTAATATGAAATGCGCATCGCAAAGAAGGGGAAGAAGAAGATGATGATGAGAGATGAAAGATGAAAGATTAAACCTAGAAACAATCAAGTTTATAGTCACTTCATAACTAAACACTTCATGCCGCCCCTCGGTTTGGCACAGACAAGAACCTTGAACAGAGCTTTGATATTTTCCAAGTCTGACAGCAACACCAAACCCGGATATGAAGAAAAGAAACTAGAAATGGTTTTCAAGATCATATCATACAGACACGATGCTATATAACTATATCCTACATCCTCAGCGCCAATTGACACCTCCAGGCAAAGCTGACATCATCAAGGAAGTAAGCGAGAGAATGCTGTCTCACCATGCACACTCATCATATCCTGGACCTCGGCTTGTTATTGCTGAGAGTTAACTAGTCAGAACTCGTCGAGTGCAATTCTAGCAAATTTGACAAGTTTGTAGGAGTTGGCTCGTTAACTAACTTATTTACCCCAAATTCAATGCCCCATAACTCCGCACTCCAGTCAATCAATCCTCTTAGCACGGATTATTGTGCATCGGCGCAGAGACACGGTCAATCCCTTCAAGAACAGGCCAGTCAGGCTGGGGTTCGCCAACGCCATGCGGGAACCTAGCCTATTATGGCTGTAAGCTCCAGATGTGCAGCCCCAGCATTGTGGAGGTTTGAGTTGCCAAGCCGGGTGAGAGAAAACCCGGACGGAGCGTGATATGGGTATTTATCGCCATGAAGAAACATCTTATTGATATATGTATATATGAGAGGGCTACGGGGCTATTCAGCGCCTTCGTGAAAGGGGGCATTATTCTCCCTGTCCGGCATCCATTGAGGGATAATTGACTGTCGCGATTAGCCCTCTCGAGAGCCTTCATAGGGCCACTTTGCAAAAAAAATGGCCTCCCTAAATGAAAACTCCGTCCCTGATTTGGTCAAGGTAGATGTTGACCGTTCCGAGAAGCCCGTGAAGAATGATGCTCGCGAAGCTGCAGAACGCGGACAGATTGCGACTGATAAGTACGAGAGTTGGAAAAAAAATTCTTTTTCTTTTTTTTTTTATCAAGGAACATTTCCCTCTAATGCGTTATGCGTGCCTTCTTAGATACGGGAATCCCCTCGTAGAACTCGACCGAGCTGCTGAGCGCAGGCTGCGCACGAAAATCGATTTCTATATCGTGCCAACAGTGGCATTGCTGTATTTATTTTGCTTCATTGACCGGGCTAATATTGGTAGGAGCATATCCTGGCTCATTTTTACCTATATAGAATTGTGCTAACCCCTTCTCCAGGAAATGCAAGACTTGCCGGGCTTGAAAGCGATCTCCAGCTAAAGGGCTACGATTACAATGCCGTCCTCAGCATCTTTTATGTCTCCTACATTATTTTCGAGATCCCGTCCAACATGCTCTGCAAATGGATTGGCCCAGGATGGTATCTTCCGGCAATCAGCCTTGCCTTTGGGATCTGCTCCATTGCCACGGCATTTGTTGACAATATGGCCGCTGTCTGCGGAGTCCGCTTCTTGCTTGGTGTTTTTGAAGCAGGTATGCTTCCTGGAGTCGCATACTACATGTCCAGATGGTACAGAAGAAGCGAGCTCGCATTTCGTCTATCGCTTTACATTGTCATGTCGCCATTGGCCGGCTGTTTCGGCGGGCTACTTGCCTCCGGAATTCTGAAACTTTCCAGGTTTGGAAGTCTACACGAGTGGCGTATGATTTTCGCCATCGAAGGTATCATCACAATTGGCCTGTCGCTTATCAGCTTCTTCACATTGACCGATCGCCCGGAAACCGCCACATGGCTTACAAAAGAAGAAAAAGAGCTAGCCATTGCGCGTGTAAAATCTGAGCGGGTGGGCACCACCGAGGTTTTGGACAAAGTTGACCGGACCAGAATGATGAAAGGCTTATTCAGCCCGGTCACAATGGCAACATCTTTGATATTCCTCCTGAACAACATCACAGTTCAGGGGCTGGCATTTTTCCTACCCACCATCATTCGCGCCATCTACCCGAACTATAGCGTTGTGCAACAACAGTTGCAGACTGTTCCCCCCTATGTCGTGGGGGCTTTCTTCACAGTCTTCATCCCGCTCCTTAGCTGGCGCTTTGATAGACGCAATATTTTTATGATCGTTGCAGGCCCTCTGGTCATGGTCGGCTACATAATGTTCCTTGCCTCAAGTAATGCCCGAGTCCGCTATGGGGCCACGTTTCTCATAACCAGCGGAGCTTTCTCTTTCGGCGCGCTCTGCAACGCGCAGGTGTCTGCGAACGTAGTATCAGACACAGCTCGATCGGCGGCGATCGGCATGAACGTGATGTTTGGCAACATCGGCGGGTTGATCTCAACCTGGGCTTTTCTCCCTCACGACCGGCCAGATTACCATATCGGCAATGGGCTCAATTTGGCCACGAACGGAGCAATGCTTATTGTAGCGATCCTGCTGCAGATTTGGGCAAAGATGGATAACAAGAAGAGGAAGGGTAGGGATGTCGATGCCGAGCTGGCCGGCCTGGACCAGAAAGCGGTTCAGAACCTCGACTGGCAGCATCCGGCATTCCGATGGACGCTGTGAAGCTTGGCAGCGCAGAGCCTCCTGCCAAGGCCCACCCATGGCACGTGAAGCGGAGCCCGGAAAAACTATTCTGTAAATAACGCGGTAACATATATACAGTCGTTACGTATTGTTCTGTTCCCCCGCCAGGAGTGTAGGCAGTAAGTAGTAAGCAGGACGCAGTCGGCTTCATGCTCGAGCTGGAAAAAGAGAATTTCACGCAACCACCGGGACAGTAGATCATCATGGCTGAAGCAGCAGATACAGAGGTCCAAACCACCTCCTTGGAACCTCAGGCCAGGCATATTGTTTACTGTGGAGGTAAGAAAATCAAATTTTCGTGCGCCCTAGCATCCCCGCCATTGAGAGAAGGAACCGTGCTTTAGAGCTGACCTCTTGCAAACACCAGTGTGCTCTCTTCCACCTGAGGTATGCGACAATTCCTTTGCTATATGAATAAGCAGAGGCCCATATTGTGATCCAGACGAGTTTGCTACAGCACATTTAACCCGTTGCTAATCACGGTTCCCGCACTATTTGCGGGTCGGCATCATTATATAGTATTGTGAATTCGGCGGAACAGCCAAAAAGTGCGAAGAATGGCTACATGAGAACAATCCTAGTATGCACCAAAAGCTATACTCAGAGGGTAAACAACCCCCCCCCCGGGCCACCACTACTCACTCCTACCCCATCAGTTATCCCCTTGTGGGAGTGCGTAAAGAAGTTTCTGAATGTCTGCTCCTAGAAACCATCGCCGCCAACCTCTCTACGCTTTCCATCCAGGCCCGCGAACGTGCAGCCAAAGATGCCGCCAAGAAAGAAGCAAAAGCTGCTTTGGTAGAAACCCGTAACCAGGAGCGCAAGGCCGCCGCTAAAGTTCAGATCAAGCGTGTTGAACGTAATAAGCGGAAACACGTCACGGTCATTGCGGGTCTAGAAGCACATGGCTTAGATAACAAGAAAGTCGCCAAAGAGCTGGGCAAGAAGTTTGCTACAGGTTCATCAGTGACAAAGAACCCAGCCGGTGGAGAAGAGATTACTGTGCAGGGCGATGTTTGTGAGGATGTCCTAGAGTGGTTAGTAGAAGTGCATGGGAAGGAGGTACCTGAGGATAATTTAGAGATTGTTGAGGATAAGAAAAAGAAGAAAGCGGCTGCTGAGTAAGGTTAAATTGTCCTCTGAAGTTGTTTTCTCTTTGCTTTATATTTGGGATTGGCGTCTGGGAATTCGCTGCTCTCGCTTGAGCTATGAGGTTTATGTTCCGGCATGCTAGAATGAACCACAATTTGACCATGACTAAAAGCTTGGAGCCTTTGGATAGTGGTCCGTGAATTAATTAACATATTGGGGTATCATCAACTGGTAGGAAATACACACACACAAACGCTTTACATGAAGGTCTCATAATTCATCAAGGACTCTGCGTGTCTTCTCCGGACCCCTTGGCCCAGGTGCTGTTGTTGGCCCTCCAGTTCCACAATTATGGCACCCATTTTCTGTGTTAAGGCCAAAAGGGTTTGCCGAAAGCCCTTTATCATCAGCTTGGACATCTAAGCGTTGTACTTCGTCCAGGCACCTTGTCGTGTTTCCAATGGCTCCAGTAACAACAGCTTTCAGGTTTTCCGTAGTTCCCGATCCCTCCGAAGCCGAACGTAGTTTAAAGTGATCCACGAAGCCGACAGCCGCGAGAAGCAGAACAACAGTCCCCATGACCGCCCACAGAATCCTTAACCTGCGGCTAACCCTCTTCTGCCACTCGACCTCCTTACGATCCCACGCGTCAATTCGCTCCCGTACAGCTTCAAGCCGCTTATCTAGCTTCAACGCCTTCTCCCGACAATCGTTCATCCTACGCTCCAGGGCTTCCACCTTATGAATTTGTGGCACAAATCCTTGGAAACCGGTGATCTGCTTGCGGGTTTCTTGGACAAGTTTGGCGGCTTGATTATTAAAATCGGTATCAAGATTTGTTGTGAGTTCGCAGAGACTCTGAAACGACTGAATTGTGGAACGGATGGTAGACAGTCGGTCAAGAAGGTTATAGTACGCGATATCGAGGCGTTGAGAGAATCTAATGGAATGATCTGCGATAGAGGAGAGAGCGGCGGAGTTGGACCTGAGAACATCAACGCCGTTAGATGCAAAATCACATGTGTGGAGGCCACTGACTCACTTCTCTGCCTCCTTTCTTCTCTCCCTCTCCTTCTCGACGTCCTCCTGACGAATGTACTCCATGCTTTGAACAAAAGGTAACCGAATCACATTGTCCATTTCATGCGCGTTTGCTATCTCCTCAGATATCTTTCCCGACAATCTAGCATCTTCGGCATTGTCTGGCGAACCGACCGGCATCTCACTGGCCTCCACAGGGATTATATCTCTTCTGGCGGAGCGGCTCCTCAGACGTCGCTCGCGCGATGCATGTCTCCTATGTGGTCGTAACCTTCTATATTTTTCTCGTTGTCCATCAAGACCTGTGCCGAGATCACGTTGCCCTCTAGGTTGGCGCCAGTGATGATCTTCGCCTCCAATCAAGTGATCTTCGACCCATCTTTCATGGGGTAGATAGAGCCCGTTGTGGACATGGGCGTGGAGATATGTACGGTGCGACAGACGACGATGGTGCTTGTGTTTGTTCCTTGTGTCCAAGTCGCCCGGAATGGTCTGGTTTGAAGTTTGTTGAGAACGGGGGCTCTGGATGGGGGGGGAAGTTGGGGGTCTATGGGTGGCTCGCTGGGAGGGTTCCATGGTACTTATGTAGTTGCCTGGGGACTCTTTAACGTTGGAGTCGGTTTCGAAATAAAATGCATCGTTGAATTAATTAAAAGTAGTGAGCGTTTTTCCCAAGGTTTGAAGGAGATGTTTACAAGTGCCACTTCATCGACAAGAGAGCTTCCAGGACGAGGTTCGGTCCTTAGTGCTGCAACTACGGAGTACGCAGTGACTAGGGGTCCTTGGTGACCAAGCTTTAGGGCTGGCTTCACCAACTGAAACATCGGGCGTGTTTCGTCCGAGGTTCGTGCTTGCTGCCATCTAAAAATAAACTGTCGATAAAAAACGACTCACTTCTATTCACATGAGCACAAAAAGAAAGTTAGAGGAAAAAAAAAAAAGGGTAGCCTAGCAACTAGGTTTTTATAGAGCAATGACTGCGGCTGGCCAGCGACTCCAAATCAAGTCGGTAATTTATCTGACTGTTTGGAGAATTTTCTATACATCAAGCTCACCTGCAGGGCAAGGCAATCAACCACTCGAAATGTGACCTGGGATGAATCCCTGATCACCTGGTTCGGGAAGCCGTCCCTTCTGAGATGCGAACCAACCAACCGTACAGCCGCACAATGGATAGGTAGGTGGGGAGTCGAATATCTAGATAATTGTTGTGTAACGTCTCCCGCTACAATGCGACCATTCCCTCCGTGAAGAATCCAGGGGGGAGCTTTTAGTGGAAATATGCGTAATCATTAGCGAATATAGATCATCCAAAGCAGCCCACTTTCATCGTGACAAAGGATTCGACCGCTCCCCTTGTCCGGGATCGATCGGAGCGGCGACCGAGAAAGTTGGTGCAGCATGGAGAACCAAAGACCGAGCTATCCGATCCGAAGAGAGAGCGTTATGACAAACCATAGAGGGCGCTATTATATCCTCCAGAAGCCTATAGCATCATTGACTGAAAGCTGCCGAAGGGAAGGAAAGGAGGCCCATTCACAACGCCAAACGCCCCACAGTTCGACGAACGATATCGCTGAGCATTCGAAGATCATCACGAGTTCAGGAGCTTGTTTCTCTTTTCCCTTCTCTTCCGTCTCTCGACTCTCTTCCGGTGCATTTTCTCTGCCATCTTTTCGTACCTCTCCTTTTCTTCCTTCGCAGCCCGTCTGTCCTTGATGGCTTGGATACGTCGCTAGAGAATGACATACTGTTAGCAGCCCGAGATATCGATAAACCAATAGCCTTGAAAATAACTAGTGGGAGTTTCCATAGAAACACACCTGTCGCTCGGCTTCCTTCTCTTCCTTCATTTCCTTCTCTTTTTCTTTTATAGCAGCCATGGCCTTTCGCTCCTCGAGTCGTCGTGCATAGGAGGTTTGACCCTTTGTGGGACGGAAGGGAGTTTTCACATCGTGCCAATTCTTGCCTAGTGGAGTGTCAGTAAAGATCCCGCCAACAGCCAAAGATAGATGTGGCCGCCAGGGCAGAAGCTCACCATTTTTCCGCATTCCCTTCGGCGCAGCAGCAGCAGCAGCAGGTGCAGCGGCTGGCGCTGGTGCTGGCTCTGGCGCGGGTGCGGGCGCGGGTTCGGTCGAAGACATTGGCGAATAGATCCTGGAAGAGCGAGGGATGCCAGATTACTCGAGCATCGCGTAACAAGCGTCCTCGGGAGTGAAGCAGCCGGAAAGGACAATTTTCTGCACGAGGCCTCGTCTTCGTCGTGCCGCCGATCGCAGCAAAAAAAAAAAAAGGTGCCAAGACGCGCTGGGCGCTGCAGGCCTGATCTCTGCAGCCAATCAGGTCTGTTATCGCGATCTTATATTATCTTATCTCCCGGATCTCGGCGGTTCTTTTCCACCGGCCCCACCGTCAAAAATCTCTCGCGAACTTTAAGGCGCCACACTGGACGCTCTCTCTCTCGCGCGACTCACCAGCTTCTGTCATGCGAATTCCACTATATTTTCCCCCTCAGTCCCCTGTCACCGTCAGTCAGTTCTGTCATCTGCCATCCTCGCTGTCCCGTCATTGTCCGGCAGAGTCTCCGCCAACCCGCGTCCTAAACATCCGGGCCCATCTGAAACAAGGCGCATATGCTCACCATGGCTCCCTTCCTCGGATAAGGGGATCAGCCTGACTCAGTGTTACTCCTCCATGCTACCGTTCGCCGCCGTTCACAACGCCCTACCAACGCCCTCCCAAACCCCTCTCTATACAATGCTTTCTCGATAGCGGGAGCCCAACAAACTATCCCTCCTCGTCCTCCTATCCAACAGCAAAACCTGCTTCTGGCGACCGATCAGCAAAATCTCGATTTACAAATGTCGGCCGCAGGAACCGGCCCGCAGGTCTCTCTAGCCGCAACCGAGATGACCGTAGACATCCCTGATCTCCAGCAGAAAGCCCAAGATCAGGGGAAGGAGGCGTTTAAAGATGTGGTCTTTGGCTCTGTAGGTCCCTGCCACCCCCACATTACTCGCTTCTCTGTTCCTAACTTCTCCCCTCCAGGTTGCCGGTATCGCAGGTAAATACATCGAATACCCCTTCGATACTGTCAAGGTCCGTCTCCAATCCCAACCGGACGGCCTGCCCCTCCGATACAAAGGACCTATCGATTGTTTTCGTCAATCCCTCCAGGCCGAGGGAGTGCTGGGGCTGTACCGTGGCATAAGTGCCCCTCTATTCGGGGCGGCTGTTGAAACAAGCAGCTTGTTCTTCAGCTACCGTATCACACAGGAGTTCCTGCAGTCGACTATATACACCCCGTCGGAGAAACTGCCGTTTTCGGCACTGTTGACCTGTGGTGCTATCTCTGGAGCCTTCACATCGCTCCTCCTCACGCCGATCGAACTCATAAAATGCAAGATGCAAGTGCCCGCCGTTAGAAATGGCACATTCAAGCCTCCCGGGCCGGTGACTCTGATCGTGTCTGTCTTCAAACACGATGGGTTTCTTGGTTTCTGGCGCGGGCAAATGGGTACGTTAATCCGAGAAACGGGCGGCTCTGCAGCCTGGTTTGGTGGCTACGAAGGCGTATCCGCACTCTTCCGGGCGTACAACAGGCCAGAATCGTCTACGTCTCTGAATGACGCGCTACCACCGTTACCGTTATATCAACAGATGCTCGCCGGCGCTGCTGCAGGCATCAGCTATAATTTTATTTTCTACCCTGCGGACACTATTAAATCTCGAATTCAAACGGAAGATATCGCCCTTTCGAGGGGCAATGCCCAGAAACGTACCTTCTGGGAAGTCGGAAAAGTGCTATGGAGACAACACGGTTTAACTGGGCTGTATCGCGGATGCGGGATCACCTGCGCCCGATCGGCACCCAGCTCTGCCTTTATCTTTTCCATTTATGAAGGACTGCGCTACTACTTTGGTTGAGAAGCACAGTTTGACCGGCTTTCCTTCGATCCGGCATACTGTCGTTGATTTTTACCCGTTGTTTTGGATAAACTCAAGGCGTTATGGTCATACAGGGTATGGCGCATGTTTTACGATCTCTTACGGAATGAACTTCCTTTGCTAATGTTTAGGCATGTGGCCTTTTGTTCAAAATACTTCTAAGATTTTGATATTCTGGAAAAGCCGGGCTTTTGCGAGAGATAAACAGTGATTCCCTTTCTTAGAGGGCCTCAGGTCCAGGCCCATCACCTCTGTGGGGGGGGACTTGAAGCAAATATGTGTGTTTATAGATATTAACATCTTGTTTCACGGGATATAGTTGTAAGAGGAGCACTCATTTATGAATATATTAAAGGAAGAGTAGAATCTTTTTCAGAGTACAGGTACATCAATCATAGTCATACACACTCTCACAACATCTGCCAACAGTCACCTACTTTTAGTCAAAGAATCAGCTTTGTTTACTTCAGGCATCATAAAACGACTCAATCAATATTCCACGTCTCAGTGTGCAGCTCTATGCAGCTCGTCGCAGGCCGCCTTCGCCTGTTCAAGTCTCTCCTCTGCAGGAATCTCCACTTTATTCACTTTTCTGTAAGAGTCCTTTTCAGCCTCTTCGTAATCTAGGTCAAGAACAAAGCCCAATTTCTTGAGCTTCGGTAAAAAGTCAGGAGAACCAAAGGACTCCACCCATCCTTTCCAGTGTTCGGATGTGACCAGAGAACCTGGGCCTCTGAATCGAAGAGTGGCCAGGTTCGGCGGGAAAGATTTGTACAGCTGCGATGGAAGCACGTCGTAGTCCCCGAAAACTTCGCCGACGCTGAGTACAAGCGTGTCTAAGTTCTCGAGCGTTGGCAGGATGGATTCGAACGTCTGCGGACCGATGAAAGAAAAGTCCAAGGCCTCTGTCGAGCAGATTTTAAGGGTATTCAAATTGTAAACGACATCGCTCAATGACATCACCATGCGACAGAGAGTATCCATGGCGTCGTTTTCCACGATCTCGAGTATTCTTGTGTCGGTCTCCTTTTGTGGGCGAAACAGCTGTTTAGGGCTATCCTCTTGCGCGGCGTCCAACTCTTCCATCCGCTGTCGCATCCATTCTCTGACCAGCTCCGGTATCACGATAAATTCAATCTTCCGCTCTTCCGGGGTATCTTTTTGTAAAGTTAGGCTTCTCTGCTCTGCCTCTCCCCTTGCAATTGCCCCTCTATGTGCCTTGCTTAATTCCTTGCTCGTTGGCCCCTCAAAGCGTAGCTCGAAGGTATAATCAAAAATTAGATGCTCGACCTTTCCCTCCAAGATGAAAGGGGTGCGCACGAGTTAGCCGCATGCTGAGCCAAGTTTATAGCGCTTCAGGGGCCAATGCAACGGCAGTTTCTCATCATTTAGTTCTTCGTTAAACCAGTGTCCATATCTAAATCTGTGACGGAGGTGAAATATTCCCCAAGAAGAGCCCATTCCTCATCAGAAGGGGTGTTGTCCTCGATCCGGAGAGTACTGGCATCTTTGGGGATGGTTTCAAGTTGTGAGGGGAGATTTTGCCCATGGTCCTCGGCCTCTGTTTCATGGGGCCGTTGCACCTTCACAGTGAAGACTCGAGAAGCGGTTTGGGACATCGTAGACATTGCTGCTGGCAGAAAAATACGAGGCAATTGAGACATACCTGGGAGTATTCGCCTGCGATCTGACAGTGATTGGCTTGAGCACCAAGCTCGTCCAGCAGAGAAATGGTGAGTTCCAGAGACCGCAATACTCTTGAGGGCGGACTCCAGACAGGGAATCCGGCTTAAAGGTCTCATTTCGCCTTGATTTACCCTCCTAGCGAGCAAAATTACCTTCCACCGCAGATGAAGTAAGTCATTTTGACTGCAGTGGTTGGTGACACTGTGTCAGTCAACGATCGACTCTAGAGTTAGCCAAGAGCTGCAAGCAACCGCCTGACTGCAAGGATACTATAACTTTTTGTCTTTGGCCTCTCTTAATCGGCTAGGTTGCAGCTCCGTTCCCAAAAAGAACCCCGCTGACTTCACGCCAGACTCGCGGCGGGATCCTACAGTGATTAGTGCGAACTCGTCTTGCTCCGGACACTGGGCGAATTTCGGACTTGAGGTTGAATTTTTATCAGGTTGCTCCGTAGAGGTGATGAAATAACTCTCCCCGGTTTTGTCCCACTGATGACGGGACGCGCGGGTGACGTCGATGCTTAAAAAGACGCCCCGGCCCGTCCGCAGCCTGCGAATGAAACTCTTTCCACTCCGCAAAACTTGTAAATATACTCTCGACGACGACCCCACCACAAGAGGAAAAGAACAACAAAAGAAAAAGATTGCAAAGATGGCCGCAGCCGCTCTCACAGAAGCCGAGTTGGCCACCCTTTCCTCCAAAGCCATCGGCGCAAAGGACGTTGCATATTGTTCGTCTTGTGAAACATCGTCTTGAAAGTTGGTCAGGGACATGGTGCTAATGATAGTCATGCCTGTAAGGCCCATACTCTAAATTTCGAGTCGGTGCCAGCCTTCTCGCGGAAGATGGGACCTTTTTCGTCGGAGCCAACGTCGAAAACGCCAGCTATCCTGTAGGGATCTGCGCCGAAAAATGTGTTTTTGGCACTGCCGTGGTTAGTCCATTCCAGCGAGACACATTCCCCCGCTTCCCCAGGAGTGTGTATAGTCGGGTTGCTCCGTACCAGTTCTGCGGAGCTAGAGTCTGTCTTGCTTCCCTTAGAACTAACATCTCAGGATAGACAGCGGGTCATAGGTCATTCAAAGCCGTCGCTGTGGCTTCCGATATCATCCCTGGAACATCACCATGCGGATCATGTAGACAGTTGTAAGTGTGATCGAACCGGAACTACGCTCCGTGCTATTATCAGAGAGCCACGAATTCATACCCTATTAATCCATCTCGAACAATATAGTATGCGCCAATTTTGCCCCCCGTCATTCCCAGTCTACATGTACGGCAACGATGGCAAATACGTGATGAAGACTATGGGAGAAGTAGGTTCCGCTCCATTCTGCCCACTCCCATCCATGAGGCCGAGGTCGATGGTTAACCTGAACTGCAGCTTCTTCCAGATTCATTCGGCCCCGAAGATTTGGAGAGATGATCCTGTCCATTCTTTAGGTTTCGCTGACACTCAAATGGGATAACGCGTCGCAACCGGTCACCAATCCACAAATAGTGCACTGGGAACCTCTAAGATATTTCCAGTTTTAAGGAGATAATATCTTCGTTGTACTGTACATACATACATGAAGTTGAAAACCACTTAATCTAGAAGCTGAAAAGCTGATCATTACAGTGCATATGACCTGCCAGCACTCAAAATCCTAACCAAGACTCAGGGGAAAACAAAACAACAAACAAACCGAAGCCTCGCTAAACACAAACCCAAGAATGTCCGAAATCGGGTGAACTCCTGTTTCCAGAGAAAAGGAAAAGAAAGACATATCGATACAGAGCACCTTTTTGAACCCCATAATATTTCGTGTCCTATATTTTCCGTGATAAACATTATATCCGTTTCTCGACATTCAAACTTCTTCATCCTCATCACCGTCAAAATCTTCTGCACCTAAGAGTTCATCCTCATCCTCCACAACACCAACATAATCCCCTCTTCTCGCTGCAAAAGCTCCGCGAGACGAGTATGGCCTTGAGGAGCCACGTCCAACAGGCATCCATCCGCGGAAGCTTCTCCACAAGCTCGCCGCAAGGAGTGGCAAGGCCGACATGACGGCGACGGTGCCCGCAATAATAGCTACCGGTACGACGACAAGGGGCGAGTCCCTCGAGAGCCAACTTCCTGAACGGCTCGTTTCTCCAAGTCGAATCCGCCCGAACTTCCCATCCCATCGATTGTATACCCAATAACCAACGGCGGCCGCAGCAGCGATTGGTATCACAATGGCAAAGAATAACCCTACACCGCGCAATCCAGGATGTTTCTTTTCAAACTCCTTTTCTTTATTTGGACAGGGGAAGGCCTTGAAGCCGTCCAGTTTCACACCGTGTTCGCAAGTTGTCAGCGGAATGCGACGATATCCCGTGGGCTCATAGTATTCTATCGCATTTGGATCCTCTGTGCAGATTCTCTTGGGGTCCAAAGGCTGAAGTCCTTCTACAAGTGCACAGGAGCCGTCTGATTGTCGTTCATAGTTGTAGTCGCTACACACAACACGTCAGTAAAACGCCGTCAAGTATTAGCATAACCAAAGCACTTACCACTCATAATCTTGCCGAGTGCACGGGCAGTTAGTGGAAACATTATGCAGCTTTTCAAATTCTCCGCCGTTGAAACATTGAGAATCGGGCTTTTTGCGATGGTAGCGTGCAATATGACCAAAGAGACAGTTATCTTCAAGCAAAGGATGCTTTGGCTCCCAAATGTAGTAATCATCGGCTTCGGGTTTCTCCTCCTTGAGCACACATTTCTTTGAGCGCTCTTTCAGACCGGAGAAGTCAAGGTTAACAGTAGCAAATCCTGGTTTCGCGCCCGAACCAACTTCTGTACCCCAAAGGAGGAAATTTCGGGACGTGTCAGATGGCACCGTGGTAATGTCGGAAATTTGCATCTCAACTTTGGTGAATTCGAACTCGATCCACGTTCTACCTTCATCAAGGGTGTAGAAAATTGTTTTCGTAGGCTTGGATTCCGGAACGATCACAATGATAGAGCCCTGGTCGCCATACTCCCAAATGTAGTTCCCTTTCTTAACAGAATGCCATTCGATACCACCGTCTCGCGTTATGAAGGTATCACCTTCGCTCTTCAATGTCAGGTGATCTCCCACATTTCCAACCGCAAGCATTAAGCCGACCGCTGACGGGGATGAAAATGTGTCACGGAAATCACGCCTCTCGGTGTAAGAGTGAAGATGCAGACCACACTCTGCGGTTCCCTTTTTTCCAGGCGAACAACCGTATTTACGGCCATCGGCATCCATCGCCGGCGGTCGAACATAATCCCATTCCGCGCCATCGTTATGGGTAATCATGGTCCTCAATTTCTTAGCCGCACCCTTGACCACCTCATCAACATTTGCGACAACGTTGACCAAAGCAACTCCTTCCAATCCCTGCATCTTCTCGAAGTCAACGTAGTCTGCATTATTCCGGTTGACGTTACTTAAGCTCAACACATACGATGTGCCATTGCTGTTACTCTTAATGATACTGCCGAATTGATGATCTGGAACGTTGTGGACGGTAACGTGTAGCCACACCGAATGGGTTGAACTATCCAGAACCGTATAGGCTTGTTGCGTTTTCACGTCGAAGTTCGGTGGGAACTCGGCGTCGGCAAATGTGTCGCCATCGATGCTGGCACCGACCTTGAGCGAGTCCTTCCCAGCACGGGCAGCTACAATAATAAACTCAGCCATGGTCCTGAAGTCCAGGATGTTCTTATAATGAATCTTCTTGTTGGTGAACCAGTTTTCCGAGGATAGAAGCCGGAAATGTTTGTTCTTTGGATCCTCGTTCTCATGTTGAGCGCAGAATATTAATTCGTCGGTCTTGCGAACGCCTCCTTTACCAACAAACTCACATCTACCAACGTACCGCATCAAAGTATGCCATTCATCACCGCCATCGGTAGAATAGTGGGCCACTGAATGACAGTCTCCCCCACGTTCGCAGTTGTCAGCTCCAGTCCATATCAGCCATTCCGACCGTTCGGGGTCAGGGTGAAAGGCAAGGACAGGCAGGCGGTCTCGATTAGGCGGGAGCTTAGTTTCAAATTCACGGAAACTGTCTCCTCGGTTCTTCGTTAGGAAAACCTTTTTCTCCCCGGTGACATAATACATAATGTCATTATTATATGTGTGCGGCCAGAGCTTCGCGATGTTCTTCCCCGCTAGAATCTGCTGCCATGTTTTGCCATGATCCTTTGTCATAAAGACCTCCAGCTTGTCAGTGAGCAACATGACAGTTTCGTCCTTATCCTTACTCAGCGTTGGGCGTTCCATATAGTAGTATTCTGCAGGCTTGTTCGCATCGAAATGTTGTATTGAGACGCCTATCTCTCCGCTGACCGGCTCTTTAGCAGTGTCACTACAAGACCGCTCCTTTGGTTTGTCGAGTTCAAGTCCGCCTTCCTTGATGCAATCATCTCCTGGTATCAATCTGAATCCAGAGCTGCCAGTGTACTTGTCTTCTGGCTTTTTACATTGTCCTTCGGGGACGGGGAGGGATCTAGCCGGAACACAATCCTTCCGATCCTCGCTTCGAACAAAATTGAAATCACACTCGAAGTCCTCTTCAGTGCACTTGCAACGTTCCAGTTCGGGGACTGGATCCTTGAATTCCTCGCCGATGAAGCACTCGGATTTACCTTTTCTCCGTCTATAAAATTGCTTGTGTCCCATCAAACAATCCGGCTCCTCTTTCTCATTCAATCTTGCAGGCCACCGTTCGAAATCATCCTTGCTACATTTGCGTTCGTGAACGTCACTGAAGTCGAGGGCGATCACGTAGTGTTTTCGCTCGGAGCTACCCTTTCCTGTGCCAAGGAGCAAGAATTTCAGGCTGGTCGAGTCGGGGGTCGTGGTAAGCGTTCTTGCACGGATTTTAACAGGAAGCTCCGCCGTTTTCCAGTCTTTGCCATGGTTAAGAGAATACGATATCTTGTTTGTCCGGCCTTCGTCATAAACAGCGACAAGAACAGAACCTTGATCTCCAAATTCGTATTTATGTGCATCTTCAAGGGCTCTCCACCATGTAATTCCAGCATTATCGGACACATACAAGTCACCGTCATCGTACTCTTTCAGGGAGTCTCCGACATTGCCGACACCCATAACCAAGCCTGGTGCTGGACTCGAGAAAACACGTCCAGTGTTATGAATGTGTGTCACCGAGTGCAAGTGGAGGTTCTTATCACCAGCCTTTATATCGTGGAAGGTCCTTCCATCATCAAAAGAGATTTTGCTAACGATTTTCTTTTTGCCCCTATGGTGCTCTTCAATTTCTTCCCAATTGGTGACAGTGTTGACTAGAAAGATTCCTTGAATGCCGGCGATTTTCTCAAAATCGACATAACCAAGATGGTTGGCGTTTAAGTGCTCGGCATTGCGAGTGAAGGACACTCCGTCAGAGTTGGACGTAAACAAGGCACTCATAGGGTTAAACCCTCCCGAAGTCTTTACACCGACTTGGATACTATAGTTCGTGGACTCGAGAATGGTGTAGCCGTTGTTTTCGAGTCTATGACCATCGAACAATGCTTGATGCCACCGACTTGCATCGTCGGACACGTAGAGCGCCAATTCGTTGGTTCGGGGCGACCTCGCAGCGGCAACGAGGAATTTCTTCACTCCCACCATACTGACGATATCGCTGACCGGGCGACCATTATTCAAAGGAACCTCGGTTCCTCTATCACCCTCAAAGAAGTCGTCTGAGTAGAGTAGCCGTTTTTGAGTGCCGATCGGGGAATGTAGCCCTGTAAACATGCAAAGGATACGATTGTCAACATTTTCGGGAAACTCTTCTCTTGCCGCGAATTCCGGGGTGGATATCGCCCAGGAGCAACCATGCTGGGCTTTACTTAGGATCTTATGGCTTTTAAATCCATCCGTCGTATAGAGAGCCGGCATTTGGCAAATAAATCCAGAACATTCAACCGTATGCAATATCACCTTGTTCGAATCTTTACCGTGGAAGGAGAGAGGGTTTCCGGAACGTGGAAGGTCTTGATCGATCGTGAACTCGCGCCACGACTTTCCCGTGTCATCTGTGGTCCAATGTGTCCGCTCTTGGCCTAGCACATACGCCTTTGTTCGATCGTAGGGATGATGGTAAATAGCCTTGACCTTGCCCTTCATACGGTCGTCGGGACCTTTGACGGGGGCCCACGATACGCCAGCGTCGGTGGAGATGTAGGCGTCGTATTTGTGCTGAAGCATGACCACATCCGAATCCTCGAAGTAGAACAGATGTTTGGGCTCATGTTCCAGCTCCGTGACTTCGATTTTGGGGCCATCTTTCTTTGCGGTTGCGAACGAGGCCAGCAGTAGGCTGCCGGCCAGCAGAAGCCTTCTGAGGATCATATTCATTCACGGAGGGATCGAGACATCGGTCAGAGGAGAAAGACAAGTCTAGGACCGGCGAGAAAGCGGTCGTGGGAACCAAGAATGCTGCGCCTGCGGACAGGCCACGGGTGGCTAGATTCTCTCCAAAGTTCTAAATATACAAATGGCAACAACTCCGAGAAGCACACCAAGCCTAACGGTCACGGAAGACCGTGCAGCTATGGAATGAGTGAACAATGGTAAGGAATATGCAGGTGATGTTGGCCACCGTTGTTAACTCCAAAGCAGGCCTCGTTGTCCTCTCCGTCCAGCCGTCTGCCAGCGTGCCTGTTTTGGCCGTTTGTTACGCCCAGCGGCGCAGTGGATGAGGCTGGAATTCACGTGATATGTGCGACGGGCACTTGGTCACGTGGAATCGAGGCTTCGCCGAAACTGCAGGTTCTTAACTTCTTCTTCTCGAGAGCTATCCGGCCGCTGTCGACATTGGGTTCACGGGGCAAGAAGCGATCCAGGCCGTCTCCCGGAGCTCGACAGCGGTTGGACCTTCGATAGGTAGTAGGTCTAGGGGTAGAAACCGCACCCCCGTCGAAGCCAATTCAACCAGATTTGCTCCCTAAACTGTGTCTGCTCCGTAAACAACAGCATGCTCTCCAGCGATGCTCCTCCGCCCCCTAACCCGTGTCTTCTTCCGCTCCTCGTTCCGCTATCGCCGGGCCCACCGTTGTCGCCGGCTGACGATGCTCGCCGTCCTCACCATCTTCATCTTCCTAACCACTCCTTTTTACTTCGTCTACAAACCCCCGCAGTTCATCATCCGCTATCTCCAGCGCCGCGGGCCTGATGTCCTGTGGCATGTCTCCACCTCATCCAAAGTCGTCGCACTCACAATCGACGACACACCATCCCAGTATACATCTGAGATGGTGCAGATTTTGAAGGAAAACGATGCTCGGGCTACATGGTTCGTGATCGGGAACCAAGTCCCCGGCCGCGAGAAGGTGCTAGACGAACTAGTCCAAAACGGAAATGAACTGGCGAACCATGCGATGCGCGACGAGACATCCAAGTCTCTTAGTGATGACGTGCTGCGTGAACAGATCGTGACTGTGGAGGGCATGATTCGACAGGCATATGCCTCCGTGGACCGCGAGGAGGATTTCCCAAAGTACTTCCGACCCGGCGGCGGATTCTTCAATCGGAGGATGCAGGATCTGCTTGCTCGGCTGGGCTACAGGCTGGTACTGGGCGATATTTATCCCCATGATCCATTTGTGTCCTACTGGAGGGTCAATGCGAGACATATTCTAAGCATGTTGCATCCCGGAGGGATCATTATCTGTCACGATCGCCGGAGCTGGACGCCTCCAATGCTGCGGGAGGTGCTTCCAAAGATTCGTCGACAGGGTTATCGGATTGTTACTGTGACAGAGCTACTGGAGGAGCATAAGCGGGAGATGATAATGACCTCACGCATCACATAGAACACCTCATGCCCTACAGGCTGTTCCCTACGGGCTTAGTGATTGTTTATGCTTGATATCTATCTTAGACATTGTTGGATCTAGCGATACCCACTGGAAATTTTTTTTTTTCATGTTCATATATGGTCACTATCTAAATGAAACAAGAAATTATGGACAGAATGCAGGCTCAAAGGACAAATGCAAGGTGACAGCCGGCTTGTTGGTCACAGCAGCGGCGATGCTTCAAGAGTATAGATGTCTCACGATAAATAGGAAAATCATGTCGAGGTAGATCATCGCTAAATGGCGAAAGGAAAAGAAGCGAAAAGAAGGTAATACAATAGGAGTCATGTAGTAAATGATGTAGACCAAAAATCAGTAATAAAAGCATATAGTAGAGGGTAAATCACTGTCCAAGGGGAACACCATGGTAGATACGAGTGAATGGCAATCGTCGTTGCCGGCGTGCTTTTATCCAAATATATTCGAGAAAAGGGGTGATCGCAGAATCGTTCGGCTCATTGCACTTCCACTGAAGAGAATAGAAAGCTGAATGAATGTACACACGGGACCACGAAACGCAAAAAAAGAGGGTCAGCGTCGCTTTCTCAACTTCCGTAAAAGCTTTCGCATTACCCCTTTATCCTCAGGTGGGGTGTCCCATATATGGAGCTGTTCATCCGGCGCAGGGAGGTCAGCTAACCGGAGAGGATCATCGTTTTCTGAGGCGGACGGAGAAGTCATGGTCGAGGGGTCAGTTGTTCTCAAATCTGCTCTAGTCAGTGTCATTTTCAGTGTCATCTCCCGATTTCCAATCATGTTCTGGGCGTTATTGTGCGTTATGGAAATCAAACGAGGTCTTGTGGATTGTTTGGAGGATCTTGATTCATGGGACGCGTTCACGATGGTGGATGCGATAGAGGATGTGTTGGGGGGCTTATTGTGGTCTTGATCGTTTAGTGACGCGTTGTTAGTTTCGTTGAGCGTTTCACCAAGAAACGACTTGCTGTCATTGTCGAAAAACGTTCGCCGATCATCGCAGAGTGCCCATTCGCGATCAATCGACAGTCGCGAATTGAAGCCTTCTTTTAATTCCAAGGATGGGAATCCGAATTCGATCGCTTCATCAAATTTCTGCGGAGAAGCCAGGTAAACCCGCAGTTTCAGCCGCGCCTCGGGGTCTTGATAGTACTGCGCGGGGTGGTCGATCGATGTTACAGATGTTTGCGAGACGTGTCTTGGCGGTGGCTCGGATCGGGATAAAGGCCGGTGATGTTTCTTCGGAGGAATGACGGGCGGAGAGAAAGGTGGAACATTGTAAGATTGGCTTGTTTTGGGAAGCATCCCTGATACCGGCGACCGACTTTTTTGTGAGGAGCTGAAGGAGAATGTGCGCTTGAAGGAGGGTTTTCGGCCGCCGTGAGGTTGCATTGGCGTCGAGGGGGCAATGTGAGAATGATAGTCAAGTCGAAGATCGAGATCCTCGTCTTCGTCAAGCCATCGAAAACTGTCGTACATTGAATCATCCATATCGACCGCTGAGTCGGGGTGGTGAGCAGAGGAGGTGTAGGTGGCAGAAGAGGAGGTCGTCACGCTCGGGACGGATGATAATATAGACTCCGACGAAACTCTTGCTTGACAGCCCAGCTTATATAGGGCCTGATCCGCGGCGTCGAGTATCAGACTTGATCGCCAGCTCCCAAAGCAAGCTCGTTCTTCAATGCTAAAATGTTGCTGTTGCACCTTGGGCGGTAAGGAGCGGAACCATTCGGAGTCAGCCTGAGCAGCCAGATAGGCGGTTTGAAGAGTCTCGGGCTTTTTCAGGATTTGCGGGAAGAGGATCCTTCCTTTGGTTAGAATTGGCCGTCTTGCATACTTTTTGGAACGAAGCCGTCGTTTCGTACCTGCAAGATGGGCGTTATTAGAAAAGCTGCCGTGGGAGTGCGGAGAAGAGGATTTTCAGGGCGGTGGAAATCATACCATTGGCTCTAGCGGCACAAGGAGCATTATTTTTTGGCGTTCTGGTTCGTGGGATGGGGTCAGCGGAATGGCCATTTTGGAGTCTTGGGTGAGCGGCGTGGCTCCGGCTATTATTCCCAGGATGCGTCTGAGCTAGTCGCATCTGCTCTAGTCGAAAACGTTCCAGATTGGAAAACAACTGAACATGGTCAGTCTTGAGTGTCCACAGAGCAAAAGACGAGCCAGATCCACGGCTCTTCCTGCGTGCTCAACCGGCATCGCGACCTGCGGACACGCCGATGGAGCGACAGGGGGGGGAAAAAAAAGCAACATCCTGTGGAGTCGGCAAGGACAGCCAGGCGATCAAAAAATCACCCGGCCTTCAGCAACAGGTCGAGCACAGAAGCTCTCGCGACGCTGGCCAGGAGCTCGGCCCACTAGCGCCGCTGCCAACTGCTTGCCAAGCTGCTAGCCAGGTCCCCATCATTGGTCTGTGAGTGCGGAGTCCGTGATAACGCCCGGTCGTGGCGGCTTGGAGGTCGGCGTGTGTGGGATGAGGCGGACTGGCCGATGAGCGCCCCCACCCAAGCAGAAGGGAGGCCCCGACGATCATCGACCAGCGCACCCACGGTTCCCATCTCGCTCCAAAATGTGACCTGACGGTCTGATTGGACTCCGACACACCACGAAACCGGATGATGTGCTCGCTGGCTTCTTGTCACAGAAGAGTGGCAGCAGCATGTAAAGGAAGAAAATGTCAAGGGAGAACCGAAAAGGAAGAAGACAAAAAATGGGAGTTTGATGCAGAGAAAGAGAAAAAGACCCCCCCACGGAGCATATGGCGTTGGCACGGGACACAGAAGCACTTCGCATGTACGGAGTAGAAGAAGCAATGTAATCGAGCTGCTGCGCCAGCGGTGTGACAACTTCGGAGTCACCAACATGAAAAAGAGGCCCAACTTACTTTTCGTCTCAACGCAGGTGGAAGAGCATCCAAATCTTCCGGCCGCTGTTCGAGGATGATGACATTCCGTCGCCCCATGGTTCTTTTAAATAAAGCCAGGTTAGCTACAGGAAGGGAAGAAAAAGACAGTGTGGAACCCAGAGAAAGAGCTTGAAAGTATGTGCAGAGCTTCAAATCAGATGCGAAGAGAGCTGCGAACAAAGGTCTAGTTATGTTGTGAATGTGGTTCGAAGGGAGGCGGCAGGTTCATAATAATATAACGATTCCAGGATTGAAACCACACACCAGATAGCTGCCGCTGATATGTTGCATGGAGGCACAGCATACACCCTCCAAAGCCACCGATGAGAATAATATCCCCCTCTGATGGCAAGCTCCAACCAAGCGCCCACCCTCGAAACCACCAATGCAAGGCCCCTAATGCTAATAAGTCTCGATGTCCGTGCCGTGCAGTTGGTCTCGGCCAATCGCCGGCTGAAGAAATGAGTTGATTCACTTGACCATTCATCAACCAAGAATTGGCAGCAAATGAAATCCCAAGATTGACTCTACCTTCCCTGCACGGGACCTCATGGAGGGCGAGGAAACGTGGCTCAATCCAGCGTTTCCGCCGACGGCCATCGCCAGACATGGACAAAATCCCCGATTGATGATGCATACCAGGCCTCTGCGGCCCCAATCAAGACCTCCGACATATGTCAAAGGGAAAAAGGGGCTTCCTTTCCTCGACCGCGTGTTACACCGAAACAAGACACTGTTGATTGTTCAGACTCTGCGCCATACTCCGTCCATTCGAAACCATCACCGAGATGCCCATTTCTATCCTCAGTACTAACAGGGCTGAGCGTTGTACAAACCCCTCCTGAAACTGGTTTTTTCCTGACCTCAAAGGGCCTTCGGTACGGCCCATCCCTGTCCTGCCAGGGGTTCGATGCTCCTCTTCACATCGTAACCCCGTAAGCGCCAACCATAACTATTATTAGGTAGTAAGTTGTGTAAAGAGCCCTCCGTCCGGGGTTGCCCACCGGAGACCGAGACAGTCGCCAGATCCACATTAGCGATCAGCCCTCCGCCGGAGATGGGCCATTAAAGGAGGCGTGGCACTGAGACCAACGAGGATAGAACCAAGATTTTTGCCCGCAACCAGCAGCGGGCTTTTCGAAGACCAGTCTGGATAAGAGCTTTTGTGAAATTTCTTTGTTCCGTTCATCAGTTAAAAACCAACCCAGATGCGAGTCAGCCACATCCACCCGTGCGCATCATCATCATATCCGGCGACTCGAACTCAATGCAAGCCCTTCGCTTAGGACACACGGCCGGGTTACGGCCTGATCAGGTGTTTCGCGGCGAAGACAGATATCCTCCATCCATGAGGTCGAAGGCTGGCAAAGTCAGAGCATCGGTCCAGAGACCAAGCAAATTTTTCTATCTCTTTATAATAGCTGCTTGGGACTCTAGTGGAAACGCATACTCCTGAAGACGCCTCTCCCACCTCTACAGCTCCATACACGAAGTATTTGAAGAAAGGAGTGTCGGGGTACGGGTAAGGCGGATCATGACCAGAAAACTTCGGCTTTCCCAACCATGGCTGCCAGAATATTACACTTGGACAATTGCGCTGGCGAGGCGGCGGTTTCGCATCCGTCGGGTTGGGTCTGACAATGAGAAAGGAATACCGTGTTTATCCATGTCAGTCCGTGAACATGTTGCGTGCAGGGATAACCGGCGGCACGGTGACAGCAACCATGATGAGGCTGCAACATCCACCACGCCCGAATTCTTGGAGTTGGAGAATCCAAATTCCGCCCGCAAACGAACCCCGCGTCCCTCGTCACGATAGACGGGAATCCATGTATGCAGTCCTCCCTACAGTTCAGGATTCCTGGTCTAGGCTTGTGCTTTTCGCTAAAGATAGCCCGTTTCGAAACCGAACATTTGGGATCATTGAACACAGGGAAGACAAATGTATTGTTATTGACCTTTCCAGCGTTCCGATGACATAGATAACATACTCCGTACTTGGAAACCTTTTTTTAATGCACGGGGCCCATGGAATTGGCGAGGGCACGCGTCCTGCATGCAATCCCCCCGATAAGCATAAATTTTGGATTTTCCCGACGATCATTCATTATTATGATCGCTCACATCACTCCTGTTCCCTTTGTAGGTGCGAGAGTTTAGCTGGTTAGCGAACTTATCTTCCCATGGTTTAATTGCAGATCATGAATCTTCTCCGTACTCCGTACTCCACACACGATACTTCTCGTCCTCCTGAAACTTAAAGCTTCTGGATGTTCGAGCTTCCTTTTCAAATTGAATCGCTAACACGGCTTATTCCTCTAGCTCGCGTCTCAAAACTTCGAATCAAGACTGATGATATTCAATTGGTTCCGCATGACCCACCAGTGCCTAACAATGGCCGATGATGGCGTGGATATCTTTGAAAATTTATTGAGTCTTGTGTTGTGTTCCACATGAGTCCACGCAGACGCTCCATTCCAATGCATGAAAGTTGTTTCAGTTGCTCACCGCTGGAATAATTGAGTGGTGTTCGATGATGAAGTTGGGCTTGCGGACGCAAGCGCAAAATAATGACGGTGTAACACCGAGTTCTCTCCACTCAAACGCCAGCACACCAAGCTGATTCATCACCAAAAGCTCTCAGCAAAGATGCAATATCCGATGTGTTGCCGGCTTGCATCCAAATCGAAAGGGATCTTTCGATGAAAGATTTAATCGTCTTCGGCTAGAAGCCGAAGCTTGTTCTTTGCTAAGTGCGCCAATTTCCTACAATTAAAAGTCCACGCTGCCGCGGCATACCAGTTTCCATTGCCCATGCGAGTGAGCACAAGGTGCAGCATACCTGCAGAGCAAATATAATGCATAAATGAACTAGCTGTGTGTAACAATTGCAGAAAGTTCATCCGTGGTTTAGACCATGCAAAATGCTGAACGCAGTACGTGTTACCTTGTATGTCGATGGATACTGTCCGATCCGTTTTCGATTCCAAAGACCCGGGGCGTAGCAAACTAGGTACTGGATCATGAGATGCAAGCCAGACTCCGGAAATTGCTGATAAGACCCAACTTCCATGTTGGATGCGACTGGAAGAGAGCTTAAGTCGGCCGGCTTGCTGCGAAATAAACCAGGCCGTGGAAGCGTGTAGGTTTTCAAAGAAAGTAGGTGCCAAGTACATGGTCCCATGGTCGTTTGCTGGTTGAATTTCGCTAGAGAGCAATAGACTACACAGCGTCCTGGCGTCAGGTTGTCTGTATTATGAACTTGCTCACGAAGCACCATAATATATCTTGTTCCACTCAGTGCACGGGATTGTTGCCAATGGAGGTGCACATGCAGCTTTGGAACATCGTTATATAGAGCCGGGTATGATAGACGGGTACTTGATTCTGAACAAATGGGCGCCCCCCCCCCCCCCCCCCCCCCCCCCCAAAAAAAAAAATTTTTCGGGAGCACCATCCTCTTCCACCCATCAGCGAAGCGAATGCCGAAGACATACTATCAGTATTCTTGACCAAGGAAGCCGCTCCAGGTGTAGACCTGAGCTTGAGAGCGGATCACAAAGATCCTGTTAACATCCCCCGCTCTTCCTCCTGATTCGAAATTTACTCGAGAAGTACAAGTTATCCCACCGCATTTGAAAAGCTGCGTACGGAGTGTGGAGTAGTTAGCGCGAACTGGCCTCCATGCATCAAATTGTCGGGTATCCAAATCTATCCGACCACATCAAGTATGATACTCCCACCTGGGTGCAGGCCTCGGTTCTTCTGTTCGGAGTACATAGTTACTTGGAAAGGCCCTGATAGAAGCGACGCTGCCACGCCACGCGATGAAGAGAAATGAACCTGCTTCCCCGCAGCCAAGGGTTGGCGGCGATGTACGGAGTATGGAGTAGTCTTTAGACCCATATTCCCAACCCCAGGATTAAATGGACACCCACGGCTCCAAAATAAGATGAGCGGAGACGCTTCAGAGCTAAACTCAAATTGAACCATCGAAGCGCCAGCGAAGTTGGGAAAGCAAGGTGTGACTGCGATGCGAAATTTGCTCGAGACGCCGATCAGGCCGAAATGGGTCCCACCACAGCGTGGGACCGCAGCCGCTCGTGTTCGAAATTATTTGAAAGGCTCGTCTTCATCACGCAATAATAAGCATATGCAATTGATGCATGCATAAAGCATGGCAATTCTTTGTTAGAGAGAGACATATACCATTTACATATGATTTTACCCTCCGCATCATTTGCATCTTGGCTGCCTGCTTGTCACCAGATATAGATGCCATGAAGTGTGCTCCTTTAGCTCCCTGCTTAGTCAACAGGCGGATTCATCTCTCTGGTCACGTGGCAACGCCCCTTGAGCGGCATCAGCGAGAATGTACTCCTTATGGAGAAGTCCGTCTAGAGCTATCGAGTCTAGTCTCAGCCCAGAAGCGTGCACGAGCGAATTACGTGAATGATGCTTTGGCGATTCGAAACCAAGTTCCGCTAGCTCTAAAGGGAAATTGATAGATTTCAACCTTTTACGAGGTTCCCAAGATACTGTGAATTCTATTCGTGGGCCGGATTTCAAAGCGCCAACACACTGTCTGCTAGCTGTTTCTTGCTGTCGCAAATCTTGTGGAATGTCTCCCCGGGGAATTGCGTTTATCCTCGGGGCTGGGCCTCGCATTGGACGGAGTGTCGCCTCTAACCTTCTGGACAACGGCTACTCTGTTGCCCTGGGAAGCCGGGCACCAGACTCGTCTGCACAAGTCTCTGGAAATGGGAGGGCAGTCACGGTTTCTGTTGATGCATCCAATATTCAATCAGTACAAGATGGCTTCGCCCAAGTGAAACGGGAGATCGGAACACCAAATGTTGTCATATATAATGGTAGCTCCCTCCACCAATACATGACATATTCGAATGATTTATTGCACGAGAAACAAGCTGACACATCGACTGACTGGAACATCCAAAGTTAGCGCATATACTCCCGCTGATTCAAAAGACCCTTTTGCCTCAATAACGCCTGAAGTCCTAGAGCGTGATAATGCTGCCAACATCACGGGAGCCTATACAGCTCTTCGCGAAGCTGTGTTAGGATTCAAGTCCCTCTCGCTAACTGATTCCGACACTGTGGGAGATGGTAAAACCCTGCCAAAGGTTTTCATAGCTACGGGAAACGTGACCCCATTCCGGCCCATTCCCGCATCCTTGCCGGCAGGGATAGGGAAGAGCGCCATTGTACATATGATCCAGATCGCAGCAAAATCATATAGCGATGATGGTTTCAGGTATGAGCTGCACACACACACTGTACATGATGGATACATATGATAACTGTCATGGTGACAGATTCTACTATGCATCCCAAGTCTCGCCAAAAGGTGGGCCGGTCCGCCAAGTAGATGCTGGTGCACATGGGGCGGTCTTCTGGGACTTGATAAATAGACAAACCCAAGGGAACTGGGATGTGAGGTTCCTCGCTGATGGGAGCGAAGTGATATCTAGCGGTTGACACCCACCCTTACTTGATGTAATTATCTCTGCTCTCGTACACCCATCCTGCGTGCTCCGTTAACATGCATGTACGGTAGATAAAGTTTTCCTGATGTGTACGGAGTACTCCAGAGCCTTCCTTTCAGGATCTTGTGCCACCTTACCATATCGAGCTAGCCCCTCCATCCCACCAATTCCCCAGTGACATGATTATATAATCCTGATGAGCGAAAGACGAGAAGCAAGTCGTGCGCTTCGACATTGCGACGGGAATCCTCGTTGACCAGCTCACTCTCGTCTCCTCGCTCTCCCGTCCGTTCGAGTCATCCGCATCGTCCACATTGTCCCCAGGCCGTCATCTGCGAAGTGCATTGGACCATCAGCACTCCACAAGCCCGTAAGTTTTCCTGCTATACCCTCCTCAATCTTCTGCTTTGTGAATTGTTGCCAAATTCGAGATCATTTCAAGGCCCTGGTCGCGTTTCCGAATGAATTTTCCGATGGAAAATGCTTTGCCGGTGTCTGTGGCAACGGATATGGATGGTCATCCGTGAACGTGCCCGTCGCTGAGCATGGGGATGCACCCGCCACGATGCCAGTCTCCGCAAGCCCATTCTTGTCACCTTCTCTTGAATTTTGGGAACACTTTTTGGATATTTGTTTAAAACTGCTTTGTCTGTTGACGAGGGAAGTTTCATTGACATTTGAGTTTGCATACCATAGGCAGCCTTCCGCTTACTCCACTGAACGCCTCACATATGCTCCCTCCTTCCTTCAAACTTGCGCGCATAATATACTTCGGCAAACGCAAACATTCGCTTTGATTACAGGATCAGTTGTTTGTTTCCGCAATCGGCTAGCTTGCATCTCAGCTTAGAAGATGGATGCCAAAGAAATAGAAGTCAGGTCAAAGGCCCTGACCAAGGCCGCGGGCTCCGCCGAACCTTCCTCGACAATCATTTCAATACTTAAAGACCTTCAGAATGGCGTTCGACCTACCGAGGATCTCCTACGTGCTACCAAGATCGGTATCACCGTCAACAGGTTGAAGACACACAAGCATCCTGACGTTGCCCGGTTAGCTAGCGACATCGTTCACAAGTGGCGTCACGAGGTCAACAAGCAGAAGACGGGTGCATCTCCAGTGGGGAGTCAGCGATCAAGCGATTCTCCTAAACAAACCCCTAACGGCATGGCGACGCAAACTTCCGGAGCTGAAGCGTCGGATAAGATGTCGAAATCCACAGTTCCTCCCGATAAGAGAAGCTGGAAGGCAGATCAGGTCAATACGGCTCACACGCAAAATAAAACCCGCGATAGCTGTATCGGCTTACTATACGATGGCCTGTGCTTGAACTCAACCGAATCACCCCGTACGGTCCTTCAAAAGTCTATTGAGGTTGAAGCGGCCGCATATAGTGTATTTGGCCCTGAAACTAAAGAGCAATATCGTACCAAAATTCGCAGCCTATACCAGAATCTTAGAAACAAATCTAACCCGGCCCTTCGTGTGCGTGTCCTCAGCAACGAAATCGCGCCTGATAAGTTTGTCCGCATGACGCATGATGAGTTGAAATCCGATGAGCGACGGGAAGAAGATCGCAAAATCGAAAAAGAAAACATGGACAAGGCTATGGTTGCCAAGGCCGAGCGAAGCATCAGTAAAAGTTTACAATGCGGAAAATGCGGTCAGCGCAAAGTCACGTATACCGAAGCACAGACGAGAAGTGCTGATGAGCCGATGACTTTGTTCTGCACATGCCTTGCTTGCGGTAAGTCCTGGCGTCAGTAAGAAAGGAGGAAAGGGGGCGCTGTTGCGGACTATTGATAAACTTCTCTTCAACTTTCGAGATTCTTACTGTATCCTGATATGGGTTCTACAAGGTATTTCTGGGCGCTGTTGCGATCCTAATTTCTCTAATTTGGACGATTGTTTTACTATCGGGAAGTGGCCTTTTTTTATCATGGATGGCGTCTTGCGTTTCACTCGGCGGTGCTCTCCTGTATTTTCCTTTTCCTTTTTTTTCCTTGTTGTTCTTTGACCCTCAAGCCCCGAACTGTCTCTATGCTGACAGCCCCCTTTTGCCCCTTCTCTTCGACCCAACTTTTCCTGGCAGGGTACTTCGTACAGCTTGTTCTATTAGATTAGATTTACAGGCCATAATTAACTCTATCGGGCGCTGATTAAAATTTGATCTGGTTACCTGGCCATACTCCTGTTCCCGATCACCCTTTCAGCAAATGATTTCGTGTAGGAGGGGGAAAAAAGGAAGAAGAAAAGAGGAGGAAATAAAGAAAGAGAAGAAAAGAAAATCTACCGAATGCTCGAAATAGTAGATAACTATAGACTATTTTAACCAGTCTAGTCAATCCATTGCAACAATGACAAGGTGGGCTTAGGTCTGTTTATGTGCCTAGGGTTGGAGCTTCAATGGATCGCAAGTTGATCCCAATTGGGACTTGAAATCTATGCTTGCTTAATTTTGGAGAGATGTCATTCTGCTTTTCGTAAATAATCAGACAGATGGAGCGGAATTTGAAGCTTAGGAGAGATATTATTATGAGAGCAAACGCAGGCTGATCAAACACATATCCCATGTATGTACAGCTCACATAATCTAGAGAGTGAAGGCGTAACTCATGTCCTCTAAAAAGCCAACGACGCAATCTTCGCAGCGCAAAATAATGGCAATCGCCAAGTTAGGGGGTATACCTGGACCTCTATGCTGGTATAAAGGTCACCAAAAAAGGAGCAAAGAAAAAAGACATCATATTTCGTCACTATGTGATCATGACTCGAAATGGTTGCAGACGATCCTGCGGCGAATAAAGCAAGTTGCAACCGTAGGTCTCATTGGAGGAAGCTAGCCGATGAGAGGTTGAATTTGCGAAGTCGCGTGTGGTCCCGCTAAGTTCTCACACACATGGACCCCGGGTCTCTGGGGTCTCGGGATTCGTGCTCCGGCAGTACATCCATCCTGCCAGTGCCCTGGTCGGATGGGGGATGGAACGGCAGCCGGGCCCATAATCGATCTATAGAGGCATATATAACCCCAAAAATACTTTTATCCTGAAGAGCAGACGGGCTCTTCATTCAACCAACTTTTCTTTCTTTAGAATCAGCATTACCAGTAGCCTCCTTCTCATCACGGAAAGTATCCGGAAAAAAACCGGGTGGCGGCCAAATATCTGCTATGGACGCCGGGCGAAGTAAGGGATTCGTTGCCGCAACACGATCTGGGTCACGACAGAACGCTTGGAATGCGATCTCATCCGCAAAACCAAAGTCTTTGAGCCCCTGTTCGCGTCGAGTAGTCCACTCATTCGTGTCAAGGTGAGCAAAGTCGTCAAATATCGAGTCTAGGTCATTGATGGGAAGGTGTTGCTTTGGTGGCAGCTGCGAATTGGATTCAGATGTTTTTGAAATGGCTTGCGGTGGAGTTGAAGCTGGAGTCGCCGGTTGTAATTGAGTGGAGAATTGATCGGAGACCGTTGAGAGGTCTGCGGTCTCACCGCTAGAAAAATGCGATTCATATGGAGTCAGAAGATTATTTCCAAGCAATTCTGCATGGATTGCACCATTCAATTGTCCTTCGGGTCCGTCCATATTAGATTCTCGTGGTGAAAGATCGGTGATAGCAGTAATACCGGCTGCACCGTTGTTGGCACGCTCTGAACCGAGCCCCAACCCAAAGGCAGAGAGAGTGCTGTGATTCAAAGACTGGTTCGAATCATCTTGCGGCGACGAAACCATGCGAGATAGTGGATCCAGATCATCATTGGCTGAGGCATGGTAGTTGTTAGATATCCCTTTCGAATTCATGAAATCGGCCACTGTCAAGGATTGTGCTGGTTGGTTACCATAAGAAGTCTTGCCGCGGGGTCTTCGGTTACTGATTTCTTCGGAGAAAGATGTCATTACCGGCCAAATACCTCCAACCTTGGAAACTTCGTGGGATGTTGAATCAAGCCACAGTGAAAGCTGGAACTCATCTTGTTCAGCAGCCGCACCACCGAAGCGAATGCAGTCGGTAATTGTGCGCAGGAAACACTCGAAAAGTGGTGGGAAAGTGAACTGGCCAAAGACTTCGCTATGTCCCGAAAGAAGACCAGGGGTCAGCCGGAGTAACCTTTTTATGGGAGAGAATAGAGCTTGCACATGGGATGAAAAGCGAGCGTAAAAAATGCTGAGCGTTGCGATATGGGTAAGAGCCAGGTAGATCTGATGTGGAAGCAGCGCCATTGCATTTCCCAGGGCAGCATCGTTGCAGAGAGTAGCGAGTCGACAGGCCGGGGGTAATTTATTCTCCCAAGCCTGCATATCTTTAATGATAGTCTGACAGAACCACTGGGCATCAAAGCTGTAAGGCTCATGTCGTGATATACGATTCAAGAAGCTCGCAAGCTCCACCAGCCGGTTAAAACAGCTTCGGGCAAGGAGTGGTCCGCGGCCAGGAAGAGTAGGGCCCTGGACTGGACCATTCGGGTAGAATACTTCCATCCACGGGTTCCATTCTTCCAGTCCATCTTCTTCAAGGGGGCCGACAGGAATCAAATCTTCGGGGCGCATATGCGGGCAACGTCCAAGGCGAACGGCAAGGATGGCATCGACAACGAAGCATCCAAGGAAGATGGCATTGTTCTGGTTGTTGCCTGGATGTTGTCGGCGATCGGTCTTCCGCCCAAGCCCAAGATGCAACACTAAGCTAGTAGCTTGATTGCTCAAGAGCCAGGCGGCAGTCCAATCTTCCAGTCCAATATTCACCAGAGTCAACAGGAGCAATGCCTGAACGTGGCCGATCTCGAAATTTTCTTTTTCACTCGGTATAAGACTCCTGGCGACTGCGTAGAACTCCTTCGCCGCAGAAAGAGGATCAGCGAATCCCAACTGTTGTTGTATATCGGATGAAGGCTTTAGCTGCGCTGTGGTGTAGCTAAGGATTGCCCACAGCGCCGCATGGTCACCGGACTCTGCAGACTTCCTGGCGAGGGAGAGAGGCTCATTTGAATAGGAGTAGGAGGTCCGCAGAACGCTGTGCTTAGCTATGATCGGGAACCAGCTGTGGGTATGGGAAAAGTAAAGGTCAAGAAGGCGTGGTGTCTGGACGGGAAGCCGTAATTGATAGTGACTAGGGTTGGCGGATGGAGCGTGCGAGAGCTTGATCTTTTTCGACCGGGGCCCGATGGACGATTCGGATTCGATGTTGTTTGACTTGGAGAGTGCTGAGTCTCGACTGATGCGATATTCGAAACCGTCGCTGGAACCAGTGTGAGATTCTGTTCGCTCGAGTGACTGGCCTCGATTTTCGCTGGCCTCTCGCGACGAAAGCACACTTTCGATATCACCAGCGGACAGCAGCTTCTCGAGTTCCCGGTAAAGGGCGGTGGACTTCCACGAGTCATGCAGCTTTTCAGAGACAGATTCGTTCAGCCACAGAGAGATAAGCTTCCTCCGCTTGGTAGAAGAGGGCTCGTCGTTTGCTCCCAGCAGTCCCAGGACGCTCTCTTCGAAGCCGTCAATGTTAGATATTGAGAGTGCCCAGAGCTTTTCCAGTCCCCGAACATAACCTTCAGGAAGTCCGCGCTTCTTGGCAGAGGGATCATAGGAGCAGACACTGCCAGAATTCTGACAAGCCAGGCATGTCGGTCGAGTTCCATCACAACGATCCTTTTTGCTTCGACATCTATCACAGGCCCTGGACACGCGCTTCCGTCTCCGACCTACTTGTTCCTGTGCGTCCTCCATTGCAGTCTGGTTGTGTTGCCTAGACTCAAACTCGATGACATTGATGCCACCGATCCTCACGTTTCAGATTCAAAGCCCGAGATATTATTTGCTGCGCAGTGGACAAGAACGTCATTAATCCCGTAGTGGCAAGGAGGCAGGATCAAAATAACACCATTATCAAAAAAAGCCGCTTGAAAAGATTCTAGTTGCTCTGGATTTGCGGAGGCATTCCACCGTCTGTCTTTCTAGAAATCCAGGAAGCAGAAATCGAGCCAAAAGAAAAGAAGCAGTGGAGGGCACCACATGCTATGTATATAGCCCACTAAAATCTCTGCGATCTGGAGCAGCATGGGGACTTCAAGGAGAAAATATGGAGAGCGGAATGAGGGGAAAGTTCGGGAGGAAGTTGAACGGCTCCCATTGTCGGGTTGGAAACTCAACCACTGTTAGAAGCTGTGCTCCGAGAAAACTTTAGTCTCCCCGTTCCTTGGGATTTTGAGCGCAGCTGCTCCATAATTGTGGCGGCAACAAGCTCAAGAATCGCTGGGAGGAGCCCACCCGTCTCCGAAATTCGCACACCCCGAAATCCCCCAAGCATTACTCAATCGTTTGTCAGTCTGCTTTGTGCCAGCGCTAACTAAGGAAGTTTATTAGGTCTTTCCGGAGCCCAGGTCTCACATACCGTCTCTTGAAACCAAGACCTGCCACCGTCATCCTTTGAGCCTGCCTGGCTTGGATTTGGGGGGGCTACGCAAGACTTCCATCGAAAGGGCCTTTCTCAAGAGACCTTCGGTGATGGCAGCCGAAATCTGTGTGGCTACTACTGGGCTCTGCTCCAGGCGGGAAGAACGGGTTAAAGAGCTACACCTTTTCGGCCGCAGATGCAACGGCGAGAATACATATGTTTGCCGCAGGGCGGGCAAAAGCGACAGCTGATCCCGCGACTCGATTGGATATCGGAGCAGCTAACTACGTGACAGAAAGGCTTTCTTCGGGAAATTTCACAGCGCGTATCACTGCAACCTGCCGCCCAAGCCGTCACCAGTTCTGGTTTTCGACATGAAATTCTCAGAAACTGAGACGAAGCATTTTCTTTAGTCTGGCTAGTAGCGCCAGCAGCAAAAAATGTTGAGGCCGATATCCCGAGAAAATGCGGATAAGGGCAGGCCTGGAATTGTTCTCGAAAACCTTGACCCTCAAGGTTTCCGACTTTCGGCTCCAACCAGCCATTAGTGACTCCGTACGGGAGGGTTTAATGAAATGCCTTTTGCTAAAGTCGGATCGACCACAGATCTGCATGGTATGCTCAACTTCCAAGTTGTACAAAAGCGCCATTTCTAGAGTAGAACGTCTCCAATTGAAATCGGCGTTTACATATACTGTAAGTTCGGGCATGGAAAGGCGGCCCCAAGGGACCTAGTCCTTTCAAGCAAACTCCTTCCAGTACAATGGAACCTGATCATCACGCTACCGCTCTCTCGACAGAAGTAGATACATAAAAGGCGCTTATCATGTTTCTGCAAGTGGAGATGGAAAGGGGATTGGTGGCGGGACGGTAGCTTCAATAATACGGAGTACAAAGATAGAGGCTACATAAATATGGCTGCCAATGCTGGATGTAGCGAGTTCGAGTAATAATAATACAAATATGCGTATGAGTGCTTCATAATTTCGTCGCTCGACGTCACCCAGCTAGGTGGCATTTCAGGGCATCCGATGATGGCAACCGGGGCTCCAAGGTTCCGACCGGGATCGGAAGTATCATCCATTCGGAAGCCCAGAAATCCCGTAGCGCTTCCGACAAAACTAACCAAATACGGCCTAACTGAGAAGGTTAACTCGACGGCGCCCCCCACTCGCCTCTCCGACTCTTCCACAATTCCAGCAGCCAGAAGCCAGGACAACAGAAGCCCGAGTCAACCTTGTCACCCCAAGCGATGCCCTCGTATGGCTAGAACGGAACCAAGGCAAGCCGCGCGGGCGATCAGCCACGAACTCCGGAGTACAAATGTGTAATTCGCCACACGTTGGCTCCGGGCGCGTGACAGGCCTTGGGATAACTCTGCTTCGTTGGAGCCGACGTTCATTCGCAGGCTAATCATGACTGGTGCTCTTTGATGCTCGAATGTCATGATCATGCCCGCATAAACTTGAGGTTCTCCATCTCCTTCAAGGCACTCTTTGCAAAGGAAGTAAACATGTGTCTGTAGCCAAAAGACAAACTATTTGCGGGGAGCAAGAGTATGTGTCTTAGCCTTGTGAAAAGAGAAGCACCAGGCTTTCAAGCAATCCCTTTTCAACCTGTGACGAGTGTTAAAAACCAGAGGCGACCAAAGGCTGATGTTGATGCCTTGCATATTTCACTTATATATGTCTGCAAGGGCATAGATGCGAATGCCGTCACGACCTGCCGAGAGGCCTAACTATTAGGAAGAGCACCATTCACCCTTAGTTCACCTACTCGAACTCGGGACGATTTTTTAGCGTCTGCAATACTTAGCTCCTAGGAGGGCTCTCGGTTGCGCGGCTTTTTACTTATCCCGCTTACGTAACTAGGTTAAACGCCACCGGCTGCCAGTCTGAGCTTGATGCAAGACAAAGACGAGATCATCATTTCTGGGCATCATAGATAGATATGCGCCATGTTTGAAGCGAACAGCCCTGTATTCACAAATCGATCCTATGCATCTTAACCCCGCGATGAGACCCCTTCGTATGCACTCTCTACTTTTCCCCTGATCCCGATGTCGGAAGCCCCAGAGATATGGCTCCAACGTCCGGAAAACCAGCCCCTAGCTCTTTGGAAAATGGCCATGGCACCAGCTCAACTTCTGCTGTCCATGACCTCTTAACTATGCTCTCACCAGAGGACCAGGGCAGCAGAAATTTCAGACCCAATGCATCCCTAGTTTTGGTTGGTATCCGGGGTAGCGGAAAACGCTCTCTTGGTTTCATAGCTGCAACGGCTTTGAATTGGCGGTTTATCACCGAGGACCATTACTTCAAAGAGATTATTGGATGTTCACGCTCTGAGTTTCTGCAGAAAGCTGGGAGGCGGGAGTTCCACCGCAAGGACGTGGAGGTATTGAAGTTGATGCTGGATAACCATCGGGCCAAATGCGTGATTGAATGCGGATTGGGGAGCCTTACGCAGTCTTTCCAGCAGTATCTTCAGCAATATGCACGGACCAATCCAGTTGTTTACCTGCTGCGGGATATGGACCAGATCCAGAGGCTTTTGAACTTGGAGGATAGCGCGGTGCAATTACTGCAGAGCACCGATCCGTCGCACCGAAGTGGCTCAAATCTAGAATTCTACAACCTTGAGGATCATTCCAGTGATTCACATGGCCAAGACGATGCAAGTGATCGAAGATGCGCCTCTTACTCGTTTAAGTTGAAAGAGGTTAAAGAAGACTTTACCCATTTTGTCCGCTTTGTTACTGGAGTAGGCATAGCCCTGTCAGGGTTCGATTCCGAGCCGTTTTCGCTTCTAGAGGATAAGATTGAGTCTAGTCTTCATACCCATGCCATCTTTGTGCGTTTATCCAACCTGTTGGATGGCCTAGTTGATCTTTGTGAGCTGGACTCGGGCGGTGAAGCAGTGGAATTCTGCGTTGATGTCTGGCCATCCGACGCAGCTCGTGTAATGAGCAAGTACGTGTCTATGTTACGCCGGAGCGTAGGCGTACCGATTATCTTCTCCGTCGATGTTCGAGCGCTACAGATCAGCAAAAGGTCGCTACCCCTCCCTTTCGAGGAAATATACTTCAAAACTCTCAGCCACGGATTGAGATTGGGCGTTGAGTATTTATCTCTAGACTTGACGCAAAGCGATATCGCAGACAACCCTGCAACATCCAAGCTTCTTCAATTTAAAGGCCGAACGAAGATCATCGGCCATTTCTTTTTGGACTACTCTCACGGCCTTCCCTGGGAAACTGACGACTGTATGCGATTATACAAGAAAGCCGAACTTTTGGGATGTGACGTTGTCCGTATTCTTCAAGTGGCAAAGCATAGGTTGGACAACGATGCTGTCTGCGCCTTGAGAGCAAAAGTTAGAAGTCTTCCGGGCAACCATCCGCCGTTAATAGCGTACAATGTCGGTATCCTGGGACGAACATCCCAAGTCTTCAATCAGATTCTGACTTCGGTGACCCACTCGGCTATAAAGAAGAAGCGCGATGTCGATGGCTATGATCCTCTCATCACATCACGGGATGCTGTTAGGGCGTTGTTTCAAAGCTTCGTTCCCGACCCATTACAATTCTACGTTATTGGCACGAACGTCACGTACAGTCTCTCTCCAGCCATGCATAATGCTGCATTCCATGAATACGGGATGGCTCACACATATAGAATTCCTGAGAGGACCTCGCTAGCCGAGCTGGATCGCCTTGCCATGGATCCTAATTTTGGAGGTGCAAGTATTCTCCAACCATGGAGAGTAAAGGTATTCGAGCTTGTTGCGGCCAAGAGCCGGCATGCAGAGGCTATTGGGGCCGTTAACACAGTGATGCCTCTTCGGGCTGATGCAACGGGATACATTTATCCCCTCAAAGAGCAGGCAAGTCTGAGGAATCGAGCTGGTAGGGTAGCCGGCTGGTACGGAGATAATACCGACTGGATCAGCGTATTTGTTTGTCTACGCAGGAGTCTTTCTCCTCGAAATGCGATTTCATCGAAATCCACAGGGCTCGTCATCGGAGCTGGAGGGCTGGCGCGGGCTGCCATATACGCAATGCTGAATCTGGGTTGTCGTAGTATTTTTATATATAATAGGACTGTCGAAAATGCCGAAACGGTGGCAAGACACTTTAACTCATGGGCATCATCGTCGTCTGAGTCTGGCCAAGTTGTCCGTGTTTTGCCTTCATCGAAGACCCTATGGCCATCTGGCTTTGCGTTCCCTTGCATGATCGTGTCATGCGTGCCCGCAAACACAGTCGGCGGTGATTCCCCCACGGCACTTGAATTGTCAGAGCAGTGGTTGGGCAGTCCAACTGGAGGAGTGGTTCTTGAGGTATGGCTCCAAGTCTTATTTACCATTATGCAGACTTTTAACATTTTATCTAAGATGGCATATAATCCTATCAACACCGATCTGTTGAAGAAGATGCGACGATATCTCAACGAAGCCAAGAAGCCATGGGTTCTTGTCGACGGACTTGAAGTCGTCGCTGAGCAGGGTATTGCCCAATTTGAGTTGCTTACTGGGAGACGAGCGCCTCGCCGGTTGATGAGGCGTGAAGTGCTCCGTAATTATGTTGGCGAGGAGGGCCGGTATGATGAGAAAACCATCAATGCTAGGCTACGTGGAATCAGCCGAGTGGGATACTAAGATACATACGTATCCGTGGATGGATGTGAAGGTGTACACATGCATTCAGAAAGTTATCTGAGGTTCTGATTGATGCTATCATCATGTTAAATTCCTTTCTGTCGATTTTCAATTTCCGTGTGGCATTGAATGGAGTGCAGGTTGGATCTGGGCCATGGTTCTAGAAGGGACAGTACATGATATTTAACTCGGCTATGGAACATGTCGGGCATAATCTTTCCTGTTGAACAACCCAGGAATCAATTTAGGAATCCATTGAGTATTTGATATTTGTCACAAACCATGAAGATTAGGAGGGAATCTGGATTGGAAACGGATAAGAATACACATTTGTCAGCTAAATATACACCTTGGAGGAGTCTTGACTTCAGTCATCTTGATGTCCTTGGTTCTTTTTATACTGCTGGGCAACTCTGATAACAGTTGCGTGGTTGGAATATGGCTGATGAACCACGGGACGATGCGCATGGTGTCCCTAGCTATATACTGGAAAGGCACTTGCGAATCACTATAAATACATTTTTCGTAATGATCAGTTGGCGAACGCCACTCTTCCATACCAATTGTTGACACCATCAGCAGAGTACGCATGGATAATAATGGGAACAGAGCTCTGGCTGAAGGATGCAAGTGCATGGAGGATACAGTATCTTTCTCCCTGGCGGAGAGCACACCGTCCCCCGAAACAGTAATTGGTGTATCTTTGACATGGCATCATTGGTTATTTGTCAGGTTTCTTGACCGAAGAGTTCTTAATGCCTTGAAGTAGCTCGCTCTTTATCTTTCTTATACTTTTTTGACTATATCTATAGCTATAGCTCTTTCACATGTAGTTGCTTTAACCTCTTGACAGCGTATGTCATGAAGGGGGAAAAAAAGGTCATAATCGTGTGAGAACCAAATCTTTTCTTCGGCTGGCAGCTCGAAGTGCTAAGCTGGCCGATGAGTTAGGCGTATCTAGACCCTGGTTGGCCGCCACAGGCGGCGTTGGTTAGCGGCGGCAACTTAATTTACCGAAGTTAAAATGTGTGGTGGTCAAAAGCAACAACATCAACTTGAACCGATCAGAGCTTCACTCAACGACAGGTACGCTGGGGCTAGGGCACGCCAGTTTATAGCTCTTCCGCTTGCTGGGCACTCTATCTTCGTACATCCATCTCATAGTTTATGGATTACTAGTTATAATTTACCCAATCAGTACCCATCTTCCCATGATATTTTGGCCCCTTCGATGTCCAAGGAATACATGCCAGGCATGCTCAGTCACTCACCGTCTCCAGAGAAACATAAAGTTCCCGTGGTGGTAGGGCTGATGGAGGCAAGAACTTCGAAGAAGCGTACACGAGATGACGATGCTGGAGGAGAGAATCATAACAGGAATCTTTTGTAAGCGCCCGCATCCCCCGGAGAGCGCTTTTCACTCTGGCTTCGCGTTGTCGTCCCTTTGAGAGAACTAACAGTATGGGCTCGGAGCAGTATGTCAGATATTTCCAACAGTCACTTCGTAAACCCTCCAACTTGTCGGGGATATTCCATCGAACCGCCCGCACAGTCCATGGTGACCGTTATCTCACCCCCTACAACTACAAAACTCTTCCATGGCTCTCGTATAAATCTCGATATTCGACCCCGTCTACGCCCGGCCGTATGTAAACGTAAACGCACGGGGGAACACAGAGTTCCGGAGCACCTCCCACAGACCCCTTACAACTGCATGTCAGATCCGGGCTCTAAATGCACGCTTTCACACCCTCCATCTCCGCACCGGCCAGAAAGTGTTCAGCAACAACGGCAAAATGCTGACAGGCCTCCTCCCACTCCCGCACCTATATTGACCCCCTGCCATATCTGTTATCGTCGTCCCACCATGCACTTCCAGCTAGATGCGTATGCCGACTGCGAGTTATGCAGGAAAAGAACATGTTATATCTGTCTACGGGAGTGTGATGGACCGGATTGTCGCACAGGTGTTATGGATACATCAAGTGGGTCATGTGAGCGGTCATCTTCAGGACGAAAAATGTGTTCATGGTGCGCTGTAGAGGGAGTGACAGATTCTGGAGTCGACGCTGTATGGTGTGTGGATTGTGTGCAGCGTGGAGAGGCACGGTGTCAAGATGATGCATGGATGGGTGGCTGATGTTTAAATGGTTCTCCCTTTTCACTTTTCTGCTACAAGAAGCGGCGGCCTTTTATCGGGCTGAGGACTTATCAACTGCTTGATGTGAAAATAAAAAAACGCCTTGTGATACCAAGGATAGCATTTCTTCCTCTTTGCATATCTCATCTGGGTTACTCTCAATATTTTTCCCTTTCCTTTTTTTTTTTTTTGGGCGGTTATCAGGGCAAGTCTGAAAATGGCGTTTTAGCGATTCAGCATCTGAGCCTATTCTTTTCTCTTTTCATACGCAGGCATTAGGGATGTATTAATTATGACAGCAACATCTCTGTTTATCTTGATGGAGCTACAAAGATTGATTTGTTCTTAAATGGACTGGATTATTGCTTTGGATATCCTTAACAGACCCTAAAATCGACATTTTATCAACAGGTGGAAGAGTGCCAACGCTATACTGTATGCAATTGCAACGAAGAAAAAGACATCTATGCAGGATATATCAAACGAACACAAAACTGCCGAACGGGGTCTCATCGTCCAAATCTGAACTCGGCCTTTGCAAACCTCCACAAACCCTGCAGAAACCTCTGGTACTCCACGGCTTCCCCGCTATCACCCATGATACTACTGCTATTGTCACCGGTGCAAAATATCTCCGTCAATCGAATCTGCCATGGCGGATAGCCATCCAGTCTGACATATGGGCCAAAGATAAGTAGTAGGTCTGGCTCGGCTTTCATCACTGGGCCATTCGACAGCTGGTCCCTTTCCACGGTGGTCTCATCGGTATCGCTGGACTCGGGTTCTGCACCTTCAGGGGGAGGAGAGGTGGGCGTGGTCAACATGTCGGAGAGTTCTGCGTCGATCAGCTTCGTGCTGATGTCCTGGGGTGAGATCTTGCCGTTCTGCGCCATTTCTGCGAGGGTCTTGGTGAGGTCCACGAGTGTTTCGCGGCCGTCGGTAGAGGAGAGGAGGAGAACGGTTACAGTGTCTGGATTGGTCTTAGGAGCAGAGTGAGTGGACGCTGGAGGGGGAATGTAGAGCGGATGATGGGGTGCGAAGAGACGGAGGGTTGGCTGCTGGGGAGCAGGACCGTAGTAGGAGGCCAGTTTGGCAGTGACAATCTTATGGAGGGCGGGAATGTAAGACTTTAATACGCCTGTAGTCCAGTGGTCAGCGAAGCATTTTCAATCCATATATAGTGACCCAGGGCATACCGGTCTTCTCATAGACACTCAGCGTCGGGATACCAACGCAGCTGCTCCAGGCGACCAACTCGGCAACCTCGTCCATCAATACCTCCAGTCCTTCGTCATCCTTTCTCATGGTCAACACTATACTCAGATGTTCCGGCAACCTTCCCAGATCCCTGACATCCTTTCGAATCAACTCCGGCGTGCGATGGTGGTAGTAGCAAATCGCCAGCACCCGGTCCACCACCGCATGGTAGCTCTGTCGCAGACGGATATAGATACTGAAAAATATGTGTATAAGGAAATATATGAGGAAGTAGAGCTTGTTTTTGAGGAATGTGCGGATCGGTTTGGGTCTGGCCTTGCGGGATCGGCTGCGTGCTGAGCTGATTCGCGGCTCTGGAAGGTATGGCTTTAGGAGCCGCTCACGCTCGGCCGGGGAGAGACGGGAAGAATGAACACGAGCATCGGGCCGTGGAGGCCCAGGTTCTTTGAAAATTGCCATCGAAAGAGTAAATTAGGAGGAGGAAGCCGGGATCTCAAGGGCAACGAGGCATGAAAAATACAGCCTTTTACCAATGTCGCTAAACTCATGTGAAAAACGCCCGAGGATCGTATGTGAGTATTCCGTAGTTCAAGGCCGTTCCGAAGCATCCAAGAGAGCACCGGTTGTGGCTCAGGTGCCAGCTTGCGAAATGGCCATGTTTGGGTTACGTGGTTTGGTCAGGATGATTTTTCTTTGCTGGAATGTTTGCAACTGCGTCATCACAGACCATCAGCAGCCCCTTTTAAGTAGTTAAACAGAGCAGAAAAGTTTAAGGATGAGAGGTCCTATCTGATGAGTTGGAAGATAGAGTAACAGGAATTTGACGGCCATTGGCACTGGCGATGCAATCTACAAAATATGTCCAGTGCTGGGTTACACACTGTGCTGAAGACAGCAAAACGCCTGGCGACAGTGCTGTGCCCTGCTGCTCGCCGTGAAGCTCTCCAGGCTGAGCAAAAAGGAAATATTTTGTTGCGGACAGGCACCGTGCGTGGCAATAACTAAAACTCTCAAGCTAAGCTGGCAGCTGGCAACGCGGGCAGCCCAAACACAAATGAAGCGCCAACACCAATTGGCCGTCGCATGACGGTTCGAAATGTCCCATGTCAACATCGCGCATCTCGAGTCATGACAGCAGCAGACCGGAGACTAAAAATAGAAGAACATCGGATGCAAAGGTGATGTGCCTCTTCTTACCAGATTGCTTCACAGACCCCCTGATGTCGACATCCGCCATCGCCCGCTGTTATCATGCCGGACACTACCCTTAATTCCCAAACCGCCCGGCCGACAGCACGCAGATCCATCTTTGACAAAGGACCAACTTTCTCCCTCGAAACTTTCTCCAATCGCGATTTCATTGTAAAGGACTTTATCGAGTCGCTCTCCGACAGCGCCATCTCCTCCACCCAACGTCGCTCTGGCGCCATCGGAAACCAAGCCTTCGATCCTAAACCGCTGATTCGCACTTTCGAACACGCCCAACGTCGCCTTGTCGACCTATCTGGAGACCTCGAGCTTCGTGAGAATGAGCTCTCGGCGGCTGTCCGGAGAGCAGAAGCTCAACATTCTCAGAACGTGACCACTCTGGGCCGCAAGCTCAACCAGGCGATCGAGTCCTTCCAGAAACTGGACTCGTCGTTGAACGGACCCCGCGCCATTGGTAGTGAACTGTCCGGTAGTGGGAATGTTGCCGTCGAGACGGGTCGGAAGCTGGAAGAGCTTGACCGACAGAGACGGAGAGCTCTAGATGCGCATTTCCTCATTGAATGCTGGGACGAAGTTAGCAATCGCGGTGAAGTGACGCTCCTCGAAAACATGAGAAGAACGGGAGGCGGCGAGGGAATGGTCAGGTCCGCACATATCGCCCGGCAATTGCTGCGAATCAGCCAGAGGCTGGATCCTCTGAGCTGGAGTGAGACCAACGGGAACGTAGAGGTTCGGCCTAACGGCCAGAAGAAAACGAATACAAGAGAGCTGATAGAGAAATTCTCCGAGACGCTTGAAAAGGATCTCCTGAAACAGTTTGATGATTTCTACCGGAGGGCTAATTTCGACGGGATGAGAGAATGCGCAAAGGTCCTGCATGATTTCAATGGTGGTGCCAGCGTCATTGGCCTCTTCGTTAATCAGCACCAGTTCTTTATTGACCGGAGCCAGTTAATCACTGATGAAGCCGTCGGTGACCCTGAGACATGGGAGCGTCTGGCAGATCCTGACGCTGAACCTCCAGGCGTGGAGCCCAGTCTTCAGTCCCTGGTCGACGAGGTTAAAGTGGTGGTGCAAGAAGAATCGGGGATTATAAAACGAACATTTCCATTTTATGAACAGGTGCTTGGGACATTTGTACAGAGAGTGTTCCAGCAGTCTATACAGCAGCAGCTTGAATTGGTACTGGACAAGGCTAATAGTGTTTCCTCATTGGCGTTTTTGAGATCTCTACAGACAGCAAGGGCTTATATTAGCAGCTTAGTAGATGACTTGAAAGCTCATGGGTTAACCGAACACCCAGACACAATTTCCTCCCAGACAGCAATGGTTCTAGACCAGCAGCTTGAAGACCTTTTTATCCCTTATCTTACAGGGTATAGTGAACGGGAAAAGGGGAACTTGGGAGAGCAGTACACCTCGCTCTTGTTCAAGTTTGCCACTTTCCATGCGCGCCGCAAGAAGACCCCAACTACCTTTATATCCTCCCTCGCTAAATCCGGCAGCGAACTGCTAGCTTCCGCTCGGGAGGCATACATGAACCGGCTTGATTCGTCTGACTTTACGCCGACTCAAAGGAAGATGTTGCTTCGTGTCGCTGGTCTGAAGGATGTCGATGACCAGAAGCAAGTTGAAATCGAGCTCACGGACGAAGATGGCCAACTGAGTGTTGAATTCACCAAGCGCATGCTCCGATGGCTTGCAGAAGGTGTTGGTCGAGGACTAGAATTGAACGTGGGCAGTGAAACTCCGAAGGATGTTTCGGCTTTGCTGAATATGCTGCTATCCGTGATGGCTGAGGGCTACGTTGATATGGCATTGGATGCGTCCCTGGAATCTGCCGCCGCTCAAGAGTCCGCAAAGTCGGAGCCAGAATTTGGTTATTTGACCACGTTGCGCACGGCAGTTAGCATTGCCCATTTGATAATTACTTGCATAAATACGGTGTTAATGCCGCTGGCCTCTTCGAATATTACGATCCGGAGAGATATGGAGAAGAAAACCAATTTTGCGACGAATCGAATCGAGGAAAAGATCAACGCAATCGAACAGAAAACTGTAGACGTTGCGCTCGCCTGGGTTACACGTGTGCTTTCGGGACAAAAGAGGAATGATTTCCGGCCGAAAGAAGGCGTGACGGAAGCCGGCGCGGGATGGCTGGAGATGCTTCAGACTCCGGTACGTCGGCACTAGTCGAGATATCCGCGTTCATTACACATATATGCGAATGAGTATGATACTGACCATATGTTTTAGACCTGTGCCTCTATATCTGGCTTCCTCACCCGACTTCACAGCGTTGCTCTTAACTCTCTCCCCAGCAGCGGTTCTAACGTCAAAACTTTCCTTACAGAAATCGCGTTAGGAACTCGTGCGCTCCTACTAGAGCATTTCAAAAAATTCCCTGTTAACGGCCCAGGCGGTCTCATGGTCACTAAGGACATGACCCGCTATACAGAGCTACTTCGATCCTGGGACATTGACGAAGGAGTCAAGGGTATTGGCGGCGCTCTTGATGTGTTGCTAGAAGTGGGCAGTCTGTTCGTTGTTGGGCCCGAAGCTTTGAGAGAAAGAATTCGTGCCGGAACCACCGGTGGCTCTGGCGGAGGGGGTGGTGGCGGCACGAATACCTCTCAGGGCAAGTCAAACGTCGCTTTGAGCGTCCAGGAAGTTCGTGCCTATGTCCTGCGCCGCGAAGACTCGGGGACTGTTGGCATGCAAAGCGTTCTCAACTCCCTATGACAAGTGAAGCTTGCTTCTGTTGATGGCTAACCTTTTATGCGCCAGGAGATGGACATTTTCCCTCGTGGCACACATTCAATCATTCCTCTTTATTCGATTGCTGTTTCACATATGTTTATAGTGTTGCACATAATGGTAATTTTTTACTGCAAGCATCTGTGGTTTCCCAATTTATGCTGTTGATACTTGATAGTTTCCGCTAAAACTATGAGACACAGGCGCGATGTTTGTACACTACTGGATGAAGACACCGCAATGATGAATTTTTCTTTTTAATACTCACCTCTTCTCGTTCCTTTCCAGGTGTGCTCCTTGCTCCATGATATCTGGATTTAGATTTAGCAGGCCTAAAGGTTATCACTGTAGCCTTTGGGCTAAGGGTTTCCTTTTGTTTGGGTCGCCTGGTCTCCATGGCCCAAGCTCTGCCACAATCGGGCTTCGTGATAGGCCCTGCCTCATGCTACAGGACAGTTCTGTGGGGTGTGTGTGTGTGTGTGTGCCCAAGTCACAATTATCATGCCTATTATCCTAGAGGATATTAATCTAGGGAGGGTCTGATAGAGGGTGTTCCACACTCCTATATGATACTCGGATGCTCAACAATAGCTTTCCTGGGCATGATAAGGTTGGAGATGGGTCCTTTCTATCAATGAGGATATTTGATATGATGTACGAAGACGTGCAGTCGACCCTCCTCAGGGCAACTACCACATAATGCTCAGCACCTGTTTATTTAAACTAGTACAGAGTACGGAGTACCTAGCATGTAGTGTGCATACAAGCTGGCAGTTTAAACCGTATTACATATCTTTTAACTAAACAGCTCGGTAATGGGGGAAGTACGGGGTATCATAAGAACTCAGGTTTTAGAGATTCGTGGCGGACTTTCATGGTTGTGGAGTACAAAGAAATTTATTACTCCAAGCTCTTTTGCATTTGTGTGATTCATCTTCGACAGGACCAATTTCAATAAATATTATCAAATGCTTGTTGTTGTGCCTCATGCCTGACCCATGGTTCAAATTGGATGCCCTCTGGCACAGCATTATGCACTGAAGTGTCAGAAGAGAAAGCATCTATGTTGGGTTGCAAACGACTGGAGCGGCGCGGCGTGGCGAAGATACGCGTTTGTGAGCCATCCGACCACCATCTTTCTGGGCAACGTCGTTTGTTTCCTTTGTTATTTTTTTGGCGCGTGGTTATGCTTTTAGTGGCAACTGTACGCAGTAGATCCTCCAACTACACGTCCCGGAGGATGAAGGCCGACATTCATTCACAGTTATACACAACCCTTTGTGTCATCACTTCTTTTTCACCTGTTCCATCCACCTTCTGGTCATCATTCCTGGCAATCTTCAGTGTTACCATTCGCTAGCTATAGGCCCTGAGTATCCCGCAGGGGCTGCCCAGCAGGTTCTCCCTACATGGCGGGCCTCTCGAAAGCCGCCGGTGCCCGCCATGTCACCCTCAGTCTCCTCCCTCCTGAAATGCACCTTGAGATTGCCTCATGGCTAAGCACGCCCGACTTAAGCTCTCTTTCGCGAACAGCATCCTTTTTTCACGATATACTCACACCAACGCTCTATCGTAGAGCTCTTGCATATAAGGTGCCAAAGACGGGTTCGTCCGTTTTGTACTGGGCTACCTGTTTTCGGCGAGCGTCTGTAATCAGAATCCTGTTGGAGATTGGGTCGGATACCTTCGAAGAATACGATGTTAAAGAAGCTCTAGAAAGTGCCGCCGAGTGGGGTTATCTGGATGTTGTTGAAAATTTTCTGACCAGACCCTCCACATTGTCGGCTTCTGAAAATGGACACTTTGCTTTTTATTTGGCCCTTACTGGCGGCCACATGCCAGTGGCCCGGTACTTGTGCAATGCCGGAGCCGACCTTAGAAAACTCTACTGTGAGGAACTGTACGTTCTTCACGAAGTCGCGAGAAATGCCGATATGGAAGCCCTTCGCTTTGTACTCGATATTGGAGTGGAAATTGGGGAAGTCAATAATCTCAACCAGACTGCACTGCATATTGCCGCCGGAATAGGTCATTATCAAATGGTTCAATTTCTGCTTGAAAAAGGGGCAGATGTATCTGCAATAGACTCATTTGGTTTCACGACGCTATTCCATGCCGCATCCGTTGACCGCAGATTCAAAGCACCCCAACCCGACTCTCTTACGGAACGCGCAGCAATTATCAAGCTACTTGTTGCCTGTGGGGTCAATATGTCTGCTTCCGACGCTAATGACCTGACCGTGCTGCATTATGTCTGTGAATTTGGTTGGACCGACATGACACAAATATTAATCAAAGCTGGAGCTGATGTCAGCCTTCGATCGGGCGCATCCAGAGTAACGCCACTCCATTGTGCGGTCGAAGGCAACCAAGTTGATATCGTCACAGAGCTCTTGTCTGCTCATGCCAATCCAAATGTGGCCAATGATCTGGGTCGCATTCCCTTGCATTTGGCAGTCAACGGGGACAATATTGCGATAGCCGATTTACTTCTAAGTGTTTCAGACACTACGTATATGGATAAACACGGCTGGTCGACCCTCCACCATGCTGCGGTATCCGGAAATGTCAGGGTTATCGATGCCTTGTTAAAGAAAGGGGACGTGATATCACTGCCTAACGGGTCTGATGATGAGTTTACCTTGCATAAATTGGTTAGATCCCGTCGTGTGGATCTAGTCGAGGCTTTTCTGGAGGCCGGAGCGGATATGACATTGGAGGAAGTCCAGAACTTGACAGCTTTCGATGTTGCCATCGAAACAGGTCAAGCCTCGGTGGTCGACTTATTTCTCTACTATGGTTATGACCCGAGCGATATTGATGGCTTTTCCCTACCGCTCCATCGTGCGGTTTCAAAGGGCGACGAGGCTATTGTATCCTTGCTTATTGATTCAGGGGCAGATGTCCACAGCGTCAACACGAGAGGAATGTCAGCTCTGCACCTCGCATGTATTGACGGGTATGAAGACATCGTGGACACGTTGATGGAGTGGGATGCTGATCCTGATCTTGAGGATGAAGACGGATGGTCCCCGCTCATGCATGCTCTACATAACGGCTATATAAACATTGCGGAGCTTATGATAGGTGAACTAGACGATTCGATATTGATCTCGCTAATGCAACAGGCGATTGAATTGGATAGCGGGGATAGGATCCTTCAAAGCTTGATTGACCTTAATCCGGTCATAGTCTCGAACCGGGATAGTGATGGCGCAACCCTCCTCCATTTGGCGGCAGCCTGGGATAACGCACCCGCTATTCGTGCTCTTGTCGATGAGGGCGCAGACATTCTCGCTGTGGATAATAAGACGAGGACGCCTTTACACATAGCCGCACTAAGTGCTAGGCCTTCGGCAGTCCAAGCTCTATTAGAGGCCGGGCACGACCCAGATATTAGAGATGGCAAGGGGAAAGCGCCTTTGCACCATGCAGCAGCTGCAAAGTGCCTGCAGTCCGCTATGCTCCTTATCAACCACGGTGCGAATCCTGTCGCACTTGACACTACTGGACTCACACCGCTTCACCGTATTGTTTTAGCCCTGATTTTACACCCCCCAGCAAGTAGTTTCGAAGATGATGATATCCCTGACTTTGTTTGCCGTTTAATGGATGGCTTTCACATAGTCAAGACCCTTATTCAGCATGGTGCCGATCCCCTTGACGTCGGTAACGTCGAATACTCTGCTGTGCAGGCTGCTGAAGTAGGAAGCAATATGGTTCTTGTCGACTTTATCATTCAGGCATATGAAAATGCACAATATTTTCAAATGATTGGAGACGGCGTACCAAAGGAAATGCTAGTTACATGGAAATTGAACGAAGAGGAAGAGGAAGAGGAGGAGGAAGAGGAAGAGGAGGAAGATGAATATTATGAAGACGACAGTTAAAGTCACCAACATTCGATCCTTTTTTTTGGCTGACCAAAGTCGAAATTTCTCCTAGTAGCATTTAAGGCGAGCTTGGCTGCTTTTTGGCTCCTTCATATTTCACTCTTTGGATTCTTCCTTTCCTCGTGTCACGCAAAGTCTTGATAATCGGGCACAATCTCCTTTTAGATTTAGTTGCTTTTTCACTTGACGGCCAGATTTCTTCAGTTCCCTTTCTGATGGTTGTTGCAGATCCTTGTCTCAATCTGATTCCAAGTTGTTGCGTTCAAGAGAAAAGGTCCTTTTTTTTGATACTTTAATCTTCAGGATATCCCTCCTTATTCTAGTTCCGGCCAACTCCTCATTCAAGTTCTGGAGGACCACACTTTTTTTCATTTCTTGGTCAATCATATGTCTCTTTATTTCTCTGCTAATTATTATGTGAAAATCATTTCGGTCTCCCTTCCCACATTGCAAACATTCTTCCACGAAACATTTCTCAACCCCCTAGGAACCGAAAGGCCTTCCACCGTCCAGCTAGCAATCGCCAGCTCAAACACCCACGCTAGGATTGTCTTTCCCCAGTGCGACTGCCTTCCCCACAAGGCCTCCTCCATCACTGTCCCCACGCCATTTAACAAAAAGAAAGCAGATATGCGCAGCAGGGCGTCCACGGGCAGCAACGGCGCCAAAGCGTATACGTGGAAAAACCCCATTAGTATGAAAGACGCGATTATTCCTATTCCACGCGCGAAGGCGACGGGCATGCCGTATCTTAGTGGAAGGATACGACGAAGTGGTCCATAAGCGAGCGAGTGGCAAGGACTGGCGAACGCACTGTGCCAGGTCTCACTCCAAAAGGAGCTAAGCGATGTTGCGGTGTACACTGGGCCGAAAAGGGGTGGGCTGGTGCGATACCGAAGTACGAGCTGCATAGATTCCCAGAGTATGTATATCGCCAGGAGGATCTGAACGGCGAGAATAGTAGGATTCGATTGCGGAAAGAGGGTTTGCAGGATGGTGAAGAGCAGGATGTGGAGGATCAGGTTTGTCGGTTCGGAGAAGTTGGGTTTGGAGAATTTGCTGAAATACGACTTGCCATGGTGACTGGAAGAGGCCCTTGTGCGTGATTTCGGTTCGATAATTTCTGACATAGATGGTGCTGGTGCTGTGCGCACATGGTTTGGAGTAAATGATTCATAGCGGAGTTCTGTGAGATAGAGGAGAGCGATTATTGCGTCGGACGGCCTAGTAGCATGGGTGTATTGCGGCGGAGCATGTCTGCGCACATAGAAGTCCATGGCTTTCATGATACCAATTGCCACTACATTGCTCGAGAATTAGTATAATGCCTAGCAATAGTCATCCGGCAATAAACAGAGAAGAGCCTAGGATACACAACAATATCATACGCGGACTAAAGCACCAATGACTTGCGCTATGTCCCAAATTCATGCATAATTAGATTATCCTCACCGCAGAATAATTGCAGACTTCGGACGGTGCTGCATGGCACTACCATGACAATGCTGCTCACCGCAAATGCAAACATAGCCACAACGCTCAGATTTTCGTATACTTTCACACGCCGCTTCACCAGGGCGTATAGGGCAAGGTAAAGGAGCACGGTAGGTAAAAGGAGAGAAATTGCACCCTGCCATATGCTGTGGGCCATTTCAGTCAAAGCTTCTCGAGCATCGGACGAGAGACTCGGCACTGGATACGTCCACTGCTCGAGGTGCATAGCTCTTAGTGCAGCAGCTGGCATCTGCTGAGTGTCCTCCTTAATACACATGTATTTCAATGCTGGTTGGCGCCCGCTACATTGAATATCGGGATATCAAAAACCGGGTTGTCTTTAACAGTATCTTTCTGCTGATTGACCGCGCACAAAGAGCCAAGTCGCAATTTCCTGGCGTTACGGCGTCTGCGTAAGTGTTGCCGCCGCTCAGAACAATCGCATCGTCATCGTCTATCGCAGGAACGATGGGCTATCGTCGAATTTGCCAACATGCTCGTCGAATTCACAGTGCAAGTGCAGTGATAACAAGCTGGCCGAGTAGTTCGTCGGTATGTAACTGATGCACGGGAATCCCGAAGATACCACAGAGGAGAAGTTCAAACGCCGAAATTCTTTTTGTTCGTTTTGCCGCGAATCGTGCCAGGTTGGCAGGATAATAACTGAGATATATAATAATGTGACTCTTCAAGAGGGAGAAACTGCGCTCTTAGCTGTTCCGAAATTAAGCCTTAGATCGTCGCTTTCTACCAGGACTTGATCAAGTTGGAGCCAGTTGACTACATACACGCGGTTCGGCAAATCAAGGCCGACTGGTCCATCCGCCATGTTGTGGGCCCATATGGGGAAAAGCTTTTCTGGTCTGATGCGAACCGGAGGGTCCCGTGGCCTTCAGTCACTCTTCCATGTTTTGCCTGGGCAGAGGAGCGTGCTGGGGGCGTGGGGAAGTTCTGGGGATGGATCACATCACACTTGTGCAGATCATGTCCTGCAGAGTCGGCGGGGAAATGGCACGCACGTTGCGAACGCTGTTTGGTCGGCCCTTTGAGGATCCAGCAAATAGGAGCTAATGGATGTCACGATCCAGCATGAACGGAGGACAAGCGACGAATTATTTCAGAAGAATCAACGGCATGATATGAGCGCAATGGTGCTTAAACTAAAATGGGGTCTTGGGCCCAGTTAGCCTGGTTCTGCAGGGATAGCCGAAGCCTGGATTCAGGGTCCAGGTTGCATCATGCCGAGGAGAAATATGAGCGACATGAAGAAATTGGCTGGCTTGCTGGCTCGAAGCGGATATGCTTCATGTGAGACTGCGATGTCACCTTTGGACGGGCTCACGCTCACACAGAAAATTGCAACCGCAATTCTCATTAAACTCCTCCGTCGTTACGTCTGTGGATCGTAAAGTTAAATTGTCAATCAAGATTCAAAAAGTCGCGCAAAGCGGCGAACTTTATGAATGACGGCTTAATTAACTATACGAAGAGCGGAAGCGCGGCATCGGCAGAATTGTCGTCCACCACATCGTAGTGTCAGGGGATGCGTGCCACCAGCAGGGTCAGGGAATATAGCGGATACTTATTTCTCTGAAGAAACCGGAAGCTTGCCGCGGAGAAGGGTGATTTGATTTGTCTTCCAACTTATTAGTTACCTGATATGCTGGGCTCGCAGGTATGGAGTTACATGATACATCATAACAAGACCACAATTATGCTCGACAGAGATCTTGATCGAATATAAGTGGACCTCGGGACACGTCTGGCTGTCTTAAAGACGTTTTGTACCCCATATGTGTCCGTAGTTATGACCAGGTCTAGCAAAAGTCCTCGTCATGGCATCATTCAGAAAGTTCTATTTTCTACTTCAACTTTTTTTTGTTTAACCAGTACAAGGCTCGAGTCGCTATTCGACAGGAATATTAAATATCAAGCTCAACCTCCCGAATCAAGGGTAGTGATACGCTGTAACAATGGCAATCGACCTTTGTTCTCTATCAAGGTGTAACAGCTCTGGCAACTACCGATCAAATAGACGTGCTCTTTAATTTCTCGCCGAGTTCATCCACAGCTTTGTCGACGTCTTGAGCGACCTTCTCGTTCTCAGCCTGCTCAGCCTCCTCCACGACCTTCTCCGCTTTCTTCTCTACCTCTTCTGCCTCGCTCTCTTCCTCCTCCTCCTCTTCCTCTTCACTCTCTTCTTCTAACTCATCTAGTTCATCCAAGCCCCACGCATCCTCCTCGTCGTCTTCTTTGCCTCTCGCTTCTTTCCGCTCGTCAAGAAGCTCTCTCAATTCCACGATGCTCTCGTCATCCTCGTCAAATTTGTTTCCATTCAGCTCGATGCGTCTCAGAAGGGGGAGCGCATTCTTCGCAGCATGGAGTAATATTTGCAATCCAGCGGCATTGATATCATTATACATCAATCTGAGAATCTCAAGCTTCTTGTTATTTCCCTTTGCGATCGCTTTTCCGACTTTAATCCAACCTCGGCCCTTGAGATAACAATCTCCTAAAGAGAGCTCGCGAATCGATGGCCAGCCGGTCACTGTATCTGCGAGTATTATGGCGCCGGAGACCGTAAAAGTATTATCCTGAAGATCGAGTAACTCTAGCTCGGGCGCATGTCGCAGACCATGGTCCAAGAGAAGCTTGATTCCATCCTGGCGGATACCATTCTGGACCATCTTGACAACTCTGAGGCCCTTGCCGTGAGCCTTTATCGCACGAGCCCACGCAGCCATACTTCCACTTTCAAGTCTGTTGCGACCACACACGATCGTCTCCAGCAAGGGTACTTCGTATCCAAGGTCCGGATTCGATCGCGCCTTGATCTTTCTCGCGCATAATTCCGTCAGCGCATCGGCAATAAGGGTACCTGCCTTTGGGCCCAAGCCGTTATTGTTCAAAAGCAGGTGACGTAAAGGAACGTGTGCCTGTAAGAACTCAACGAGGGGCGCCTGCGTGTTTAGCCCGAAGGCGTTATCGCTTAAATCAACTGTCTGCAGAGTATGGACATCTAGCAACGCGTTTAATAGAAAGGAGAGGGCTTGTGGGATCTCGGCGAGGAGGCGTGAGGTGAAGATATCGGCGAGGTTTGCGGTGTGGAGTTTCTTTTGCGTTCGGAGAGCTTTACCCAGAAGCTCGCAGGCGGGAACTCCAAAGGTGTTTCCTCCGAGGTAAATTTCCGTAACGATATTGTCGCTTTCGAGGAGAGGCTTGATGTGAGGTTCCAAGTCGGTGGCAGAGTCAAATCTCAACCCTTTATCTTGGATTGAGAAGACGGTGGACGGAGGGGCCATGGCGGGGTAGTTAAAAGTCTTATGGCAGGGCAAGAAGTGATGGAAGGTTGTAAATAAGAAACTATGTTTTTATGGCTATAAGAGATGAGAATAGCAGATAGTTTCCTTGTTTAAAAGAGAAAGGGGGGAAAAACTGTCAAGTGCTGTTCAAGGGGATTCAAAATAAGGATTGTGATATTTTGGATTTGCGGGACATCAAGTGATCACCACCAAACAATTTTCACCACCGACGATTCTAGATTCCCGCGCTAAGTTTGTTCAGCTCGGGAGTGCTCCTCCGAAATTTTGCATCATATCCCCCATTCATGAAGGAAATATGTATGTATAGAATACACTGACCGGAAACACCTAACCAGAACTATTTTTCATGCAGAGTCGCTTCAATACCCTGCGGATCAGCTCGTCGGCCTTTTCTCCTTGGAAAGGCTGAAGGGAACGGAAATATAATGATCCATCCCGTCAATCAATTCTTGGCGTCACTAACCAAATGTAGTTTAGCGGTTAGCAATTTGGAAATCTCGAGATTGATGTCGAGATATGTAGCCAGAACCAATCCCAGGGGGGATGGTGTTAAACCATAAGGGATCCTCTTCGTTTTGGGATGAAAAATGGACAGCCTCATTGACGAGATCTTGTTTGTAAAAATTTAGGAAAGAGGCCGTGTACGGAGTAGAGCTGGCGACGATGAGCTGGTTGGCTGGGTCGATTCGAACCGGAATGCGGGCTCGAGAATTGGGCCACGGGTTTTGTTTCGCGGCCGATACTAAGCAATGCCATATGTTTGCATGAACTGCCCTTTACAAATGTTCGACAATTGAAGAAAATAAACATTTGTCCTCCGTAACGCCACAAGTTTGTTTTACGTTCAGGCTTGAACTAACTGTCGGCCCGGGTTTATCGGGAAACCATGGAATCCGCTTACTCAGCTCAGCTGTTGAAATTTGAACGGATTTATTTCGATTCATCACGATATATATAACCTCACTTCTCCTAAGATCTCTTTTCCGCATCAATCAATCTTGTGTCGAGGCGGGAAGCTCCCAAGTCGTTCTTTTATTTCAAAAATGTCGTCCGCTGCTGTATCCCCCATTTCATCCTGTATGTCCCGCAAACACCCGTTCCCTCGCCGCCGCCGCCGCCGCCGCAAGAATGCGCAACATTGAACTAACCACCTTTCCAGCCCAGGTCACCTCTCAAACGGCCAATTCTTCCGTAAAGCCATCCTACTCCGAAACAGAAAAGCCAAAGGTATGGATACTTTAGGCATTCGTTCAGAAGGGGAAGAAAAAATAATGCCCCATTCTCCTATCTATCAAGTTTGCGCTTCCTCTCTAACTATGATACATTATCTTCTTTTGTTATAGCCCTGCTGCGTCTGCAAACCCGAAAAGACCGCTCGCGATGACTGCATGCTCTTCTCCAAGTCCGACAACCCTGCCGAATCGGAATGCAAATCCCTAATCGATCAATACCGAAGCTGCATGGCCGGCTACGGGTTCAAGGTGTAACGGGGAACAAAGTCTCGAGAGATCATGGTTACGGTTACGCGACTAACTTGAAATTCTGGGTATGGTTATCGGCTTGAGTGTGCTCAAATATTACAATGGCGTTCCGGAAGGGATGTATAAATACTGACGCTGGTTTCACGAAACCGCCAGCTAAGGGCAGGATAAAGGTCGTTTGGGATTCAACTGTACATTACTTTTATAAGAGGTCTTCGCATTGTGTTTGAAGGGTGGAATAGACCATCTCTTTTCTTTATACCATATTTTGCCTCCCATAATAGTGCCTCTATGATATACAACATACATCTCCAATCTTAGAATAGACGATGGTTTTTGCCCTTGTGGTACAAGAAGCTCGAGAATTTGTACATAAGAAAAGGGGTATCACAGTGTCGGATGTCTCCGGAATAAATATAGGAAAGATACAAACAAGCCGTAGGGCTCAGATTGCTATTGCTTCTTCTTCGTGTTTGAAATCCGAGGATGTGGTGATTCGATGGCTTGGGCGGTGAATCGAGCTCCCTGGACCAACTTTACTGTACACCAAAGGTAGATTAATCCAAACCCAGACGTCCCTATCAGGGCATTGAGGACAACCCAGAGGTCCGGCTTCGTCGGCGGAGGAGGAACGAATGCGTCAAAGACATGCCAAACAATCATCGATAAATAGCACCCGAGGTGTAACAGTTTGGTGAAAATGTGCAGGTCCCGAGACCCTTCACGGTTCCTATACAGATCAAACGATGTTGGTGGGAGTCCAAGAAGATATGCCCAGAGCAATGTGACAACAAAGTACGGCACACGAAGCTCTTCCCGCTTTAGCAAGGGAAATAATGTCCATGCTCCAAGAATGTTGCCAAAACCAACCCAGGCTCTTGATTCTTTGCTCAGTCCACCATCACCGCAAAGGAGTAACGTCATCGGCAGCAAAGGCAGGAGCACGCTTTTTTCATGTACCTGAAATGAACAGAGGAAGAAACCCCACGCACTGTTTGCCAGAGCAAACAAAAGAAGTTCCGGCCGCGGATACCGTCCGATAGTAATGCAAGGGACAAGAATGCTAAGAACTGTCGCAGCTAGAGAGGCCTTTTGGAGGGTAGAAGAGGAGAAGCGGGAGAGCTTGTAGAACGTGTGGATGGCACACCACATATTTGCAACTTTGTCTTCGAACAAGCCACGAGCAAAGGGGAATATCCGGTGGATAGATTGACAAAGCAGAAGCAAAGGTGCATAGAGCCAAGATGAGTCGTTTAGCGATATCGGCAAGCTTTGAAAGAGGGGTGGTTGAGAATTTGGCATAGGGATACCGCGATAATTGTCATAAACAGCCCCAGCAATCAAAGGCGCGAATACCAGGGCGAATGCGGTTATTGTAATCAGGCTGATGCCAAGTAATCTTCCTAGCCTGAGCTTTGGAGTAAAACAGGAGCCCAGCATATAAGAGAAGATCACTGGCGCGAAATACAGTGCCATCTGCTTGAAACCAAGGGCACCAACAAAGAATACACAAGCCCATAGTCGTCTCTTCGCTATTATGCTTTCCGATGCGGCAACCACCAGCCCAAGCATAACAGTGTTATACTGAAAATGACCATGGTCGATCAGTATAGTCGCGGGCTGCATGAGGATAGCGACGAGGGCGACTGAAGCCGCCCAAATGTTGATCCTTTGCTCACGGGCATATCTCCTGAGAAATATCACGACGGCGGGGATGTAGACAAGGTACTCGGAGACAACAACGGTGGCGCGCATATAGACTTTGAGAAGTGGGCTCTCTATCCCGCGAGAAACGTCAAGGGTAAACCAGGAGGGGTCAATTAGCGATCCTCTAGTCACTATCAGTTATTTGTACATCGAAAAGGTACTGAGATATATGTAGCGTCATACACTTTTCCGAGCAACCAGCTGTGGTACGCAGTCAACGGCGGGTAATCAAGGCCCCACCAATTTAAATCGTAGAAGTACCAGGAGGAAATAGGTAGGTGAATTGTCAGCTCCATCCAATGCCGTTGGGCCTCAAAATCACCATACATCGGCGGCATGCCATGTCCTAGAAAGAAAGGTTAGCTCTGGAAGGCTCTTTAACAGGCTCCAACGGTGAATCCGGGAGCCAGCCGAAGTTCTACCTGAGTATCCCCACAGTCCTACTGCCCACCGAAACAACCCGACGGCCATGAGAATTATAGGAAGAATTAGCCATTGCGAAACACCAGTACGTGCTGGCCAAAGAAATGATACCAGCGGAAAGGCTGGGGATTGTTCGCTCGTATTTGGACCGGTGATCAAGTCGATGTTGGTGCTAGAAGAGGCGCTGGCGAGCAGCCGTCGCTTTTTTCGCGGTCGGTGGGAGGACGGGGTTGATGGCCTTGGAGACGTCATTGCGAACATCAAGGGAGGCCGACAGCGTCCATGGAAAGAGCCGCTTTTAAAATTTGAACCCGTGCAGCGCCAATTGACTCGGTTCTGCCTGGAACAATCCGACGATGTTCGCCGTGGGAACGAGCGAGTTCGAGCGGCAGGATTCCAGGAACCGGCTGTGGGGACTCGAAACTGCTGGCAAGCTATGGAGCGCTATTCCTAATCAGGCTAGTCTCCGCGTTGGCGCAGGCGGTGAGCGTGAAATTTTCAGCTCCGTCAAAATCTCGCTTTTCTCTTCCGTTGCTGTCAATTTTTTTTTTCTTTTGCAACGCGTTCTTCTGCCCTTCACTACTCTGTGTCTCGAAGATTTATTTTCGATTCTCAGAGCTCTGACTTACCTTGGTTGATCAAACCTCGGAGTGTCAGTCAAAAAAAAAAAAAAGAAAAGGATCGCAAAGCGGACTTTTGCTGTGGACTTGTACGTATAGCTTTCTTTTCGTGGGCTTCCTGGGGGCTTACTGTGGGCTTTTGAACACTGTGGGCTGAGGGCTGTGGGCAATTGCGATTCTATCTGTGGGACTTGTCCGTGGGTTCTATACATAGACGGCGCTACCATCAAGTGCCTGTCTGTCAACTGTGGGCTTGAGACTTGAAAGTGGGCTTCTGAGGGCTTTGAAACTGGGGTCTAACGGCTGTGTGCGTGACAGATAAAAGTCAAGCACACTTGCAAATCGGGTGATATTATTCATTCAGCCGCACTTGAATCCAATTCAAGCAAGCAAATTTGCACTCTTGTTTCTCCTCTGGTGATTACTCGTTGTAAGTCCAACATATTTGCTCTTCTATCCGCATCAGTGTTGCGCTTTCATACTGACTCAAGTGTCTCGTTCAGCAACATGAAAGCACCGAAATCCAAGACTAAGGCTCCCAAGGCCGACGACAAAGTTCTTAGCAAGGTCAAGAATGGAGGCGTGACGAAGCCATCCACTACACCTAAAGCCAAGAGCAAAGAAATCGCCAAGAAAGTTGCTTCCAAAGCCGAAAAGAAGCTAGAGAAGAAAAAGAAGGCTCCTACACCGTCGGAATCTTCAGAATCTGATAGCGACGAGGAAATGAAGAGCGTTAGCTCCAGCAGCGAGAGCGAGAGTGAGAGCGAGAGCGAAGTGAACGTGCCAAAGGCTGCTGCTGACTCCGAATCTGAATCGGCATCTGGATCCGAATCCGAGTCTGAATCCTCGGAAAGTTCATCGGAGGAGGATGAGAAGCCTGTCCAGAAAAGCGGAATGGCAAAGGTCGCAGAAAGCGAAAGCGAGAGTGAAAGTGAAAGCGAAGAAGAATCGGAGTCTGAAGAAGAACAGAAGGTTGCCAAGAAAAATGTAAAAGCGAGCTCAAGTGAATCGGAGTCGGATTCTGCCTCTCAGTCCGAATCTGAATCCGAATCTGAGTCTGAGGAAGCTCCAGCTAAAGCCAAGAAAGCTACTAAGGAGGTTTGTGTGCTCAATACTTCGTAATGCTTATAGCCCCGTTTAACATTTTATAGGAATCCGCCTCGGAAGAATCTGAAGAAGAGTCTGAGGAAGAAAGTGGCAGCGAGGAAGAGTCATCCGAAGAGTCCTCCAGCGAGGAAGCAGAGGAGCCAGCCAAGACTCAAAAACGCAAAGCTGAATCCGACGAGACCCCAGTAGCGAAGAAGGTTAAGAAGGAGACCGCCGATGAAGCCTCTGCCGAGAGCTCCAACCTCTTTGTCGGCAACCTGTCATGGAATGTCGACGAGGAATGGCTGCGTTCCGAATTTGAAAGTTTTGGCGAGCTTTCCGGTGTCCGCATCGTCACCGACCGTGATTCTGGGCGTTCCAGAGGGTAAGAAACAACCCTGCCGAGAGTACTCGATTCCCATGCTAATCGTCTGGCAGATTTGGTTATGTTGAGTTCACCAATGCTGAAGATGCATCCAAAGCCTTTAAGGCCAAGAAAGACGCGGAAATCGATGGACGCACGATCAACCTCGATTTCGCCAACGCTCGTCAGAATGCTGGCGGAGCCAGGGACCGTGCCCAGTCGCGCGCTAAGAGCTTTGGTGATCAGACCAGCCCGGAGAGTGATACGTTGTTCATTGGTAACATCTCATTCAACGCTGACGAGAACGCTGTCCAAGAGACATTCTCGTCTCATGGCTCCATCCTCGGGATCCGTTTGCCAACCGACCCCGAGTCTGGTCGTCCAAAGGGATTCGGATATGTTCAGTTCTCCTCAGTGGATGAGGCCCGTTCTGCCTTCAACGCCCTGCAGGGCACCGAGCTCGCTGGCCGTGCCATGCGCCTGGACTTTAGCACCCCACGACAGAACTCTGGTGGCAGCTTCGGTGGCCGCGGCGGCCGTGGAGGCCGTGGCGGTGGCAGAGGCGGTGCCCGGGGTGGTGGACGTGGTGGACGCGGTGGTTTTGCAAGCCGGGGAGGGTTTGGAGATTTCTCAGGGAAGAAAACTACCTTCTAGGCCACTCTGTTTGAGCAAAGGGTGAAATGGTGAATCCCATACTACTTTTCAGGTAATGTATCAGTATGCTTGTTGTTTCGTTGGGCTACTAAAAAGTGTTCGGTTTTCTTCTCTTTGTCTAATTTACAATATGCTCGTGTTGCTACTCCGGAAATATTAATAGGACAGTATGTTTGTATGTACAATCAAAAGAAGGGGAGGGGCCCATCAATACGTATTTCTCCATGCAACACGCCCGATGCGATCGTCCATCATCCACTCGCTGCTGGCCGTTTCCCGCCTGCAGCTGCAGGTGACTGCTTGGAAGCCCTAATGCAGTGCCCTAAGCTACGCCCAAATGTAGACTAGCGTGGTGAAAGCGGGGTAATTGATGCATCATGTGGCCGGCTCTCGACCAATCGATCCGTCGGCCGCTTGAACCACGCACCACATCCACGCTATCTCCACGCGCTATCCCAACCGCCGATCCCTCACACGTCCAGACCGGGGAGGGTGGAGCTCATCCCCGGAGTATTTCCACGGCGCATAAACACCCTATCGCATCCGCGCATCATAAGTCTTCCGTGGTGACAAGACAGCCCGGCGCTCGACGAAGCGACAGGTTCTTGACGACCCGCATGGCTCCCCTCCTCTCAGTGCTGTCCTTTTCTTCGTCCTCTATCCCTCAGGATTCACGGCCGTCTCAATGCTTGACGGCGTCGACCTTTATCCTGTCTTGATCTCATTGCTTTACCAGCTTCCTATACTCCTCCATGCACAGCCGCCTCCAATCCCGTGAGCTCATCACCTGATATCAGCATCATCAACACCCCCCGTACCGTTTTCGACCATCAATCATCCTGCTTTGCCAGAGAACAGCAGCAGATTGATTTCGGACCGTGATCGGTTTGAAAACTGTGGTCATCGCTCCCTTGGTTTAAGCACGCAAGCCACATCCATTCCGCATTACGTCACCTGCTATATACCTTTTGTGCCTTTCCAAGGGGTTGTGCTGACCTCCTTGTCCCCAAGCAGCGCTCTCCAGTGATGGAATGATTCTCCAGGAGGGCTAGAGAGAGAGATTTTGGCGAAGGAGTTTTGGGTTTTCTATATTGTTAATTTGACTCCAGGGCTGGTTTGCACCGTCTCCTGGGTTGAACCACCTTTCCCAACAGGTATATCAAAGCATTGAATCTCCGAGTTACCTCGATACAATGGGTTCAATTCGTGGCGATGTGTCGGAGCGTGGGTCGCGAGTTGCGAGAGGTGATGAAACTTCATCACAGGACTTCAGCACAAGACCAGAAGTGACATCTCCTGCCCAGCAAGCTAGGTCCGAGGGTGAGTAACTGCCTATCTCCTCCCACGATCAGCCCGCCGGCGATCGTTAAAATTGCTTGGACAACCTTCTCGGCCCCTTGCATACTGTTACACCCTCCGTTATTGAAACCTTGGCTTGCACATCGGCCCCCTACTCTCTCTCACTTTCGCCGTTTGTCGATTACAAAATGTACTCATTTGGCTATTATTTAGATTCTTGGATAGAGGTTGCATCCCAACCTTCCTCCTCATCCCTATCCTCAGCTACAGCAAACGATGAGATAGTTACAACCGGACTAAGGGTCCAGCAGCACCGCACTGGTCGTGGCGTCCGACATCCTATCGTTCCGCAAGACCTGGACATAACGTACTCCCATCGCCAGCCTATGGTAAATGAAAGCAGTCAGGAAGAATATGAAGAAACTGAAAGCGAATCGGATCGCGTTATGAGCAGCTCAAACGAAGATATTTCTAGACCTCCACGCCCAGCACTCGCGTTCATTCCAGGAAATCCATCAACATCCGATGTTGCTCTCTCGAGTGATGAAGATGATAGCTCAACAGCACTCGGGTTGAATCCTCCCGCTTTTACTCCGCAACCTAATGTATTCTCACATCCTCCGACCTCCCAGACTAGTGCCCGACCTCATTCAAACTTTCCTGCTTCGGGTTATGGACCCGGCCCGATGGACAATAGAGCGAGAAGCCGTCGAAACTCCCGAGCCAGCTTACATTCCGCGCGTCGGACACGCACTCATCAGCAACAACATTCTCCCTACAACATGTATTCTCCGTCGCACCATGTAGATCATGATGCAGCGCTCCGTGCAAGCCTGTCTACTCTTTTGTCATGTGCTGCAGCTGCCCGCGGCCTACCGAAGCGGGACAACCAATGTTCGGCCCCAGAAAGGTCCAATGCCACAAGGTCGTCAGACCCTCCGACATTCCGGTTGGTCCCCGAGTCTGTTGCTATGCGGGACGATGACTCCGATCAGAACAACACAACTCTAAAAGAACCACAATTCCGAACACCGCCGCCCCCACCTTCGAAACGATCCCGGTCCCCGCTGAAATCCACAAACAAAGCAAGGCGAAAATCAAGCCCGTCTAAGGATCATTCTGCTGCTCAACCGTTGCCAAAGAAGGCCCGCCGCACGGCCGTAACTGAGACTGGCTCTTTGCTGGGGCCTACCGTGATGACGTGGGTTATCAGTGCTGGCGTTGTTGTCCTATTCTCGGCAATTAGCTTTTCTGCAGGTTATGTCCTAGGCCGGGAGGTCGGAAGGACAGAGGCCGGCCAGGGACTTTATGCAAATGGCAACGGACTGTCAGGCGCAAGAACCGGCGCTGGGTGTGGAAAAGATGCCGTTAAGGGTGGTTTACGGCAATTTCGATGGGTTCGCGGCGGCTCTGGGTCAGGAATAGCGGCCTAGATGCACCTTCGGCTGTTTTCGCCGATTCATATAACTTCTATCCTACAAACGCCTCTTTAAATCATGATGATGACGGGTTTGGTTTTACCGGAGTTAGTGGCCCCCCATTGGAGTGGGAAATATTGTCCTTGTGATTCGGTCTCTTTTAGTTTGCTCATTACATTTTATTAATTCCCAGCGAATATCTTTGCCATCATAGTGCTCTTCTATTCATTCAATTGACTACCCCCTTTTTTTCATGAATACATGTATCTAGCACCTCCCTACAAACTTAGGGACCTTGCATACGTAAACAACTAGTTTATGCATGGATGACGTTTCTCTTAAACGCTTTCCGCTCCTACGTAACAGGCAACTGAATGGAAGCCGGACATGCAAACTATGCGATTAACTTGATATGATGACATACGTGACTTTTCAAAGTGATTACTCCGTGTTGTACCCAGCACCCTTGGCCATTCTTATGTTCAATGGAGCCTAGGTTCTGTTAGGATGCATTTAAATGGTATTCATCAAAGGTTCTTTAGTGACCCTAAGGGAAAAAAAGAGTGAGCAGTGGGGATTCCATCCTCCAGCATCGCAGCCTAATCAGTGTTGGCAATATATGAAGCACTCTGGAGCACAGAAAGATGGGCGATCATTTGGTCCAGGAGTGCTTGCAGAAAAACATCATTCAACAGGGGAAAATACACCTGAGCTTATCCAATAGCGTTATGCAAACGATATTTTTGATAGGGTGTCTATGGCTCTATTTTCAAATATTTGTAGGCCTCGGGTCCAACAAACAATGGTTTTTCCGATGGATGGCACAATTTGATTGGGAAACACAGGTGATAGAACGCGGATTTAACGACCATGTACGGAGTATGAGATATAAAGATGGATCGGTTTATCGTATTCTACTAATCAGCCCTGTATGCTCCAGTAACTCGTAAATGCAGAAAAGGCACCTCAAATATCAACGCATATTATACAGAAACGTAGCAATACACCCGTTGATAACGGGATGAATGGAGGATTTTCCTGCCCCCTTATCGTTGTTCCATTCGAGAATGCTGTAGCCTTTGGCGTCGTCTCCTGTCTCTTTGACGCTTCTCCCACAACGGAGGTATTCAGCTAGACCGGCACAGACAGAGGACGATGGTCGAGCAGTATATATGTCTCGAATAACCGCTGAGAATACCATGCCTTAAACTGCCTACAAACTCCATGCTAAGTACCGATAGCTGGCATCTTATAATCCCTTCAAAAAGTTTGACTCCTTGATCGACTTCCTTCTCGCTTCGCGCGAGCTTTTGGTGATTGCTTTTCTGGCCTCGATACCCGTGGAAGCCACCTCGAAGTTCTTCGCCGCATCAGGCGCCACAGCATCCGCCGCAATGATATCGATAGACTGTTCGTGGAGCGGGATCACTGGGGGTTTAGAGGCAGCAGCAGCGGCCATTTTCTTTTCGTGGCGTGTTCGTTGTTTCTTATTCATCGCTACAAAAAGCAACACAATTCGCGCGGTCAGAAAAACCAGGGAAACAACCGACAGCGAAAGAAGAAAGATACGCTAATGGCACCACTTACAAGAGACATCGACACTCCCAGAACCATCCTTAGCCGACTTCGCCTTCGGGTCATCTAGTAACTTCCACAGCCAATCTGGATATTCGCTGTCGTCCATCGCAAGGACCTCGGGCTTGTTTTTGAAATAGTTTAATCCGGCTAGGCGTGTTCCGGCAGGGACGGTACTCGTCACCTTTTGCGGTGCAGCCGCTCCTGTAGCGTCATTGGCACTCCCAGATGTTGAGACGGAGACTTCAGCTGCTGTCGCTTGTGTGGGGTTGGTGGGAGTCGAGTAGGTTCGTTGTTGAGTTCTTGATATGATTCCGGAGCATCTGGAGGACGGAAGAGCGGACGATCTGCGATAGAACGGAAGGCGGGAGAGGAGATGCGTGCGACAGCGGGAGCAAAGCATTGTGTAAGTATACTTCTTGTCTGCAATACGCAGAGCGGAGACGTGCGGTCAATTGGGTGAATTGCAACGGTCACTCGTCGGTTGGCTGCTCGTCCAAGTTGCGCTGCGAATCAAAAAATTAGACTTTTGGAGACCTCGATAATCACGTGATATCAACGTCTAGCGGGCCGCCTGCCTCACTAAATAATCTCTACTCGGTAACTGGTTTGCGTTTGGGCTTTGATTCTTGCTAACAATGTGGCTCATCATCATTATCTACAAACAGTCAATACATAATAACTACAGAACATTAGTTGTCACAGAAGAGACCCGACTTCACTAGATTTGAAAATCGGAAAGGCGTGCAATCCACCAGGTCAGCACTTTGTGGCTCTTCAACTCTTCTTTGCCAACGGAATACTGGGGCGAAAGTCGGAAGTACGTGAAGATGTTGGTCCTTAAGGGCCAACAAGATTTGAGGTCCAAGGAGGATAACTTGCGTCAACAAGTCAATCTGTTCGGTTTTATGATTCATAAACCTCGTTACGTGCTTGGATCCTCCAGACTGTTATCGCTATTGCAACTACACATCATACCTGGTGCAAGAATGACCCGCCTAATGCATTGTTGCGCTCAATGGCCTTGTTCCTTTTGGTGTGGCTGCTTGTCGGAGGTTTAGAACGGGACAAGACGCCCTTTATGACGGCGGAGTATTTATCGGCTTCTGATGAGGAAGAAAGATCCGTGATCCGATCACAGCTCGTGTCGTCTAATTCGATTGGTGGACCTTGGGGAATGGAACCCAGTAATTCCAATAGCACAGCAGCTTGATTCTCGTGCGGTGGGTTTAATAGACTGCTATACATAGGCGGAGCTAGCCCAGCCGGAGGAGATCTACTGCCATTTGTTTCGGAACTTGCAGCTAGAGCCATGGGCTCTGACAAAAGCTGATTGTTATCATAGAGATCTTTGATCTCATTTTTGTTTTGATAGCCTGTATAGCTTATTAGCCAGGCAAAAACGCATCATGATAACCAGCAACCCAATATGTGTGGCCTTTTGCTCACCTTCTGCTCTACCAGATAAAGGTTGGTTATGGCTTAGTTGCTTTTCACTGCTAAATAAGCTAGCACGGGAGGCTAAAACACTCCCTCTAAACCAAGGGGGTTTAGAGGAAACTTCGGGAGGCGATCCCTCCTGCGCAACATTTCTTTTTCTTTGTCGCCTAGAGGCAAACCATACAAGTGCGAGTAACAAGATCACAGCAACACCTATCGGGACAACTATGGCGATTAGCCGTCCTATATTGAAGCGGCTTGGTCCGGCTTCAGGCGCTGGGGAACTAGTTCCTGGTACTGGGGAACTCGTTTCGGCCGCTGTCTTAGCTGGGTCATGGCTAACTGTCTGGGTGGAAGTTCTAGTGGCGGTAGGATGGGTTGACGGCGATGTAGGAAGCTCTATCTTGGAGGTGTAGCGTGTTGTTGTCGTACGTATCGTTGTTGATGAGGACAAAGAGTCTGCAACATCAAAACCATTTTTAGTTCTGCACTCGATGAAGATCGCCTATGGCTAGGGGGAACGAATGCAACATACCAGTGGAAACATAGATAACCGTTTCGTCTAAAGGAGCATCGAGACAAATCCCAATGTCGCAAGGGTCGACACCACAACATCCTGCAAAGGGTCCCTTGGAACACCTATACCATGAATAACCCGCAGGGCAGTCATTTAACTGTCGGCGAAAATATATTGACATTTCCACCCACTACCAGCTGATCTCAAACGACCCAATGTCTGGAGTTTTAGTTTTATGTGGGAAGAGATATCAATGTTGGTCTGGGAGCTTAACAATTTCTCAGGTTGTCAGAACAAAGAATTTTTAATGCGGTGCTGCAGCAGCAGGGCATGCGGCACATGAACTGGACCGCTCGGAAGCAAACTTTCAAAGAAAAGCTCACAGAATATGAATGCATGCAAGCTCCTGTAGAGTTATCAGTGACAACATAGGCAGGTCGCTCCATGACAATTCTCCCAAGCGGTTATGCTTATTATTATGTGGACTTTGAAATGCGGACACCCTTGTCACCGGCAGTCCTTACATATGTATGTATAGTACCCGGCGGTACTACTTTCCAACATTCTCCTTTATCTAAGGTATACTGGTGAGATATCCTAGGAGAACGCCTCCAGACCGGCCAGCATCAAGGACCTTGTTCCTCTTCTTGATAATAGCGAGACGCCCAACCACATCACTCTCTAAGCGCCCGCATTCCAGGAGAAGATCCGCATTCTTTAGCAAAAAAAGGGTCTAGCAGCTCGTCCCAGGCTCGCGGGTCGGAGAAGCCAATCACAAGTGTCTTGAACCCTGATCCATGCAACTTGGCGCGCAAGACATCATACGGAGGCCACACCGTCATTCCGGGCAATTTGGTCCTCAAAGACTGGCTCCGGTCAGGCCAATGGGAGATTTCCATGGCAACAAGCGAAGCGACGTTGGGATCGGCTGGAAGACCAAGCCGAATGGAAAGAAGATCGATGCAAATACAGTTTCGCGCTCTGTTAAATACATCTATATTAGCAATCTAGGGCGGTTTACAGGACATATGCAGGCCCCGGCCATTGCCTTGGTGAGGCCTATCTTTGGTTTCCAAAGTGCGGTCACTTTTTTCAAAAAATACCGGAGAAGCGTTGCACGACATTCTCAAGCTAATACAACTATACTAGTATGCTGTGCTCCTTATAAAAGACACATACATTGTTGGTATAGTGTAACGTGGGGTTTCGCCCTTCTCCTTAATCTCTCTTTTAGAAGTCCTTTCGAATATTGTTTTTGGATCTTGAATTTTTTGGATTATCCCGCTCTAGTCGTATTGGTCTTGGCCGGCGGCATTCCGTTTCCTATTTTAGTAATCCAGGTTGCGGCGCATCGTTTAGCAGTGTAGCCACAGTTTGCTATTTCCTTTCCTTTACATCTTCTATCGTTTCTGTTTCTCAGTATTGGCCCCAAGCACTTCGCGGGATCTGACCTCCTAGCGCGGCTATACCTTCACGTCCGCCCCTGCGCAATGATAAAGTTATGTCAAGGTTAATATGACACCCTGATTTAAGAAGCAAGCAAAGGAGGTTCGATTGCTACAAGGCCTCGCCCCTAGCTAGGATAGACCTCGTCTTATTCCCCTATGGAGGATAAATATAAATAATATCAAATTATCTGTATAATCTTTATTGACCTGTTGTGAGAAGATAGAGTGCGGATACTGCGTGGCCCAGGGTGATAGTCCAAAGAAATGAAAGAAGAGGAAAAGGGTAGGGCATAGCGGAGAAGGGCTAGGGTGAGAAGAAATGAAGAGCCGGAAGACGCCTAAAAACAGGTGAGCTTCCAATTGTCTAAAGTAATGTGATGTGCCCTGAAAAAAGGATGGGATGTGAGCTGGCCAACGATATTAACCTGATCATTATGTATTTATTCTATTTTTTTATCTGTAGGATGACAGTGCCTCAATAGAACATCAAATCCTGCCCGTCTGCCTCCCCCCAAAAAAAAGGCTAAGGCGACTTTTGCCTTGCTAGTGGCTCACGTGTTTGTCATTTTCTTTCCGCTTATCTCGACAGAGCGATGTCATCAATGCGTAGAATCAATTTCACAGTCTCAGCTGCGAGCTCAATAGCACTCGTGCTCACAAGCAATGGTTGCAAAACCCTCTCGTCGGCAATATTATCCTTCACTCCACCGCTGCGGATACTAACGCCCGCGTTCTTCTCGCCCATTGCATGCCGATGGCGCAAATCTGTCACCACCTTGATGCTATTCAGCCCAGCATTTTCGGCTAGAGTCACCGGAATAACCTCCATAGCTTCAGCAAAAGCCTTCCAACATATTGCCTCAGTACCCGACAACGCGCGAGCTTGCTTCGCCAACGAGTGGGCAATTTCTATTTCAGGTGCGCCACCACCAGCGATTAATGCTCGCTTTTTGACCAAACAGCGAACAACGCACAGGGCATCATGGAGAGAACGTTCAACTTCATCGAGGACGAGGTTGTTCGCGCCACGAGCGATCATAGAAACAGTCTGGCTTGCCATTGCAGAGCGAACACCAGTAATCTTCACGTATCGAGATCCAGACGAATTGACCTCTTCGACCAAGTCTGCCGTACCAAGTTTATCCTCAGTGAAAGACTCGACGTTGGCAATTGGTTTGCATCCAAGGCTCTTGCAAATGAATTCCACTTCATCACGCTCAATATCCTTAATCGCCAGAATCTTCACTCGAGACAGGAAGTTAAGTGAGAGGTCATTAACGGCGTCACGAAGGATCGATTTCTGAATCAGAAGAACGTTGCATTTGGTCTTGGCGATTTTCCGGACCATGTTGAGAAGATAAGTACGTTCTTCCTTGAGGATCTTGTCCATTTGTCTGTAATCGTTGACCACAATTTGGTTCTCCATCTGGATATTCTGTTAGCTCTCAACCATCGAAGATCTATGGACAATGCAGGGTCATTACGTCAGGCTTAGGTGGGCTCAGCTGGAATTGTATTAAAGCAATGCGCGCTTTCTCAATCCTTGTTGGACCACCTGCATTCTTTAGAACTGGCTGGTTGAGAATCAGACCGTCCACCATCTCGCTATCCTCTATCGTACCGCCGACCTTCTTAACAATGCGGATGTTTCGAAGGTCAACATTATCAGAGGTTCTTGGATCTATTACTTTAAGAACGGAATCAACTGCCATTGGTCCAAGGAGGTTCGAGTATTGAGAAACGATTTTCGATGAAAGAGAGGTAGATGCTGCTTGTAGAAGAGTCGCCCGGTCCGAAAGGGAGATAGGCTGGGACATATCATGGAGTATCTGTACCGCAGCTGCTGCGGCTCTCTGGAAGGACTCAGAGATGACGGTCGGATGAATTCCTGGATAGATTTAGTAAACTCGGTTATTGATCCTAAGAGCAGTGAACTCGATAAATACCTTTCGAAAGTAATCGCTCAGCAGCTCCCAATAAACTTCCCGCAATAACAACAACGGATGTAGTCCCATCACCAGCTTCAACATCCTGAGCAGCACTCAAATCTACCAACATTTTAGCCGCCGGGTGCATCACACTCATATCCTTTAACATTGTGTTTCCATCGTTTGTCTGTGCCGTCGTCAGTTAGCTGACCTTGAAGTTGGGCCGAAACCTCAAAGTTCAGAAACAACGCACGATTATAGTCTCGCCTTTTCCAGTTTGGATCTGCATATCAGTCAGCTCATATTAATTATTAACCCGGGGGCACATGAAATTACCATTTTATCCATTCCTCGCGGCCCAAGTGACTTGAGGATATTAGCCCCGCTTCCCAGGAGTTGAGCAGAAGTCTATCATACCGTTCTTATAGCATCGGCGACAGCTTGGAAGATTATTTAGCTATACGGCCAAATCGCAAGATACATAGAAGACATACCTCTAGCAGCCATAATATTGGCTGTGCGGACAGCCATTGGCTTCTCTTTATCCTGGTAGCTATCAGCATCTGGGAGGGTTCAGTCAAGCACGGTAATCGGCGGCAGACCTTGAATGCATTGGTTGCAGCATTTCCCTGGCTTCCCAGAGCGGCCGCCATTTTGAGTATCGAGTGTTAAAGAAAGATAGAAAGCTGAGAGCAGGATACAGAGGGACGAGAGAATATCAAAAGCGGCGTTGATTGAATTTCAACTTATTGCTGGAATCTCTGAATTTCGATCGGAGATGCTTGGCGCGCCTGGCCACTAGCGTCCTAGAGCTCTGACGCTACCACCTCCAGCTTGTTGTTAACGAAGACCTTTGGCTCATCAAGACAGCCAACGGCCACCGTACTAAACGTCTATTTGAGCGACTTTTAATTTCCACCTGACGGACATTTATCCTGATCTTTAGTCCCTGCCGATATAACCTACTTACGCTCAAATCTCTGACATCCTTGTTCCTTCACATCCGACATCATGCCCAGCGCGACGGGCCAAAATTGGGAGAAGTATCGGAAGAACTTTGCAGACGATGAAGAGCCTGAAAAGAAGATAACGCCTCTTACCGATGAGTTCGTTGGTCCTGTCTTCTTTTGCATACCTTTGTGCTTACACCGTCTAGGGATATCCAGGTCCTCAAGACGTACGGTGCGGCTCCATACGCAGCAGCTCTAAAGAAGCTCGAAAAGCAGATCAAAGACAAACAAGCAAGTGTAAATGAGAAGATCGGCGTAAAGGTATGCATCTGCAAGCCCTTTGGCCTTGTTGAGTATACTTATGTCAACCTAGGAATCCGATACTGGTCTTGCACCACCACACCTGTGGGATGTTGCAGCCGATAGGCAACGAATGCAGGAAGAGCAGCCTTTACAAGTTGCACGGTGTACGAAGATTATCGCCGATGAGAAGGATCCCGATAAGAGCAAATATGTGATTAACGTTAAACAAATCGCCAAATTCGTCGTGAACCTAGGGGAACGGGTCAGTCCAACAGATATCGAAGAGGGAATGCGTGTCGGGTACGTATTACGCCGCGTCACTATCCTCGAATCCTCTTCTAAAACTGTGATTTTCTAGTGTTGACCGAAATAAATATCAAATCCTGTTGCCTCTTCCCCCCAAGATCGACCCTAGCGTTACTATGATGACAGTCGAAGACAAGCCGGATGTTACATATGGAGATATCGGAGGTTGCAAAGAACAAATAGAGAAACTCAGAGAAGTCGTTGAGATGCCACTACTATCCCCGGAACGGTTCGTCGGCTTGGGTATAGACCCACCGAAGGGTGCTTTGCTTTACGGCCCGCCAGGGACTGGCAAGACTCTATGCGCGCGAGCTGTTGCGAACAGAACAGACGCGACATTTATCCGCGTTATTGGCAGCGAGTTGGTTCAAAAATATGTTGGTGAGGGAGCTAGGATGGTTCGAGAGCTTTTTGAAATGGCGCGAACCAAGAAGGCCTGCATCATTTTCTTTGATGAGATCGACGCTATCGGTGGTGCGCGTTTCGATGACGGAGCAGGTGGAGACAACGAGGTTCAGAGAACCATGCTTGAACTGATCACGCAGCTGGATGGCTTTGACGCTCGAGGGAACATTAAAGTAATGTTTGCGACCAACAGACCGTCTACGCTGGACCCGGCTTTGATGAGACCCGGCCGTATCGATCGAAAGATCGAATTCTCTCTGCCAGATCTCGAAGGACGTGCCAACATCCTCCGCATCCATGCCAAGAGTATGTCGGTTGAGCGAGACATCAGATGGGAGCTTATTTCCAGACTCTGCCCGAATTCGACTGGCGCAGAACTAAGGAGTGTTGCGACGGAGGCTGGAATGTTCGCCATCAGAGCCCGCAGAAAGGTTGCCACGGAGAAAGACTTCCTGGCCGCAGTGGACAAGGTGATCAAGGGCAACCTCAAGTTCAACTCCACTGCCACGTACATGCAGTATAACTAGGCTACCGTCTATTAACCCTAGCTACTTTTTTTTTTTTTTTTTAATTCTAAGAGGAACTTATGCTTTAAGCTAGATTGGGCGCGATTGGTTGGACCTGGAATTTATATGTACAATGAGACCACGTATGCTCCATTTTCAGTGCTCTTTTTTGGTCGATAATGCGATAGCCATATCACTATTACGCCATAGGCGCACGCCCCCTCAACTTTTCCCAACCTCCTCTGCCCGGCACGTAGCTCAATGCGACGAAAAACGCCGATATTTGTTCCGGGAAAACGAAGTCACGTGCCTGCTACGGGCTATTCCGGAAAGCTGACCTAAGGACGGGCTGCGATTGGCTGGTCGGAGCAGACCCGGCCTCGGAAGAGCTAATCTGACTGCTTAGGTAATAAGTCTTTTCCGTTCGTGGAGCACTTCCGTAGCAACTTGAAGCATTTGTCGACGACAGGTTGAACTGCGAAGAAATCCTGAAGTTTCGTCCCACGACCTGGGCAATTCCTGATTTCTTGCATTATTGTGTTTGTTTGAGTGCTGATTCCGGGTCACCATGAGCTTCAACGGCCTGCGGAGCCTTGCTCCCGCTACAAGAGTATTTCCACCCGCTTCCACCTGGCGCTCCACCGAAAGGACTGTTTCAGCTGACCCTCCTCCTACAGTTCTCCAGATCTTTGAGAGATCAAAGGCGACTTTTCTCATCTAGCAGACCTGCAGGTATGGGCAAGACCATCTACTTATCGTTGCGAACAATTGGTTGATAAGCGGCGTTTCCCAGCTCGAATCATTACCAGCCAACCCCTTCGTGCGAAAGAAGCCTCGCCATTTCTCACAAAAAAATACCCAGTGATCGTATGTCGCTCCCAGAAACGCTGCAATCTTTCGTTGTTGGGCCATGTGCTAAGTGGGTTTGACCAATTTAGGATCATGAGTACGATGCCGTTGTCGTCGGTGCCGGAGGTGCCGGGTTGCGAGCAGCTTTCGGTTTGGCCGAAGCTGGATTCAATACTGCTTGTGTCACAAAACTCTTTCCCACAAGAAGTCACACAGTCGCTGCCCAGGGTGGTATCAACGCCGCCCTCGGAAAGTATGTCTCGTCCCCCCGTAGGCCAGGAAATTTCCAGAAAGGAGAGGCTAATCGGCCAATAGTATGCACGAGGATGACTGGAGATGGCATATGTACGATACCGTGAAAGGTTCCGATTGGCTCGGTGACCAGGATGCTATTCACTACATGACCAGAGAAGCTCCTCAGAGTGTTATCGAACTTGAGGGCTACGGCTGCCCTTTCTCTCGAACCGAGGATGGCAAGATCTACCAGCGAGCTTTCGGTGGCCAGTCGAAGGAATTTGGCAAGGGAGGCCAAGCGTACCGATGCTGTGCTGCCGCCGACAGAACTGGCCACGCTCTTCTCCACACCCTCTACGGCCAATCTCTCCGGTACAACGCTAGCTATTTCATTGAATACTTCGCCCTTGACCTCTTGATGGAGAACGGCGAGTGCAAAGGTATCCTCGCATATAACCAGGAGGATGGAACACTTCACCGCTTCAAGGCCCATCATACCGTCTTAGCCACTGGCGGTTATGGACGTGCCTACTTCAGCTGCACTTCCGCCCACACTTGCACTGGTGATGGTATGGCCATGGTGGCTCGTGCTGGATTGCCTAACCAAGATCTCGAGTTCGTGCAATTCCATCCAACTGGTATCTATGGTGCCGGTTGTCTCATCACCGAAGGAGCTCGTGGTGAGGGTGGCTATCTCCTCAACTCTAATGGTGAACGTTTCATGGAACGTTACGCATCCACTGCCAAGGACCTTGCCAGTCGAGATGTCGTTTCTCGTTCTATGACCCTTGAAATCCGTGAGGGACGTGGTGTTGGCCCTGAGAAAGATCACATCTACCTCCAACTTAGCCATCTTCCTCCCGAAATCTTGCACGAGCGCCTCCCTGGTATTTCAGAAACTGCTTCCATCTTCGCTGGCGTCGATGTCACCAAGCAACCAATCCCAGTCCTGCCAACCGTTCACTACAACATGGGTGGTATTCCTACTCGCTACACTGGTGAAGTGCTCACCATTGATGAGAAGGGCAATGACAAGATCGTTCCTGGTCTCTATGCTTGTGGTGAAGCCGCCTGTGTCTCTGTCCATGGTGCTAACCGTCTTGGTGCCAACTCTCTCCTCGACCTTATCGTTTTCGGCCGTGCTGTTTCCCACACGATTCGCGACAATGCTACTCCAAACACTCCTCACAAGGAAATCAGTGCCGATGCCGGTGCTGAGTCTATCGAAGTGCTTGATAAGATCAGAACTGCTGATGGACCAAAGTCCACTTTCGACATCAGAAACGCTATGCAGAAGACTATGCAGACAGATGTTAGCGTTTTCCGTACTCAAGAGAGTTTGGACGAGGGTGTTCGCAAGATTAACGAAGTTGACCAAATGTTCGCGCAAGTTGGAACTAAGGATCGCAGCATGATCTGGAACTCCGACCTCGTGGAGACCCTTGAGTTGAGAAACTTATTGACTTGCGCGTAAGTACCGTTCCGGGCCCGTTTATTCCGTCCACAAGGATAGTGTATACTGACAAAATCTGTAGTACTCAAACAGCCGTTGCTGCTGCTAACCGCAAAGAATCGCGTGGCGCCCACGCCCGCGAGGATTACCCCGACCGTGACGACGCCAACTGGATGAAGCATACCCTCACATTCCAGAAGGAACCCCATGGAAAGGTCGATCTTACTTACCGCGCTGTGACACAGACCACGCTGGACGAGAGCGAGTGCAAGCCTGTCCCACCATTCAAGCGCGTATACTAGAAAGTTCCGGCTTTGCCCCCATTTTCTCTTTCAAAAGCCTCTGTTGAGCCGGAGTTCTGTCCGTTTCATAAGCTGAAAGGACATGTATACAAAGATGAAAATTTTCTTGATTCAACTGTATATAACCATGATGCATCTGTCTGACGGGAGTGTTATTGACTTTTCTGTTTGATATACTTTTGTTTTGCTACCTTTTTGGCGTAATACAACGACGCAGATTTCCTTGTTATTCAAAAGAGGCGCAGCTGAGGCTACGAATCAGGAGCAAGATCAAGTTCTTCGACCACTTGTCGGTGTAAACCGGTGCTGTAGAAAATAATACGTTGGTTTAGGTGAAGGCGGAGGCATAAGATTGCTCATTAAGGCTCCGAACCAAGGGATCTTAACGCTCGAGGCATTCGAGAAGGCCTCGTCAGTGGACGTGCGCTTTGACTGTAATGACGCTAATTACAAGGAGCTCAGAGCCACGGAGCGCAAGATGAGACGAATCATGTTGATATCCCGGAGTGCCCCGGAGCAAGAGCCGCTGGGGGAGAGAAGCTTTGTGCCAAGCCTCGTCGTGCAGTTAACGTTTAGCTCGCGACCCATTACAGCATTGATCACGTCCCCGGCTGGCTCGCTCCCAGCAGTTTGAGTCGCGACGATATCCGGTTGCCATGTGCCAAAAAGCCACGAAAGCGAACTGAAACATTGCGGTTGCTCTACTGAATCTACCTATGCAGCCTTTAGGTCTCGAAACACGCCACACGCTCCACGACCGCAGAAGAATCCAAAGCACCTTCAGCGCGCCGATCGGCTGAACGTCAGTTTCCACATTCCTTTGCGATATGGGGGTCGAAAAGCGAATTAACGATGAGGAAATGCAGCCGCTTGCCGAGCGGGATGATGAGTCGAGAGACTCTATCGATTCGACGTCCACTGCCTCCATATCCTTTGCGCTCCTCGGTGGAGCTAACCGTTCGGCGCACGGTGGCCGAGTTGCTCGTACTCGAAAGTCCGAAAACCAGGAGAAATACCATGATGATGAAGAGGAGGGTGATTTGGAGGAAGGATTTGTTCCCCCCGCAGGCGGATGGTCGGCTCCAAGGAGAGTGAGCGTGATATTCACACTCATCGTTACGCTGTGCATTGCCGGGTGGTTGGTGGCCTTTTTTGTCCTGCTGGGACGTCACAAGGATTCTAGCAAAGACGCCGCTGTGTCGCAGGGAGAGAGCAATATTATACCAGGCATTTACTCCGGAGGAAGAGGAGGAAAGAAACTCGACCTGGACGGAGTCTTATTTGGCAATTGGAGCCCAAAAAGCCATGACATATCGTGGTTTCCAGGTCCTAATGGAGCAGATGGCTTGCTTCTTGAGCAGGGTGGTGACAGAAACAAGGCGTATCTGCGTGTGGAGGACATCAGGAGCCGGAATCCTGGAAATAAGGCAGATGATACAATCGTTCTAATGCGAGAGTCATCATTCATGGTTGGGAAGAGACTCGTCCGTCCAAGCAAAGTCTGGCCGAGTCCAGACTTGAAAACTGTCCTTGTCATGTCGGATCAACGAAAAAATTGGCGGCATTCGTATACCGGAAATTACTGGCTATTCGATGTTGAAACGCAAACCGGAGAACCTCTCGACCCCGAATCCCTTGACGGAGGGATACAACTAGCATCCTGGTCGCCCAATTCTGATGCTATAGTTTTCACAAGAAAAAATAATATGTTTATACGAAGATTATCGTCCAAAAACGTGAAGCAGATCACGACGGACGGGGGCACGAACTTGTTCTACGGTATTCCTGACTGGGTATACGAAGAAGAGGTATTCTCTGGCAGCAGTGCTACATGGTGGGATGGTGACGGGAAATTCGTTGCATTTCTACGAACTAACGAATCAAGAGTTCCCGAATACCCGGTGCAATATTTCATTCCTAACACGAACAAACCCAGTCGCCCGAGCGAGGAGAACTATCCTGATATTCGCAAAATCAAATATCCGAAAGCCGGGGCCCCCAATCCAGTTGTGAACATTCAATTTTTTGATGTTGAGAAGGAGGAGGTTTTCTCAGTTGACGTGGAAGACGATCTACCCGACGACGATCGCCTCGTTATCGGAGTTACCTGGGCATCAAATGGAAACGTCCTGGTTCGGGAGACGAACCGCGAGAGCGATCGGCTCTCCGTGGTGTTGATCGATGCAGCGAAACGAGCGGGTAAGGTTGTCAGATCACGGAACTTCTCTTCTTTGGATGGAGGATGGGTAGAGCCATCCCAGACAACGCATTTTGTACCAGCAGACCCCAAGAATGGACGGCCACATGATGGATATATCGAAACTATCCCCCACGATGGCTTCGACCATCTGGCTTATTTTACACCCATGGATAATTCGGAGCCGACTGTTCTCACATCGGGCGACTGGGAGGTGGTCGATGCACCGTCCGCGGTGGATTTGAAACGAGGACTCGTATATTTCGTTGCTGCGAAAGAAAACCCCACAGAACGCCATATATACACGGTGAAGCTCGACGGGTCTGGTTTACAGCCAATCGTAGACACTAAATCCGCAGGATATTACTCCATTTCTCTTTCTGCAGGCGCGGGATACGCTCTGTTGAAATATGAAGGTCCGGATATTCCCTGGCAAAAGGTCATTAGCACACCCGCAAATGAGGAGAAGTATGAAGAGTCTATAGAGAAGAACCCGGGTCTGGCAGATATGGCCAGGAAATATGCGCTCCCGTCTTTACACTATCAGACCATAACGATCAGCGGTTATGAGCTCCAAGTGGTGGAGAGAAGACCCGCAAATTTCAATCCAGACAAGAAATACCCTGTTTTGTTCCATCTATATGGTGGGCCAGGATCGCAAACTGTTACCAAAAAGTTCAAAGTCGATTTCCAATCCTATGTTGCGTCTAACTTGGGGTATATCGTGGTGACTGTAGATGGTCGGGGCACAGGTTTCATCGGAAGAAAGGCTCGTTGCGCAGTACGTGGGAACCTTGGCCATTATGAAGCCATTGATCAAATTGAAACCGCAAAGGCCTGGGGAAAAAGGTCGTATGTCGATGCGGATCGCATGGCTATCTGGGGGTGGAGTTATGGTGGTTTCATGACACTGAAAACACTAGAGCAAGATGCTGGGCAAACCTTTCAGTATGGCATGGCTGTAGCTCCGGTAACTGATTGGCGATTCTATGGTGAGTGTCATTTGGGCCTGTTCCGGTTTATTTACCTATGAGACTGCTAATCTAAAACTCTGGAAGACTCCATCTACACCGAACGCTATATGCACACTCCCCAGAACAATCCAGAGGGATACGACCGTTCTGCAATTTCCAACGTCACCGCCCTTGACCAGGCTGTTCGCTTCATGATCGTCCATGGCTCCGGGGACGATAACGTGCATATACAAAATACTCTGACCCTCTTGGATAAGCTCGATCTCGGCAGCGTGAAGAACTTCGATGTCCATGTTTATCCAGATTCAGACCACAGTATCTATTTCCATAACGCGAACAAGATGGTGTATCAGCGTAAGTGCAAGCGTTCCCTCCGAAATTGGTCGTGTTTAAGCGCCGCTAATTCTTCCCACGTTAGGACTTTCTGACTGGCTCGTTAATGCTTTTAACGGCGAGTGGGTGAAAACACGGGATCCTATCCCTCATAAGTCTCTTGCTCGGCGAGCACTTGGACTCATCAACATATTGAGAAATGGCTAAAGTGGAAATTACTCTATTGGCGTTTGGAGATATATATATCTACGTTTTGAATTATTTTTTTGCCCCACTGTTCTGAGATCTGAAAGCAGTCTCAGCATATCTTGCTGAGTGGGTTTGCTTTTCGGTGCTTTTGTTTGAGCGAATGCAAGGCGTTTTTGTTGGTTGGACCATCTTCCGGAAGACCATATGCATGAATGATTCTCCTATGGCCTAGCTGGCCTTAATGTACACTATAGATCAGAGGAATCCTCTTAAAACGACTTCTAGCAAACAAATGGACACGCCGTACCATTCCTTGGTATAAAGTCATCCCAAAGCCGTGTTCAAAAATGCGCGATATAAATCCTTCTCGCCACCACGCCAAGGAAGCAGTGCAACATTGGGGAAGTAGAGGGAGGAGGCTCAGTGACATGTGTATGCTCAAGACACAAGGCTCAAGGCCTATTCTTTATTATCTTCCTACCCGTCGTCTTCTGTCAGCGTTGCAAATACGTAACTCGAGGAGTGCGTTTCGGCGAAAAGCTCAGGTTCAATCCTACAGATAGTTATGCGTCGCTTCACTGACAAAGGTCTGAGTCTCAGAGAAACGATGACACGCTTTCACGGAGGACCTGAGACATTCACGGCTTGAGATATTGCGAAGGAGCAGTGAATAGCGGCCGCGCCCACGTCGAGCCCTCTCTTGGCGTCAGCTGGACACCATTCACCCCGCCAGAACTCGTGAAAAGCTCGGGGGGGGGGGGGGGGGGGGCCGCTGGAGAAGAGGGGCACAGAGCTCAAAGGGACACACAACTCGTCGTTCCATGTTGACGAGTTAGCTAGCAATTGTTATCAAAATTCCAACCTCCATATAATATCCGGTGTCTTTCGTCAACTCTAACCCGTTGATTACAGTTCAGCTCGTCCGCAGCAATGGCTCCCAAGGACATGAAGAACCAGAAATCTGCACACCCATACTTGCTGCCCGACACCGTTGGCCCTTTCAAGCCCGCTGTTCAAGGCCACCTCAAGAAGATCTACGATTCCATACATCCGCAGTCCTCCAACTCCAGCACAGAGGAATCATCGGATCATTTCTTACGAGTCGTCCAGCAGGATGATAGCTCTGACCTGCAAAGCCCCGCGAAAGCTCCCGTGCTCACCACCCTGGACTCCTTCATGGAATACATGTCCACCGCAACTGCAATGCCGCCCGGAGCTAGAGAGGATGATCTCTCGCTGCCAATGACGAATTACTTCATAAACTCGAGTCACAATACGTACCTGACCGGAAATCAGCTGTACAGTGAAGCCAGCACCGATGTCTACAAGGATGTACGTATATTTTTTTGATCGAAATCCCTCTTCTCCTTTTCCGGCCATCTCCTGCGTATCCCAGTGGTATATCAGCGTACGGAGGCACTTTCGGAGGCGTGGAGCCGGCTACTCCGTATGGCTTTTCCCGCAGACCCAAGACAACCAACCAAATGCATCCCTTTCTGTTGGCTGTTCTGTTCTTTCCTTTTTACTTTTCTTCTTCTTCACCTGTCAAAATTCATTCAGATATATCCCCCTCTCCTGCGGCTTCTTGCGTCATACGATGGATTCCTTGGCGATGTGATGCAACGTTGATCGACGCGGTCCCCCAACTTACCTTGCCTCTGGTTTGGAGGCAAATGCGACGAGGAAAATATGAGCAGTCACATTTCCTTCGCATTCGGAGAACAGCCGGATTTCTTCTGTACATGCTTTTCCCTCTTGTTTGCATGCTACTTTTTCCCTATTTGCTGGCCGCCTTTTTCAAACATTCCCGTTCTTTCGTTTCGGCATATGACCCGGATTCAACGGTTTTCCAGATAAGCTTTTACATTTGATGTATCCGATTGGGAACTAAGCCGTAAATAAAAAGCCACATGAATCTCTCGTCAATGCAAAGCAGCTGCAAAAGGCCCACAACTAACTGCCAGCAGGTCCTCTTGAAGGGGTGCAGATGCCTCGAAATTGACGTGTGGGATGGTGATCTCTCGTCCTCTAGCTCTTCTGATTCAGAAGATGTCGAGCACAAAAAGAAACAGAAGCAAAAGGACAAAAATTTGACCAGAATGGACAGTAAGAAACGTTTCAATCTCAATTCACTCTCAGATCGCCTCGATAGACTAAAGAAAGATAAAACTGGAGACGCAATGAGAGCTGCAACGACATCTGCAACGGCTGTGGCTGCGGCTGTCCCGCTCCGCCCCGAACCTCGGGTCCTGCACGGATATACCCTCACCAAAGAGGTCACTTTTCGAGATGTGTGCTATGCCATCAGAGATACTGCATTCGTTACGAGTGACTTGCCAGTCATTGTGAGTTTGGAAGTCCATGCTAGCCATGAGCAACAGGAGACCATGGTGGAGATCATGATGGAAGCTTGGAAGGGAATGCTCGTTGATTTCACCCCTGAACTCGCGGCGGAGTTGGAAAAGAGTGACTACAAGCACTTACCTAGTCCTGACTCCCTTAGGAACAAGATCTTAATCAAAGTGAAATGGGCCCCCGACCACGGGCCAGAAACAGATGTAGCCTTTTCTGAGATCTCTAGACCACCAATTGCTGCCACAGAGGTCTCAATTCTTCCAGAAGGTGATGCGAAATCCGCGGCATCCCAGGCAGTGAAAAAGAAACCTGTAAAAATCCTGCATGCATTGAGTCGCCTTGGGATATACACACGTGGCTACACTTTTAATGGATTCAGTCAGCCTGGTAAGCACGTCCTGTACTGGTTGTTTATTAATAAAAGGTATGAAAACGATAAAGAGGCTAATACTCGGATGCATCCACAGAGGCAACTAAACCTACTCACATATTTTCTCTTTCAGAAGCTACTTTGAAAGACGCTCACGAGAATCAGCGTAAGGCTCTGTTTGACCACAACAAAAATTTCATGATGCGCGTGTATCCCTCAGGAATGCGAGTTAATTCTTCCAATCTTGACCCTTCGTTCTCCTGGCGCCAGGGCGCTCAGATTGCTGCCTTGAATTGGCAGAATTGTGATAAGGGCATGATGCTTAACAAAGGGATGTTCGCTCGCTCCAAGGGATGGGTACTGAAGCCAGAAGAATATCGGGGAGCCGAACGGACAGATAAACAAGAATCGCCCGAGAGCGGTCGGGGATTAAAGTCTCGTCATACCGTACATCTATCAATTCAAGTCTATGCAGGTCAGAATATCCCGCTCCCGAAAGGAGACGAGCATGACAGAAGCTTCCGCCCCTATGTATCCTGTCAACTGCACGCTGAGCGACCGAAAGACAGTATACATTCGAAAAGTGACGGCGATGAGAGCGGCAGTGCAAAGTATAAGCGTCGCACTACGACCTGCAGCAGCGCCGATCCCGATTTTGGCGGCCAGACGTTACAGTTTCCGAGCGCCCCTGGTGTAATTGAACAGTTGACTTTCCTAAGGTTAGTACAGATCATACTGCCTTCGACCCTTCAGTCCCTTTTTTCGCATTTCCGTTTTTCCTCTGCGGGCCCATCTGTTTGGGCTGTACGGAACCTATGCTCGGAAAGCCTTTGAGATATGCTGGGATGCCACATCGATGGGCGACGAAGGTCTTCTCTGAGAGGCATTTTTAGTACCAGGGAAGCGAAGCTGGGTTGCGCGAGCGTCTCTCTTCTGTGATATCCTTCAACTCTGCACCCATACTCCATGTAGTTGAAAGTTTGGTTTCCTCTTTTGGGCTGGTGCATCTCAGAGCTTGACCACAACGTCATTTCGAACTTTGAACGTGAGCTAACTGCATAATAGGGTTAAAGTGAAGGACGATGAGTTTGGCAGAGATGATCTAGCCGCTTGGGCTTGTTTGCGACTGGATGACCTCCGGCAAGGTTTCCGCTTCATCCGTTTGTTCGACACAAACGGCTCACCAACATCAGGCGTTCTTTTAGTAAAAATCTCGAAACAGATTACTTGAATAAGCATGGATGCCCAAAGAAAAGACCTACCACGGAGTCGACTCGCTTATGCTGACGAATATTCTGTAACTTTTGTACACCATTCGTCACATTATCCGCCTGGGATGCATACATCATTCCTGTTAATTCCACACTTATCTACGGAGTAAATGGCGTCCCACTTAGGCATTTTTAATCTTTCGTGCAGGAACAATCATGGTTTTGGCTAGAGCGAACCCCATGTCAGTCTGAACCGTGCATTTTAGTCTCCGCTGGCCCTCGGAAAAATGTGACTAGGTCGAACTGGGAAGTATGTCAGAGCCAAGGTTCAAGCTTTTCGAAGCCTGGCAATCAGATCCTGCCTCGATCCGGCTAAATCGCCCCACAGAGTTGATCGAGAGAACGTGGAAAATGTCCAGACACATGCAGATTGAGCAAACGTCCTCCGTATATACTCCGTACATGCATATCGATCCTTGACACGCGGTACGTCATTCGGCGGATCTCGTATGCACTGCGCCGGAGAAGCACAGTCATGCCAATCATCATTACCGCGGAAAAATGCCCACGCTGGCGGTGTCGTTATTGGAAAGACCTCGATCTAGCCGCCGTCTGCTGCTCCAAGGACCCTTAAAAGGCCAATCTTTCGTATACGCGATGGATACAATCAGGAATTTTCGGAATGTAAGAATTTAAAAGCCACAATTTTAAAGATGAATTGGATGGAGTAACCATCACGAGCTGGTCAACTTTGCTCTCCATCTACTCCGTACTCTCAACGGAATGTCATTCTCGGCAGTGTTTCATTGGAGTATATTTCCAAGAAGGCCCAATAGGAGTTGAGTATCAGACCACCCAAACCGCCATGAGTTGACGCATCACATTTCTGGATCATACTTTTCTTCCCCATGCAAGAATTCCATTTCGAACTCTGTACGGAGTACTCCGTATGATACTGAGTTCATTGAACCATCAAAAATTCTAAACTGACCCGGGTTTGAAAGAATTTGCCCCATGAAATCTTACATTATTCTCGTTACAATGCGTTTTTGTTGCGAACGAATAGCCGTCAATGGCTTCAAACACATATCGAAGCAGTCGTTCCGGTGGCCGCAATAATTTATTTGTCCCCTGTCAAAATTAAAGCGATAACAATGATTGATCGGATCATTATTTCACTGTCAACCGCGTTAGGACCGACGTCATTAGCATGTTGTAATGAGAATGGATCCGGGATAACTTCGGCGCCTACGATCGCCTTATTTTTTTCCCTTGGGGTTCACACCAAGCAAGACAATCGCCGTCTATTAAGCTCAAGCCCGATGGATACATTTTGTCGTGCGGTGGGAGTTGGGCAATCAAAGCTCAACTGCAAATCCAGACGCCCAAATGCGGAGATTCTTCAGGTTATCTCATGACTATGGCTTGGAATGGTTCCACTTCATGGAGCAGCATTATTGAACGAGATTGCTTCGATGGTTCGGGAAACAAGGGAAGGTCACCTCAAGACTGGGTCACCAACCACTCGGCGGTCTGAAATAGAGTTTCTTCAGTCGTAAATAGCACGATTGCCCATGTATCCCACCAGGGCTTGGAGCGGACTCTTCTGAAAATGCGGAGCCTGATGTCGAGCTGGAGAACATTGGTTCGTGTTTTTTTAGTACGAACGGCCGAGAAACACTTCGTAAAGCCAGCGGGATATCCCTCGTGCTTGATTGTCAAGCCAGGTGGAACGAATGACACATACCGGGAAGACGCCAATCTTCTAATCGTGGTAACCATAATGTAGTTGGTGAATTAGAGGACCAATGCGAATGATTCTGAATGAAATATTCCGCAAAAGCATCTCCAGTCGCTATAGCCCGACGTGGGTCCCTTCGATATTCAGCGCACGTCGATCGGAATCATACGCTTTGTAAAGTTGCTGTGCTGCAAGTGACTAGAATTATAGACACACTTTTCCGCTGCATTGCAGCAAGCCAAGTTATGGCTGATAATGGTGTCTCCGTGGGATAGAGTGATACTCTTACTTGCTTTTTAGTTGGTCGAGGGGGGAAAAAAAGAAACCTCTCGTGAGTGCGATGTGGAATCTCTGATCCACATACCAGTAGAAAATAATTCATAAGGAGGCCGATTGCCGCAGCTCGCGAATCATCCAAGGCAAAGTTCCATTGCAAACAAAAGAAAAATTCTCGAAAAGCCCCATCTGAAGACGAAATAACCCCAGCGATCGCGAACGGACGTAAGGACCATCTCCGACTCGTCAGTGTCAACATTCATCCGCACCTCCCGAGAAGGAATAGTAAGGGCACAGATCAGCCAGATGTCTCCAGTATGGTTTCCTTTTCAATGACGTTGTACTCGATCCTGGATGCTTATAGGATCTCTTCAGCTGCCCGGTGTACGCTGTCCAACATGCCAGGCGGGTGGCAAGGAGGTTTGGGTGATTCCCGGGAAGAATTGCCATGTATGTGGCACGCCGTGTTAAATAGGCTATGCGTATGGGTCCTATCAATATCGATGTTAATAAGGAACAGGCTAACAACAACTGTGGTGACAAATACAGCACAACGCTAAATTCTAGAGCCAAGGCCATCAAAAGGCGACATAACGAAAGGGTGCTAGGGGAATCGATTGGACCGGCAGGAGATGGTTATCAGCGTCATCTCAACGTAAGGTTTCGGACTCATGGATCAGATATTTTGCAAGCCTGAATTTGCATTGGAATAAAGATGAAGCGAACCGGTGCTGTGATATCTGAACAAAGGTCTTTTTTTTTTTTTTTTCCAACAAAAAAAAAAAAATATTATTGCGGTGACATGAAGGTATGAGATAGCGACTTCCACATTTTTAAGAATGGTTAATGGCGCGAAGTGTCCACTATGGGTCTCTCGCTTTTTATATATGTACTTATTTGAACACGTCGATAAAATCAAGGCCAATGCTTCAGTTGGACTTGCGAGTCGGACGTTTTCTGCAATTCGCGTATCAACTGCTGTGAAGATTCCGGTATCAACAGATCGTTGTTAAAGTTGGATATATTTCCGAAAGTTGGCATGAAGTTGCCCCCTTGGCGCATCGTGCACGGACCCGTATCTCAGCCAAGAGCTGCAGCAAGCGAGAGTGAGGGCCTAAGAATGCCCAAAGCCCGGTTTTTGGATTCGCTGTCGGGTTAATTACACGATTGTTTAATCCAGAGGATTAGCGGGCGCTCCAATTTGTCGGTTAATCACGATCTGCTGGGCCCTGCGTAATGCGCCCGTTGATAGCCTGCATCAACTGATGGTATCTTAAGACTTCTATCGAATTTGGGCCCTAACGACGGAGAGACACGACTAGCCCTGATGCAAAGACCGTTCTCTCCATCCAGCCAAGTGCCCAACTCGCTTGGTTTGACACGTAAATTTGACTTTTGTGGTCCTCAGATATGTAAATATCCCACTCAGATAGGCCACTTTGACATGGAGATCAGCGTCATATCTGCGTAAAAGCCGTCTATCTCAACACCTTCCTTCGGTCCTGGGGTTAATTGCGGAAGGCGTGAGATGTGCTGACAGCAAAAGCAGTGATAATAGACTATCCTGCGAGAAGATTTCGTTAGTGAACCAATTCCAAGAGTAGTATGTCGGCTGCTCACTGACAGCTCGCCCCCGATAGCACGCATGAAAACCAAAGAAGGGCGTTGTTAGTTCGCTGTAACGCCACGAAGGAGAAGACGGACATCAAAATAGGGTTGCGCCGAGCGACTGGAACCGGTCGGATTCGACTGCCCATTGGTCAACATCCCTGCATCAACGTCATGTGATGCTTAGCTTGAACCCCAGGCCATCAACGTTCATGAACGATCTCCATGGAATTATTCCGTTTTTGCAAGGGACCTAGGGAATCAACGAGCAGAGTAACCAACTGTAGAAATATCTATTTCGTTATATTGCAAAAAAGTTCAGTTGGACATCATGACGAGTTCTGCTCGTGCACAAGACGAGAACCTTGTCCGTTCCTGGGGATTTAGCACTGTGTTTACATGGAGAGATGAGCCGTATGCCCCTCAAAATTCACATGTAGTGAACCGGAGCTAATCAGCCACAATCTGACACATCCCTATGTGTACCGCAGAGACACGTATTATCCCCCGCATTCCCATAACGGTCTCACCACTCACTTAATTCGGCATGGCACGTTAACAATCGCTTTTCCGAAAGACGGTGGCGCGAAGAAAATGTACGGGCCAGGTTCTAGGATCGACGTGGACGCAGGTCAGTTACATGAAGTATGGATAGGATACGAGGGCTGTGAATATGTCATCGGAGAATGATTTTTTTCAGAAGAAATTCCATGCCGAGGATCACTTGTAATCTTGATTTAACCCAACAATGGAATCCATGCAAAGGCAGTACCGATGCCATCTCAACATTCATAATTTTCCGTTTCTTTCATTCGGTCATTCGTTTTGATATCATTTACGGCGCACTCATCGACCACACGGTTGCCTAAACGACAAGCGAGACTTGATGCATGCCCTGAGACCGTCTCAGCTCCGAGGCCGTCATAGTGCAGGGAAATAACACCGCACATCAACGTGTTTCGAGAGCAGAAGTGGATGGCTAGATATTTCACATGGCTGGGTAAGATCGAAGAGGTTTCCCAAAGCTCATTCCAAGGCTGGCGTTTGTATTTTGCGGTGACCGGTCCGTGCTGGGCACTATATTGTCTGAAGGGGATCTAATTGCAAACAGGCTCTTTGTTCTCTCGTAACGGCTGTCAAATATGTATTGTTGCTGTCGCCATCTCAGTCTACATATTTTTGTAGAACGATTAATCCTTCTATCGGCAGCAATGAAAAGCTAGCGCTATTCAGAGGAATATGGCTCTTCAAAAACATGGAATAAGCCTACCGTCCACTCCCTAAACTTTCGTGCTGACTCCGGGAGCAACGTAGTCCTGCTGTTTAGTAGACTTTCTGTCTGTTCATAAATGTGTGCTGGGAGTGGAAGCTCCTCCAAGGACGCCGAGGATGGGGTACCGCTTTCCGGGTTCAACAGTGTCTGGATGTCGCTAGTGTACTGATAAAATAACTTCAAAGCTCGCTGGGCGCTTGTTGCTAAGACATTATTCTTGCCTTCGTTTCCGCCGCTAGGAGAGCCATTGGAGACATCGCTGTCGAGATATGAATAGCGGATGTCTGGGTTGAATATCCAAACCTGCGAATTTTACAGTCAATGGTGGTATCATCAATGAATTTCAGGGTGATCTTACCAGTATTCCATTATTTGTAGCACTATTGTCATCACGATGAAGAATATATCTTCTTGCACCGGTTCTCTCAATCTTCTCGAGAAGCTCCGCAGAAATAATCATGTCAGCCGGGTATATTTCGCAGTCATTAGCTAAAACACCACCCCCAGAACTATTCTGTAGCGGCCGCGAGGCCATCAAATCCGATTTGAAAAGAACTAGGCCATTGATCGACAGTTGCATCTGGCCAACGATTCCTAGGCATTTCGTGCACCGCACAGGCAAATGCGAGCAGCGGCTTGTTTCTTCTTTTTCTTGCCGCCGCTGACGCTCTGTGTCTGCGGCATTCTTTGACTCATCCAATGGAGGAACCTGGGAGGAAATTATGCATTAGTATGGAGTGCCCTTTTGATTGCCTATTGCCACACAAAAAAAAAGGAAACAAGGAAAAATTTCGACCTCAAACTATATCAGCGCGGTCAGGAAAGTGAAGCTAGGAGATCTACGGAAAAAGCAGGACAAATGCCATAAGAGAAAATGCAACTCGCGGGCTCATGGTCCTCCCCTGCCGTTTGATTTTAAATATATAAAAAGGGTTGCAATTTCCACCGGCTGGTTCAGATTGAGAATAATTGCATCGACAAAGAGGATGCGTGGGATGGGTTGCAGATCCACGACCAACCCAAAGCGCTCGCCCTCTGCTTGGAGCGTACATGTACCTCAGCTTGTATCCCACGGACCCCAAAGCTTTGGGAACGTCTACTCCGAGGTGAAATACGGCCGGGCTAGCGATTTCTTTTACCGTTGCATGTCCTGAAACACAGCCCAACCCGATTCAGCATCAGATAAAGCGATAACGAAGCATACAGGAAAGGTGGCGGCAAAAAAAATCCATACATCGTGAGGGTAAACGATGAGGATAATATTCACCTTCACCCTTCTGTATACTTCAAATCTGCTTTTGCTGTGCATCCCCGAATAGGATTGCATTTCAAAGAACACACTGGGAGGAATTTCGCTGTTATTTTTATTTAATCTTGGGCAGCAGTATCGGAAACTAAACCATGGAGCTATGGAGCCACAAAGCAGCGGTACCGATTCAGATTCCTTCTTTCTGCCCATCCCAATAGACCATTCTCATACCACAGAGGAAATATTGAGCTATTGTGTGACGGCTGAGATCATTCTCATTTTTTTTTTTGGGAAGGAAGTGTGATGCGAAATGGAAAGAAGCACTGCTTACCATGGATTCTACCCCAACAGCATTGGTTTCTGTCACGTAGAAGTTCATAACATCAACAAGCACTGTATCAGCCTGGCATACAGTGTGATTCCCAGCACCATACCCTTTTGAAGCAGCGCTCTCATTGTGAGTGGACATAGGACCATTATGCGTGATTTTATCTTTATGATCTCCATCTTCATGTGAATCCGGCTTATGGCAGTGCCAGATATCCATTAACTCCGCCCAGTTTGCACTTGGTAAATCCTTCCATACCATTCGGTTGCCTCCCTGGGGTTCCAAGAGGATATTTCCGCAAGCTCGGCATTTTATCTGTGTTTCCGCAGACATATGTTTGGCAGACCACGGAATCTGGGGAGTAGATGCATCGCGGGATGGAAAACATTGGCTACCCTCGTCGACCTGCAGACGAAAAGAAAATTCCCTTTGGTCTATATTGCTAGCACTTCCCGGTTGAAGCGGGAAATAGCTTGGTGCACTGGGAGCCACACGAGCGGGAAGTCGTAGGGACCGCTTTTGATCACCGACTGAAAGCAAAAGCTCATCTCGAGAGGGCACAATTTCAAGGATACTCTGGGTTTCGCTGGAGTTTGGCAAGTCGGCCAGCGTCACATAGACCGCGATCTGGGAGATATTCGGAAGAAACTCAGCATACAGCCGCAACCTTGATGCATATCGCGTCACCATTGTATTTGTGAAGCAGGCGGTTCCGTGGGGATGAAGCACTGCAAGAAGTTAGTAAAGGTAAAGGATATTCGAAACCCGAAAAGGCCCGACATAAAGTGTTGTGAATTGTGCTTGTGATGCACAGCGAGTTCAACACTAATCAGCTTTGGAGGACTTCGTACGGAGTAAACCAAACAGGCGTTAGCTACTAAATTAGTTCGTTATTCCTAAAATGGCTAGATTCACTAACTAGTTAAGTAATACCATGTCAAAGCTTCCAATGCAAACACAGAAAACATCAGTAGTACAGAAGATTCGTGAAAGCAGCTGCTCCGACACCATTTTCATCAGTACAAACATTTTTATCACCCTCTTAATTTTTTTAACTTTTTTTATTTTTTTTTATTTTATGGTTTGTTTTTGTGAATAGAACCTCTGCTGATGCTCATGAGAGTTTCCCACAGAGAAGGGATTTCAAGGTTTGGTACCATAGGGAAATCAGTGTCGGGTTGTAACTACACGAATTTCATACAGAGTAACTCTGTACAAAGTATACTCTGCACATACAAAGAAATGCAAAAATCTAGGTAAATCTAAATATATGGAGATGGAGATGGAGGAATCGAGGGAGGTTTGAGTTTGGGCCATTCATTCTCATCTATGATGGTAATTTGGAAGATTGTAAGCACAGGGTCCTCCGTATGCCTAGTGATTTGACGACGACGACGGCGTACAAGCTGGTAATCGCCTCAAACTCCGAATAGCCCACCATAGCTCTGCTTCATAGACCACCCCATCCTTGAAATTCATCAATAAATTTCAGCGCTGCTCGTAAATAAAAAAATTCACGATCTGCCCAAGTCTTCTCCGCCTCCCTCATTGTTCGTAGAGGTTTGATATAATGAGCTGATGTAGACATCTTGTGGTGCAATGCATGTTGACTAACCCAATTCCAGTCCCTTCCTTCAAGGTCATAATCTTTGATCGCGTTTATGCTTGAAGCGTTAAACTGAGGCCGGAGTTCGGCTATGTATAGCCCCAACGCAAGCAGCCACCATTGCCGAAGCAAGTTCACATGATACTGGGCGGGGATCGAGGGGAAAATGATACGAAGAGCATGGGTGGTGGTTAAAAGGTGAACGAAGAAGAAATTGTGAGGTTTTGCACCACTATTCACGAGTAATGCAGTTGCAAAACGCTGGATGGCCTCGAATTGTTCGGTGGCATCGGCAACGTCCCAGGCGGCCCAGTGATTTAGGAGCGGAGCTTCACTGGATTTGAAAAGAACGTCGAAATTGGCCACTGCTGTGGTCTCGAAGAGACCATCAAATGCCTTGTCATTCTGTACCCTGTTAATGATCTCTAAGAGAGAGGTTGTCTTGTAAGATGATGCAGAGCGTAGGTATGATGGGTTATCCAGATATTTATGGATGTCACCATAACACGATGCAGCCATTGCTAAGGCTTCCATCGCTACCTCTCGATTATCCATTTCATACGCATAGCCCAAATGAATAAGCGGGTGCCCAACTATGACCATGATCAGAGCCATAAGCCACTTGTAAGGTAGGAAAGCTTCACTCACAACCAGATATCAAAGAATTAACCAGAGGCATTTTATCTGCGCAGAGGTACTCCTGGGCCACCTTTTTCCAGTCATACCCACAGCGCACAACTTCATCCTCGAAAAAGTCTAAATATGCACGTTGGTACTCTCTTTTTCCCAAAAATTCTCGCCAATCAATGTCTCCGATCTCGCCTGGAGAATCAACCCATTGCTCCAGCTCTTTCGATTCAGACTCATACAGCCGATTTAAATGCTCAGAATCCCCGCCAAGCAAATATGCTGTCGAGAGCAGCTATATCCCAGGTAAGAATTGCCCCTGCTCAAGGGATGGGTTGTCACTTACATGTGGCATGTGATTATAAAACAGAAGCCCATTATACAATATAGAAAAGTTCGCATGATTCAGTTTGATTAGATGTTTCAAAGCCCTTGCGGCCTTCTCCTGTGCCGTTTCTACATTATGGGTTTCGGTGACGGGGACCCTGACGGTGTGTTCAGCTGGTGGTTGCGAGAATTGTCTGAATGAGGGTATGAGGGACGAGAGTTGCGACAACATGGTGGGGGTTGAAATCAAGCTATGCAGGAAATTGAACAGCACATGGAGGAAGATGGGAGTTAGAAACTTTAAACACTGTAACTAACTAATATACGGAGTAAATACACCGACAAACACCCTCCAAGTCTCGAAGCAATATCATGACCATCAGTGACCCCCAACTAAGGTTGGGATTAAACGCCCCAACACAAGCCGCTGACACGTGATGGCCACTTTGTTCCAATTTAAACTCGGAAAGGTCCTTTTTGGTGGCGTTCTAGAAGGTGTGGCAGACCGGGGACACAATCTTGGCAGAATCACTCTATCTTTGGTCAATGGATATTTATACAAAGTAACTCGATTATCAATACATTGCCATAGAGAACATAAGTCTTGCCGCCTAGGTATACACAAGTATATATTGTCTTAGAAATCTTGGGACTCATAAAACCACCAACTGGTATAGCGCGCACTATCCTGATGTGCATATAATGTCATTTCCATTTATTTCGACGCGTCTGATGAGGGGAAATAATCCTTTTCTGTTGGTTCCTTCAAGTGGTCGGTCCGGATGATATATTCATCGTCATCATCATTGTCTTTCGGCATTTCTAGTTTTCCGTCTGGCTGGTGCTCAACTTGTGAAACAGCGAGCCCATTCATACGCGAGGGGCCTTTAGCCGAACCATTCGTCAGAGCAAGTTTCCCTCGCTCTTTATCAGATTTCTTCGCCGTATCCACAGACTCAAATGTACGGCGCACGCGCTCGAAGTGCTCTAGTTCTTTTGCACTGTATAAATCGGTTAGTATCTATGTGGTAGATTTCAGAAAACGGAAGCCCATACCTAACACTTGGAACTAGCTCCTGCTGCGCCGCGAAGAAATCTTCCTCCGTTACCATAACCGCAACATCCTCCGGGCTTGCAAGATGATCAAAGAAGTATGCTGTGCTTACAGGGCCGCCGGGAAGTGCGTTGATCTTCTCATCCACGGCTGAAGCTTGGCGCGTGATGGCCTTGAGCATAGCATCAGAACAGAGTGCATATAAATCAGCTCCAGTATATGTAAACGGTAGTCGCTCTGCGATGCGCCCCAGCGAAATATCAGGGTCTAAGGTAAACTTTCGGGTGAGCGCTTCCAAGATAGTGGTTTGTTTGGCATGGGTATCCGAGACACCTAGGTAGAGCATCTTGTCAAAACGACCGGGGCGGAGCAAAGCAGCATCCAAGAGATCCGGTCTGTTAGTAGCACCAATGACAAAAACGCCACCGCCATTTTCGTCACCGCTGCTCATACCATCAAGCTCGGCAAGCAGTTGGCTGACAATTCTATCCATAACACCACCGCTATCACCTTGGTTGCCACGCTTGGGCGCAACTGAGTCGAGCTCATCGAAGAAAACAACGCAAGGCCGTGCGTCTCTTGCACGCTGGAACACACGTCGGACGTTCGCTTCCGACTCTCCAATATACATATTAAGCAGCTCCGGGCCCTTAACGGAGAAGAAGTTGAGCGAAAATTCGGTAGCAATGGCCTTGGCCAGTAATGTCTTTCCAGTTCCAGGAGGGCCGTAAAACAATATACCACTCCGCTTTTTCATTCCCTTTGCGAAGAGCTCCGGTCGTTCTAGAGGTAGTTGAATAGTCTCCATCACAGCATCCTTTACATTGGTCAGACCACCAACGTCATCCCATGTGACATTAGGAATCTTCGGAGCGCCAATGGAATCAGCAAAGTTCTTACGGGCGGCATCGACAGCTGCATCGAAGTCAGCCTTCGTGACGCATCGCGCCGCGTCCCCGCCGGAAATCTCAACATCTATAACCGTAGCCTTCGACCCTTCAGGGCTACAGGCAGCAGCTTCAGCAAGTTTCTCCAGCCGGAGCGTCCGTGCAGCCACCGCTCTTTCGACCACGTCGACTAAGTCACCAGCGACCAACGCAGCTGTTTTCACCGCAACCGAAGAAAGATCTACGTCGGGGGAAAGTCTCACGCCCAAATCTGCGACGGCGTTCTGGAGAATGCCCTCTCTTTCCTTTTCTTCCGGAGCGGTCATTTCCAATTCATGTGTGAACAAGCTTCGAATTCCCTCCGGAATTTTCTCCACATCTGTAGTGGTCGCAATGACGGCTCTAGCATCAGTAGCAATTTCTTTCATCGCTGTGACCATCCTATCCGCGGTCAAAACCTCAATATGTTGAATTAGAAGAGCAGTGCAGTCTGCACCACATGCAAAGGCTCTATCTGCCCTCGCTTTTAAGTATGCTTCGGTTTTCACATCTCCACCGTTCGCTCCACCTTCCGCAAGGATATCGTAAGCATCAATTGTGAAAGTGTGGAGGCCTATATCTGCACATGCATTGCGTGCAACTGTTGATTTCCCAATGCTCCGCTGCGTAGAAGTCAAAAGGATGACGACTGGTTTCATGCCAAGCTGAATAGCTCGAGGGCTCGTAGCTGCAGCTATAAGATCCCGTACTCGCCGCTGTGTTTGAGAAATATGTTTCCTCGGCGGCTCCATTAAAGTTCCGCGAACCCCTGGCTGTTCAGTATTGGAACGTGGGAGTGACTTCACACCCAGCCAGTACTCCCAAGTGTTTCCGTGAGTTTTTGGCACAGTGCCGATCTCGCTTCCAGCTTGGACCATCCTGGTGTTGAGACAATCAATTATCGCCACACCACCCCACTGTTCTTGTTCTAAAACATCGGCAGTCTCTCCGGTTGGCGTTGCAACATGACTGACCCGGAACCAAGCAACTCCAATTTTCTTTGCTCCGCTTGGTGTACAAGAGGCAGAATCAGAGGAAAATTCAAGTTGCGCCATTAATTCCTCATCCTGACCAGCAGCTTCGGGTGCCTTACTCGTTGAGAAGATGGTTTTTCCCAATCCCTCGTCCACACTAATGCCGACAATATCACCGCTCTTGACTAAGCGTCGTTTCAATTCGAAATGGCGCTTTAGAGCCCCGAAAAGTGCAGGCTGTAATGCTCTATTCATAGAAAGCGGTGTCGAAATCTTTAACAACGTAACTTCTTTAGCGACCGGAGGTGCCTTGGTGGAACCACCTTTTTGCTGGCTTGGACCAAGCCGCGAGGCTGTATGAGGTTGGTGAGGCGTATGCGTGGGCAATGGTGATAATTTCAGATATTTAGGATTCTGCATGTTATGAAGCAGAATAGGTGGAACCAAAACGGTAGGTGTCAAACTATGAGAGGGCATGTGTGAGATGCTTGATCGTCTATCGTGGTTTATCGAGTAGCGCAATTTGGGTGGTGAAAGCCCCGAAATTCCGTAGACTTTCGCGATCCTCCAGTCGTCGGATTCTCCGGTTTCTCCCAATCCATTCAGACTTCCAAACTTCAAGGAGGCGAGCATATTGCGCTGGGGCTCCTCAGAAGCTTCAATTCGAACCCAATCCCCAGAAAAGCAGCCAATTTTCACAAGAGCCTGCACATCGACGAACACAAATGCCTCTATGTCATCGTCATCTCGTGGTTTTGGGTGGAGAATCTCGTTCGAAATTTTGTCCAAAAGGCATTCCGCACGGAAAACTTTCCCTCCGAGTCTTCCCTGGCGTGCAGTACCGGATGTAAAGCCAGAGAGAACCGATCCCGGAGTGTGGACATCGTATCGCTTTCCGCCCGGTCGAGGAGTCGCTGATGACAAGACCGACATCACCCCAGAGGGCTGCTGAGGCAACTCAGGAGCGGCCAGCGAAATCATGTCATCCAATGAATCATCGGACATTTCACTTAGACTATGGACAGATGCATCCGTATCTGACTCGTCTGGTGGACTTGCGCTTTCGAAATCCGTGCCACTCTCTACTGGCCTGTCCTCAGCCGCGGAGTAAAACTGCTCATTTGTGTCTTCCCCTTCATCTTCCGCGACCTGATTTAGAAGGTTAAATCGGGGAGATGTTAAACCTTTAGTAGTCCGAGATTGCTGCTGCGACCGACTTTGGATGAGCACAACTTTGGTTGTGGGGACCAGAAAGCCCTGCGAAACGGGCTCACAGAAGGATATTCTCGCTGGAGGAAGAGGGTTATGGGTGATTGGGTGAGGAGGCAAGGGAAGCGGCATAACATCACCCGCGTGTAGAATCTTCTGAGCAGACAGTGCTCCTCTAACAGCGGCCATCAGCCGTTCTTCTCTCTCCGTTCGTGCCTCTTTTGAGTTCGTTTCCGCTACTCGAACTGGGACAAGCGAGTTCGCTTTCCCTTTTGTCCATAGACGACCACTTTCACCATTGAATCCGCCGCCGAATCGGCTTTGCACTTCATCAAAATCGCGCAATAGATTTTTCTCAACCGTTACATAGACAGTATCAAGATGAAGAGGGGCAACGTCCAAAATGTAAATTTCGATTCCACGATGTGCAAGGAGCGAGTTTCTCGGCGGGTCAACAGTCTGCAAAGCTTGGAGAAAGGACTGAATGGAATTTCCAGTGACTGGAAAATGCACAGTCGAATGTGATATCGTCGTAGCAGCCTTTGACTTATCGTTGAACTGGGTGCGAACCGGGATGATTGTCCAAGTGATATCCTCGACCGCAGAAAATCGCGGTATCCATGGAGCCACAGCCACGTATAATGTATCGGGAATATTTCCTGCATTTGGATTCACGAATCAATGTCAGAATTTCCAGTCCCCTGATCTCCACAAAACTGCACACAGGTTGCCCAAAACGTACCGCTTGTATTCAAGTGAGGGAAAAGGTCAAGAACCAAATCATCGGAAAGCACACCAATATCGCCTTTTATTCTATGATCAAGAATTAAACGGCCCGAAAGTGGTTTCCTGTTCGTCGGTTGTCGCAAGAAACGGGTCTTCCTCCGCCGGTCCTTTTGCGATTCTGGCACATGCTGCAATTCCCGCCCCATCGTGTCTATTGGCCTCATACACCAGCTTAGCAGGCCGTATCGCGCCCTGAATCGGCAAATGTAATGAAATTTTCAAGGAAACGATACAGATCAAGAAGCCACGAAAAAAGAACCTTGGGGGGTTGGAGCTTCGAGAGGGAGAGCCGGAGGTGAGATGGACGAAATGCGGGTGGAAAGCTTAATTCGGTAGTCAGCTTTTTGGACTTCCGATGCCGAGGTTCCTTAGCGGAAGATGCAGCCAACGAGCAACAGACTGCCAATCAACAACAGGCGCGTCTACCAGTCTTTTCAGTGGCACATGGCAGTCTGAACATGCTCTACATAACGTAGATCAAGACGCTTGTGTACGGAGTAGTGGTCAGGTACTCTTTACTCTGTACACGGCATAATTACCAGGCCGAAGGTTTCTACCTTGCAATTTCCCCTGAGCTCCTTGCCACTCGAATTCAAATAAAACAGAGACCCAACAACTATATTATACATTCAATTAGTGAAGAGCAAATCACGCTGATAAGTGGTCTTCTACTCTCAGAAAAATTCTTTCAGCACAGGCTCTTCAGCTATTGTGTCCGAATGCGCCTTGAACCTCCCTGGAGAGTAACGTCAAAAGAAACAACAACTGAAATGAATGTATTCGCCATACGACGTACTACAGACCTTGTATATCGGCCCTACATTAATTCGTCCATACAGCCTCCTTTCTTAACCGGGAGATGCGGAGACTCACAAGGGCTCCGGGTCCACGCAACGAATCCTCACAATTCACATGGAATTTTGGAAAGTGTACATTTCGAATGTAATTCAGCCACGCCATACTTTCTATTTGCAATTACCCCCAAGGTAGTCAACGCTGAGGGATTGGTACCTTGCAAGGAGGAAGTTCTACCATTTGACGACATTGCCATTACTCATATCCCCAGCTTTCGCCTCATAGGATATGTGCATTTAAATCATTTGTCCTCTCCAGTTCAATGCAAAAGAAATGCTGGGCCTAGAGGCTATATATGGAGGAGCTAAACGTCTGGAGTGCCCAAGGCGGGATCCGCTAGATCAGATGCAAGCAATGGAGATGGACCTAATCCGGAATGCCGGTCTTTATATTTCTCCGCCTCCCGAAACGCTCTAAATCATGTGACTCCATGATTCAGTCGCCAAGACCCAGCTCCAAGGCCAATAAGCTTCCACGAATTTAGGTTTGCAACAATTATAGCTGAGTTCAGTGGGTCTGTAGGCACTTCCTGACCACTCAGAGTAAAGGAATATTTAGAAGCCAAGCACCAATCAGTCCAGGCCATTCAACTACTCCGTACTACGGAGCACGGGGTAGAATCAATTTGTTTCTTCCGCCCGTTTGCCAAGGGCGCAACCCTGCCGCCACTGTTCATCGGATCAACAGCTCCAGCTCCTTCTTCCAGCCCCGCCCCGCCCTTCTGCATCTTCGGATCTGGTTCATCACTGCCAAATGCAGACCCTGACCCAACTTGGGGTCTTCGTCTCTTGGCCACAACAAGCTGGCCCAGCATGCAAAACAACTTCACTCATCTATATGGCACGCTGAGAGATCCACACGTCGTCCTTCAGTGTCTGGACTATTATGCAAGGTGACGTGACCTTTCGTGAGATCCAAAAATGGAGCTCAAGTGTTATCATTAAGCAAAGAGAGAACATCCCTGAGAGGTCTCGCTCCAGGTGACCCCTGTGCCAAGATAGCCGGCATCTCATCGCTCTCCTGTTGTGGCGGTATGGTTAACTTGGGCTTGAGCTCTTCTTACTCCTGCACCCAGCATTCCTTTCCAGCAGTGAAGAGTGAGTTCCTCTGTGACATCTGTCCGGAGGTCCCCGGACTCCGTATGAGCTTAGGGCTCTTATGAGGCGACGGTTCTTCCGCCCGCTGCCGTCCCTCGTATCAAGAATGACGCTGCCTGGAAAGTCTGATGATGAGCACCCATTCACCAATCAACAACTATAATCTCCAGTATTGCAGCAACCTTTTTACTCAGATCTTGCAGGATAAAGTCCTCAATGTCGTGGAGTGACAAGGATTGCGAAACCGGATCCAAGGGAAAGGCCCGCCACCCGAGAGCTTATGGACGTTGGGTAGCTTTGACAGCGGAGAAAAACATCTTTCCCACTCCATGCCTGGGAGTTTCAAACAGAGTGTTGCCAAAAATGGCTATCTTCCCTACTTTGATTCAACAGCCGGATATTATGCATGTGCACCGGCCAGGAATGTATCAAGTGGCTTATGATTCTGCAAGACAAGACAACATCGGAAACGATTGATGAAACAGTATACCTATTATCAAGCCTTCCACCTCGAATTATCGAAATCTTTATGGCGAGGCAATCTGGATCACATCTTCAACCAGCACTTTGTCCTCCGTAGATGGGCCACAATCCGTTTCTTCCGCTCCATTCTCTTCGCTTCAGAAACATGTTCGAGTGCTTGAACTCAGCCATAACAGCTGCAAAAGCAATACGCAAGCAACCTGAACCTTACTTGCTCGGTATCATAGCAATTCGCTTGTGGAAAGGATCTACTTACCCTCGTTTTCTGTCAGCCACCGCGTTCCAGAAACTTGCCCTCTTCCCTGCAAGGCTTCTCGGCAGCGTGAAGCTATCCAATGCGGATGACGAGCTTGCTCGACCCATCAACCAGGCACGAATACAGAGTTATATTTACGCAAGCAGAATGTCCCAAAGTTCTAGTTGGATCTTCAATTTTAACAGCCCATCGAATCCAGGCCATGTCCCTGGCAAAGGCGCGTGTGGCTCATGGATAGGGCTTATATTTTGCGCATATGTTCTCTGTGGTCGTATACACAGGGCGTACGGTGCGCCAGCTGACCTTGAAACCGGTCCTCAGTTGCCAAACAATATCGCATTTCGCGTTTGTCCCTGTTATATATGTAGGTAGCTGGGTGACTCTCCTAGTTGTGTCGTTGGACATACTCCTATCTGTTGAGTACTCAAACTAGAGTATATACAAAACGTATATGCAAATCTGTTTTCTTTTGGTCAGACTGTTTTACGGAATGATTTCTTCTACTCTTATCGCCACTGTCGCTTGTGGCGCCTTCGCTTCTCTTGTGAGAGCGGCACCACCCCAAGAATGTGTGAGTATAGGTCCTGGCGAAGTCTGTAGCCGTATCGCTAACTATCCCCTACGCAGTGTTCGATCCTCTCCAAAGCGCTTCCAATGAATGTCTTCGCTAGTGGATCTTCAACTTGGGAATTTGAAAATAAGGACTACTGGTGTTAGTTCCTTCCCCGTGCCATTTGTATAACCTGAGATCTGAACAAAATATAGCCTCGACTGCAGTTTTGGATCCAAACTGTGTCTTTCTCCCAGACACAACAGCCCGTGTTTCTGAGGCAGTCACCCTCCTCGGGGAAAACGAATGCAAGTTTGCCGTCAAAGGGGCCGGACATAGCGCCATCCCAGGAGCTGCTAATATCCATGATGGCATCATGATGTCGTTAGCTTGGTTGAATTCGTCAGACGTTCACCTTGAAGATAATTACATCCGTGTTGGAGCAGGGCAGCCACTTGGTAATGTTTTTGAGGCACTGGATCCTCACAATGTCGGAGCTGTCATCGGAAGGTTCTCCAAAGTTGGCTTGGGGATGGGAGTCGGTGCTGGTGTCTCATTCTTCTCAAACCGTGAGGGCCTGATGATTGACAACATTTTGAACTATGAGGTTGTTATTGCCAGTGGTGAAGTTGTGAACGCAAATGCAACTAGCAACCCTGACCTCTTTTGGGCGCTCAAGGGCGGCAATAACAACTTTGGCGTCGTTACACATTATGACTTGTCTATATTCAAGACGACTGGTCTCTACGGCGGCCAAGTTACCTACCCTGAAACATCCCTCGACCAGCTTGCTGATGTTATCTACGACTACCATGTTCATCAGGCGGTGGACGATGTCAACACGCACGCTCTTCCTCAATATGCTTTCGATGGCAACTCCAATGAGACCTCTGCCACGATCCTGGTTGCGTATAACGATGCGGTAGACGAGCTCCCAGAGATCATGCAGCCATGGCTCAAAGTTCCACATTCAAAGAGCACTCTCAAGAGAAGAACCTACGGTGATCTAGCTACTGAGCTTAATGACGGGTTTCCAAATGGACTTGTGTAAGTCAAGTCACGTTTACCTTTGCTCGTCTATCGTGACACTTCTTCCAAATGAGATTCAACCACCTCCATCCAGATTAGCTAACCACGTGGAATATAGCCAGGAGCAGCGAGTGTTCACAGTATACGCTGATGATCAATTTTACAAGGATGTCTGGTTCAAATATCGTCAGTGGCTCCAAAAATATAAAGATGTGCCTGGATTTTTCGGAAGCCATGCGAAGATGCCAATCACTCCCCGACAAATCGAAGAAGGAGTAAAGAAGGGTGGAAATGCGCTCGGCTTGGAAAAGGGTCCGCAGGATAAAACGTTGGGAAGTAAGTATCTTATCATATATTCTTCATCCAAGAAAACATATCTGTGGCATGAATTCGCATGGAACTGATCTTGGAGCTGACACAACCCTGCAGTCATCTACTTCGGTGTGACGTTTAACAATCCTGAAGACGCCCCCGATGTTTTCCCTGCGCACAAAGAATTCGTCGAGTCGATGATTGAGTTTGCTAAAAGCCGCAAAGTGCTTCACCCACTTATGTAAGGACAATTGAATGAAATTCATGTCTCGAACGAGACTGTAGTAATAATATGGATAAAGAAAGCTAATCGCCCAATGAGCAGCATGCTTACATTCTCCGCATATGACCAGCCAGCTATTGCCAGCTATGGAGATGAGAACGTGGCCAAGCTGCATGAGGTAGCAAAGAAATACGACCCCAAAGGTGTCTTTCAACGACTTGTTCCCGGGGGCCAGAAACTACCTGCTCAGTAGTTTCACACGAACAGACTTTATGGATTGTAAGATCTGGTCACTCCAGCATGAGAGATCGCTTGAATGCTGCAATGAAACAGGCGATCCTTTTGTTTACTTGCCTTTTCCACGATCTTGCTTGTAGCTGTTTTGAGTACTGTGGATACTCTGGGGTAATGCAGGCAGTTATATTTTGAATGGAATTTGATGGATGTCGAGTACGAATTTCTCTTGTGTCCTTCAGTCCATGCCCTGTACTCAACCAAAGAATTATATGTATGGAGGGAGACGTAATGTGCCCTAATTTTAGGCACATGATCTCTCACCTCGTCTGCTCGGACGACCTTTCTGTGAGCTATGTTTGGTGACGTCTTGGAAAAAAGAATCAAATCCCAAAAGCATACGAAGAGTGACGTAGGGGTCAGTCAGTCAGAAGATTTCAGGGCGTGTTCCTCGTTCCCCCCCGGGGAATGAAGTCGTTACCGCACCAAGGTTTTTATCTTTGATAATGGGTGCGAGCACGATATCCCTTGTGAGTACTCCGTACACACAATGTCCTCAATGGGGCCTTTAAGAGGCACTAATGTCAGATTGAAAGAAAAAAAGGTAAATGTCGATCTTTCGCCCTGGTGAGCAATTGACCGTAGTGGTCGGCGCTCCAAAAAAGGTATCGGAAGGCATCATCGTTAGGGGTGAGTCCGGCAGCCGCCCTCAAGTTTTCCGTAGGAAGCGCCTTGCATCGTGAGCGAAGAGCTGGTTTCGTTACGTCACTGCGTAAATGCCGGGGGTTCCCAAAGAAGAGTCAGTTATGAACCGGGATACGTACGGAGCACGGAGTCCAGATAGGGATGCCGCACTTCCTCACTGGACGTCCCGCGGAAACCAATGATTGGGTTCATTTTTTAAACTCCCAATGAACGGAAAAGCCGTGGATATTCGACTAGGATTCCGCGCGGGTGTCGATTTCAAACCCGGAGTTTCCAAAGGTGGGCTCTGGTCTTTTTGCCACCAAGATGTCATATTATTAGCATCAGTGAAGGTGCGGTGCAGGCAAGCAACGATTTGCCCATTGATAAGGGCCGCTACAGGCGTTACCAGACCTTCCACAACGACAAGGACAAGCATATCGACCAAAGCCATCCACCACCCCGATACAAGGCCCGAAGGACATTTCCCCAAAGCCAACAACTTCAATTTAATACGCACAAGGGTAATTATTAGTTAGTGAGTTAAGCACCCACTCCATTTGGATAGGAAATCATCGAGTTATAGCTGCTCGACATGCTTGACGCACGCTCAACCTCGAAAAGTTTATCGCTTAAAGCCCCAAATCTACAGAGCACTTTGACCAATATAGTGAAGTGTGCAACCTGGAATGCACATGTATGGATAAGCAGCTTCGTTTGGGAGTTTATTTTTATTTTTATTTTTGTTTTGGGACTTTACTGAGTCTTTGAAGTTAAATTGTATGAGGGGTGGCCGTGTGTAATGAGGTAACTCCCCTAAGACAAAGCGTAGCGCAACCACTGCCAAGTATGGCCGTATTATGATGGGGATCGATTCTGTCATTGAACCAAGGGAGCCTCCTATCGGGATTGGCTGGCTTTACCACTTCTAGCACCAACACTGGCGAGTTATTGCTGAGAAAATGTACTCCGTGCGTAAGGAGGATAACTCACTTCCCATGGATCGTGTCTCTCCAGTGGTGAAGCAAACTATGTTTCATGACAGTTGGCCTCAAGTCTCTCAGCCTGCAAGCGAGAGAGACTGATGTGGCTGCTTCTCAGTTTCTAAGTCATGGATTGTGTGGCTCATCGGCCGAGCCCAGCTCGACGCTTACCGAGTCGAGTTTAGTGGGGCGTTCCTTTTGGGGTGCGCTTTGCGAGGTGGGGATTAGCGCGGTTTTGCTGTTGAGCCGCAAAGGGGCTCCGCCGGGATCGTATCCAGCCGAATCAGCCACCTCCTGGCTCAGGGTATGCCCAACCCAATGCGACTCCTTTGTTCGCAAGGGGAAATTTTTTGTGTGAATTGTCAAATCGAATACTGCAGATGGAGCAAGGTTGCGAAAACTTTACCATACCCGTTGGACAAGAGGACAGCTCTGGGGTTGAGTGGGACGGGTGCTCAGCGATGGATGGGTGATGATGATGCAGTTTGTTGGTTTGGTGAGGTCATGGCGGTGCATTCGACATGGGGCCGTTAGCTTGGAATTTGAGTTGAGACAAACAACATTACCAAACGAGTTCAAACGGTAACGATCTCTCAACAACGCTCGACGTGCTCCATAACCAAATCGGAAAATAGGGATCTTGTGAGCCGCGAGGAAAAGGGTAAAAGTATAGCGAAAGACGAAATCAGTGCTCTTTTCCCCGGAGAAAAGCGTTGAGAGCTGGACAGCCCGACCTCATGCGTGTGTATTGAGGCTCTGTATGGATACGGGCGGGAATGGCCGTCGACGCTGACAAAGCAGCCGGAGAATTGGCGCAGGGAAAACCGGCGCGGCCAGATTGGGTTTAGTGCGGTCTTAAAGAGCATCCAATCAGAAGCCTTCGCTGCTCCGTCAATTAGGCAGACACCATAAAGCACGACTTGGCGCGTCACGCCCGCCGTCCTTCCCCTTCGTTCCCTCGACTTCCATCGTTTTTAACACCAACTGTCCTGTTCCATCCTCCTTCTTTTTGTCAGCGCTTGCTCTTCATCGCCGGCCTTCCCTGACACTCTGCCTGCAGCCCACGGCAGCATCCATTGAATCTTGCCCTGCTCGCACCGCACCGCGGCACAGCTCCATATTCTTATAACAGCGTCAATTAGGCATTGAGCACCGTCGTTCGTTCTGCTCTCTTCTCGTTCGATGATCACTCGGACACCCTCGTCCTCGGGCTCTTTCTCGTAGTTTCAATCGAGAACCGGGCTCTGGGCCGTGGTTGCGAGCAGTCTGTCCCATCGTCTGTCTCGCTCACCTCTTTTGGAACTCCGCTTGAGAACCGCACCTTTTTGGGTTTGCACTCAACGAGGCCGAGAAGATTGGATCCCTTTCTTTGGATCACCTCCTCAAAGAGTAAGTACAGCCAATTCTAGAGTTTGAATGACCGCAACCCGCCAGATCGCCTGTATCCGTTCCTTGGTCGGATTTGGCTGCACATACATGCTAACCTGCTCTGGTGAACAGGTCGACTTGTCGGACTCTGATTCTGGATAAGCTTCCACTCAGACTCGTGAGTCATAAACGGATCCCGCAAAGTTTCTTTTGCTCATTGGCTGTGGAATCCTCAGAACCGTGACTTGCACCTGGTCACACAGTATGTCCGAATCCCAGTCTCACCCGCGTCGCCGTCCCTTTAATAAGGCCGCGCCCCTCCCTCCTCTCTTGACTTCTTCGGACCATGGTAACGGCTCTTCAAACCGTGCTGTTCGACCTCATAACATGAAGTTGAGGAAAGGGGCTACCTTCCATTCTCCAACAACGCCTCCCACCGAGGAATGTGACCCGATCCTCTACATACCCTCTTTGCCTCGCCGAGCTCCCACCTGCTCACGGGCACTGGAGGAAGTTATCGCCGCCGGCGAGAGACGTGTAGCGAATATCCTCGGCCGGGTTGAACGAGACCTCGCTGGCCGTGACGGTGAACCTTCTCGCAGCAGACCTTCGTTTCCTGGCGACGATTCTCCCGTTCCTCGTGGAATCCTTGCCGCCCACATCGCTAATACTGACGCCATGGATGTCGACACAGCTACCAACCACGCAAGGCCTAATCGAAGCCGCCGTCTACCTCCCGTAGACATAAAACACCGTCGAACATCTGATAGTGGTATCGGCTCATCGATCGGTGAAGCCCTGCCGCACAAGTCCGCCGCTGGTTCAGGTAATATAACCTTAACCTCTCCCCTTTTTATTTTATTTTTATTTTTATTTTTTTTTGGAGGCATCGGCTAAATTTCCATCATCTAGGACAACCCAGAAAAAGTCCTAGCCGAAGTGCAATTACAAGATCGATATCGTATAAAAGCTCTACCATGGACGCCTCGAAGCCTGTACTCAGCCCCACCGCTGTAAAGCAGATCGAGCGCCGTATCCTTATTCCAATCCTTCGTGAAAAACATTTAGGACATTTCCATCCTCTTGTCAGAGGTGTCCCTCAACGCATCAAGCTTAACGATATCACCTGTCTTCGTGATCTCGAAAAAACACTATTGTTCCTGGCTCCAGTAAGTCAAAACCAAGAAATGGCTTGCCCGTCCAGCTCCTTACTCATTTGTCACCCACAGGACTTTGCACCTACAAGAACCTCATACATCAGCTTCTGCGACTTTACGATCCAGTGCCTTCATACTACGGTTGGATTTCTTAACGATCGCGACCAACGCAGACCTGCCGATCGCCCATACACGAATGGTTATTTCCTTGACCTTGTGGAGCAAGTGAGACAACACGCTGTCATGCTGCATTCCACTCGGCAATCCCAAGGCAAAAATGAAAACAACCTAGACTATTCATCGTATGTGGCTCTAGATCTTCTAGAAGAGTGGATGTACTTACACATTCATAGTGGTGAAGAACTCCATCTTGAAGGTGGGCTCAGCAGCACCGGTCGCCCCGCCGAACTCGTAAGACGGAAAAATGGTGTGGCCATCTCCCTGAAAACGGGAGAGCCATACGTAGAATCAAAGCCCATCATGCCTGCCATGAAGCGGTCACTTAGCATTGATTCAGGAGACGACGGAGTTATGCGATCCATGGCGCGCCGTAAGAAGAATGAACCTCCACTGAATATCAACAAGAAATGCGACCACTGTGAAAAAGTGTTCAGGAGGCCATGTGACTTGACGTGAGTACTTACTGCACTCCATTCATTCCACGGGAGAATGATATTAATCTCCAATAGGAAACACGAGAAAACACACACCCGGCCGTGGAAGTGCACCGAGCCAACTTGCAAGTATTCTAAGGTTGGATGGCCAACCGAGAAAGAACGGGACCGCCATGTCAATGACAAACATTCCAAGAGTCCACCCCTGTACAGTTGCCTCTTCAAGCCGTGTACCTACCAGTCGAAACGTGAAAGCAACTGTAAACAGCATATGGAAAAAGCTCACGGCTGGGTCTACGTTCGATCCAAGAACACAGGAAAGGCCAGCGCCCGTGGTTCCAATCGCCCGACGCCCAACATCGCCACTTCGCCAAATCTGGCTGGAGAGATGCCAACGCCAATCAGTGCAGTGGCCCCCTCTCCGTACACCTCTCCGTACCAGCCAGATTTCCAGTCTGGTACCCTAGGACATAATCCTGCAAACGAATATAATAACACATTTAATGAGGATTTCCCTCTATTTCCTGCAACACCCAACAATGGACTCGGTGAGAATGCTAGTCCGTTTACTACGCCCTTTGATTTTAGCTCTTTCCACGCTGGTCTTCGTGCCAGCGATCCACATGAGTATGTTCCTAACTTGGATATCAACATGCCTTCGGCGACCTCTGGGGCTACTCCTATAAACGAAGGTTTTGGTTCCGCGATGCTTGACCAGTCTCCCATGGATCTGAGCGATTCCCAGCTTGACTTAAATATCGACTGGCATGACTTGGAAAATGAGTACACGGCAATGAATTTACAACTCCCGACGCCGGAGTCCGTCGAAGCGTCGACTCTCGGATTGTATTCCCGGACTCCGTCCGTGTCTATTCCTTCCCCTGATGCACAGACGGGAGTTCCAAGCTTTTCTCCAAGCGGCCAAGGCAACATCATGCTTTACTCGCCTGATTCCCGGTTTGTGGATGAGGGTTTTGCCGATGTTTATGAGCCCTTGAAGAAGCCGGCCCGCGACTTCACGTTGTTTGATCCTCCTTTGGGCGGTGTTGCAAACCAGCTGGGCATGCCTCTGGACTGTTCAGAAAACGCTTTTTTCACCTGGTATAACGAATCTTGAATTATATTACTTTGCCGGTCTTCGTCGAATATATAACACAAATGAATTATACTTATGACCGCGGCTTTTGCACGATTTAATGAACTCCAACCTCCCTTATTCTGTTGTTCTAAACACTTGGGGGATATCTACTGCTGTTCTGTGTTTGATGACAAAGCCCTTCTTGATATTGATGCTAGCGGACTGAGGGCTCCCTCGGTCTATGTGCTACAGCTACCTCTACTCCCCTCGATCTTTGCCTTTGAATGTGAGTCTTGTTATATCCGTATGGGCCTCTATACCGTGGAAGTGATTAATTAGAGTGAGCAATTCGCAAGGGGTGTCAGTAGCTACGACTGGAGGTGTGACTTTCCTATCTTCTGCTCTTGTTGGATACTTCTTTATCTCTTTGTGTCTTTGTGCTTGAGCAGGTATCGCCGATACCTAGGTAGGCAGATTATTAATACATACACATATCTCAGGGTGGAAATTTGATACTTCAAGCTCCGTAAAATGCAAAGAAACAATGAATCAAGTAGGGTATTCTTACCTAATTCAGAGTACCTGTTTTGGCCATACGCGCCTTCCTGTAATGCTACTGGGCAGTTTCCAGGTTCGGGCAAGTTGCACGGATCAGAGGAGGCTGAGGAAGGAGGACAACATCGGGTCGCGGCCCGATCCGCACCTGCCTCACTTTTTTCTTCTCCCGGGAGATTGTTTTCTGCTCCTTTCATTCCCATCGTCCATCACTCCAGAGCTGCGCCACCTGCACGTGCTCAGCCCAACGAGTGGACCTCTCGAGGACGTCGCAACGACTGCACGCTAAACTTGATACTTCCATCAAAAAATGACATTGAACTGCCTGCATATATAAAGAGTGATCTAGTTGACTACCTATATATCAATTCTGCAATTCCAAAAATCCGAAAGTCCCAAAGTCCTAGGTTCGGTTCGCTCAAATAAACCAGCACTTGGCCTTGTGTAACATACACCTCGGGTACTACATTCTATTTATACCACGACTAGTCCCAGAAACCTGTACGCTTTTTCTAGCGACACTCCTGAGTCCTCCTCATTTCTCCAAAAAGGTGATATACAATCTCATTCAACTTACAGTTGGGGTCGAGGCTGCTTCAAGATGACATCCAGCATGTCGTTTGTCTGAAGAAGCGTTTGGTTAGTATGGATACATATTATGTGGTGAACAATTGTGCAATTTTGCCTCTTCCAGTGAATTGTCACTGAACACTTACGTAAGTGAAGACGTCGTGGCCAAGCATCCAGGGCTGGAACTCCTCGTCGGACCATCTGTTGGGGTTCCAGGCGTCATTCTTCTCGGCTTTTTCGGCCACTCCCTTCATGGCTCGATCTCGAGCCGCTTGCTCGGGCCCGTCTGGCAAATGCCAAATATAACCATTCTCGCGCCCCGCCGCTTGGATTCTTTCGCAGCGGGGCTTTCTGATAGTCTCAAATGCACGGAGGAGTTTGGGAAATTCCCGGATCGATTTTGCTCTATCGAGACATTCACCCAGGGCAGCGCCATCCTCAATAGCCGTAGCAGCACCCTTTGAACGGCGGTCTGGTTAAGACACCCGTTCACTGTGAGGAGCCTACACACATGGAGGACTCACCTGTGCCAGATAGGGCACCATAGCATGAGCAGCATCGCCAATCAGAACAACTTTGCCACTGGGACTGACCCAGTTTGGCAAAGGAGGCAGATCTGCCAGTTTCCACTTCAAGCAGGACTTCACCTTCGCGAGAACCTTGTTGATCGTAGGGTCGAAGTGAGCATAGTACCTTCGCATTTCATCCGGATCCCCTGGCTCGTTCCACTTCCCGGCTGCGGCCTGGCCCGGGTACGAGAGGACTAGGTTATACATGGCACCTTGACGGATTGGATATGCCATGATATGGCGTTGATAGCCAATCCAACAGTTGGCGTCCTCTTCATCCATGAGGTGCTTGACTTCGCTATCAGCGAGCATCTCTTCCGCCGAAATTGTCACTCGAAAGGCGCAATTCGGCGTGTCATTCGCTTCAATCTCTTTCTCAGGGATAACTGCGCGTCTGGTTTTGGAGCGGATACCTGGTTCATGACGTCAGGACGCTCCAGAAAATTGAGCTCTTGCACGCACCGTCCGCTCCAATTATCAAATCTGCCGCCAGCTTCCGTCCATCAGCCATGACGGCAGCAGGGCACCGCTCATCCACATATTCTACAGGAGTGCCAAGCATGATTTTGGCTCCAGACTCCTTGGCGGCTTCGAACAAGATCCGTTGGTAATCGGCACGATGAATCAACCAGTACCTGTCAAAATTGATTAGGCAAGGCCATACAGATGGTAGAAAGGCCATACATACGGAAACCCATACTTCCTCTCCAAGACGCCGCGGAAGCGGGTCGATCCGATAATTTCTCCAGTGCAATATCTTCTAAAGCAAAGGTTCCTTGGCCACACAACCTTCCCAAGAAACTTTTCCGTCAATCCGTATGAATCCAAGATCCGAGTACTATTTGGCGGTATTTGGATTCCCGCTCCGACTTCATTGAGATTGCTGGCGGCCTCAAGCACCGTAACGTTATGACCCTTCCGCGAAAGGCAGATCGCTGCGCCCAGCCCCCCGATACCTCCGCCAATGATCAAGATTTGAAAGCAATTCCGGTCCTTGCTTACCATGCTGGCCGGCTTTCAGTTTATGGGTTCTTGCTCGCGGGTTTGGATTTTTAGGGGAGGATTTTGCGACTCTCTGGCTCTCTCTTCACGACGATGTGAACAATGGCTTTGTTGAGGGAACACATGGATCCCCACCCTCGCGTTTTTGACACTCCGTAGCGCCGTGCTTTTACGGAGAGCCGTTACTGGATACGATTCCGGGACTCTTGGCTGCAGATCCTAAAACTTTACGCAGCTGAAAGCTCACTGTTTATTCCGATGGACGACTTCTACGGCTATGCTCCGGAATAACATGCCGCCAGAGCGGCCTCGCGTTCAGAGCCGTCCCGATTGCCTTGAAGGAAAAAATACGAACGATGGATATCCCCACGCGGAGACTTGCGGGAAGACCGGAGAAAAGCCAAGGTGATACCCCATTGGGTATAGAGAGAAATCCGGATCGTATTCCAACGGCCTGATTGGAGAATTGTTTCCCAATCATTCCGACTTTCATTCTTGTTGAGCAGCTCGTTAGCTTCTGTGTGACAGCCACGCAGAGTAATGTCAACAACCCCGCCGCAAGACCGTCTGGGAAAGAAAGATCAAGACAGAAGCCCTCCCAAGGATCTCAGCCTCAAATGGAGGACAATGTTCCTCAAAGGACAGTTCATAACAACCTCCTGACAGGCTGCAGTCAGGGCCGTCTGATGATCCTTTTAACTGGCCAAAATGGAGACAGAACACCCAATTCTTAATGATCGTGGTCCATTCATTGTGGGATGTGTAGTACAGCACAATGGGGTGCAATGGGTCTTTTAGCTTTTCACCATTATTAACCTCTGCCAGCTAGTTGCATATCCATTCTGGAGCAGAAGCAGTGTATTCTGGGAATTCAGAAGGGAATCTCGAATTGAAAGGGACTCCTCGCTTCCCTAGGTGTCTCCTTTCTCCACCGCTTTTCTCGCATCCTCATACGCAGTTTCGCATACAGGGTCATCTTCTGCCATGCAAACATTGCTGTCGTTGTTGAGACGCCGACTGCGTTTGGGGAAAGGTTCAATTTCAATTCCCAGCGGATTGATTATCATCGGTTGCGTACTTGGCGAACACCTCACTGGGCCAGCGTCTGATTGGTTTTTATAATTACCTCTAATACCCCGTGTTCAAGAGGGAATCCGGATTGTCCCAAAATACTACAATCGTACTAGGCCCAGAGTAGCGCTGGAGGCAGGCCGCTTTAGTAACCTGGTATGATATTTGGAGTCCCTTGCGCTACTTTTGTGGCTCTCTTTCACCCTTGCTCGTCCAGTCTCTCGAGATAAACAAATTCCCATTGCAGCTCACGTGGGAAGTCACAAAGTGAAAGCTGGCTAAGCACCAAACAACAACACATCTCCCATCCGAACGGCGTCTAACTACAGACAGGTTGACCCCGGCTGGTATCAACCTTGGCTGCGCTTGCCAATCTATGCTATGGATTGGCTTGTTTATGTTCTCCCCCAAACGCTCGCTGATCTACCTTTGCGAGCAGGCAAAAGCACGGAACGCGGTGGTTGGCGGGATTGATGAAGGGAATCAAGTCATCCGAATTTCAGACAGAGTCGTAGTTAAATACGGGTACGGGGTTACTCCAGGCGAGGTAGCGACTCAGCAACATGCCTACCAGCACCTTGATCGACGGGTTGTCCGTGTCCCGCAGGTCTGCCGCTTCTTTCAAGACCGATCTGATCCTTTATGGCCGAAAGGCTATCTGTTTATGGAATATATTCCTGGAAAACTCTTGAAGAACTCGTCCTAAACATTGACGATGTCTCTGAGCATCTAGTGAATATTGTCTCCGAGCTTGCGGCAGTTAGAGGTGGTGATATACCAGGGCAGGTTGATGGGGGAATGCTTCAAGTCTACTTGTGGGGAGATAACGGCACAAGGGAGATTTTTCACTCCATTGATGACGTGAATCACTGGCTCAACAAACGACTCCAACTCATCAACAAGGAGATAGATCTGCGTCTGTATCCTCTTGTTCTCTGCCACCTCGACCTCTGCCGCCGGAACATCAAGCTGATGGAAGACAACTCAATATGTCTGCTTGATTGGGGCCATGCGGGGTTCTTCCCGCGATTTTTTGAGGCAGCTGCTGTCTCAAGCATCAATGATAATGCTGCTTATGGGAACAGCCTCCACAAAGCAATTATAAAGGAAGCAAAGCTGACAGAGAGGGGGGGGGGGGAAGAATGTGTTAAGCTGCTCCTGAGAGCCCGTGCTGCTAGTTTGCGGTATATATTGTGAGTCAAAACACGGGAAAATGTTCTGGATTGGATTAACTGTTGTACAGCGAACCGCGGGAGGGTGCAGCCTTTCCAATTGGTAATGATTCCTTGCCCCCTTTGCCACCTCTTCCGCCTATAGAGCCTTGAATGTGTTAGCAACCAACGTGGGACTGGTCAAAATTACAGGAAATATATTTTCTCCAATACGTCGCAACTATTGTGCTAATGAGTTGAAAAATGGAAGTCGCAGTCCTCCACGGCGACTCAGTAATATGTGTGGGACTGACTCAATCTGGAGTAATCTTTCCGACCTTTGCACTGAAAGCAATGCATGATTTGGGCCTGGATGCATGGCTATCCTGGAGGAGTTCCGGGGAGAAAAAGAGCGAGGTGCAAGGTACCTTGGAGTGATAAACTTTGCAGCAGTGAGAGAGTGATGGTTAGCACATATATACTTTTCACCGAAAACAGCTCAGACCTTCTTTCGGAGCAGAGTGCTGGTGTTTGACCACACGTATAATTATAGAAAAAAAGATTGTGGGATGTCAAACAATTCGCTTTGCGTATACTCCAGAGAGGGCTTTTGAGATATAGCATGTGCATTTCAATCTTGAGCTGCGTTTTGCCGTGTAGATAGCTATTCGTAGTCAGTATTGTGAAGGAAAAAAAAAATTTGACACCGGTTCGCTAACCTAGGAAGTATGTAACCTCCATTAAGATTTGACTTGGGTTAGCTTTGCCTCATGTCCATGGATCAAGGGATCTCCAGTCTCCTCCCAAGACATGCTTTTCACGGCGCATTCTGCAAATCCGACAATCAGGGACGTGTTACTCGCCCGAAACTTTCGTGGATAGCCGGATATATTTATTATTAGCGAATGATAGAGGGGAAGCCATAAAGTTCGCCGACGCGGGTCCAGACCGCAAGCCTCATCTCAAGGCTGCTTCGTCCTGAATCCGCGGAGATCAGCCATCTAGTAGTGGGACATATACTCCGTACAGTAGTAGGAATTGGATCCTTTCTATAGTTATCTTTAGAGAAGCACATAAGGGTTCACACAGAACACAACAACAAATTGAACCAAAAGGGGGGGTGAAAAAAATAATAGAAAAAGAAGTGCCAGTTCAGCTGGACCTGTATTATGCCTCCCCCGCAGCCCACCCACCAAGGGTCGCGTCAGTGCCTGACGCGTTCAATGATGGTTGTGGCTGGGCGAGCGAGCACACGGGGTCTCTGCGGGCAGCAAGGAGGTCTCTGTGCTTTTGAGTGAAATCCATATGTGAGACTACGCTGCTGGTTTGCACGACAAATGGCCATGCACTCCGGGTCCGGCGGCATCGAATTCGAGCACATCTGCAGCGGTTGCGGGCAGCTGAGGGGGAAAAGCAAAAAGTTCCTCCCTGGCCAGATGGAGCCGGCGGGTGACGTGTGGCGCAAAGAGTGGCTAATGACCACACAGCCCAAGCTACCGCCCAGCCAGTGAGCGAGCGAGCTGGATAGGGCGGGCGAGCCAGCGTTGCTTTGGGAGTGGGGTGTGGATTGGGGGGGGGGGGGGGGGGGAAGATAATTTAGCAAGAATGGATGCTCACTTGAACAAATGTTCTCTGTGAAGAGCTGGAATTATGTTGCTGGTTTGTGTTCAGAAGTGGCTGGAACTCTAAGGCGCTAGTTTGTAGTTAAAAAAGCACCTGGAGTGCAGGAGGCGTGTGACGGTGATTACGTAGATTGCGCAATGCTGCCTCGACATACAAAGACAAGCCAGCCAGTCTCCTGCGACAGCAAGACAGATCCCTGGATTTCTTGCTCTTGATATCGGCTGTCCTCCGTGGTCACCCTGTGCGGCAGAATGCATAGCACATTCAACAAACATTGACTCTGCATCTCTTGGAAGGCCGTTGGTGTTTCCCGTGGGTCCTTTGTGGGGTAGGGAGTGGTGATCGTGATGGCATCGCGAGGAATAACTTCCTACTTTCCAGCTCCCACTATCTTACAATACTACCCAGCATTTTAAGCAAACAGTTTTTTTTAAAGAAAAAGCTTTAATTTGGGCCCTTTTCGCTCTTTTGGAACCATATCCTTACACACGCTTCACACAGAAGCAACAATCGCTTAGCCGCCATCTACGAGCTCCAGAGCTCAGTGTGTGCCTATCCCAGGCGTCCGGTGCGGAGTGCTGTGAAATCACCATTTACACCCTACCATTCCAAGCCTCTTTCTTTCGTCGTCCTTCTCTTCGGTATTCGACTCGATATTCACCCGGAAGATGGGAATTGGAAACGGAAACGAAGACATGGGTCCCCCACCGCTCACCCAGGTGTTGACGGGGAAGCAGGAACACTGTAACCACCATTTTTTTTTTTTTTTTCTACCTTTGCATCACCCCCTTTATAGCACTGATTTAAAAATTCTTGGCCCGTAGCATACTGATGGAGGCGTGACCATTTAGATCTTAAGCGAGAACTGATCAACCGCCAAGTTCGGAGCGAGATCGCTGAGCTCAATTCTCCAACCGCACTCCGCCGCTTCGGAGCTCCTTTCAAATCTGAGTTCGGTGAAGTGGCTCCTGTTGACTCGGAACTTCCCATTCTACGATACATATTCGTCCGTCACGTTCGCAATTTTCCTTTCCTCGATCAGGCGAAGGAGGAGGAGTTCTGGCAGGCTAAACTGCAAGTCGTGAGTTTTCACCGGGAACAAGGGCATGATGGCTCATCCGGGCTGCTCATTGACACGATTACTGATGGGTTATCCCGTTGTGGTTTGGGGGGAAAATATTAGTTCCTGGAATCCTTCGCCAACAAACACATCTCTTCCTCTGAAGACCGTCATGAGGTGACCAAGCGCCGTAAGCTTGCCCTCAAATGCGAGAAGTTGGTTGAATTGATGATGGTCTCGGGCATACGCACATCATCGGGATATGAAGAACGGATACGGTTTTCGGAAATAGAAGTGGTCGATCGAGGTGCCAACGAGCAAGGATTGTTGGTCAATGTTCCTGACGGACATTCAATAAATGGCTGGGATGTCAACGTCGCGGGCGTGAGAACTACGCTCGTGAAACGGACTGTCAGGTATCATCAGCATGCGGTACGGTCACTAGCCCCTCTGTCTATGACTATAAAATCTAATTTGACCTGTAGGAATTTCTGCTCAGGGTGCGACGGCCAGGGAAACCGGATATCTATGTTGGCCGCCGTTTCGGAGACTTCGCTAAGCTTCATACCAGGCTCCGAACAGAGCTACCTGGCAAAATTCTCCCGCCACTACCAAGGAAAAACAAGAGCTCTATGTCTGCTCTTCTAGGAGGCGCCGATGATGATGCGTCCTCAGTGTCGTCGCTTTCCACGGAAGCTGGACCGACAGAAGAGAACGGAAACGGTTCCACTAGGAACTTGCTCGTGCCGAATTCTCTAGGACACTCTCCATCACTTTCATCGCTGAGATCCAGAGACTCAGCAAGAGGTTCTGGAGAGCTAAAAGTTGAGCCTGTTACGTTGTATCGTGAGCAACAGCGAGTATCCCTTCGGGCCTTTTTGCGGGTGCTGTTGCAGAACGACCGCATAGCCACCTCCAAAGCTATGGAAGAGTTTCTAACTGCAAACCCTGTAACTTTGAACGAGGAAGAAGAGATGGATATACAGCGGCGCAAAGATATAGATGCAAAGAGAATAGAGGAGCAGAGGCAGTTCTACGAAATTGCCCGAAAGCGTGCTAAGGAGTTGGACGTTTACATGGAAGAATTTCGACAGGATATCGTTGAAAACAGTAAGACTCCCTATCTTGCTTTATCACTTCAAAAAAAATACGAGGTTGCTGATGTCTGTCGCATCTTGAAGATGGCTTAACGAAGCTTTTCCATGAGATCCGTATCAAGGAGACGGTAGAGGATCTAAGTCCTCAGTATCAAAAATTCGCTGAGTGGCTACGGATCGAGTGAGTTTGCTCCCTTTGCCAAATGTTGTCATCAATATATGATGTTAATCTTCCAGGGTTGCTGCGACTATATACCACCTTTTCCTCGCTGAAGACAATTCGCCAGAGTTGTTTGCCCAAGCTAAAAGAATCCATTCACTGGTCCCCTATACTATCCTTAAAAACGTAATTCGAATTGCCAATCCTGCCGCTGTTATGACCGGCGTGTTAGACCTGTTCCTTGCCCAGCCGTTTGGATCCAGATCCCTACTTCAAAGGATATTCTCCATGGCTATCCATGATGGAATGAAGGCATTCCAGAAATCCATCGATGCCCTGTCTACTAGAATAGGCGATCCTGTTTTGGTTGAAAAACTCCGAACATTTACATATGCGGATGAGGATCTGAAGAATCATATTCGGCAAGAAGCAGAAGATGACGACGTGGATATCATCGTGGCAATTTTGCGCTCTGAACAAATTCAACCTGAGCTGACCACAAGTCAGATCGAGAAGGTATTTAACTCGTACGTTGGTTGGGTTAGCGCTGTTGAGAACGTACGGAATACCTTGTCTTGAATGAATACTAGATATTTGCTGATGAAAATTTCTATCCTAGATCAAGGATGTAATGCTGCAAGATGCGCAGTGGTTTGCGTACTTGAAACAGCTGCTTAAGCTGTTGACAAGGCAGCGAGACAAAGCCATGATGCTTAATATAATTGAGGAGGTATCTACTTGATGACTCCCTTGTCCTAGAAGTAAACGATAGACTGACACATTACAGCCCGTGACATTGCAACTTTTCCGAGACCTCTTCACCATATTCTACGAGCCACTTGTGCGGGTTTACAAATCTGCGAATGTTTATAATAGTATCACCGATTTTGCGGCATTTGCAAACGATGCGATATCCGTGGTTGAGAAGGCGCAGAGACAAGACGTCTCTGCAGACCCAAATCAAACAGTACAATCCTTTATAGACCTGTGTGTCCGTCATCAACAGAGTTTCTATAAGTTTGTCCATGAAGTCCATGTTCATGATAATGGATTGTTCGATGCTCTTATGGGCTGGCTGGAAGATATCCTGGTATTTCTTCGAGAAGGGCCTGCGACCACCCTTGATATGAATGCGTTATTCCAGGGAGCGGTTTCCATGAATCAAATCGACAAAGATGTGGCCATCCAGGAAATCAACTCTCTTATCAAGTGGCATATGGACCGCAAGAAATGGCATCACGACAAGACGAAACAGAAGATGGCGGCCGAGGGAACCCCGTTGGAACCCGTTCCTGGAAGCGCAACGTTCAAGGGTAGTGATTTCGGGTTGAACGAGGTATGTGCTTATTCATTTGCCTTGTAGTATGTACTTATACCCCTTCAGGCTAACAAATTTATCTAGGCCGACCTCGACGACTTGGCTATTTCCGATGCTGCGTCGGATACCTCAGATGAAGATTCTGCGGAGGACGAACTCGACCCCATCGCCTTAGAGCGGAAACGTCGTGCGAAGAGGCAAGATCGGTTGCGACGAACGGCTGGAGAGCCAGTGAAACCGGAAATTCGAGAGATACTGAAACTTCAAGAGTCATTTACTCTGATGTTGAGGCATGTTTTGGCGGAATAGCGCCCGCATACCTTCCCTGAGATTCCCCGTATTGTTATCATTTGGTTAGTTATATTGTTTGAGGTAGAAGTAGGCCTTTTTTTTTTTTCTCCCCTGGTGGATATGGGGGGCTGTAGTGAAGTGCTGCCAAAGAGGATGCGTTTGGTGGTTGGTTAGGAGTTGTATTCCGCAGGCTTGTTTCTTTATTGTTATTGGATACTCTGTGATATGGTTCCTGGTTGGAAGCTCGAGATAGAGGTGCAGAGATTCTCTGATGGAAGTCCTCCGTACATAGCTAAGTTATTGTTAATGTCTTTCGATCTTCATGTTTCTGGCTTCTGAACTGAACCGTGCCCTGTGCGTAGGAGGGTTGCATATTTACTTTGTGGTTGTTTTTTTTTTTTTTTGGCAACAAACTACATATATGGGTGTGACGTGGTGTGGTGTGGCGACTTTGAAGCTCGAAAGGCTGGTGACAAGGCTGATTGTCCTGTGCTGCGTTTCCTGCCCCTCCCTCCATGGACTTGCAAGTTCTGATGGGATTCGGATGATACCTAAGCTTCATATGGATATACACTATCTTTCTCAAAGAGAACCGACATAATGACAACTCGTTTGCCACCCGCTATGGCCCAGACAAACAACACTGAGAGTCGAAGACAGGTTTCCACATTAACAGGGGGCGCGCTTATCAATGGAAAATGGCTTTGCGATTGCGTCCCACGCCTTCCAGCGATAGAGCTGGAGGCGAGAAAGAGTGGAAAAAATCATGGGCGGAAGTGTGAGTCTGATGGCCTCGTTGCACTGTACCTAGATAGCTACTACATTTGAGCCTCTCTCTCCCCCCCAAGCTGGCACTTGGACGATCTCTTTTCGCAATGGAATTCTTATTTTATTTCTTTTTTAAATTTCCAGGAAACTGATGGATATACTGCTACGAAATAGTCTATAGATGTGCCAAACCGGAACGCAAGCGCTGCAAATTCTTCATCTGGGACGATGAGGCCAGGCGCCGCTCCGGACGGGGCTTAATGACGAACTCGAGGACGGAGACGAAGAATACGATGGGTCGCGCTCCGATGACGCCATCTATCTCGCGAATGAGGGATGCCATGCAAATGGGTTTGCTGACACCCGAGAATACAGCTCAGAAGAGAACGCGGGATGGCGAGGACGATGTGGCCGCGTTGGAAAAGAGTCCGAGCAAGACACAGCGGGTTGGGACGCACAAGGACAACCACTTGCTGACTAACTGGTTAAAGAAACTGGAGCGTCCGAAGGAGATGGAAGAGCAAAAACTGGTGCAGGAGGAGGATGATGATGATGATGACCTTTCTTTTGGATGGGCCGAAGAGATGGACCAGGAGGCGGCGAAGTTGATGGAGAGCCAGGAAAGGACCGGGTCGACTTTGAGAGCCAATATGCCCAAGATCCAGGTGAATGAACCGCCGGAAACTAAAGGTTCCAACATGGAAAGGAATATCACTCCTCCTCCGCTTGCCCCACCATCAGGCGCCTTGCACCATTCTGTTCCGTCCAAGAGAACAAATCCACTTCCACCTCCAACACCGACACCCGCGCGTTTTGCATCTACACCACTTATGCGTGGCTATTCACTGCGCTCACAGCATCAGCAACAACATTGCAAACTTATTTCTGATACGCTTGGTCTTCTGGAATCACATCACATTTCTCTTCCAGAAAAGGCTAGAAATGATCTAGTGAACCTTTTGGATACATATGATTTACGGACACTGAGTATTACTAAAGGCAGAGACGTCTCTAGAATGGCTATTAAGACCAGAGATGCGAGGATTAAGGAGCTGCGTGGAAGAATTGAGTGTCTTGAGGCGGAGAGGGAACATCGAAAGGGCAAGGTAGCGGGAGTCTGAAGCCGGATGAGAGAACGAAATGACCCTATTCGAGCAGTTTACTTGGTTTTGTTTCAGTGCTGGTTGCCGGTGAAGTATTGGATGTTGCTTATGTTGATGAATCTACTCGTATATTACGGGGCCACATACATTTTTAGTTATGTAGTTACATGGATAAGATAGTTTCAATGATACCCCTATTTACTTAACTATCTCAGCGTTGATTTATCAATCGGTGCAACAACTCCTCAGCGGGCGGCAGGTCGATCTCCCGCTCCCACGTGACTGCTGCCCGCCGAGTCGAAAATTTACGAGAAAAAGGTGACAGCTTCGGAGTACAATCCTGCAGAACGAAAGCTCTACAACTACAGAAAAAACCTTGTTCCAGACTTGAGCCTGACCGAAATATTGTGGAGCACCTGTAAAGTTCCGGGAGTGCTCCCAGATCATGCGCTAGTTAGCTGAGATCAATATTCAAAGCGCGGAAAAGTTTCCCAAACCCTCCCGAGATAAATAAGGATCCCAAATATTGAAACTCTGCGAGAGCGTAACGCGAACATAAATGTCCCTGGCTCCTGTAACCCAGGAGACTCCGACCAATTCCTCTTCAGACATGTTCCGGCCGCCCGTCAATCGCGCAATGCGCGTCCTCGACCGATCGTTCTTCAAGAAGACGGTACCCCTTTCAGCGGCGACAGTGCTTGAGAACAAGAATATTTCCCGGGTAAAAAGCGAATTGACAAAGAGTAATGATATGCTCGCCCTGCCCAGGATTTTGCCCATACGAAAGCCGCAGGTGATCAAGAATGAGGACGATGAAGCGAGAAAATGCCTTCTATTGAGGGAAGGCGTGAAAGCGGACGGTATGATTTGTTCACGGAGTTGAATTGGAGCCGAATGTGATGCTCATTGGCTTAGGTAGATGTCTCAACGTGGTCTCCTACTATCGAACAACTGGTCGAGGCGAAAACGGTCGAGGTGAATCCGTTTGATTTACAGCTGGACTATGATTATTGGACTTATCGTGAGTTTATGAGCCCCTTTCAGCATGTAGAAGAATGTGAAGAAGGCTAATTTTTTTTTTTTTTTTTTTTGGAAAATAGCGGATATAATCTCTGCGATATTGCCCGAAGATGAACTGGGAGAAACACCGGTCGGATTTTCCCAAGTCGGCCATATCGCGCACCTAAACCTTCGAGACCAGTACCTACCGTATAGACATCTGATAGCGGAGATTCTGATGGATAAGAACACCACTGTAAGAACTGTTATCAACAAAATAGATGACGTGGGAGCAACTAGCGAGTTCCGCACTTTTGCCTTCGAAGTTCTGGCAGGTGAAAATAACACCAATGTCATCGCTCACGAGCAAGATTGCGAGTTCTCGTTCGATTTCGCAAAGGTATACTGGAATAGCCGGCTGAGCACCGAACATACACGGTTAGTGAGCACTTTTAAAGAAGGAGAAGCGGTGTGCGACGTTATGGCTGGAGTTGGTCCATTCGCTCTCCCCGCTGCGAAGAAACGTGTATTTGTTTGGGCCAATGACCTGAATCCTCACGGCTACGAAAGAATGGTATATGGTATGAAGAAAAACAAAGTCCAGGAATTTATGAAGGCATTTAATATGAACGGGCGAGACTTCGTGAAGTACGCTGCGAAAAGCCTATACGAAGCAGAGCCGGCGAAGGTGGTTATCAAGCCAAAGATCTCTCGAAGTGCACAGAAGGAGAAGAGATCCAAGTCTCCAGATCGAAAAACGCCTCCTCCGCAAGTTTATACCTCTCCCCGCACATTCGACCATTATATCATGAATCTCCCGGCCTCAGCGATAACTTTCCTTGACACTTTCATCGGTGTATACGCCGGTCAAGAGCAGCTGTTCGCTCCTCACACGGACCGACGTCTCCCGCTCATCCATGTTTACTGTTTCTCAACTAACAGTGACGATGGAGAGTTTGAAAAGAAGGAGATTTGCGAACGGATTTCAAAACAGATCGGATTTACAATCACACCTGAGGATTGCGAGGGTGGTACAGGAAATAAAGAAAGAGAAGTGGAGATCAGGAGCGTCAGGTTGGTGTCTCCGAATAAGAGGATGTTCTGCGCAAAGTTCAGGCTTCCGGAGGAGGTTGCATTTAAAAAAGACTAGCTCATCCGATGACTTCCCGTTTGTCTGCGTGTTCTATTTTTGGGTCTTGAGTTTTAGTGCATGTTAGGTGTTGCGCATAAGGATTGAAGGCTTTCCCCCCCGGGTCATTGTTTGATTGATATATAGATTCATTTTCTTCCACCCTAAACAATGAACAACTACAATGAAAAAACAAGGGTATTTCATTGGTCTATTCTTTTTCAGGTAACACGAAAAAGAGTTCCGGGTCGAATCAAAATACGCCGTTAGAATGCAGCTTTTATTCCACTTCCGGATTCTCCAAATGCCGCGCATCAGTCCCTCGAAACGATTCCATAGCCTTGGTAAGCCACCGTGCACGTTCTTTCACCATTGAAATGGCCCCGGGAAAGACAACATATATAGCGCACAATGGAAGCGCGGATAGGTTGGGCTGGCATATAAGCAGACTTTGAACAATGCACGGTTCCGTTTGCCGTGATGAAAATATATCGCTCGAGGACCTCGCGCCACCTTGCTCATTCTATTGGCCGTGGAACAGTCCTTTAATCGGGTCGGCGACGCTCTATGCAATCCCGATAGGGCACATTTTCTCTCATTCAACGAAATTCCTCAGTTTGGTCAACTCGTCTAGCAGCTCCTGTAGATCCGCATCTGAAATCTTATTTCCTATACTTGGAATGAGGGCTTTGGCTTCTTCAGCATTGTCGCAACATAGGCTTCCTATTCACGCCGCCATACTTGATTAGCCAGAGGTCACAATTGATGGTGCGATTGGTCGAGGAATATTACCTAGCTGAGATCTCTCAAAGAACTCTAACTCTGTGTGCGCCGATAGCAGCCGCTCAACAGCTTCAATGTTTTCCTTCTCCTTGAACCGTGCGAATACTTCGAGATAGTCTTGGGTTTTGATTAATGTTCTAGCGATCAGACGTTAGACATCGCCGTAACCAATTCGCTTCCTCTGTTCTCTTACTCTCTCTCTTCGTATTTATTGTTCGACTTCTTCCTCAGATCGAGGACCTTGTTGATCACCAGTCGGGCTTCGGAAAGCGATAACGTAGGCACATTCTGGAATTCACCAAGCTTCAGTTGGGAGGAAGCCTCGAGCTCGTTCTGGGGGAGTTCGCGCTTGCGGTGAGTGGGGTCGGGGACGGGTGTGGAACTCATGACTCTCTCATAGAGCGGACCTCTTTGGGCGGGAGGGGATGCTGTATCCCTGGTCTAGCCGGTATCCTGCTTTTGCTTTGTCAGTCACCCTCGACTCCGTAGGCCTGTCAAGCTTTGCGACGAGGATAGCTAGCGACCTTTTTCCTGCGGACGGAACGGTCGAGTCAAGCTTCGTTGCTGGTTTCCCGCTCCGCCATCACGATCGCGCCAAGACCCGGATTCATTATGTAAGAATGAACTAGTCTATATGAGGTTTGGTTCCGGATTAACCTTATGCCGAAAGGTCCGAGCGCCAAGACACAACCGTTTCGTCGGGAGTCAAAGCAACGCTTCTTGGGCGGCTTCGTGAAAATGCGACGTGCGATTGGAAACTCTCGAGCCTGACTACATAGCTAGGGCCTAATTGTGGCGTAGACCAGGTTCTTGCAAGATCAACCTTGCTTCTTTCAGGCCGCACCATCGCTTATGGCTGGGTTGGCTGAAATACGCGATTTTGGCCTTTCCCATGAACTGCTCGGCTCGGACCCCAGCGTCAGGGCTATCGAATTGGGCCGATATTTACTGTATGCCGCCACTGTAAGGGAAGCCGGCCCAAATGCAATTTGCGGGGGAAGCTCTTGGTTTGAAGCTAGGTATCCTGGGCCGAGGATGGATAGGGTCGTTTGGGGTACGGGAGACGCAGCGCCTTCTTTGACACAAAATGCGGAGAATGCTGTTCGCGGATTGGCTCGTATTGCTTTTTCTGTTGAGGAGAGCCAGAAATCAATAGTTAACCACCTAGTTCCGAGGTCCTTGAGCTTGTTTTCCAGTGATAATGACAGCGGCCAACCGTTGATTCGAAATATAATATGTCCAGGGTGTATGCTTTTAGCAGGGGAAACTACTCGTTCTCTTCTAGATTCGTTCTTCAAGTGAGAGTTATTATCTGATTTCACAGAATGGCGGCAAATAGATTCATTGAACCTGGATCGCCTGACGTGCGCGGGAAGTATCAGCCAACGGACGAGCACATTTTCCGGAGCCCCTACGGAGCGTTCCCCAAGGTCGATGAAGATCTGAATGTCCATGAATTCCTGTTCCCACCAGATCAGCCCCTGGGAGCAGACTACGACCTATTCATCGATGCGAATACGGGAAAGAAGATAACGCTGCACCAATTTTACCACCGAGTGTGCGCGCTATCACGAGCATTGAGATACGATGGCCCCAACCCAATTGGCTTGCAGAAATCACCCAGAGACGATCGAGAGGACGGAGAGATATTGGGTATTTTCTCGAAAAATCACCTAACATGGCCGCTGATCTCGCACTCGTGTTTTCGGGCGGAGTTAGTCTTCGGAGGAATCAGCCCAAACTCAACCCCATTTGAGCTTTACCACATCATGCGCAAGATGCAGATCACATCCGCGGTTGTACATGAGTCTCTTCTCCCCGTAGTGCGTGAAACTCTGGAGAGAGGACCGCAAGCGGGCGATGATAGCAACTTATCGTTTGTGCTCAACCCAAAGAAGATCATCGTCATATCTGATGATCCAACAGTGGATTTTGTCGAGGGCTATCCGACGGTAGAGTACCTGGTTCGGCAAGGGGGGAAGATGCCGGAGCAAACTAGAAAACTGAGGGGAGGGAATAACCTATGTTATCTCTTTCAGTCATCTGGAACCTCCGGGTTTCCAAAGGCGATGATGATCTCACATAGAAATGCGATCCACACATCCATGCAAGGCGCGATCACTGCGATGAAGACCGCGCAATTTGTACGCTCCCTGGCTTCTCTAGTTTTGAATTGGACAGCGACTTATTATAGCAACAGCTAGGTCTTACTCCAACACACTCAGTTATTTTAGGTAGGCTTTGAAGCCAATAGCAGAATTCTCCTAGGCATAGGGATGGCTTACGTTTGAATTAGGTGTTGTACCGGCGTACCATTCGTTTGGAATGATCCTTTGGACGCTGCGGGTAAACCTCAGCCCTTCGACCAACATCCTCATGTCAAAATGGAACTTGGAGCAAGCTCTCCAGCTTATACAGAGATATAAAGTGACCATGTTGCCTCTTGTCCCACCTCTCGTCAGGCAATTGGCTCAGTCGCCACTCACGGATAAATATGATCTTTCGTCCGTGATGACTGCCGTGAGCGGAGCCGCGTACTTGCCCCCAGACGTAGCGCATGAGTTTGGCCGCAAGCTGCCCCAAGGAACACCCGTTCCCTCGGGATATGGGCTCTCTGAAGCAGCATCCATCGCGCAGCCGATAGCCGAAGGGATGTTTGGTCTATCCCTCTCCAAACCTGGTACGATCGGACACCTGCTCCCCGGCGTGGAAGGCCGTGTTGTTGATCCCGATACACTCGAGCCCGTTCCCAAGGGATCAAAAGGTGAGCTGTGGGTTCGAGCGAACGTTGTCACTCCAGGTTACTTCCGCGACCCGAAGGCCACGGCCGAAATCTTCACGGAGCCGGGGTGGCTCAGAACGGGAGACCTCGTCGTGCGGGATGCGGAGGATAGACTTCATTACCTTGATCGATTGAAGGAGATGATCAAGGTCAAGGGCCTCCAAGTCGCTGCGACTGAGGTCGAGGATACGCTCCTTTCGCACCCTGACGGCCTTGTCAAGGATGCATGTGTCGCCGGTGTCGACAACGGTCGCGGAGACGGCAGCCTGTTCCCCCGTGCGTGGGTCGTTCTCTCAGAAAAAGGGAAGCGCAGGGATGCAAGTGTGGTTGTACAGCAGCTTGATGAGTTTGTAAAGAGTAGACTCTCGAAACATAAGCACCTTGCCGGCGGACTTGAAATCGTGGACTCCGTAAGTTTCTATATCTTTGATCTAGACATATGTATTTATTATTATCACCATCTTCGGTTCGGGAGTGCTGATGGAATTCCGTGAAACGTGCAGATACCACGAACTCCGTCGGGGAAGATGCTTCGACGGGAAATGCGCGATCGATACCATGCAAGGATGAAGGCGGAAAAGCGAAAGGCAAAGATATGATGATCCCTCTGAGAAGTGTATCGACATTTACAAAAGTAGATTTATGCATAGCTTAGATTAATGTTGAGATGTTCTTAGCACTCAACGAATACGAAAGCTAGGTATTTACCACACTCTCCTAGAAATATTGACTTGAAGAAGAAGAAGAAGAAGAAGCTGGGAGTAGGTGGCATCGGAGCTGAAGGCCGTTAGAGCTAAGATCTCGGCTGGGGACCCTGAAGCCCCATACTTCTCCATCAATGATATCACCAGCCGCAGAGCCGTACATACACTGATTTCGTAGGGTCGACATCCTTGTCCTCAAAAACTGGCCATCTAGAAGAGAGAGCGTAGCAGAGTGAGTGTATTTCCATGGTTTGCCGCCCTTAACTTCCCGGAAGTCAAGAGCGAACCCAAAAAAGAAAAAAAAAAAGAACTAAAAATTAAAAATTAAAAATTAAAAATTAAAAGTTAAAAATTAAAAATTAAAAATTAAAAATTAAAAATAAAAAATAAAAATATAGAGAAAATAAAACAAAATAAAAAACAAAATAAAAACAAAAATAAAAGTAAAAAACAAAATGGCCGGGTCCCTGGCGGCGTGAACAAGCCTTCAACCATGGTTGTAAGGGCGCTGGAACTGGGTTTTTCCCTTCGAACGCAAAGCATCCATGGTCTAATAATAAACCCGGTCGTCGATTAGCATGGCTTGTTGTTTCGCCCGCCACCCCGTCGGTCGCGGCCGGCCAGCTGACGCTTGAAACAAGCCCACTCTCCATGGCCTGCCCGTCAAGACAAACCACTCTCTCTCCATCTCCATCTGCACCGCCGCTAGCAAGAAGTGGAACTGCAAAGCGACCCTGAAACAGCGCCGGCGGCAGGTCACGTGCACGCCTCATTCTGCCTAGCGCGGCTCACTAGCGGCATCGACTTGGGTGAACCACAAGAAAGGCGGGCGGCCAAGCAGCTCGATGCGCAGCCCTTCTCCCGCCAAACAACATTTCCCCTGCCGCGCTGGTGTTGTGTTCTCTCTCTCTCTCTCTCTTTCTACTCTCTCTATGTGCTCGCCGTTCCTTTCCTGTGCTTTCTCTCTGTCCTGCTTCCCCTCTCTGCTGCCCTGCTCACGACGCGCCCGCTGTCTCTCCGCGCCCTGCTGCTCGCGTAGACCAACGCGGTTAGGGTGGTCAGTCGTTTATCTGCCAGCCTCAGATCCTCTCACTCTGTCGGTGAACGAGGGGGTTAGATATTCATCTGCATGCCAAGCTACTTCGCCGCCCTCACATCCTCATATTTGACCCCCAGCAGCCTTTTTATCAGACCCTTCCTGGCCCTGATCTCATTAACTCTTTATTTGCCGGTCCTGCTAGAAGGTCAATTACCCTGAGAGATCCAGTCGTGTTTGCAACCTCCAACCAGCCCGTCTCCTGTTTTCCCTCACTTCGCGTCACCTGCCCTTGTGTCATCACAAACACTCACTCGATTCAAAACCTCCTGTGAGAGATTCCGCGAATCTAACCTTTGGGCTTCCGGAACAACAACTCTCTCTTCATTGAGAGATTGCTTGAGTCACCCAATAGCACCCAACAATTGGCACGCTCCCTCAAATTACGGAGACTCGTCGATCATTGACCTTTCCTGCTTAGTCGCCGGCTTGTCAGCAACTCGCGCGATTTCTCTCCCTTCCCTCGAGAACCTTTTTTTTTCCCTTTCTCCAACGATCCCCTAATCCTCTCCGCCGTCCTGCCACCGTTTAACACACCCCTCCCACGCTCCCTTTTTCCAAAAAATAAACAAAAAGCATAAAGTAAAACCAGACAAGCCGCACCCTCAAGCTCTGCTGCCCGGCGACCTCGACCTCTAGTGCTGTTCGGGGAGGTTATCTGACGCGGAGATGCCTCCACCGCCAGGTATTCCCCCGGAATTAATTCCTGGTGGCGCACGAAATGGGGGACTACAGGCAAACACGAACACAGGAGTGTATGGTGATGCGTACCAGACCCACTCGCCCACGGACATCCCAGACCCTACCACAGGCGCCCCCTGGGCAAATTCCTCTGCTCCAAACCCGGAACAGACCGACAACCGTCTAGGCAGGCCTCAAGAGCCCGGACAAGGTCAGAGAGAAAGATCTACTCCACGTGATCGATCCCGCCAGAATGGCCCCGCCGGTGGTAAATCGCCAGGGAATACTTCAAGAATCTGTCGCAAGTGCGGAGAGCCCCTCCTGGGACAGTTTGTTCGTGCTCTGGGAGGCACGTATCACTTAGAGTGCTTTCAGTGTAATGTACGCGTCAATGCCACTTTGCTTGCATGTGGCATTCTTCTGACTGACATCCATGTTAGGATTGCGGAGATGTTGTCGCGTCCAAGTTCTTTCCTGTTGATGCTGAGGATGGAAATGGACAATACCCTTTGTGTGAAACAGATTATTTTCGGCGTTTGAACCTGATATGCTATGAATGTGGTGGTGCACTCCGTGGATCTTATATCACTGCACTGGATCGAAAGTACCACATTGAACATTTCACATGTTCTGTTTGTCCAGCCATCTTTGGAGCACAAGACAGCTACTATGAGCATGACGCCAAGGTGTACTGCCATTATCACTACTCCACCTGTTTCGCACAGAGATGCAATGGCTGCCAGACCGCGATCCTCAAGCAGTTTGTTGAGATATTCCGCAATGGTCAGAACCAGCATTGGCATCCAGAATGTTACATGATCCACAAGTTCTGGAATGTCCGCTTGGCACCAAACGGGCAGGAGTATGAGCCTCCGGAACTCGATGTCGATGCTCCCCAGGAAGAACGTGACCGGATCCGAAAGAAAGAAGACGAGATGGAGGAGAAAGTGTACCGCATCTGGAGTGTCCTGTCGACCTTCGAGGAGTCGTCGGCGCAGTGCATATCTGACATGTTGCTGCATGTTAGCAACGGCGCTTATGCTGATGGAGTTGTCGTGGCGAAGAAATTCATTTTTCATGTGGAGGTATTGTTCAAGGGCACCGACAGACTTGCGGCTGTCATATCATCCAAAGGCATGAAAGGTAATACCCCAGTAACGTTGCATTCTGCAGGAGTATGCTGACCTTGACCTTCTTCTTTAGACCTGTCGTATGCTCGAGAGGCTAAACTCCTTTGCAAGAAGATAGTTGCATTCTTTGCGCTCCTGTCGAAGACTCAGGAAACCGGAGTTCGTAAACTTGGAGTAACCCAAGAGTTGCTCGCCCTCGTTACTGGATTGGCCCATTATCTTAAACTTTTGATCCGCATTGGATTGCAGGGTGCTCTTAAGGTTGAAAGAGAGACCCAAAGTGCAGATGAGCTATTCAAGTTCCTCCAGAAAGCTGAAGATTTAGACGGCCTTAATCGGATTTCGGCTAGTGGGCTGACGAGCAACGTTGAGCGACTCGCAAATCAACAATCGGACTGCTGTGCTGCTTGCAAGGATCCTATCGATGATGAGTGTATTTCACTTGGAGAAAGGCTTTGGCATAAGAAGCCACCTCATCTCGTTTGTGGTGCTTGCCAGGATGATCTCACCATGGATCTCTCGAGAGCTCGCTGGAGCGAAAAGAACGATCGGCCATACTGCCGTGCGTGTGCTGAGCAAAGAGGCCATGATTCCCAAGCCATTGGCGGATTTGTCTATGTCACAAGGCTGCAGCAATATGTTTTCCTCTTGGAAGTGGCTCTCGCAAGACTCTTGGCTGTGCTTCGATCGGGAGGCACGCTGCCACATACATCAGGTACGATGCACTCCTTCCCTTCTTTCTGCTTTGCCTCATTAAATTCACCTTTCCACTCAGATGATCCGAACTTGAACCAATATGAAGCGAACGATGGACACAGAGTCTCCGCCACAGGCGAATTGCAATCTCCTCCCCAGAGGGCCAACACCAGGTCGAATTCCTATGCGGAAGCGTCCAAAGACACTGCGCCTTCTTCGCTAGAACAGACCGTGGGGGAAATGCGAAGACTCCGATCCACTCGGAATGAGCGAGCAGTATCTACTACATTCAAGAAAGCCCGAACTTCTCGAATTATCGATGGTCCTAAGGGAAGCAGCGCCAGACCAGGCTCTTCTGGAGTCGAGGGTGACTCGCGGCAGTATGGGTTCCAGATTGTCGAGGAAAGAGGTGCTGACGGTGAACCAATAACGGATTTGACTTTTGGCAATCAAGACGCATTGACCCTTGATGATATTTCACGCATTGTCGCCGCTGAGCAGGCTAAAGAGCACCGTCCCAACGCTTTCAAACATGCCCGTACAGGGCTTGTGGCCTCTGCAGAACCGACCCCAAAGATTAAGCAAGGCCATCAACGCGAATTATCAAATGCCGAGGATAGACAGGGACAGCAGCCTCCGAAACATACGAAATATTTCTCTGAGTTGTCAGCCCTTGAATACTTCATTGTTCGCCATGTAGCTGTCTTGTCAATGCAACCACTCGTCGAGGGACATTTTAATCTCGAGGAGTTGCTCGAGTTAATCGAAACACGAAAACCAACCATTTGGAATATCTTTGGAAAAGCGTTTAAAAACGATAGCCGCAAAGGTGGAAAGAAGAAGGGCGTTTTTGGTGTTAACCTGGAGCAGCTGGTTGATAGGGATGGTACGGAGTCGACTCACGGCGTTGGTCCTGGCAATCTTCGCATCCCAACGTTTGTTGACGATGCCATCTCTGCCATGAGACAAATGGATATGTCTGTTGAAGGTGTCTTCCGGAAAAACGGCAATATCAGGCGATTGAAGGATACTGCTGAGTTGATCGACACGAAATATGAAACTGCAGATTTGAATAAAGAAAGCCCCGTCCAAGTGGCCGCTCTTCTCAAAAAGTTTTTGAGAGAAATGCCGGATCCTCTCCTTACATTCAAGCTGCACAAATTGTTTATCGTTTCCCAGAGTAAGTTTTGGGTTTTCTAGAGAAATTGCGTTTCGTCAGCTAATGACTTCCTTTTTCTTGCAGAGATACCCGACCTCGACACGCGTCGACGTGTCTTGCATCTTACATGTTGCTTGTTGCCAAAGTCCCACCGCGATACTATGGAAGTTCTGTTTTCTTTCCTCGGATGGACCGCGTCATTCTCACATATAGACGAGGAGTCTGGAAGTAAAATGGATATTCACAATCTTGCGACTGTGATGACTCCGAATATTCTCTATTCGAATACCAAAGCAGCGGGTGTTGATGACAGTTTCCTGGCCATCGAGGCTGTCACATCATTGCTTGAATTTAACGATTCAATGTGTGAAGTGAGTTGACTGCTTGTTTATGTTCGGGATGGGTGGTGCTAATCTAATTTATAGGTGCCACATGATCTCCAATCCATCCTTAACGACTCATCACTTTTTAATCGTGAAGCTGAGATCACAACAAAAGAAATTCTCAAGCGCTGGGGAGAAATTGCCAAGTTCCCTGTTCCACAGCGCACCCCAACTGGATTAGACTCACTTCCTGCCCGCTCCGGATCTAACCGCGGTAGTAATACACCTGTTGCAACTAGGATTGATGGTGATCCATCTCAAGCTACTGCCTGGCAGATGCAAAGCTCCGTTCGACACGTCCAGCCTCAACAAGCGCATGACGGCTCTGAACTCCGTCCACATGCTCAACCTATTCGCAGTGATAGTGGTGATAGCTATCATAGCCAAGGATATTCGCACCAGCAGCAAATCCCCTATAGATCCCAGCAGCCTATTGGACAGCCAGGTATCTAGAGTCAATTGCTCGCGCTTCCAATATCCCATTTCTTTTCCCTGTTTATTCGGCGTCCGAGGCTTGAAACATTTGCCTTTACCTTCCCTTGTTCTCTGGTTGTGGATGGTGCTGTCTTTGATTATCTGTCTTTGGCCAGTTGGTTCAATCCTAGTTCCTTTTCAGCATGCATTCACAAAACGCAGCGCTGAGGACTCGATGAAATAATCAAATAGCCATGCCATTTTTCCCTTTGATGCATGAAGCACATACTAGTTTTCTTCAGGGCTTGATGTCTGGTTGTTTTCTGTCACTGCACTTGGTTTTCCTTCTACGTTATCTTCTTATCCGCACCTTACATGTGTGTGGTCTTTCCCTTTAGTGTTGCAACCCCGTCTCATTCTGCTAACCCTTAGCATACTTATTTTCCTCTCCTCCCCTTTCCTCTCGTCCTTTTCTTTTGTATGAGTCTTAATGATACCACTTAGACCTCTGAAGTTGTCCTCCATGCAGGGCTTCTGGGTTTAACTTTCAATTCTCCTTGATTCCCCATGATTTCATGACATGAAACACTTCCTTTTGTCTTTCAATACCTGCCCAAAAAAAAAAAGCCCCTAATCAAGTCTATTCACCTGCCCAAATGGATTGTTTTCAGTGTCTCTTCAGTCAGGTCATATCTGGGTTCTATTCATATTCCCTCTTTGTTAATCTTCATGCAAGCGGGGTATTTCACATATGTTCTGAGTAAGCTAATGAGCTGGTTTTTCATTGCCTTTTTTTTTTCCTTCTATTTGAATTCTTCTTCGATGTGAGGCCTTGATGCTGTCATGCGATTGAATTCTTCAGTTAATTGCGATAGCGCCTTTCACACCATACCCTTTTTGTTTCGCACTGCATCAAGCTAATTCGCTGTCTGAAACCTTTTTCCTTCCTCCCCCCAAGAAAATACCTATTAACATTCTGCATACTTGTTGGAGTCTATTTTTTCAACACTGCTTTTTTCAGTATTGCAATGGGTTTACTACATTAAGGATAGGCAATTGAATGCAGATGCAATAATTTGTGTCATCCGTCTAAGCTTCATTCATACTAATATGGCTTCATACCATAGATATTGTCTTCATATCCGCAGGATGAATAAAATAATTTTCTATGCCAATATCCAATATAATGATCAGACCCATATATAACTTGATCCAAATGGCAGAACAAGCTGAACAACTCAAACAAAATGCCCCTTTCATTCTGATATAACATGCCAATAAGCCATATGATACACATATTTAACACCACTGGGTAAAAATATTACTCCCACCAGGGGCATACTCTCCTCAAAAGCACAAATATCCATATTCTGTCCAACGCCGAGAAAAATGTAAAAGCAAAACAATACCCAAAGGCTATGCAATACTAACACACGAAACTTGATATTATGCCCTGTTTCGAAGCACTCTTTTACTCGCCGGTGGTGGCTCAACGGCCAATCCCCTCCTCGTTCCTGTCGAGGTGGGCGGTTTTTTTGCATTGGACGCAGCGGTCCCTATCTGACCCCTCGTCGTCGTTAGCTTTTTTGTCGATGTCGATGTGCCTGTGGCAGCTTTTCTCGTGGTAGTTATCCCAGACCTAGCAGGTCTCACTATTGTCGTCCCGGCAGAGGCATTTGAAATGGTAGTACTCGTGCTAGCGCTTCGCGTATGTTGCTGCCGTGTCGCAGGTCGAGAGATGGGCTTTCGAGTCGTGCCAGCGGCCCCTGCCGCTGATTTTGCGCCAGTGCCTCTCTTCATTCGCACAGATGCAGCGCTACATGGCCGGTTGCCCACGGGAGAATCTTGGGGAGAGAGGATTTTACGTGCTGCGTCCCGGCTAGTTCTCGCCTTGGTGTTCTCATCTAGGTTTCCGTAGCTAGGTTTCAATGGAGATTTCACTGGCGATTGTTTCAAGGGCGACTGTGGGAATGTCCTCGAGTTGGAGGACTTGGGAGACAATACACTCCCTTGCGCGTGCTGGGAAATTACGCGCGCGGTGCCTCCTGTGGCTCCGGCTTTGCCACGTCTCTTTGGATTAGCGAGAGGAATGTGGATAGATTCAGGACAGGGCGCATTTTCTTTATCAGAGGAATGGATATTGTCACTAGAACCGGTTAGGAAATAAACAAGCAGGCGAATTCTGGGGATATGAACACGAACGTCTTCCGTCTTGGCGCCTTGCCGGCTCTAATTGCTGATCGTTTCCCAGCATTTGCCTTATCAGCGGATGGCGCGGGCCTGGTGGCTTTAGAAAACCCCGACAACTTTTTGAACGGGGAGGGACTTGTGGTCATTTTCGACCTCCGCTTTCTCGTGGCTTCTGCCTTGGATTCGTCCTGGTGTTTTGCAAAGAGTTCACCCATAGTTTTATTGCGCAGAGCTATTGGAATACGGTTGATTCGCCGTTCAATTCTTGCACGGAGATCTTGGGCTTGAAGTGCATAATGTGCACGAAGGTTACGCGCTCGCTCGGTGACTGGGGAAATGGTGAGCTCACTATCCCAGGGAATAGTGCGTAAGGTAAGAGTAACATACTCTCTAGTTGCAAATTTTCCATCAATGCTTGTTTCTGGCGTTGGGTAATCCTTAGTTTCTTCATTGGCGGGCTTCCTATGGGTGTGCGCGCTTCTTCATCGTCGAACGCGTCCGGATCCGGATCCGGGATTCTCCGCTTTGTGGAAGGATTAAGAGCCATATTCAAATATATGATAGAGTATCAGCTAATGATTTCAGGTTTCTTCGCCGGGTATATATCTGCACGTGTGCTTCAAAGTCGTGAATTGCTGCGCTTCCCGGATGGATTGAAGGGGGGGAACAAGATGGAACAAGTTTGGTGTGCGACTTGGTTTGGAGGATGTAAACAATGCCAAGACGCTAGTGACGAAATGGCTGAGCTTCACGCGCCTAGGCCCAAGGCGGACTAGCGTGGCTCTCAAGCAGGCAAGCATCACCTCCAGCTATCGTAACATCGCAGCCAGACCACAAAGCAGACACCACAGTTCACGACCCGCCGCCGCTCCCCACCATCATTGATCCTTCTATTCTCACTCCGTGTGCTGTAGCCTCTGAAATTCTTTCCTTATTCTATACACTGGGACCTATCTATCTGCCAAGATGACGCTCGAGGCGACTATGATCATGTTCGTTGTCCTCCGATCCGATCTGGCCTACAGACATAAAAGCTAATAGACTTTGGCTGCAGTGTGGATAATAGCGAAAGCAGCAGAAATGGAGACTACTTGTACGTTTGAAACGTTGAGGTTTTTTGAGATGCACAAGTTAATGCGCGTGGAAAGGCCAACAAGATTCGAAGCTCAAGCCGATGCTATCAACCTAGTTCATTCCGCAAAGACGCAAGCAAACCCAGAGTCCTCAGTCGGCCTAATGAGCATGGGTGGAAATGGGCCAGAGGTGTTGGTTACCTTTACCGTAGATATTGGCAAGATCCTAGAAGGACTTCATCGAACGAAGATCCGGGGGAATGCGCATCTCTCTTCGAGTATACAAGTTGCACATGTGAGCGTGGAGACATTTTCAGAGGCATTTGTGATACCTTTCATTTGCTATTCTAACGCTCTTTATTTTGAATCTAGTTGGCCCTCAAACACCGAAAAGAACGCGCACAGCGCCAGCGCATCATCGTTTTCACATGCTCTCCCATTTCCGAAGATGAAAAGACGCTCGTGAAGCTTGCAAAGAAAATGAAGAAACACAATGTAAACGTCGATTTCGTTGCATTCGGTGATCTCGACTCGGACACGGTGAAGAAGCTAGAAGCTTTCCATGAAAACGTGAATAGCGGCAACGGGTCACATCTTGAGATAATACATCCTGGCCCGAATCTTTTGAGCGACTCGCTGGTTGCCACCCCAATTATTGGTGGGGAGGGCATGGGAGGCCGAGAAGGAGAGGAAGGAGCCAATGGTTTCGAATTTGGTATCGATCCCTCGGCAGATCCCGAACTCGCTTTTGCCTTACGGATGTCCCTCGAAGAAGAGAAAGCACGTCAGGAGAAGGAGAAGCAAGAGAAAGAAAAGGACAAGGCTTCGCTAGAAGGCATTCCGGAGGAATCACAGCCACTCCTTAATCAAAGTGGTGAACCTAGCGGAAGCAACCAGGGTCCGCCTGGTGACAACCGGAAAGACAAGGGGGACGATGGGGATAAGATGGACACCTCATGATGGCGTTATTTAGAATAGGTTGTTATATCTATCTAGATTTCTATGCTCGATGCATCCCTGGTGTTATTGGCGTACGTTTTATGAAGTTAAACCGAGCACAATATTTCGGTTATAGTGTGCTGCTCGTCCCGTACCAGAGACTAAATAAATTGCTTTGAAAGTGTCATATGTATTGCTGGTGCAAATGGCAACATCACGGATCCACCACGCCCTCTATTTGTTTAACCTCGACTTCTCAACCACGTGCCCAAATGCCGGTCGAAAGCCTCGCACCTGACCGGCATCTCGATCTGATAGAACGGATTCTTCATCACATAATCCGCGTATAATTCGTAGACCTTGCGCATCAGCGTATCAACGTTGGGCATCAATGGATCGGTGAATAGCAAGAACTTCGTGCCGGTGATGGTCTGGAAACATGTCAGGCGGAATTTCTCCGTTTCAAGCACTTCGAGCCCAGTTTTCGGTAGGCCTGGGTTGGGGAGGGTGGAATGGGTGGTCGGCGTCGTGCTCGAGGTCGATGTAGATGTTGACGGCGACCCGGTAGCAATTCGCGGTGTGAGAGAGCGTGTGATGGCGTGGACGCTAGAAAGCAGCAGATGAGTCTGGTTAGCTGGGTATGTGCGCCTTAGAAGCTGAGACTGGACAGACCCATGAAAGGTACCGGCTAGGACAAGGTAGTCATTTGTGGAGAGTTTCTGGAGCCCAGCTTGGAACTCGCGCTGGTAGATGAGGCCGCCGGCTTTGTTGATGATGACGAGCGAGAATACGACCCTGTTATCGCCACTGTCAGCCACAGTCTACCTCTTTCGATATCTTTGGTGCATGCTATCTCTCTCAACCAAATCCCGGAACTCACATTGCGATTGGTGTCAGGTCATAGTCATCAGGAGAATTGGATTCTCGCCAGCGTAAGGCGCAATGGCAGGTATGGCGGGATGGTAACGTCAACCAAACCCCCTTGAATCAAGGATAGGTCACTATCTGGAAGGAAAGGTACCATTAATTCATGGAATTTGCATGTCCCCTGATTTTCCACGCTGCAACTTGCAAATGACCCCAAACCTCCGTGGATAGACGGGCTTACTACGGAGTACCAGACTAAAAATACACTGTTTTAACTGGCGTCAATGGGTGTCCCTAACCACAACGTACATCTGCAGCCAATCAAACAATTGAAACACAGGGTTGTTGCTGAGTAAGCCACTAGGTCCCGCGATAATTTAGTGTCCTATTTCAAGCAATCCAACTGAATTGATCGAGCAGAGCATCCAGAAATGAAATGCCATAATATCGGTATCTTTAGTTGAGTGGCGCAGTTGGTTGGGCCTGGTGCATCGGGCATAATCTGTATATTGGAGTTTTGGCTATTGTGCTAGATACATCCACATTGTTCCGTCATTCGCATCACATAAGATTGGCGCGGTTGTGCAAGGCATCACGCACCGCCATCAACCAACTGCCAATTTGTGTGAGGAAAATTTGAAGCGCTGCTTGGGTGGAAGCGCTGGCCCCATCGGATGGAGTAATTCCTCCCCATAGTTTCTCCGTACTCCATCTTATTTTAGGCATCATTGTATACTTGCATATCCCCACAGTGTTTGGCACCTATCACCGCGTGGGTACTCGTCTGGCAGCCTGTTGTTTTAAACCCGCTCATGCCCGGGGGGGTTGCTGGGACTGAAAGGCAGACAGGGTGTGTGGTAATAGCAGCGGTAAGGCTGGAGCCTGCAAACCCATCATAGTTTAGCGCCTGGCTGGGCAGGACGTCAGTTGTCGGGTCAGCTAGCGGATCCCAACCTTCGCTTGCCCCAGCATCCTCCAGCCTTCGAGTCTTCGCTCCTCTGTACGTGGTCATTGGTCTCTGAGCAGCCTGGCTTGACTCACGGAGCGTTTACTATTTATCCGCCCACGACTCCATCTCACTCAGATGATTGTTTCCTCTTTTCGCCATTTGAATTTGCATTTCCTCCCTAAGAGTCCCTGGATGTTCCAAGGTCAATGAGACGGGCATAGATTCACGCTATGCTGGGCCGATATTAGATGGATTTCTGGTTCCTATTATGCATCAACGTCATCATTTGAAGCAGTACAAATTTAAAAGTGAATATTAACTGGCATATTGACAAAGGGCACATCCCCTCAGGCGGATAAATCTGTCATTTCTGATTCTTTGTAAAGGATTCTGCCCGTTCATCCAGCTCCAAATCAACATTTAGTCTTTCACCACGCCGTCTGAATCCTGATCTTGCACTTCTTAACTGCTTTTGATTTGACTAAAGGGCATTCTTCACTGTCTAATTTTTCCATTGCATGACTGATTATGATGTGTTGTTGTTGTTGCTGTCTGACCGCGTCTCCCCACATTTGTGTCTGATAGCCAACTTGCATTCCGAGGGGCACACAGCTCCCAACTTCTTGTCATAACCCACCGTCCTCTCGACAAAACTCTCAACAAAATGGCCAACCAGGCTATCCTTCGAATTGGCCGGGTATTCTCCCTTCTCTTTATCAGTTTTGCTGCTTTGTTGTTCATGTTTTGTGTTTGCTGACTGACTGGGCTTTGGAACACAGGAAATCAGCCAGTTGCAACAAGGAACAGATCTATGTAAGTGGCACTTTATATCTGTGTAGCAGGTTTAGACGCGTTAACATCGTTTGTATAGCATTGGCTGTGGCTTGTCAGGAAGAAGACATTCGCAATGTCAGAGCCATGATAATCGGACCCGCTGAGACTCCATATGAGTTTGGCTTTTTTGAGGTATGATGAAACTTCCCCATGCTTTCCCGTGCCAAAACTAACATTTGGACGCAGTTCTCCATTAGATTTCCAAAAGGTACATAGCCAATTTTGCTAGTATCGTTAGTAGCTCTGTTGCTCATATCATGCGCTTCACGCAGATTACCCCGCAAGCCCTCCCAAGGTTGAGTCAGTCACTACCAATGGGGGCAGATGTAGGTTCAATCCTAATATTTATGCTTGTGGAAAAGTCTGCTTGTAAGTCTTCATGCTCGTCTTACTTCTATCCAGCAATATTGGTGCTAACATTAACTCGTCATAGATCTATTTTGGGGTAAAAACTCTCCGATTACACCAATTTAGTGAAAATAATAATCAATACTAACTACAATTATTAGTACTTGGCGTGGCGAGAGTGGAGAGCAATGGTCTTCAGCCCAAGGGCTGGAATCCATTTTGATTTCCATCCAGAGCCTGCTGTCGTCCAACCCGTACGAGAACGAACCCGGTTATGAGGACGCCAGGGCGGAGAGTGATTTAAGGGCAATGGATAAATATATTGAAAAGGTAACTTTTGGAGTCCCTAGAGATGAACACTTCCTTTGGATCACTCATGTCTATAGATTCATCATGAATCCCTGCGTGTCTCTGTGGTTCAGCGTCTGGAGGACGCACTAGGAATACAGCCAGATGGTACTGTTATCTCGCCATCCGGCAATTTGTCGGACGATCCAGATGAAGATGAAGACGAAAAACCACCATTTGAGCCGTTTCACGATCTTTGCAAGAGACGCGTGCTTTGGTATTACGAATCATACATTAACATAATAAAAGAACAAGAAACCAAAAACTCCGTCGGGACGCGCTTTGAACGAATGCCTTTTGAGGGTGGTGGTAATACGATGGATGGGCGCTTCAACTATCCCGACCTTAAACAGCGCCTTGTTCGCATCAAAGATTGCATTATTCAGGAAACTGATGGTTGGGCGGCTGAAGGAATGAAAGCGAAATCCAACGATGCCAGGATATCCGTGAGTTTGCAACGACAATACGAGCAGATCACGGAAGACCTGAAAGCCAAAAATAATTTCACCGTCGATATCAGCCTTGAGGATGGCAACCCGTTTGTCTGGCAATTGACCTACTTTGGGCGGCCAATGACGCATCTTGATGGGGGTATTTTCCGTATCAAGATTTGCCTCAGCCCACATTTCCCAGAGGCCCAGCCTCGTGTCTTTGTGCAGACGTCTCTGTTCCATCATCGGGTCTCGAAAGATGGTGTCCTTTGTTACTTTTGCAGAAAGACAGAAGATATGAAATCCCATGTGGAGGCCATCGTGGCAGCTTTGGAGGATGAATCACCGCGATATGACCCGCGTGCGACAGTCAATCCAGAAGCTTCGAACTTATTCTGGGGCTCTCCGGACCAAAAGAAGCAATATACTCGTTTGCTTAGACGCTCGGTTCAGCGTAGTATTGAGTAAGTGAAAACCCAGCGGTGCCCAAAGAAAAGCAACGCAATGGGATTTTGCCCACCAGAGTGGCTGACCTTAACTGCTTTGCAGGGAATAATGCTAGATAATGAAATACGACAATTGCACCCATTGCTCATGATGTCCGTGATCTTGATACAGTTTTTGCTAAGATATTTTTTCTTTTCTATGGGCATTGCGATACCTGAACACGTTAGCCCGTTTCGTTTTCTTTCAACAACTACAAATTCGGACTACTTACTGCAAACAAATCACGTAGACCTCATTTGTTTACTAATGTATCCAATGGGTCTAAATCAAGAAGTTTATATCACCTTTAACCAGGCTGTTCGCTTTCGCTGGTTGTGCTGTGAGAGATAGTAGCAGATTCTCCTTAATTTATGCTGTCTCTCTACTTTTTATATCAACACTGGGTTTTCGATTACTTTGCTCTTCTTTGGTTGACATACCAACTGATATTTAATGCTTGAGAATCAAAACAGGGCTTGAGATGTGTTGACTAATTACTTCTAACCCGTTTCACCCTTAGGCCTACCCAACAATAAGCCCAAACTTACCTTTTCCTTCCATCATTTGGAATTCCCAGTCAATACCTTTAACTTCCTTTCTTGTAACAACATTCACCATTAAGCCTTCTGCTGGAATTGAAATTGCTAAAGCCATGCTCCTGTGGTTGATGCGCGGGGAAACCCAGTCTCCAGCAACGGGCGAGATATCAAATTTCATCACGAGCAAGGAAACGAGGGCAAGGATTTGCGCAGTGGCGAAGTGCCTACCAGGGCATGTCCATGGGGACGCCCCGAAGGTCATGAACCCGTTCCACTTTCGATCGCGTTTCCTATCGCCACCTGCGCCAGGAGAGGCTCTGGTATCAAGGAAGCGCCTGGGGTTGTAAAGGTGCGCATCAGGGCCCCATATATTTGGATCCACATTTAGCACGTTCGCAGGCGTTTGTACGATGCTGTTGGCTTTGAGGAGGTATGTATCGTTCAGCTTTGTGTCCTTGGAAACAAACCTCACTGAGGCAGTGTTGGCACGCAAGCGGAGTGTTTCTTGCCATGTTGCGACAAGGAGGGGGCATTTATCGCGGATGTTATTCATGTTAAGGGTGCACATTTGTTTTGGTTTGCCCATCGAATCATCGCATGGCTTGAACTGAAGGGCATTTTGGACAATTTCCTTGCGGATCTCTTCGAGCAAGTCTAGTCGAGAGAAAATGTCGAAGAGCACCCAAAAGGTCGACGGAGCAGAATTGCTCAGAAGCGGCAGGACCATTAAAGTTTCGAGCCTGGCGATGTCTTCAAGCGTCGCGCCGGCTTTCCTTTCTACTTCTAATCTTCGTTGCACAAACGACGAGGCGTTGATATAGCCACATTTTTCGAAGTATTCAAGGAGCCGTTTCACGAGTTTCTCCCGCGCCTGATATGCTTCACGGGCGATGAATCTTTGGGCAAAATTCAGTGTTAACTTTCCCAGACCAGAATCAAATTCCCTGAATTTTACGATTAATATCGCTCGTTCACTTCTTGCTCGGTTTTCGGAAACCTTACCATATTGCAGCTTCAGCCTCTCGATTTCTATATGGATTCATAGGTCCGTATATAGAGTCGGTTGTGGCCATGGTGAGGACATGCCTGCACCAGGTAAGGAGATCCACCTCCGTGGATCTCAAGTCATCTACGCTCTTTTTGATCGCTGCTACGGATGCACGGGTGATTCCTACCATTGCCTCTCCAAGCAGAACAGAATGAACAGCATCTTTCATTTGTTTGTCAAAACTGGATCTCCCCTTTTCAGAACTCGACGATACTATAGGCCCATTGCCCTTAATTCCAGCAGCCCGTCTTATAGCGAGCGCCGCAAATGGCTCGAATGATATATATTTGGCGTGACGTTGGGCCGCCGCTAGGAGACCGGGAGAATATATGAGGTAAATCTTCTGCCTGAAGATGTTGATTGTGATAGCAGGTAGCTGGCTCTGCGCGCTGAATACGAGAGATCGCTCCGATTAGCCGACGTCGCTCTTTTTTAGATGCATGAGTTTACCTAAGGCGGACATAATATCGGTTTCCATATCGTGCTAAACCGATGAGGTGCCCGATGAAGGGAATCCTGGAAGAAACCAGTGGCGGTTCTTCAGGCGCATGGCCTGGGGCTATGAGGAAGCGTAGGAGGATGGACAAAACAAGAAGAACTAAGAGATGGAGATAAAATTGCTCCATTGAAATATTGTATATGTGGTGGGCAATGGGTGGGGGATTGACCCATTCTACCGGAAGCCGTGGGAGCGGCCACGCACACACTTATACTCAGCCATTCCTTTGATCCAGACAGAAAGGGAAAATATAATGTGAAGGTTGTACAGGTTACCTCCACAGAAATTATACCCAAATAAGTCCATCAGTATTAAGGGGCATCTTAGCCTTGTGCAGCAAAAGAATTCGTAAATCCTAGAATGGCCTGCAGTCTAGATGGATATATGTCCATCTGACCAGACCTTTGAAAGGCATATCAGTTTCTGCAAAGCAGACACACCTACAGAGTACACCAACTGATAGAGTTTATCTTGATAACCTATCACATTGCCTGTGATCATCAATCATTGTGATGTGCCAGATCTATCTGACCAACTGAAGACAGCAAACAACTTTTTTTGGAGCTTCTGCGTCGTTTAATAACTTAAACAAAGGAACACGAGGTTCATAATTGCACTTAGACAGGGGGGTCCATGACAGTTAAATCCACAATTGAGCATTCCAAATGTGCTGGATATACATTTTCAGGTGAGGGACGATTGTAACTCCACAACCAATGGGAACAATGTTGATACAGTTCCAGAAGCATGGTTGTTACCTTGCGGCTCTCTAACTCTTGGTTGTCACTGGTATATGCATGGAGTAGTCCTAGATTGGCTCAATATATCAGAATGATACAGTGAAGGATGAACTGCCAAGTTAAACATCAATACATTGTATGGCAGCTGGAAATTGAGCAATGAATGCATCATATAGTGCTAGCAGTCTCAAAGAAACAAGGCTAGCTGAGGGGATTGGCAAGGTGCCCAATCCGTAGACATCAGCCATGGAGGCCCGGAGCATGGCTAACTCTCAAAAGAAGCTGCTGTTGAGAAGGTAGTGCTGCAGTAACCCGCGGCTCCATAGCGAGCAGCAATGCTCCGAACAATACAATGAACATTAGCAGCATTGAGGCGGGAAGATGATATGGGTCTTGGAGCATGGTGGAATGCCTACCCCAGAGTCGGGAAGGACTGATGAGACTATTGTCTTCCAACTAGCTCAGGATCCTCAAGCTACTCAGCAAATGAGCAGCAGAGGTCGTCACGCGCAGGAGAGAGGGAGCTAATACTTATCAATATGTCTTTCCACTTCCTTTACTATGGAGGATATCGCGAGCCTGTTGAAGGCACTGAGCATATTCTTCCAGCTTTGAATCTACTACTGAAGGCATTCGCGGTGACCAAAGTGGAGATACAGCTGCAGAGAGCGACTCTTTAGGCACTGTATCATAAAAGGGCCCCAAATGATTCCTGAAAAGATTGGGCAACCCCTCATTGCTAAGCATTACTGACTTGTCTGACTCCTCTATGGGGGTATCATGAGTGGAGGGAGTTTCAACAAGAGCCATTCTTGTTCTTGCTCTGTTCGCAATGCTCTGTACGGAGTGGGATTGGGGCTATCATTGCTTTTTGTTCTTGCGAGGCCGACTGTAGTTAAGTCATAGCCAATGTTATTAGGCCCCTATACTCTATACTCTCTAGGGTGGAAAGCCTTCATTCTAACCATAGATAGTAGTGTACATCCTTGTAGTAGGACCAATGGATACTAACGGATGTCATGATCGCAGAAGTGGAACTAGAAGCTGGGGTGGGCAATTTTAGGATTAATGGATGGTCAGGCGAACTTTGGGACAGTGGAACAACCTCAAGGTTTCCGTCCTCCACAAACCTACAATGGTTCCCCTAAACCGACAAAAATGTCATAATAAGATAAGATAATTTCATCTTATCCAACTAGGGAACCGAGACAAAAAAGAAGAAGAAAAGAACAGACTGAGAAACGGCCAGCAGCATCATTTATACTCTTGCAATCGCTGGGGAATAGTCCTCTTTTCCAAAAGCTCGAGCTCCGTTCCCCACTGGAACGATGGCACCCGAACGTAAGATCGAGCTGGGCTCCGTCCTCGTTGTCGGCGGTTGCGGTTTTCTAGGCACGCATATTGTCGACCACCTCCTGAACTTCCCTTCTGAAGATTCTGGCTCCACGTCTCGCATCACCGGTGCCAACGGCGAGCCCGATAAACGGTTCTCATACCCCCAGCTCCGAGGCCGGTACCCGATCTACAAGAACACGAAGGTCTCTGTTGCTGACCTGCGCACGACCAACAATCGGCTCCCCGGCGCGGACTATTATGATGCTGATGTGCTATCCATCGAATCCCTACTCGAAGTGTTCCGCGCCGTTAAGCCCGATGTTGTGATTGACACTGTATCGCTTATGCTGGAAGGGAATAAGGAGTTGATCTACAATGTGAATGTGAATGGAACGAGGAACCTGTTAGAAGTTGCTGGAGGGATGAGAGGAGACTGGGGTGGGAAGTGTAAAGCTTTCGTGTATACCAGCTCTTCGTCTGTGGTGCACGATACGACGAGCGACTTGATACACGTTGATGAACGATGGCCGAAGATTACAGGCAAGCTGCAGCAAGAGTACTATACAGAGACCAAGGTTGGTAATGCCCAATATAATCCATGCAGTGGCTGCCTTCAGTCTCGTGTCTCCGGTGGATAATGTTGATTGACCTTTTACCTAGGCGATCGCCGAAGATATGGTTCTAGATTTCAACGGCACCTCGCCCTCTGGCATGCTTACGGTTGCCATCCGCCCGGCAGGCATTTATGGCGAGCGTGACACCACGCTTACCTTCAAGATGGTCGAACACGCCGCCAAGTCATCCCAGCGGATCCTCAACTTCCAACTCGGCGACAACAACAACCTCTTCGATTTCACATACGTCGGCAACATCGCCTACTCCCACATGCTAGCAGCCGAGCTTCTCCTCGAGACCAAGAAGCGCACTGAAGCTGGCGCAGCCGCACCCCTCGATTACGAGCGGGTTGACGGTGAAGCCTTCAATATCACGAATGACAGCCCAGTGTACTTCTGGGATATGGCACGGACAATCTGGGCACTGATGGACCGCTATGTCGAGCCTCACCAGGTATTTGAGTTATCGGAGAGTACGTTGACCGTGGTCGGGGGTATACTTGAGACGGTGTTTGGCTTGTTTGGGAAGAAACCGCGCCTGACAAGACGAGAGGTCAGATATTCGTGCATGTCGAGATACTACTCGTGCAACAAGGCCAAAGTGCGGCTGGGCTACCGGCCGATTGTTCCTCTCGATGAGGGCGTGGCGCGGGCAGTTGGTTATCTTTTGGAGAAAGATAGTAATCTACGAGCGAAAAAGGAGTTATAGGGATTTGGTCGGCATGTACTTCGTACACATAATGTACCGTGTAATGAGTCCTTTTTCTTTCTCCTTTCTTCTTTTCTTCTCTTGTTTTCTTGTTTTTATATACTTTTCTTTTCGATCATCCGGCAAGCTGGCGGCCAAAACGGGCCAGTTCTGGAGCCGCTTTCGGCCCTCAGCTCGCCAAAACTTTTCTCCATGCACTCTCTCAAGTACCATCCATGCACCATCCACGCACCACACCTCGCACCACACCTCACTGCATCACAAACCTGACTACCCTCATCAATTACTTGAAGACTCCACCAGTCACTCTGCTTCACCCTGCTTCATTCTGAGCACTCTCTCAATATTGTACTTCTGCAAGCTGGAAATGGGGTTGCATCTCTTTCTGCCTACCTGGCCACAGCCATGGCCATGATCTGCTGTGGCCTGTACGCTCACCCAGTGGCTACATCATGATACACCCTGGCTTGTAAGCAAAATGTGAGCAAAGGGGCAACAAAAATGGTGCCTTTTTGCTTACCTGTCAGGCCGTCTCTTTTCTTCTCTCACTGGGATATTTTATTCTGTCCTCACTGTTTCTTTGGGTGATCACTACCAGCTATACCTGGCCAGGCCTTTGATGCTCACTCTGTGATTGATCTTTCTCTCTCTCTTCCATGCTGTCTCTATTTTTCTCAAGACAGCTGATAGAATGGCTATCTCTGAAGTGAAGAATGACTCTCTTGCTTTGATTAGTGGTGTAAATAGTGGTTTAGATGATGAATGCTTCTCAGATAATGGAGGTAATGAAACAGATTGTATCTCTGTCTATAATGATAATGTAGGCAAAAATGGCCTAACTGATGTGCTGAATGACAAGGATTCCTGGTAGAGTGGTATCTGGTTCCGGGATTTCCTGTCTGGTCTCAGATTCCCATCTCAATTCCTGTCCTGAGGACAGGATTGGGTTGAAGCTTAGCTCAACGGGATAGGATCAGATTGTTTAACAGCATATTGAGATAGTTTCATGGAAGCTGGGATTGAGATGGGATTGAAACTGAGATCAAAATCTAGCTAGTAGAACAGGCCCAGGACCTGGCATGACAAAATAAAATAAAACCAGAATTTCAATATTATATATAGAATGGTGTAAGGGGTCAAACCCTCTATTCTTCTCAGGCCGAGCCCTTGATGCCATGCTGTGCTAAGAATCTTGGGCCAAGCTCTCTGATGGCCATTCCCTCTTTTTGGCCTTGTTCCTATTTCCCTTTTTGGCCTAGCACCATGCACAAATGTTGTGGATATCATACACATGCTTGCCTCTCCTTCTTCTTCTTTCTTCCTTCAAGTGATACATTTGATGTACCAATACATATCCTATTCTAGTAAGAAACCGAGCCAAGATCTGCCTGGCCTGCAAGGATAGATACCCTAGGTTAGAACTGCTCGATTTATGTCACCTTCTCGACTACGGAGTACGTGTCTTGTAGATCATCAGAAACGCTGGATCTGCTGCAGCCCATTCAGCAAATTTTGTCTATATGAGAGAATAGATACGTAGCACAGTGCCATGGCTTGGCGAGCTGGAAGAATACTTCATGGGCGGCTACACAGCTTTCAACTCGAGAAACCGCTGACCAAATCCTCCACGGTCTTCAAAGCCCGTGTTTTGCCCAAATCAACTGGTTCAACTCCAAAATGGTACGCAAGGACTAGTTGAATCTACTTGTCTGATGCTGATTGTTAAGCAGGGCTGTGATCAAAACCGCCTATGAGAGGTATAAGCTGGCAGATTTGAAGCGGGAATACCGGGTCTACTCCATAGAGAGTATCCGCAAGTCCAAACACATCCGCGCATTACTAGACACCATCGACGATTTTGACTCCACACCAAACTTAGCCGACCCAACGCCTGGAGCCAAACCATGGATGGCCTTCGAATGGATGGACCATAGCTTGGTGGACTTCGATCCCAAATATTTCAAACAGCATCCTAGGATCCTGCAGGTAGCTTCAAAGAGCGTTTTGAAGGCTCTCGCAACTTACAAGGAGCTGAACCTGATTCATACAGGTAGGCTCGGTGACAATGTTGACCGAAGTTGGCCTGTGCATTAAACATTAACTAGATCTCAAACATGAGAATATTCTTATCTCGAACATCGACTCAGAAGAGCCTACGGTAAAGTTGGCAGATCTCGGAGCAAGTTCCTATTGTCCCTTTGGTACCACCAACGCCAAACAACGCCGCTAACTCAAGTAGCAATACCGGACGGCTTCAACGATGAAAGGATACAACCCATAGCCTGTCGAGCACCAGAGGTATGGAGAGGCAAGGGCTGCTTTCATGCCTCGGATGTGTGGTCTCTAGGTGTTACTGTTAGTCGCCCCTCCCACCCCTTCCTAGGTAGCCTGACGTTTCCGGCCGTACTAACAGAACGCTCAAAAGTTAACGGATTGCTTATCCCCTGCTTCCATCTTCGGCATACACGATGACCCTCTAGGAATAGGTGAACATTGGGCCGTCGCGAAGCTCTTCCGCCTATTCAACAGTTTACCTTCCCCTGTTGATAGATACCGCGAGTCAGAATGGGAGCTGGCCGAAAAGCTAGTTGATCCACAATACGGTTATATGAAAGTCGGTACAATAGACAAGGAAATCAGAAAGTTGGAGTTGCCAGAAATCATGGTTGATTTTATCATGTCCCTACTTGTCGTGGATGATGAGAAGAGGCCAACAGCTCAGGAGGCATTGAAACACCCGTTCATTCATGCCGAGTTTTGATGAGGTTCCTTCCATCATCATTGCTGCCAGACTTGCGCCGGAAAATTGGCGCAGAAGGCAATTGTCTCTGGAACCCGGCATCGGTGACCGGTATTCTCCTTTCGGTCTGGGCGGGACGCTTGCTTTTGAATATCGCGTCATACCCTATCTTTGGACGGAGAATGGAGCGGTTCTACCTTCCATGCTTCGGAATCAGCTTGGCCTATTACGTGGATACCCAGGAATACATCGTGTTTCCCCAACTGTATGTTTTGGCAAGGTCTGTTGGGAATGTAATCGCTATGCTTTATTCAATTCCTCCTCTCTCACTGTAAAATAGGAAAATGACAAGAGAAATATGTATGTACGTACTCCGTACAGTACAATCAAATGAAACGTACACTAATCCTGCAAACACCAAGTCCCCAGTAGATAAAATGCGATATTGTATGCAAAACACTTTCTTCCTAGTGAATATCTCGGCGGTAAAAAGAAACCAATAACAAAAACGCCGTTCATAGAAAACATGGCATCTGCCGTGAATCGAATATTCAAAGGTCGCAAAACATCATACAGGTTGCTCGAAGTTCTGAAGGAGCCTTCAGCCTACAAAGCTGCCATCATACCATCCTCGTTGCTAGCGTTCAGTCGGATCCTCGTGCTCGCTGCTAAGCCCTATTGTAGTCAAGGACGAACGATGGGTCGCACCGAGTTTGAGCGGCGGGTCGATTACGTGGCGATGAGACGGGGATCCATGAACGGGTGAAAAGAGGGGGCGCTGAAACGGGGTTCTCAGCTCCGGGGATCGCCGACGAAGAGGAAGGAGGAGGATGAGGGGAAAAAAGAGGATGAAGTGTGTGCACGACACAGGGAAGATGAGGACGTTTATATAGTCGCGGCGGGCGATGCGAGGTGACATCACGGCGGCCGGCAGCAACACCATCCCCGAACGGGTGGCGCCAAACCGCAACAGGCCGCACCTAACCTGAACGGGGCGGCACTAGACTCCGTTGGACGCGGAGCGCAAAAGCGGCCACGCCGACGCAAATCGAAATTCTCCTTCACAAGTACGGAGTACTTTTGAATGATCTGAAGAGTATTCAACTTTTCTTGCCATTTCATCATTTTCTTTAGTAGTTTGTTTTTCTCACAAAGTTGTTGAATTTTATCTTTTGATGTTAAGATAAACTCTCTCTCTGAGATTATAATGCTAGTTTCAGTTTCATTGACAGTTGAGAGAGATAATGTGGTTTCAGAGTCTGTAATCTTCTCACAAACTGTCAGGAGCTCAGCTAGGCGCTGTAGGAAAAGAATCCCTGTTGCCAACTAGGTAGCTATAATAACAAAATACTAAGACAGGCTCTAGAAAGGGGGTTCAGGGTGAGGGCTTGCTATATACACACAATAAGCTTCTGTGTCAGATAAACATTTATCTCTTTAGCAAATCCTCTGCCTAGGGTTTAGGGCTTCGCCCCAGAACAACCTTCCACCAGTCCACCAGCTCAGTCAGAAGGGTCGCGGTCCTCACACAAACTTGAGTTTGTTCTTCAGATAGATTTTCTGCTGGTGTCCCAGATTCACAAGCTTCAGAGAGTTTGGCTTCTTCATATTAATATTATTGTCAGACATTATTAAAGAAGAGTGGCAAAATGTGAGAATCATACATATGAATCAGCATGATAATAAGTCTCTAGAAGAAGTATATGTAGAAAAGAGTACACAAGATAAAAGATCTGATATTCTGGCAACTATATACTCCGTACTCCGTACAACTTGTAGACAAGATTGCCACTGACTTCCAGCAAGAGATTCATACAGTGACAGTCTTTTATGTGTGCTCACAAGCACATGACTTAGTATCTCACAAGAACATATGCAACTCCCAATAGCTTGTAAGCCAAGGCTCTCAGCCCTTACAGATATTGTTTTGTCCATGTAAGAGGTTCATGGCAAGTTCTTATCCACATAAGGGGTCACAGGCAAATCCTTATTCATGTAAGGGGGTTCGCGGGCGAATCCTTACAAATGGAGTGCACCAGGGAAGTTGGTGTGGGTTGAGGTGCAGGGGTGAACATGAGAAGAACAGATGGATAGAGTTGGGTGAGGAGAGAAGCAAGAGAGAAAGGAAGATGGAGTGTGTGTGTGATGGGAGAAGGACAGATGTCCCTTTTATAGTCGCGGCGAGGCAAGGCACATGGGCCGGCTGGATGTCAGGGTGGTGAGGGCGGCCAGACCATTACCCAAAAGCAGCGGCGCCAAACCTGATCGGGCCACGCTAGACCCAACACAGGCGGCGCTAGGCCGGATGCGGGTGGGGTAGCGAGCCTGAGGCAGCACTCGCCAGATGACTGTTTACTCCACTGTAAATTTTTAGACGACAATATTTAATTATAATGCATAGCCAACTTTTAATATTATGTGGCTCGATACTCCGTACTCCGTACATGAAACCAACCATATGCAGGTGGGCATCAAAATCTGTTGGATGAGTCCGTCGATGTAGAAGCTGTTCTCCATTTGTTCCGATTGGAGTCTGCCAGTACGGGAGTGCAGCGCACTGCAACATCAGAACCCAACACAAAAACCCGAGAAAAACGCAGGTGAATACTCCGGTACTCCGTCACTCCGACAGAATTCCGCGAATGCAATCCCGTCCATCAAAGCACATCGAAGAAAAGCGAGCCAAGACAGGGCGCGGCTGACTAATTTGGCGCCGGACTATCGTGTGGCCGAGCCGTCTACGGGCCAGGGTGGGTCCGCGCCCGTGAAACAACGGAACAGATCGTCTTGGCGGCTTGGCAGCTTAGTCACGCTGGGTCCGGCAAATCACCGTTGCGTCGGCGTCGAAAGGACGGATGAACAGACGCAGCCAATTCCTGCACTGGACATGGATGGATGGATGGATGGGGGAGCACGGAGGGTGTCTGCCTGGAGCCAGTCTTCCGGCCGGTACTGTACTGTTGATGTCGAAGTTAAAAGCAACCTTTTTCAACTCAGGGCAAGCAGAGAGCATCTGACTCATTGACTCTTTGTGTTAGTTTAGTTTTAGGGTGTTGCCTCCCGTTTGGCGTGGAAATGGGTGTGTAGTCCAGAATTTTCGCGAAAGGAGGAAGAAAGGGAGGACAGAGGTAAAACAAATGTTTCGTATTTACTTATGAGTTAAGTTGGTTAGTTTATGTGTTCCCTTTGCCTGCCAGAGGGAACTTTCATCTTCTTGTCCCGGGTTGTGGGCTTATGCTTTTTTTTTTGCTTTCCCTGATGTCAGGCTGGGATGGCGGATGGTGATTTGGTCGAGCCCCTCTTGGAAACACCATGTCAGGCAGTACAAAGAATACACACCGCCGATGTATGTGTTGACACTGCTGGGGAATCCTTGCTACTTGATTGGTGGAATAGTCAACCAAAGTTACAAGCATGCTGTTCTGCCATTTCCCAAAATTTCACAGCGAGCACGCGGACACGGCGAGGTTGGTTCTCCAATTATCAACCATCGCTCCCCCCATACAGCCTTTTGGACGTTGACTTTCCCTTCCACGCCCTTCACCTTCAACGGCTGTCTTTTATCCTGTGAGGTCGAATGGTTCCTGGAGAAAGAATACAATCAGTACCCCTTGTTATTTGGCCTTGGCCTTTGCCGGCAACTCGATAATTGCCTTCATGTTAACACCTTGCTGCCCTTTTTCGAAATAAAGGTTGGCCTCTTCCCCCAAGCCTTTGACTTCAAATTGAATTCACCAAAGAACCACCTCAAGCCGTATTTAAAAGCTACACCAGACGACAGCTATACAATCTACCCCACTTGAAATTCTCTGTTCTTCAGATCGCACCTCATCTTTGACGCCGATTGCATTTCGCAAACTGCCGGATTTCGCTCGCCATCCCCTCCCCACCCCTTCGACGATCTGCCTTTGGGTCGAGCCAACTTCACACAAGTCATGGACAGTTGATGCTGAGCGGCCAAGGTAATTCGCTGGTACGGGCACCGCTCTGCCTGGCAGACGGTTTCTGTCTCTCCGTCATCCCTGAAGCCCTCCTCTACTGATTTCCGAACTGCGTACGCTGTCAAATCGGTTACTCCATCCTTCAGCCGCCTCTCTTGCCGTGCTCGAATTCCCAACCAGTTCTCGATTCTCAGAAGGGCCCAGTATGGCCGAAGATGGTACGAATACCTCCAGTGCGCCGCGATTCCTCGAACCTCCTACCATCACAGCCCTTAAACAAGAAGCCCGTGATGCATCCCCTCCCGGCCCTTCTCCGATGGTGCGCTCTCTGAGCGAGGATATAAAGGAAGAACGACAGGATTTACAAGATGCCGCCGAACAAGCCCTTAATGTTATACTTGACCTCGCTCTCGATGGACGAGTAAATTGGGTCAGCCCTTCTTGGGTTGAAGTCATCGGAACCCCGATCGACGAGGTGGAAGGTAAAAACATCCGTGATGTCATCTTCGATAATAAGGCCGTCTTTGAAGATGCGATTGAGTCGATGAAGAAGGATGATTCAAGGAGTCAGATAGTTCGATTCGGTGTCAAAACCGGTTCTGCTTCTGTTTTTCGTCCGGATCGGGCACGAGAAGCTGGTGATGACGATGAGGAGAGCGAGTCGGCAGAAGCTCAACCAAAAGATGACGGAGATAACAGCGTCCTCAACCTGGAAGGTCAGGGTATTATGGTCTATGACAAGCCTTCCACAGGAGATGGCCATGTAAGGAGATACCTGACCACCCCAAATCCCTTTTCCTGTTTTACAACCGCTAACAGCTCTCCTACTTTAGACGATGTGGATGTTACGACCATCAAGTCAGCCGCGTGAAGTTACCATTGGCCTTCCACAACTGCTTGTTGAATCACTTGGTGTGGGTGCCGAAGTTTTGGCAAATTACCTCACTGAACTGGCGGAGGTGGGCATTAATGATCCCGCACATCACCCCCCACCAATGCCAGTTCTCTGTCGCATTTGTGAACGGCAGATTACACCGTGGTGGTTCGAAAAGCACTCCGACCTGTGTCTGCAAGAACATCGATCAGAGATGGACGTTCAATTGGCTCAAGATAATTTGAACGAACATCGCCACTCCATTGTAAAGGTGTTGGATGCCCTTGAAGCTCGGAAGGCAAGACCTGGACCCGCAGAACTTGCCGGCCCTCAACCTGAATATAAAGGTCTACCCATCGGCCCTAGCCCCTCATCTTCAGGATTGGCCTCTGGCTCGTCATCCTCTTCCGGAACGCCGCCCCGTTCGCGTGATCCATCCACTTCCGGCTTGGGTCATTCTCGAACTCGCTCCTCCTTCGCCGTACGAAGGCCGCTTGCGCGGATCGTCGAGCTAGTTTTGGATCTTTGTGATACTGCTTTGGAGATCAGCATCCCTGCTTTGAAAGAGTCTAGATCCGAATTCGGCGATGAAGTCAGGACACAGTCACCACAGTCAGAGTCCCGTATATCGCAAGTGATGCAGTGGCAGTCACCAAGTAGTAATACCCTAGAACAGGAGCAAGGCTTAGCCGCCTTGTCTACAGACACCGAACAGCTCGCACGAGCTAAAGTAGACGCCGTCTTTCGTCACCGAAGAATCATTGAATACGCAGAGCGAATCCGTGTTGAGTTCGCCGTTCTTGTGGAGGAGTGTATCTCTGCAGCCATGGATAAAGCAGAACGTATAGCAGCTGGGGATTTGGATGACTCAACTAGTTCCAGCCCGACTGATTATGAGAATGAGACGGAAAAGTCTGAGAGTTTGTCTCAGCCCCAGTCTCAAGAGTCGCTATCATTAGCATTAGCCTCCACGACCGGTGGTGCATCAGATGTTGCAGTTGAGCACAATTCGAGACCTGAGATATCTCGAGGTTCATCATCTGTGGCTATTTCAACGCGTTCTAGCAGTCCGATGGAGTGTCCAACACCTCGCTCCCATAAAAGTGTCAGTATATTGGGACAGTCCCTCCTGGCAAAACGTGGGTCGCTTCTTGCCGAAGGCGATGTTGCAGATAGCGATAGTAGTGTCCTCTCATCCGTGCTGTCCGGTGAACGTCACACCGAGTCTCCGTCGTCCGAGAGAGGTCTGAGCCGTGGGACAAGCGTCAGGGAGCACAAGCGTCGAAGTCTCGTCCTCCCCGGGTTGTCAAGCTCTCCCCGCAGAGAATCTCCGGCAAGAAATGCTCCCTCATCGCCTCTCAGGTTGAATAGACCACGACTTTCCACTGGAGAAGTTTTGCCGTCACCAGCTACCTCCCCAGTCCTCACATCTGTCGACCTTGGTCCTCACAATTCTTCGTTCTATGTCCCTCCACATCGCCACCATCATCGGAGACAGTCGTCTACCAATTCCCCAGAATTGGGAAAGGCCCCTGTATCACCCCATCTCAGTTCTGTCAGTCACCCGCCACCACGTGCTGTGACGCCGTCTATCAAGGACTTTGAAATCATCAAACCTATTAGCAAAGGTGCCTTTGGAAGTGTCTATCTATCTAAAAAGAAAACAACACAGGAGTATTTCGCCATCAAGGTCTTGAAGAAGGCTGACATGGTTGCTAAGAATCAGGTTACGAACGTGAAAGCTGAGAGGGCTATCATGATGTGGCAAGGAGAAAGCGACTTTGTGGCAAAACTATACTGGACCTTTGCGAGTAAAGATTATCTCTACCTTGTGATGGAATACCTCAACGGAGGTGATTGTGCAACGTTGATCAAGCAATTAGAGGGGCTGCCTGAGGAATGGGCTATGAGGTATACCGCTGAGGTCATCCTTGGAGTCGAACATTTGCATAGCCGGGGCATTGTTCATCGAGACCTGAAACCGGATAACCTTCTTATCGACGCACGCGGCCACTTGAAGCTCACCGATTTCGGACTCTCGCGTATGGGGCTCGTCGGGCGCCAAAAGAGAATCCAGAAAAACCCCAATGAATCAGCGCCAGATTTGCTCAAGCAAGGCCCGTTTACTCGAAATACGTCTTTGGCATCATCGCGATCAGCGTCTTTTGATATTCCTGGGTCACAATCTCCCAACACGACTCCCTTGATTAACCCTGATTTTGGAAGCCCATGCCAACCCTCTTACTTCAGTCTTAACAAGGAACCGTCCTTCAGTCGGGAGCGTTCAAGAAGGGCATCTAGGTATCGAAGTGACAGCGGAAGTAGCGATACTCTGGCTGCCTCTTTCAAGAGCCTGCATCTGTTTGAGTCTGGAGATACCCCGTACGCCTTGTCAAGCCAGACCTCCCAACCTCAACAGACATTGTCAGTTGAGGAGGAATCCCAGAGTGAAGCGAGTGATTCACCACAGCTTTTCCCGGCTCATCTATCAAGTAGCTACCAGCCATCATTTCCTGTTCTGCATAATAATGCTCAACAGCCACCGATTCCTCCTGCTATGGCTTTGTTTAACCCCGAGGAACAGAACCAAGCTTTCGTTGGGACTCCAGACTACCTCGCCCCAGAAACTATCCAGGGTGTTTGCCAAGACGAGATGTGTGACTGGTGGTCTTTGGGCTGTATTCTCTTCGAATTCATTTACGGATACCCCCCTTTTAACGCTTCAACAGCCGACGAAGTGTTTCAAAATATTTTGGCGAGGAGGATCAACTGGCCTGAAGGATTTGAAGAATACTCATCTGAGGAATCTAGAGATTTGATGAACAAGCTCATGACCCTTAATCCCGAAGAACGGTTGGGATCGAATTCCGCTGAGAAGTTTCCGAGTGGAGGTGCCGAAATTCGCGACCATCCTTGGTTTTCGGGGCTTAATTGGGATACGCTCTTGGAAGATGACGGGTCTTTTGTGCCGACTGTTTTGCATCCAGAAGATACGGAATACTTCGATCCACGAGGAGCTACAATGCAAGGTTTTACAGAAGAACCTGATGACCAAGTTTCTCCCCCACCTGGAGGCTCTGGTGTATACCCCGACCGACCTCACGATGCACTATTCAAAGTCAAATCCCAAGTAAGCTCTTTAAAACGTGGGTTGATTCCGCTTCACATTCCGCCGCATATCCGCGATGGCCGAAGTCGAAGACTCTCTGAACCTGTCCTTGCGGATGATTTCGGAAATTTCAATTTTAAAAATCTTCCTGTCTTAGAGAAAGCCAATAAGGACGTGATCCAAAAATTACGACAAGAAGCTATGCAAGCTCAGCAGCGTTCTGTGCCATCAACAACAACGCCGTCGACAGCATCTGGGCCTTCCCTGGAAGGAAGCCCAATGCTCGTCGGCCCGCTGAAGCGCACTATGTCTCAGAATAAAGCCATCAATAGGCCGGCATCGCCATCGAGTCTTAGTCAGGCCAACTCCTCTTCTCCAAGCCGTCCATCTCAGCCATCGTCTCCACTTTTGGTGCAATTTAGCACGGGACAGCATCATCACCACGAACGACGAAAGACTTCCGGCTCATCTTCCACGTTTTCGCAACAGTCCATTGCGACGTCCCTGCAGCCTGGTCCCTTTGAGCCTCCACGACTTGCTACAAACCTAAAGATGTCGGCATCGACTGCATCCTCTCCTATAAAGCATCCGAAACTTCCATCGCCAGATAAACAGACCGGAATCCATCGTCAAAGTAGTGCCCCCACCTCGCGACAACGGTCCCAGACAATCGGTTCCCAAGATAGTGACTTGGCGCCACCCAAGGAGCCATTTGTTCCTGGACATCATAAACGTAGAAGTCAACTTTTCGACGTGTCACCATCTTCCTCTGACAATGAAGATCCTCGAGCAAAAGCACTTCTTAAGGTGCAGCGTCGCAGGCAAAGTTCTCGACGGCTTTCCCAGATAAATTTTGCTGACGGACCCTTCTTCCGTCCCCTTGATGTTCTTATCTGCGAGGATCATCCTGTCTCTAGACTTGTCATGGAACGACTCTTTGAAAAGCTGCGTTGCAGGACCATCACTGCGGTGAATGGAACAGAGGCAATGCGCTTTGCCTTTAGTGAGGTGCAATTCGATATCATCATGACTGAATTCAAGCTGCCTCAGATCAATGGAGCAGACGTATCTCGCATGGTCAGAGATACTCGAAGCGCCAATACTCACACACCTATTATTGCCGTCACTGGCTACTTAAAGGATCTTCCTGAAACGCATCATTTCGATGCTCTGGTTGAAAAACCTCCTACTCTCGAGAAACTCGTGGACGTTTTGTCCAAGTTCTGTCAATGGAAACCACCACCGAATGACGAAGAGTTAGCCCAGCAGCCACCAATCCCTGCATCTGCACTTCGTCATGTCTCGCTTCGTATCGAAGACAGCCCAAGCTCAGTTTCTTCAGGTTTTGCAGCAATTCCCACTAGCTCATACCGAGGTTCCAGCCGGGAGGAGTCACTTAGCAGTAGCTATTTTGGCGAAATGGAGCCTCAAAAATCAGATGATATTCCTGTTATTATTAGCCGCCAAGCTACGGGCGAATGGAGCAGCGGCCAAACTGGCGGACTCGGTATCATGGAGGAACCGTCTTCAATGCTCAAGACCGGCTTGTTGGAAGCTAGAAGCCCGCCGAGTGTGCCAAGTTTGCTTACGGCGACGTCTGCCCCTGCATCTTTCCATTTCGCTGGTGTGCCCTCCCTTCGAAAACCTAGGTCTATCGAATGTATTCGGGCCAAACGTGAGTCCATGGAGATTAAACGGTATGAAGGTGCCGAGTCAGGTGACGATGAAGATGAGGAGCTAGGTCGCGTACATGGACGAAGCAACCGTAGCCCACAAGCTACCACTGGGAAGCAGCGACGATCCGGATCGAAACTGGGAACCGAAATGCTCAGAACGAACAGCCGTGGAAGTGTCGTGAGTGCTGGAGATGATCTCTCAAAAGAGCGTGAGACTGATCTCATGGAATCCATTACTTCCGGTAAAGATACTACTGCCACGACCTCTTTGGAAGCTGCCATGGAGCAGTTACATGTTGGAGAAGAAGTTTTGGACGCATTGCCTGAGGTACCAGAGAAAGAGGGATCGTGCACCCCACCGGATGATGCAGCTGGTCGAGGGAATCCGGGGGATACCTCAACACTATCGGAAGACCAGGCAGAGGCAACAATTGGTGAACCGATAATTCCGACCAAATTCCCAGATCTTCAGGCGTCGGCCACGCTACATGATACAGATCAGTCATCGGCGTCGCATATTGGCACGTCATCGAAGCCTGAAAGCCATCAAGAAAGCTCCACTCCACCGGGAACTGCGTGCGGACCTACATCACTAACACCAGAAGCCTATCGTTCGAACACAATCGAGGATATGGATACGACTCCTAAAGCCGCCCTTTCTGGAAGACCTTATCTCGAAGCTCGCGAAGGCGATGATGGCGAACCAACTCCGCAAGCGTCCGATAAACAGAAGACTCATACGTTTGATCGTGTAGTGGGATGGATTAGGCGAGATGGCCGTTAAAACTTAACGAAATGAACGTCTAGCCTAATCCATCGTTCACCAAACTGTTTCCCCTCAAATCTTTTGCATGTCTTCTCTGTTAATTTTCTTTATTTAGCCTTTTTTTTTTTCTTTTTCTCACGGGCATCTATCTGGGTTCTGGGAGCGACACAATATTTTGCTAGGATCCGGATCATTCTACACTGCTTTATCTAGTGTTCTATTATTCCATCTCTTTTCTCTTCTTTTTTTCTCCTTTTCTTCTCTTCCCAATTTCTTCCTCCTTGCTTTCTTTCCCTCTTGTATAAGTCACAATTGCTACATTTCCTTCCTCTCCATCGAATCTATCCCAATGAGTTCGGCGAGCCAGGGGTTTTACCGCTTTGGGTTATGTGTACCTTTTTCTTTTGTCTGTCTGCCTATGCTTCTTTTGTTACCTGCCGTTGTACTGTACACTAACACTGTACTGCATATATGTCACTAAGCTACAGAGTGTGTTTTGTACGGGCTGCACCGGCAACGAAGAGGAGATTATAGCTAGTTTTAATCTGCTTGCAGGAGCAATGGGGTGCTAAAAAGTCACTACCTGGGGGTGCTGGAGCTGACTGGGCTTGGAGTGACTGAGCCTTTTATTTTTGCTTTTTTGCTTTCTCTCTTTTCTTTTTGGTCCTTTTCTACCGTGGATATGTAATGACATAATGAAATGAAATGATGACGATACGACCTGATAATGCAGATTTGATTTTAAGTGTGTTATATCGCATACATCTATCCGTTGAATTTGATACCTTGAAGTCACGAGTCGTCCTCAGGGGCACTTTACGAAAACCTGACTCAAAAGGGCAACTTCATTTTATATCAGCGAAGAGCAAGCAATTTTTAGCTCCATTTTCTTGAGCCGAAAATAGATCAGAAAAGCGTAGGCGATAGTATTTTTGTCCGTCCCTGCTGACGGGAATATATTGAAAGGGAAAAAGTAAAACTTGGATCCAATCTATCGATCAACTAAGTTCATCAAATTAGACGTCATACAGTCATGTAACAGAACATTACTCCTCGTCTTTCTCCTCGCTCTCCTCATCCTTTTCTGCCTTTGCACCCGTGTCATCTTCCTCCTCGAAAGTGTTGGCAGGAACACTGTACAGGCGAACAACAGATTTATTGGGATCCTTGACCAAGATGTACTTCTTAATCTTGTCCTCTTGGGCGTCGTCACCCTCTTCTTCGTCACGGGCGTCAAGGCTGTTCACCAGATCGATGATCGTCCGTACGATACCCCATCCATTCGCCATATTCAAGTTCATCTGTAAAGCGAATTCGCGAGGCTTATATCCAATGACACCGAGAATCATGTGTGCGGTTGCGGAGCGTGGGTTAGCGCGAGTCACGAAACCAAGCTTCATGACGTCGGACTTGGCGAGGATGGCCTGAGTGGTCCAGCGGGCGAGCTTGACGTTGTTGTTCTTCATTTCGGTGGCCACTACGGCACCACGCTGAGAGTACAGTTTAGAGCGCCAGTCCAGGGCACCACCAGCGCCCTGGGCTTTGTGGTCGAATTCATTGAGAGCCTTGAGAGTCACGTGTTGATCTTCTCCGCTGATGTTGTTCTTCAGAACGGCATCGATTTCAGTACGGACGATGATCTGAACGGGCTCTTCGTCCTTTTCAAGAGAGAGGTCGAACCGGCGGTATTTGAAGCCCTTGGAGGCGAGAGGTTCGGTTTCCTCAGAGGGATTGTAGAATGGGTTGGGGTGAGAGAATTCTACTTTGGCGCTGTCGGATTCCACAACAGTCTGGAGGGCAAAATTGTGGTTGATGATGGTTGCCTCGAGAGCAAGAGCCCCCGGAGTGTTGATCGAGTCGTGCTTGGCCTGGCCCTCCGAGGCTTCCATAGGAGCGTCTGCGGCATTCTCGTTGACAGTGACTAAGTCGATCGAAGCGTTGTCACGCTTGTCGAAGTAGATCTTGTTCCCGTGCTTGACGATGACGATATCCCAGGAATAGACGCTACGAGAAGCGCACATGAGCATGGACAGGATATCGGCGGTAGCGAAAACAGTGGCCTCGTCCTTTTCAGCCAACTCTTGGATAACGGGGTCAGCGCTGGTGGTAACATTGTACGCAGCGCGCTCCAAAGCTCGCAGTCTGCGTTCAGTATTCTTCACAGGAGCCTTGTCGTACGAGCGATCATAGTAGTAAAGGAAACCGTAGTTGTCCAGATCCTCGCCATCGGGAGTCTCCAAGTTCAACTTCGAAAGTCGCGAAAAATCAATCTCCTCCAACATAGACCACTCTGGGCGGATCGCGACTGAGCTGTCACGGTTTCTCTGTGGCTTATCGTAGTCCTTCCAGCCAAAGCGGCGACCGCGATTGCCACGCCCGCCACGCTGGTCATAATATCTGTCACCGCCAGCCTGTCCACCACGACCCCCAGCGGGTCTCTGGAACGCTCCTCCACGTCCTCGCTGAGCACCACCTCGTTGGCCACGGCCTCGGAAGATGGTACCTCCGCCACGCCCGAAGCCGCGAGTCTTCACAGAAGTTCTAGTATTGTCAACAACAGAGAAAGAAGATTCATCCTCGGCAACCTGGACTGCGAAAAGGCTGCTAGTGCCTGCGCCGTAGACTTGCTGATCTTAAAAAAAAACAATAAAAAAAAAGTAAGAGTTAGAGACCTAATTTTCCCCACGTTTTTAAGTATGCAATGAGAAGGTCGTACCTCTATAGTTCCGGTTATATGCTTGTCTTCCTCTTTCGCGGGAATCCTTAGAATCAGCCCCCCAATCGGCCATGCGGCCTAGTTTGTCGCCTTTTGAGAATGGGGCATACGGAACACCGTCAAGGTGGTTGCCAGTTGGGACTGGGGGACCCCAAGCATCCTCCTCCGACGGGAGAGCAGACACAATGTCCGTGAGAGAAAGTGGTGCCATATCGAACTCTGTAGACCCACTGGGCACAATTTATTCAATATGTCACCTTGACACGGCGCTGCGGAGGGTTTTGCTTTAGAGAGCGATGGCGTGCAATTATGAGTTTTCGAGCTGAATTCAGATGTTGAATTTCCATGTGGGTGTAAAATCTTGGCACGGTTGCACTGTTTGCATTGTCGTCTGTATTGGTTATGTAAGAAAGCTTGGCGTTGGGCGGCGCTCGCTACGAGCATCGAGCACGATGAGTATCAAGCACAGATATCAAACAATTGGGCAACAGATTTCTGAAGATTGGGTGTCATCTAGATAGCACACCATAGTAAACCATAGCTTGTTCCTAAAAACCGCTACTCAAATCATATGTAACAAAAATGGTATCAATACGTATATACAGATTGCCCAAAATCATAATTAAGACAGTGAAACAAGGAGAAAAAGGACGGGCTCGGGAAATCATGAATACATCGTATAGTCCTCCGCCACATGGGCGGGGCGGAAGGGTAAGTATCCCTCCGCTTGCATTATCGCTGGCTCCATTTTGCTCCCCAGCACACTATTCAGTGAATCTCTAAACTCGAATTCTTCGAGGACAGCACCAAATCCATAGCAGCGGACCTTGGCTACAAGGTCATCCATAACTCGTCTTATATCGTCTTTCGTTAATAGGTGATACATTTCGTGGTTTTTCAGTGATTGTAGTGCCATGATTGGGGTAATTTCGTTGTCCGTTACGAGTTGTCGGCTGAGGTTAAGCAGGGTGTTAAGATTAGCTGGCGGAAGATCATATGTTTTCACCGGGTATTCATAGCCTCTACTGGCACTCGCAACCACCGAGGGCGGCGGGCATGTCGCCATTAAAATATGGCCGGCGACCATGTCCTGGTCCTCTGCATCATGAGCACGCCGGCATAGCCGCTCTATGTGATCTCTGCATTGTCCTTCGAGTCTATTATCAATCGTTAGGTGGGGAAAGTGTACTTTATGGGGGGATAAAAGGCTTACGTGAGGATAAAATCGATCCCCAATTGCGGGTCGCGGTCAAATATGCCGGGAACATCGGCAACGGTGGAGTGATCGCCACTCGGGATACTTATTTCGCTCGATATTGCTGGCTGGCAGCTCTTCTGGGTCTTCGGCCCTTGGTATGAATACGGCGAAGAGGTAGGCTGCGCATCTGCAAAATCCGATCCCGGGGCACCCGGACTTCTACCCGCTGAGACAGTCGTATCCGGAGTCATGTAGTGGGTCCCACTTGGGTAACCAGCAGAGTGCGACTGGGCGCTGCTCTCTTGGTAGCTCCGCTGACTCCCGGCCCGGGTCATGCCTCTACGCTGCTCCAGCTCAGCATCAACATTGAAACCATGCGAGAGCAGAATCTCCCTCAGGATCCTATTCTCTTCCTTTTGGCTTTCTAGGGTTTGTCTTTGCTGGTGGAGAGACATGTTGGCCGAATTTATATCGTTCGCATAACCTTCCCGGAGGCGCGAAATCTCAATCTCCAAGGCCCGGATATATTGTTCCTTTCTTTCTCGGTGGGTTCTGCAGGAAGGAGTTAATACTACGTGGGCCTTTGGGCTAAGTTCGAGAGGGATACCTCTGGGCCTGTCGATTCAATTCCTGGCGTCGAGTCTGAGCTGGCTTGCTATCCGGTTTCGGGCCTCGCCGTTTTGGAGGCTGCCCGTCTATCGGCACGTATGAGCCTCAGCCGAAACGAAGAGGGTCATCGAAATAACATCCCATACCTCTCGTTTTCTTCTGAAGTCCTCCGCCAAGCGCCTTGAGGAAAGGCATTGAAATAAACGACGATTCCGCGCTCACCGGGGCTGTCATGTCGCCTAGAAGAATATGCCACTCGCGCAGGTTCTTCCTTCCAATGAAAAAGCCGCTAATCAGGTGCCATTGTAAGGCGGGATGCACCTTACACCTGATCGGGGCTCCTCATTGATGGAAGACGGCGCGATAGAAGTAAGCATCGGCCAATGACATACCATGCAGGGGCAAAAAAGTACAACAAAGCAATGATAGCCAAGGATAAAGCCGAAGATATAGCTCAAATGCAATTGGGAGCTGATAGGGGCGTGGGTGATTGGCATAGGCGGAGTCAAGCTGCCTTGTCTGTACAAAGGCACATTGCCAAACGAATCCGGGACCAAGCCCAATGAATTGGTACCTACTGCTCGTTCAAAAAAAGGGAGAACTAAGGGCAAGTGACAAAAGACGATGAAAGATAATGGAATTAATGTTTTCGTCGACCTACCTGGTGCACTGCCAACATTACTCGAAAGCGTCTGCGTGACTGGAACCCCCGATTGCCCAGCCATTATCCCCTGGTTGGTCCCCGACGGCTCCATTCCAGATCGACTCGTATACTATCCTCAACAGAGCGAGAAAAAGGGTCTAAGCTTTTCGAGAAGGCTGCAGACGGCCTTTAAACCTCGTAATTGATGGGTCGCTGTTGGCTCAGACAAAGAAGAGGGGGGGGGGGCGTTTTCGAAAAAGGGCTTCGGCGCGATTGAAGGTCAAAACTCGGGAATGCCGAAGCCGAACGCACACGAATCTGCGGTTGAAGGTGAAACTTTCTGCTTACGTACGCGCACGACGGGCTGCTTGAAGACCGTTGATGGCGGCGTTGATCGATCTCCAGATACGAGCAAGAAGACAGATGGAATTCCATGCCAGTGGTAGGTTCCCAACGGCTGCAGGCCTGGTCGCAGCAAGGTCGGCCTGCAACAAGCTTCGACTTGCCAAGCAGCGGGCCTGTAGCGCGCACGTGATTGGCGCGGCAGTCGGGCGAGTGGCGGTCCGTGTGGCGCTGCTGATTGGCTGAGCTGAAACAGCACGGGCTCTGTTACGTAATCCACTGCCGCTTTGAGAAAAAGTTAGCCGAGACAGAAGCCGACCACGTGATAACGTAATCCACCACCGAGCGGATCACCAAATTCAATATATCTTCAATTTTCTAATTAGCCCATTTCAATGCGTGAGAATGCCACCAATTCGCAATAAAAATGCAAGAAACTCTATAGAGATAGAGGGAAGACTTGAGCTCGCAATATCTGTTTTTAAAAATGAAGAAATATCCTCAATTCGTGAAGCTGCATGCTTATTTGATGTGCCACGCTCTACTCTTGCCTATCGACTCAAAGGCAGACCTGCACGGGTGAATTTACGCGCAAATTCACATAAATTGACTGAGCCTGAAGAGAATCAGCTAGTTCAATGGGTGCTGGATCTGGATAAACAAGGACTACCCCCGCGGCCAGCATTTGTTGAGAATATGGCCAGCCATACATATATATAGATATCTTGCTATAGCGGCAGCATCATTGCCACTTCTTTTCAGCCATTACTGGGGGTCTAGGGGCGTAGAGGCGGTTATACGGCCGAGCAGGTGTCGCAGGTACTATCGTGGGGATGCACACAACCAGGCATTGTTTTGCGACCGAAGACCTGGGCTCCCCGTGGGTGTAGATCGAGAAATGAATTTGGTCATAGTTTCTAAAAAACGCAGGCGCGAATGATGGCGTGGATCGACTATTCCTAGCGAGTCACTGCATGACTGACAGTCTTACTCAAAAGAAGAGCTGGAGCTCTCACGCATGGCCGTTTTATATACCGGATCGTGGTACGGAAAGAAACGCCTGAACAGTCAGGTTTCTCGAGCGAAGATCTATCTATTTACTGTACAGATAACCCCCTTCTCAGCCATTCGCAGGTCTCGCTTGCGGAAGCCACGGATGGGAAATCAAGTCCTCCGCCGTGGTCCGGTCCTCGGGCCTCCAGCGCAGCATTCTAGAAATAAAGTCAACAAACTGGGGCATTCCGTCATCATAATCAATTTCTTTAGCCATAGACACCAGGTCCTTTTTTCCGATGAGCTCGGGGAATTTGAATTGTCCTATCAAATAAGTTAGCGGCGTCTATTTAGGACATCAGCTAGCATACCTTTAGCGTCAAAATACCGAGATGTTTCTTTTCCGCGGCGGAGAAGATCAGGTGGAGGGGGCCCCAGGAGGGAAATGATCTGGCCTAGATGAGCTTCGTCTGCTGAGCCTGAACCGCGCGAGTTCGGCGGTGTGTCGAAGGGTCCGCGGCCACAGAACAGGTCCCAAAGCTGATAGACTATTAATGGTGATCATGATTATGACAATGAGGTCTTTACCATAGCTCCCAAGTTCCAAATGTCAGCACTGTAGCTCCACTCGCCCCCGAGACAAACTTCCGGCGCCCGATATCCCTCTGGCTGGATGGGGTGGCTGTTCGGGGGACCGTCACCACGCACGGCAAGCCCAAAGTCAGTTATTACCGATCTACCCAGTTGGTCGGGCGACAGTCCCCAGTAATTTCGGGATAGGTATATGTCCCGACCGTCCAGTTGTTTCCGTGGAGAGGGATCGTTCATCTCATCTTGCGCGACCGAGTCGAGGATAGATGGGTTGCGTAGGGCCAGTAAGATGTTATCGGACTTGAGATCTTGTTTGTCCGTTAGCTGTGACCGATTATAGGAGTGGGTCGGTTGAATGACTAGGTACCTGTGTGAATAACGTGGCATTCGGTGTGGAGGTACCGCAGTCCTTCTAGTATGAGTTTAGATACCGGTTTCAAGACGCCGAGAGGGATGGTGTTTCCTTCGAAACGACGGTTCAGCATCCATAGTGGTTCACAAAGCGCATCGAAGACCATGCAAATATGAGTGCCGCCCGGGCTATCAACACGAAACGAGTCTAACAAGGTGGCGACAAAGTTGCGGCCTGGATGCTGGGGGTTTGCTTTGGTTATATGCTCAGAAATACGCAGCTCCTCCTCCGCAGATCGTTGAGATACATAATTGTTTGTGTTAACTTTGATGGCCACATATCGGGGCGGAAGCCATCGCCACCTATGACATAGTGAGACAAGGATTGAATATATTATCAGATAATCTTCACATACTGGTGGAGATCGCGTGCTAGCCATACCGTTGAACTTGTTCCCCAGCCTATTTTGGCGGCGATTTGGTATCGGTTGTTGAGTATCTCATAAAGACGTACAGGATAAAAGTGCTGAGGCTTATGTATAATGGGGTGTGTGCTCTTCCTCAACCAGATCTGCCGTTGGGAGTAACTTTGCCGGCAAAGGGCAGGGCTTGCAGGGAACGGACTGAATAATTCTTCTAAGGTACATGGCCCACGAAGGGATGAGTAAGTTACTTGCTGCCCACTCTGTCGTCGTCGTGTTGAAAGCAGGGGGGTGTGATCCGCTCGGGGGTGGATAACGTTAGTTAGTTCATGAACCAGATTCTCATGTCATCAACGGGGGATTTGTTTCCGTGGTGCAGCATCGAGACGATCAAAAAACGGAGAGGAAGAGGAAGAGTTGTACAATGCTCATCATATCAAAGTAGAGTTAAGTGATAAGTATACATTAAATGTCATTTAATTCCTTCCCATCGCCTTCTCAATTGCAGCCAATCCGGCCATAACCTTCTCATCATAGAACCTCCGCCCAACGACCTGAAGGCTCACCGGAGCACCCTCGAATCTTTGTGGGCCGGTGTACAGATCATAGTTGAAGCGATCGTGCTCGTTGCGTGGAGCATATCCCTCTTCCCGAACATCCTTCTCCAAATCAACAGTGGTGACGGGGAAGACAGCAGCCGGGTAGTCCAACAGGTTCCATTGAGAGGTGTAGCACCAATATCTGGCGGCTTCGTGTGGAGGAGCGACGCCGGGAGTCGTGGGGCACAGGATCAGATCGACTTCACCCGTTAGGGAATTTGCGGTAGCGGACCAATGGGCAGCGTACGCATCACGGTAGCTGTCGCGTTCAAGGCAGAGCTGCGCAAAGAATCGAGGTGATCAGCCTTTTGGAAAACCCATGATGCTACTGAGCGGATATGCATACCTTCCAATATTCAGCCATGTTGTGGTCCTTGACCCTTGGTTGTTCAAGGATGAATTTTGTGAGGGGTAGAATTGGTTCTCCCGTCGACTTAAAGAGGTCAAGAACTTCTTTTCCTGCGTCCGGCCAGTAAAGCTCAGAGATGATGTCCCAGGCCTTCCTGTGGTCATAAGACACCCAGTCGACCACCTCCATTCCAGCCTTCTTACACGCCTCGGCGACCTCTCTCAGTGCACGAAGCACTGGTGGGTGCGGCTTAACCACGCCATCATCCCATTGAACCGCGATCTTCAGGGGTTTGTTAAAGGTGACGGATGCCCAGGGCAGTGGGGAGAGAGAAGCGTCAAAACGCCACGGCTCTGCATCAGCGATGACCTTCATGAATAGATTGACTGTTTCGCGCGAACGGCAGAGAGGACCAAATGTGGCAGCGATCGCATCCTTGCCCTCCATGGGAAGCTTAATCCCGCCAACTGGAAGACGCTTGCAGGTAGGCTTGAATCCATACACGCCGTTATTGCTGGCAGGATTGCGAACGCTACCACCGATATCACCTCCAACGCCCTGATGCTTAAGTCAGCATATGTAGTTCCTGGGTTTCTATCAGTCCACCTGCTACTGACCAAAACACTGCCACCAAAAGCTACCAGAGCTCCTTCACCACCACTGCTTCCTCCAGAGGTAAGGTTGCGGTTGTAGGGGTTAACAGTGCGGCCATAGATGCTGCTCTCGCACTCAAGATGCATCAATGCTTGGGGGCCCGTTGTCCGAACGTAGAAGACGCAGCCAGCGTCATAAAGAATGTTGTTGAGAAGGTTGTCCGCGGAATCATCGTCGGCCCAGGCAATGAAGTTGGCGTGGACCTTCTTGCCCTTCATGCCGTGGTGCTCTTTTATCGAGATGGGAAGACCATGGAGCGGGCCAACTGGCTCCTTAAGCGAATCCAAATATTTTGCTCGCGCAATGGCTTCATCCCACATGAGTTCTGTGACGCAGTTCACCTATTTGAACTCAAACAGAAAGAGTCAGTACTTGAACCAAGGTAATCAGGAGCCGGACATTGGACTTGACAAAGTACGAACCGCTTTCTGTGCCAGCGCGGCCCGTCTGAGGAACGCTCTTGTCAGCTCCTCTGATGTAACTTTCTTGGTGCGCAGCATCTCCAGGAGCGCGATGGCATCATAATTCTGTGTAAGCTCGAATTCTCGCTCCGTAAGGTACTGCCTCGGAAGACCTTGGGAATTTAACGGCAGCGGATCGGGGATATCTTTGAGCGGCGGTTCGACTTTGGCAAGAGTGCCATCGCGATAGTCGCGAATTGACTGTGCCTTCTGCTGCCAGGACACGGTAGCCATTGTTCCGAGAAATACAAAGGTATCTGGAGAGAACTTAACGTTGGAAAGAGAGAATACGGTTGTCACACGCAGAACACACAATGTTAAGCTACGCAGGGACAGTGTTTTCGAAGAGCGATGCCGTAGGTATAAGTAGTAAAATATCCACCAACGCTTGAGCGGGGACGGGAAAGAGAGCCTAGAGATACTGGTTGAATCCTAGAAGTAGCCAGGCGTCTCGTCGAGCGGAGCTCTATCTCGTCCGTCTGTCCGGTCCACGCTAACCCCCTCACTTCTCAGGAGGTACAAGAACATTATCGATCTCAACGACCGAGTCAGGTTACTCCACTGTGCTGTCCTTCAAGCCGACCCAACCGACACCGACTACCGCTCCACCCGGACCCATGGGGCTCAAGATTCTCGACACACACCTCAGCTTCTTCTCCAGACTGTTCCCCCTGGGGCAAGACAAGGTTGGCTCCCAGCCTTTCCCGGCGGAACTCCCCCCGCCGTTCACAGCCCTTTTGGATAAGCGCGCTCGTGTAGCTTGTGTGGGGGGGTGGTACATATTTAGTTTAAAGTGGCCAATCGGGACACTGTTCACTCGCCCATGCCGCGAACGAGAATCGCGCGATGATGTAGTGAGATCTAGGGACGCATGTACTCTACATGCGTCTTCGCTACTCGATATGTATGTCACAGACACTGCTGTCGAGAACTGATGTTGGAGAATCGACGTGCACATTCCAGTGCCTGAATTGCGGGGGATGAAATTGACGTGCCGTGCAGTGTGGCCAACTGCGGGGATTTTGAGTTGGGGAAGACATCCACCACAGCAAAGTTAAATTTCCCCACGAAGACGCTGGTTTGGAGAGAGCGAAGACAAGTCTCAGCTGTCGAACTTCTAGGCAGCTAGCCAGTCAAGAGGTGGTGATCGCCCGGCCTGATAACCGGCGGATCAATGGAAGGCCATGGCCATGAAAACAACTCGGTTATCAGTCCATTTGGATAACCACTTCCCCTTTGCCGTCTCTCCACTGCACGTTCGGAATCTTCTTGATCCCTCTATGGCTAGCCAAAAAAAGTAACAAATATATATACGGAGCGGTTTCGCCCCACGAGTAGACCCTCACGTCCAGTGGCTGTACGGAGTCGACTATGGGCTGGTCTTTAGCAGAGTCACAGAAGCACCAAACTCCCCAGCCTGCTCGTCCGTACTGGCCCACAAATTTTGAAAGATAGTTCCAGAACCGTAAAAATAAACCAGTTGACCAGGGGACAGGATCTCTACGCTCATTGCTTGTTAGGGCACACGCCGTCGAGCCTTCAGCAGGCCTGCTCGATGTGCTCCCTCCGTTATTGAGCACAACCGGAATTCGCATGTACCAGTATCCCCGCTCGAGTATGCCCAGTCGACGTGTTTGATGGGCTGGTTTAAACCGGGAAAGGCCCATTTTTTCGGATAGCAAATGTAGGGGTGGTGTGATATGTGTTGTAAACTTCGCCTTGTTAGATGCTTCCGGAGGTGGTGGACGAATCTCCGCCGGCAGTTCTGGCAAACTGGAAGAACCAGGATTGTCCGAGAATAGTATTTCTTCCAATTCACTAGATGGAATAGTTTCTTCTAACAGTGAAATGATATCATCTTTAGTTTCGGGAAGGCAAGTTCGTTTTGGCGGAGACGCTACCTCTGAAGATGATGGTGGTTCACGAATCCGCACTGGTTTAATGGACCTCATGGCGGGGCTGATACTTCTCTCAGGGTCTCCGATAGATCTGAATGAAAATTGAGATCCAAACGCAGATTCTGAAGGTACCTCAAATGAACCCAATTCGACAACGTTGCCTTGCGAGACAGGAACTTCGCTGGGCTTCTCTTCCGTGGCGGCAATCGGCTCCAAGATGCTTATTTCTCCAGCCGGGGATTCCATGCCAGAATCTCCATCCCTTTGGGCATATTTCAGGACGTCCCATGTCGGTGAAAAAGGTGGTTGAGAATCAGGCACTGTCGCTGGCGGAGTTTCAAAGGAATCCGTCTCGTTAAACTTGGTGGGAGAAGGGATAATCTCCGTATCACCCTCTGCACCCTCGTAGAAATCACACGAAGGTCGCTCTTCAAAATCGTCATAGAAGACAGAATCATCTCGTTCATAACCAGCGTCTATCCCCCTCTTCCATGGAGGTGTTGAACGATCGGTAGAACCGCATCTACCACGATTCTCCTGATCGCTATTACTAGCTTGAGTGAGAATATGTAGTTGATCACTTCCATCCGAATCATCGGGATATATCCTGAACTTGGTGGCGGGTTCGAAATGCAGGAAAGCGTTTGCAAGCGCGCGATGGTTGGCATCATCTTCTGCATCGCCTGGAGCGGAAATGTGGACTAGAACTTCGATCGAGGGCTCCATTGCGGAAAGACTAACACGTCATTTTGAGACACGGTCCTCGTTGGGTACGATGGCACACTTCCTGCTTTCGTGACAGACAGGCCCGAGTCCATTCATCGTTGATTGTGTTCTCCGTAGCTGAGTCGAGGAAGTGGGAGCGTGGTCAAAGCTTGCTGCAGGGTTGAAGTTTTGTGGAGAGGATTTCCTTTTAACTTAGTTAACTAGCTCCGGCGGCAACGACCTGGACCGGCTGTCCAAACCATTCAGCTCGCCAATGATGATCCCGAGGGGGTTCACCTCCCCTTGAAATTATTTCACATCCATTATGCCTAAGATTTCGCAAGTCACAAAGCAGCCGTATGCAGGTGACTTCATAAAGAATCGCCCATTGTTCAGCCTGCCATTCTCTAGCAACTCGCTCGACAATGGCCCAAGGTCAAGGAACGAGTCATGACCAACTCAGCCAGAACCCTGCTCTCCACCCGCCTCGCATACGCCTGACAGGCCGATCCATCATCATTGAACCCTTGAGTGCTGCCCACGCGGAAGATTTATTCTCGTGTGTCGGTGGACTCGAGAACGCTTCACTCTGGACATACATGCCGGCTGGGCCTTTTGAGTCCAAAGCTTCGCTCGAGACTTACATAAATTCCATCATATCCTCCGAGGATTCGGTATTCTCAGCGCTCATTGACCCCGCCAGCCAACGGGCGGTTGGATACTTGGGCCTGCTGCGCATCGACCTCAAAAATCGCATCGTGGAAATCGGCAGCATCATGCTCTCGCCTACACTGCAGCGCAGCACGGCAGCGACAGAAGCCTACTATTTGATAGCGAAAATGGTCTTTGAAGACCTTGGGTTCCGGCGCTATGAATGGAAATGTAATAATCTTAACACTCCCTCAAAGAATGCCGCTATTCGGCTCGGGTTTACATTTGAAGGAATTTTCCGCCAGCATATGATTGTCAAAGGGTTGAATCGAGACAGTGCATGGTTCTCAGTCATTGACTCTGAGTGGCCGTCAATCAAAAATGCGTTCGAGAAGTGGTTGGATCCTACAAATTTCGACGCAGATGGAAACCAGCGCAGAAGCCTGGCATCATTTCGGTGATCGTCGGTGTTCTGAAGGGGGTGCGGAGTTCCATTGGTATGAATTGGTGTCATGCATGAGCTATATACCATCTCTACCTACTTATACCAAGCTTGAGAGTGGCAGTTTCATTAAATATCGACTCTCAATCGCTTTGCAAATAGCGGAAATGGGAAATCGGATCCCACTCAGCGGTTTCAAGGGGACTTCTTGAAAGCCTACAAATAATTTTAAAGCAACCCGAATATCTGATCTATATACTATAAGACCTTCCGTCAAAACAGATCCACAATCCATAGGGTGGTCCCTAAATCCCAAAAGGCCCTCTGTTGTTTCTAAGAATTTTGCTCCAAGATGCCACATATTGTTAACGCTATTGACACTCCGAAACCAGGTTTTGCCTTTTAACCACGCTAATGAGTCACGATTGAGCGTACCACCACCCCGATAAATGACAGGAAGTCCCCCATCTTTGCACTTCTGGAGCGTGTGGGCTTTCCACTGGGCTAAATGGCTGGAAGAATTAATTAACTTGGAGCTCTCCTGGAACACTGTAGCTCACCATTGATCTGAATTTGTATTATTCCAATCTGCTCATAGAAAATGGCCAAATCACGAGACATTGAACACAGGAAGTAAAGATAAGGCGTCAAAGCACACTTGTGCTTCCCTAGAAGGCAATAGAAGTAGTTTATATAAAAGCGGCATCATACTTTGATCCTCAATAAAAGAAAGACTTATACGGAGTGTAAATTTCGGATTAATAAATTAGGGCTATACCATGTCATGCTATCTGAGAGTAGAATCTTAATTTGTGTGGTGTTGTTAAGTGGATGGCATGCATTGCCAATTTGTCAACTTCGCCAATTTGAGCATTAAATATTGTTTTATGAAGCTTCAGTCACCAGTAACTTTGTATTCCTGGATTCTAGCCAAGCTTTCTCGGGAAATGAGCGCGGAAATGTTCGCACCATGTATCCGACTTGCCAACAACACAGCTCAACAGTGGTGTGAGTGACTCGCCTGGGTGCAGGGTGCTGGGGGGAGGGGGGCCATTCAATTATTAATACGCCGCACTCCGTACGGAGTACACAGAATTGACATGTAAAGATCTAGTAGCATATCTGAGAAGTCTTTTAGAGAACATCCAGAGTTGGTTAGCTGCTTAGAGTCGACTACGGAAATCACACCTTTTTTTAAAAAAAACTACTTTTTGTTACTTGTGTCTTCATATTTGCATTCTGACGGCCTCCCCCGCAGGATCCAACCACATATAGCATGGCTACCTCACCAATCGCCCAGTTCCCCGGATTCAGTGGTACCCTTCTCGATTCCGACCAATTGCGCGCCCACCCATGTCTTAAGTCCCTTCAAATCATGGTCAATGATGCTTTTCGCGAAGGTAATCATGACCGTTTCCCCACCTTGGACGCAGTATCTGCAACTCTGGGTACACACGGCCGGTGCATCGTCATATTTCGAGATACCGACGTCGACAAGATCAATCCCGTAGCGACAGCCATGATCAAGTATTACAACCCGGCTGTGGGGGTAGATCCAATTGGGGTAATACACGCCAATGGAAGAATCGAGTCAGAACATGGTCAGTGGTCGCGGCGAAAATTAAAGAGTTTTCATTCTCCACGTCTAGCTCGGGAATTGCTCTTCTTCCCTACGGTTCTTTCTTTCTTTCATTTCTTTACCTCCTTTGTTTTTTCTTTTTTTTTCTATTATTTTTTATTTTTTATTTTTTTTTAAATTTAATAAAAATCATAGACACAGAACGACGTCGGCTAATGTACGTCCCACGGCAGGATATGACTCAGAGCCTGCTGACCTTCTATCTATTACTCAGTGGGAACCGGCCGCAGTGGCCATTCTACAGGGTGATCCGTCATTGAGAAAGCTCGGTTTGGCAGTATATTGCGTCGATCAGTTGGAAATAGATCTCATGAAGCGCCTGGAAGAAGCCCGCAAGAACCAGTCCGCAGTGTCGGGGGCACAGAGTAGAAGTCATACCTCGGCATCTTCCGCCAAAGTCCAGAAGTTAACGCTCTGGATCAGAGCAAAGCAACATCTGGCGCCATATTGGGAGAGGCGGGGCTATAAACTTGTTCATACCAAAATGTATCCAAAGGGCATCTGGGGTTCGCAGGCTGAACTGAAGATTGTTACACTGAAGAGAGATATGCTTAGCAGTATTGAATAGACATAGAAGCAAAATTGACAAAACGGCCTAAATTCTAAACCCGTGTGAGCCAGTGATGTTCTAATATATCAATTATATCTTGGCCCTGTAAATATGTTTGGAGCCCTGGCATCTCCATAGGGACGGCTGTAGATGCAAGTCTGTATGTTTGGAATCTTTTGTTAGAGATATCCAAGTCCTCATATCCACAACGAGTGTCCGCTTGACTTCGGTTATTGGACACAATGCTGGATCGATCAGGTCACGCTTTGGACCTCGTAGGCACTCTGGTTACGGTAGATGGCACCATTGGTAGGCAACACATAAAAAGTATCGACGGAAATATCTTTTTGATAGCCCGTATGAAGGGATCCTCCCCGTGAACAACTCCAGCGGCAAGCCGCAACAGGGGTGTCGAAATAGCGATTTGCGTGATTACTGATCGCGCCGACCGCAGCTGTTTGGTTGACGTTGGAATTGACTCCGCCGGGACCGTGGGAAGGCTATACGCTAGCCTACTTCTGGACTAGGGCCCCTTTCATCTGCGCTCCCGTTCGTATCGGGATGTGAGCAGGCAAATCAGAGCGCATGGAAACTTGAGGAAGCTCGCTGGTGCCTAAGGAAGACAAATCATTCCCGACGCGATGGCCACAACTATCATCTCCCATGATGGGCTGTACAGGATATAAATACCCAGCCATGAGCGTTTCAATGCACCTTGTCCCCAGCTCCTAAAAACCAAGCCCACAATCACCGGACCAGCATCTTGTTGCCCGGGGTTTCCATCTTCGTCACTTAATCTGCTCAAACTCCTAAGAGATCCGGGGAATCCCAAATTGTCAAAATATTCCTCGCAACTAGCCGACCATGGCTCCAAAAGAAGGGTCCCACATCGTCCACCAGAAAGTTCACCCCTGTCTCTGGTTTGACACCCAAGCCGTCGAAGCCGCAACATACTACACCACCCTCTTCTCGCAGAGGCCGAACGCCAAGCCCGGCGATGCCACAGATGTCTCCCGCATCACATCCATCGCCGAGCCGCTGGTGACATTCATGCTCTCGGGACAGGAGTATAGCGCGCTCAACGGCGGGCCCCACTACACACACTCTCCGGCCGTGTCGCTGTTCATCACCTGCGAGGACCAGGCGGAGGTTGATTATTTTTGGGAGAACTTCCTTAAAGACGGCGGCAAGGAGATTCAATGTGGGTGGATCGCGGATAAATTCGGCGTGTCCTGGCAGGTTGTACCGAAGGCTTTGATGGAAATGCTTTCCGACGAGGATAAGGAAAAGCAGGAACGCGCGAGACAGACGATGTTGAATAGCAAGAAGCTTGAAATTGCTAAGTTGAAGGCTGCGTTCGAAGGGCGGGAATGAGCGAGGAGTGGTTTATTAACGTCGCCAACAAATATGGAATACGAAAGAGGTGTACCATTTGAATCAGAATTCAGATAATGTCTTCCCTTTGTATTAACTGGTTATTTCACATGCAACTAAAGGAGCCATCACCGTTAAAATTCATCCATTTGAGATCCCATTTTGACCTCCATAACATATATCAAAGAGATAGCCAGGCCCATAATTCACAATTTGACAGAGCGCACAGCAATAAAGCAAAGACACAACACAGAAACAGGAAAATCAAAATAACCCCAGGTCATTAAAGTTACAGGTTTTTTGGGTCTTTCTTGCAAGGATTAGTAGTTCAATTCTCCATCGCCAGGACCACCCACAGCGTCCAAATCCTCGTAACTCTTTAGGCTTCGGCCTTGAACAGCTTCGCGTGGCCCCATAGCCTGAGCACCACCGCCAGCACTATCCCCCCATCGTCCACCAGGACCAAAGCCTCCCATAGCAGCCAATGCAGCTGGATGGCCAGGTGGAACGTAAGGAGCTCCGGCGTTAGGGGCGCCAAACATACCACGGACGGGACTAAGTCGACCACTACTTCCGGGACCGGTGCCGCCAGCTCCGCCAAATCGACCCCCTCGACGATCATACGGACCGGATCTATTATAGTGACGGCCTCCTCGGCGAATTACACCAGGGTTGTGAAGGCCTGAAGTGGCTCCTCCAGCAGCACCAGCCATAGCCATTCCACCACTAGCCCAACTGCCAGCATTCATGAAACCAGGAAGGCCTGTAGAAGACGAGGGCATTCCTTGAAAGGCGCTGCCAGCCATGGATCCGTTTGCACCGAAATTAAACGGCATATTTGCAAAATTAAATCCACGTGGAGTACCGGCTGGTACATGGCCCGGTGGGAAAGGGAAGTGCCCATTGCTAGCAGCATCAGATCGTGACGGAGAAATATGTGCAGGATCGAGGACATATGCATTCACAAGGGTAAGCTGGGTGACAGTTAGCACAATCGAATGTCTTGGACTTAAAAAAGGTTGAACGTACCTCTTTCTGGATCTCACTAAACCATTCAGGGTGCCTCTTCTCGACGTGCTTCCTCCAGAAATGGTGAGCTTTAAAAAGCTTAGTACACTCGGGAACCTTGCAACGGAATTTCGCTTCATCCTCCTGCTTGACAAATTTGTTGAGTTCCTCTTCAAGGGCTTCCTCAACAGGCCTACCACCAAGCTTCTTCAGATCCACATTTTCAGGTTCTAGGATTTGAAGTAGCTTTTCCTCAAAGGTCTTGACCCAATTGAAGGCGCGATAAATTTGTTGTTCGCTCTTTGATGAAAACCGTGGTGGCTTTTTCTCTTCACTTGGGGACGGTTCCGCCTCACCTTCTTCGACCTCTTCTTTCTTCTTAGACGGATAAGGCGCACCAAGAGCGCTTGCTTTGGCTGCAGCTTTAGCGTGCGTACTCAATCCAGACCGAGGCCGACGTAAATGGCCACCAGGGCATTTGCGAACCAATTCGTGAACCGAATCGCTCTCGAACACGCAGAAGAAACAGAAGTTGTGAACCCGTCTCAAGTATTCCACCATTAAATCCAGCTTTTTCTTTTTGACAAGGAGATCCTCACTATCAACCTCATCATCATCTGTCTCGTCCTGTTCTTCTCCCTCTTCTGCCTCTCCGTCTTCAAGCAAGATCATTTCTGAGTCGAGATCGAAAGACTTTGATTTCTTTACCTTCACAGGTCCAGTAACAGGTGGTTGCAACCATCCCTTTCCACGAAGATCTTCAACGCGCTCCTCAACTTTGGCAATACCATCGGCAGAAACCATCTGAGAATCCAGCTTTGCCACGACGCGTTTTACCAATTCAAGATCCCGATCGATACGCTCCGGAGCAGAGAAAAGATCCCAGAGTGCTTTTTTCTTCGGATTTGCTGGCGGAACATGAACACCAACGTGGCACACGAAATCTCCACGAACAGGGTCTTGGATGGTCTTTTCGTTCACAGCATCCAACGCCTTTTCTGCGGTGGAGTTCTCGGTAGTCCCGTTTGAGGCCGTGGTTGCTTCAGCTTCTTCGCCCTCTTCATCCCTCCCATCACCCCTTTCAATCACGGCATGGGGCTCTGGAGCGGGGTGAAGCATTATCCAACCGATTCGATGACACTTTTTCGAAGGATTGGGATCACTTAAGCTCAGCCATTTAAACCCACCGTCTCCTTCCCCAAGATTCTCCTTGCAAAACTCTTCAATCTTTTCACGACTGACATTGGGGGCCAATGTTTTAATAAGAAGGGCTGGTTGTAATAACGATTCATCCCGAAGGTCGCCGCCTCTTGTTGGTAAGAGGTCGAGAACACTCAGTGTTTCACCCACTGCGGTTGCTTCTCCTTCCTCTTTCTCAACAATCCCGCCGGCGCCGTCACTCTCGCTTTTGTAAATTCCTTCGAGTGTGAATTCATCGAAAAGCCCCGAATCAAGGTCTTGCAACCATCTATCATATGCTCCGGACCTAAACTCCATCAAACGCTGACGGAAGGGATCTCGAATCTCAGAGACATATCGCTCTTTGAACCACTCCTCATTTCGATGTCTTTGCACAAACGAACGAGCAGTCTTGACTTGAAAATCTGACTTATATGCGTCGTACGCTGTCTGAATGAGGCCTCTTTCCTTTTCCCGGTCCTCTCTGGCCTCGCGCTCCCCTTTGACACGGTCGGAGGGACGTCGACCACCATGCTTTGCTCGTTCTTTCTCTTCTTTTATAATCTGCTCAGTTCGCCACCATTCAGCGAACCAATTGAACCCAACCTGATATTCGAGGGTCAGAGGATTTGGAAGAGGGTTGGTACGAATGATGGGCCTGCCGGTTTCCTGTCCAGGGACATATCTGTCGATGTTTGCCGCGGTTGGCGAGGGATGGCGCCGGCGCTCTTCACGATCACGGGCAGCGTGATCTCGCGATGCACTGTAGTATTCATCACGGTTGACACGGTCACCTGGCTGATATCGATCGATAGTGATGGGAGAACGGGATCTTGCGCGTCCGCTTACTCTGCGGCGGTCCTGCGAAACCCCTACTGCGTATTAGAGAAGCTGGTCTCGGTCTCAAATACGCAAGAACCATAACCGGGGAAGTGGAGACTTTCTTGGGTTTTTGTGCTTTTCGGGCAGGGTGACATACCTGGGGATCTCCTGCGATAAGAATCCACACCCGATCGCGATGTGAAACTCTCTTCATCGCGCGTCCACCTGGTGTCGGATTTGCTCGGCGGAGGAGGCGATCCAAAGGTGTCATAGGGATCCATGGCGAGTAACACTAACGAAAGGACACGTTTCCACGCTCAGTCAGTGATTGCCTCGATGGGCCGTGTAGTTCAAGAAAAAATTATTAACACAGCATCCAGGATTGGATGCCGGCGAAGGGCGCAAGCGCTATGTCACAGGAACTTCAGAGTCGAAGGCCACGGTCGGGAAGGGAGCCAATGGGGTAGAGCTATTGGTGGACATTTTGAGGGTTAGACTGGGTTTCAAAAGCAGAGCGGCACGTGAGTTGCGGCAGGTCAAGGGAAGGGGGCATTAGCAATAGATAAAAGAAGTAGAAGATCCAAGAAAGATAAACTAAGCTACAAAGAGGCTATCGCTTCCGAAACGATCTGGAGAGCATTGAGGCCGGCCTGGGTTGGGCAAGAAAAAGGTACCACTAGGCGAAGGCAGTGAAAGAATAGATAGGTTTTGCGGGGGTTGCAGTCGCGTCCCCTGATCAACGAGGAATATGAGTCCAGAAAGAAGAAGAAGGAGAGGGTAGAACCAGATGATGGAGTTGGAGGACGAGGGAAAGATAACGGGCGAAGCGGCAAAAAGGTGCAGGTGGAAAAGGGAGATATGACAAGGGATTAGGCAACCTACAAGTAGCCCTGAAGAAAGATAGCAATTTCCCAAGGTCAAGAGCAAAGCACAAAGCTCCTCGGGAAGCTTGACAATTGACAGCGACAACGACGTCGTGATGATGGTCGTCGTGAGGACAAGACGGGTGGCCTGGCGCGGCTAAGAGACCTCATGGCGGGTCGGTCATGTGACCGAGAGCCGCGGGCCAGCCAATGAGAGCTGCCGGGCCCATGCTCCTGGGGCTAAACCGCTTTGGGCTGCGCTGACGACCTTTTATCGGAGAGACGGAGGACAGACTCCCAGAGTGCTTCGTAGCATATACATATCCGCAGAGTAAAGTAAAAGCGGGTGGTTACGAAGTACATTGCGTGGGAACGAGTGCCTTGGATTCTATTTAGTGAGCTCTGTTGAACCACCATTTCGCAAGTTTGCTGGACTGTGGTCTAAAAGCCACAAAACCACGCCAAGCCAAGAAACGACACCGGTTCAGATCAAGGCCACGGGATGCATCCAGAGGTGGGGAGGTCCATAAAGCGTTACCGGATAGCTTCCTTGTATGGATATGGTAGCTTTTTGTTTAAGTGCACTGGCTCGGCGTCCTCACATCTGACCTGGGGCCGTTCACCCCATACTCACATTCTGAATTTTGGTTGAGACTGCGCGCCGCATGATGCCTCTGGAGATTGAACCGCGAACAGAGGAGATTCTGGAAAGGTTGGCTGCCATTTACCCAGAGAGCATTGCTCGTCACAGCACAGCTACTTGTCTTTGGAAACGCCACTTAATTGTTTCAAAATCACCAATCTCATGCTTGCCCGTGTCTAGCGGGATGCAGAAGCAATCAAAAAAGCGGCGGGAAGCAAGGTTTGTGATCTATATCAGATGAACATGTTTGCTGCGGAGGCGGAGATATCTTCCGGCATCCATTGCCTGTGAATGTTATTGCCTGTCTTTGTTGTCTTGCAGGAGACATAGGAAGCAAGCTGAAGACATCAAGCGCAAAAATAAAACAAGATGATCTTTTCTGCTTTGTTATTTCCGGTTCTATGGCCCAGTCGATTCGCATCTAGCCCATGAGATATATGCGATGCCTGCTGGAAATCAATGACATATGTCCTAGACATCCGTGCGCCTCATATTGCTTTTTGCCGCTTCTCCCGACTCATCCATGACAATGTTGAGCTGGCCCCAGGTGATCAAAATATGAAAAAAATCCAGGAAAGAAAAAGAAAAACAAAGAGAATCCCATGCGGTCGGAAATAAATTCCTCTTTCCAATGTCTCTGCGGGGCCGTGTGGCCGCAGCAAAGAGGTAAAGAGGCACGTGCGAAGAATCACACAATCTGCTGGACAAGCTTTCTCAAGGGGTCCTCATACCACGTAACTAACCACCCAGTATGTACGGAGTATGCATGTATGTAATATATCAGATTGACTGTCATATTGCAGGCTCCAACTTCTTCACACGAGACTTGGTGCGAACTAACTGGACTCTCTCCCCTCTTAAGATGCACTAACTATTATGTTCGCCTGCTTGGAAGACGAACAACCCCAACCACGTGACAGTTCTGGGCAGAAATACCCCCCTTCGCCTCACTATCACGATGTCAGACACTATACAGAGTATTCAATGACAATATGCTCAATTTGCCCTGTTGCCCATCCCCTCAGCCAAATGGCGGTGAACAGAGCTATGAGGGCTGTGAAAACTCCCCCCCCAAAAAAATAGCCAAGGCTGAAACTTTCTAGGATTAGGCATCAATGTCATAGTTTGGCAAGCCCGAAATTGGGCTCAAAGAAGTCTCTTATGTTTGTAAGATCCTGATGAAGTCATTGACAGAGTGGAAAAAAAGTACGCTGGCGTGCGCTTTGTGAGTAATCAAGGTTAAATGCAAAGAATTTCAAAAATTAAATAGATAATTTGTATGGGAACAAGGTGGCTTCTGTTGTTGATACGAACAAACTATGACGCTGCACCTATGTACAAAAATATGTGAGCTGAATCTCTACTACATACTCCTCAAATATGGCTTGGGCTAGAACCAGGGTTCGGCATCTTGCTTTTCTTTTAGCAGATCCATTTCGCCGGAACCGGTACGGGTCACGGGAGCAACTTGATAATCCAGATGCACGACAAAGGTACGCACAGAGCTATCCTCTTGCTTGTTTAAACACTGTGGGGATATGCCACTTTGACGTTGCTTCTTTCCTCGCGGCCGCAGTGAACGATAGACGGTTCATGCTTCGAAAATCCGCGGCCGAAACCTCAGAATTGGTTTAGAATCCTGACTGGATTGAATCGTTTTGAGATTCCATTCAGTATGGATCTAGAGATTAGGGCACTTTGAGAGCGAACAGCTTTCAGCACTTGAATAGCCGTATAACCTGTTGCAGCGTCGATCACGGAGGAAAAATGACTAGCAACACATAATCAAACACCTTGCTGGTAGAGAGTGAGAAAGAATAGCAGGACCAGTAGATAGCCGAAGTGGGTGAGCCTGGTGGAAGAGATGGGTGAAAGAATCCACAGAGTATTTAAGACAGAGAACGTGACTCGGTCCATGTGAAGACGCGAAAAGTATTCACATACAGAGTATCCCGTACGGAGTAGAGACATTCTTATCACAGCGTTAGGGTCGGAGGGATTCATTGCTTCCAATTCATGGAGGTGGAATATGATAGACGGGGCAAATAACCGGTCCGGGGCCCCTGCAGGGTCGCCCGCTGGCAGTTATTTCCGGGGCATCCAATGAGTTGGCAAGATGATGCGCTCTTCGATGTGGGACCAGCGATGCACAACTCTGGTTTGGGCATTTAACCAGAAAAGCCACAATAAATGGCTAAACGAATGCTGGATGAGAAGGAAGTACGCCAATCGTCTGGCCGAGAATACTCGTGTTGCATGCTATTACGGGGGTAGGTGACGTTGCCCTCGTTTTCCACAACCACACTCGTGCAATAGGCCGAGATACCTTTTCCTTTCGTCCACTTTTCAAAATAAGACTGGGGCAAGGTAACTTACATTATTGCCACTTTCTTGGTGGGGGCAGTTGAGCCCCAGAAGTGGATACCATGTCGCTGTCACCAGGTACGCAATGTCAGATACTTCCAAGTGGCACATTTATAGGATTCGAAACGAAGCTATCTGTCGAACAGCTGCGTTGACCACTGAATGCCTGCCCGGTTACATCTTCCATCACGTGGGCGTGCTACGTAGCTGAGAAGAGTGCCTGTCTGGCGTGTGGAGGATGCTCTGGTCCAGGGGTGCGCCATCCAGTCATCTGCCGAATCAACACATGACGCGAGATTCTCAGGGTCGACACGTAGATGAAGCCTTGGGATGAAAGGGTCATTGTGATTGACCTATGTGATGCGAATGTTTCATTAAATTAGCGGATTCAGGGAAGCTCCATCGCGATGGCAGGACCTGACTCGCAAAAGGTAGGCAAGTCTACTTACTTACTTTTGCCTCGTTGCATCAAATGCGGCAGCAGCACAGAGTAAGCCGGTACGAATATACCCTCTTGATAGGGTTGATTGTGTATCAACAACATTTGAGGCCGCGTTGTCGAGGGGGCCTTCGCCAATACTGCCAGTGCCCTGAAAGTAGTGCGCATCGGAAACAAGTGGTTTGGGCCCAGGAACTGTTTTCAGCCTCATGTTACGTCGAAGCAAAGTCGTGCAATCTATCATTCGAAAGAGAGCATGTATTGGATTTTGTAGATCAACTCCGGTGGCAGGCCTGATATCGATGCAGAAACAATTTGGATAGGAGGGGATATTTTCAGGAAGCGAAGGACATAGCCCACTGGCCAAATAGATAAGCCTGGGCAAAAGTTACTTGTCTGAAGTCAATAACGCGATGGACTCAGACAAGGTTGCAGGAGAAAAATGCTGAGCTGTTTTGCTTCACAGCTGAATCACACAAGGCGGTTCCACAAGCATTATCAATCAAGTTTCCAATTGTCCAATAGAGAGACAAACCAAAGAGAAAACAATGTGAAAAGAGCATAACATGCCAGGGAAATATATTTTGAAGCATACTGCACCTTAATAGACAGTCTCTTAAGGCGAAGTGGGCAAGTCCAGAACAGCTAATGCTGTGAAGCTATCAAGTCAGCTGATGCCTCCATCTGTACTCAGTACCTCTTAACACACCAGACTTTTTGGAAACCACTGAACATATTGACACAGACTGGTCTAATATACATTTGTAGTATCTTTAGACAGAGTATAGAGTAATGCTGGGTCCCCAAGCTGCTTAGAGAAGTTAATGGACTCACATCTAACTATCGCAGCCACATTGATTTCCTCATATCCTCCTGGCACGACATTGAGGACATTAGATCATTGTGAACTCCGCATGCAGGTGCCTGATAATCTGTACTCGGCCTGTCGGTCTGCAGGGTAAAGGGTTGCAACATCAACTAGACCGGGCCAATTTCTCGGCTCTGGGACTCAAAACCCGCTGCTGTTCCTCATGGAGGATCCAATTTGGGAAAGCAAATCACGACAATGCGCACATCAAATGCTGTGCTCCCCCCAGTTCTACCAAGCTCCAAGAGTTCCTAAAGTTTCGAGAAGAAGAATATCCCTGCTATGAGATTCTCTCCAGCAGTGATCTTTGACATCTGATTGATGGTATGTCTTTCACGACGAAGATAATAACAACTTTCCTCAAACAACACGATAAGTGCCCGCCCAACCGGTCATTTCGCATGCTGATTAATTAAACCCCATGGCAGTGAGGGGGAGTGGCAGCGTCCAGCTGGTTTGTGTATCAACGTGGTATGTATGTTATGTGTGTATGAACGCCGTACTCCGTACGGAGTACTCCGGACGTCGCTCAACACGTCAATGATGTGATTGAGACGCTAGGACTTGAATTTCTATACTTGCTTTTGCGAGGCTGTCTTTTGGATGAAACTCCCGTTGGAACGGTTCTTTCCATGATGGAAGGGATCGCTTTGCCCGGGGGGAGAAACAAAAAGGCTATCAATTAAAAAAAAAAAAAAAAAAAAAAAAAGGAAAAGGAAAATTACTCAAAATACTCAGGCTGACGTTCGTCGAGTTTTTCTTTTCTCTATATTTCTCCGTACTCTGTTGGAGGGTGGTTGTTTTCTAGGGTCTAAAAGGATTCCGGTAAGATACCTTGCATGGGGGAAGAGGGAGAAGGATGGGGAGGTCAAGGGTACCATAATCCGCCGATGTCCGCCCTGCTTGGAGGCCAGGGAAAAAAAAAAGAAAAAAGAAAAAAGAAAAAAGAAAGCAAAGCGCGAAAATTTCTCAGCCAAATTTAGATGCTCATCGGCAAGAAGCGATGCTTCGTGTCCGATGGGGGAGCTCGGTGTGACGGGGCTTTTTGGTCTTGGTCGTAACCATTGGCGACGTAGCCGCACCGGCGAGGGTGGTCCTTGGGGCTAGTGTCGGTGCTAATACTCCGTAGGAAGTCGGCCAATGTATTTCTCTTCTGGAACGGGTGGGTGCGTTAGAGAGGTTTTTTTTGCTTGACATCTGCGAATATCGAAATGTCTTTTTTGTGAAGCGCATCGATCCCTCGATTCTCCAGCTGAAATCAATTGTCAGCTCGCTGTATCAAGCATGAATGGCTAGTCGTATTACGATGAAATACAGGGAGAGTCGACAATTTAGCGGAAGCTTCTTCGTTCCGCTGCAGATCCGGTATTGTGACTGGTCAGATCGGGTGTGATGACATGGGTGGCTGGTAATGTTGAAAACCTGCCTTGGCGGGTTTGGCCTGAGAACTGGCACGCGGGCAACCTGCAGTGATCCTGCGGTGCAGAGGCGCTGGGAAAGAGAATGGACGGGAGGAGGCAGGTATGTCTTCTGTAGCCATGCATACAGCACAATCTGCAAGAGCCTCCTCTCCTTCGCTGGGCCGGCATCGAGGCCAGGCCCGTGGCGAAACAGCGGGTGGCCTTTTGGGGAGGACTGAATTTGTTTTTCAGAGACGAGGGTACGGTTCGGAGACACCATTACGTACACGCTGGGTACGGATCGTATTCGAGTTCCGAGAAGGGAAAGGCGCGATGGACTGGGGTTCCGAATGCGCCATTGGCCGTGCTGAGGTGGGGCGGCTGAGCGAGAGGCTAACAGGCCCAAATCTAGCCAGTCATCTTCACCGACACTGCGAGAAAAGTACTTATTCTCCATCACGGCGCCCTTGATTCGAAAATATTCCAGTTCTCCCTGGACAATTTGAGGAGCGAGTGCAGTTTGTCCCCTTCGCTGGCCAATCTTGCGAGGTGAATTTTTTTTCTCGCCGCGCCTTTGCCGTCCTCCAGAGGGAGAGAGAGAGACAGAGTTGCGTCCTAACGGCTCTTGAGGATCACAGACCACTCAGGGTGCGACCTTCGCTTCCCCTGGTTGGCTCGTTTTTAATTTCCTTTCCACCCCCCTCAGCCGACGTCCTATCTGGACTGCTCTTTTTTGCGTTTTAATTTTCGGTGTCGCAGCCAACGACAAGCCGCCCTGGTCACCTGACCGCGCTCGCCCATCGCCCCTCGCGGCGTGCTACTGGCTGTTCTTAAAAATACGCCCACTCGCCCTCGCCCTCGCTCCGTCCAATTGTTCCTCCAGGAATTCCTCACCACCTGCTTGGTCGCTTGCCCCGAGCTTCTTCTCCTCTCATCCAAGCCTCCTCCGTCCTATCAACGAGTCTGCCTCCGTCAGACGTCGACTCTCGCGGGTCAATCCGTCGTTTTGCTAAGCGCTCTTCCCCCCCCTCCCCGCCATTGAGACAAAGCCCATTGTTGGGAGCCCGCGAGCTGAGAGGAAGCCCCAACCGCGGCACCCGCCAGCCTCGCCACCCAATAACGTGTCTTCCACGGCCAAGGTAAGGAGGCAATTTCCACCGTTTTCCCGCTGACTCATCCGGAAGCGCCGTCGTCATTGGGCTTGACGGCAATAAGCTCTTCCAGCTCCTGCGCCCCCAAGTCCTCTTGTCACCCCTTGTATGTTTTTTTTTTTTTTTTTCGTGTGTTAGGGAAAAAGACCCCCAAAATCCCGCCCAGCTCTCATACACTGCAGCTCTGCCCAATCAACGTCCTTTGCCGCTTACCAGATCACGCACACCGATTCGCTGTCTGACTGGCTGCTGATTTGATCGAAGCACAGACTGCTGCAGGAGCTTAATCGGTCCCGGTCGATCCTCCTCTCTCCATTCGGTATGCAGCCATTCACATCTCCATCTGTGCCCTCTTTTTGTTTCCTCGTTTATTTTAATTTACCCCGGGCACCAGTCATATCACAAGCCATCACGCTCCGGGGAAAAAGAAGCTTTTTAAACTGATTTTCAACGCTTCTGTCCCTCCTCTTTGATTTGTGCAAACAATCCACACTGCGTTGGCCTTTTGCATTCCCCAGAAAATTATATGCATGTTTCCCGCAAGCGCCTGCATCCACACCCTCACTATCCCATGGCCGTTTTGGACCCAAACACCTTTGTTGTTGCAGCAGAGATATGTGTGTGGGCAAGAAAAAAATAAAAAAAAAAATAAAAAAAAACCTGCGCCGACACCCGATTCTCTTGAGTCTTTCTCCCCGCACAGATTTGCCCTTAAACTGTATCCTCTCGGAAAATTATATGGGGCGATTCGCCAATCAGCGTCTTCCCCTTTCGTCCTCCTCCGGTCGCTCCGGATAATTTCTTGAAACTCCCCCATCTCCCTGTCGCAGAGACGGCGGCTCTGGAGTTGATTCTTGCTTTAGCTGCGTTGATCACACCCGCTTTGTCCGTAGCTTTGCAAGCCCTGCCATGGCAAGGGAGTGGCAGAAGCAGGAGGCCAAAGTGGGTCCTGTCAGATGCTGGCGTTTCCCAGCCTCTCTTTTCGCATTGAGCTTCAGTCTCCCTGCACTGCATGTCACCCCGAAGCTCGAGAGCTGTCTGTGCCTCCTGGTCGTGCATATTATTGACAATAATTCCCATTCTTCTCCCTGCTTGCTTGCTGTTCCATTTCTCTTGAGTCCTAACGCGTGATCTGACGATGCAACGTGCCATTTAGGAAAGATCTCCACTGAGTCACAGTGATACAATCGTATTCAAAACGCTCTAGCTCGAGGGAGCTTTGAAATCCACCGGAAAATAATTCTTGGTTTTCCCTTGCCCCAGCAGCTTTATTTTACGAGCTTTACGATACACGTGCAATTTCTCACCCATTTTTCGTCACTGTCGACTCTTCTTTTTCCTTTTTTTTTTTTTTTTTTTTTTTTTTTGTTTTTCCCTCCTCTTGTCCCACCGACAAGCGACCGTCCGACTCTATTAATAACCCACGATACCGATTCGCAGACTGATTATCAGTTTGGCGCCAAGCCCGTGAAGGTACTGTTATTTCTCACTTCCAATACCGTACCGTACCGCATTTTTCCCCCGCGCGCGCAGGCTCACGCACATAAATAAAAACATTGCTATCCCGTGTTTTGAAGCGCGTATATCCATGGCCTGCGAGATACGCCGTCTCGTCCCTCTTTTTCTTCTTTTTTCGCCCCTTGTTTTTTTTATTTTCTTTGATTTAAAAATCATGATTCTAACGAGGTGTAAAAGCGCGACAAAAATAACATCGAGTGAGAGCAAAGAACAAGACGTGCAATCCTCGTGGTGTTACCTAATCACCCTCTGCCGGCCTCTGACGACTTGACAGCCAGGGCGCTCGTTTCGTGGGTGTGGGTTTTGGGTGACTTCATCAAACCCGGTAAGTGGTGTGTGGATGTGTTGTTCAACTCCCATGCAGATTTCCTCCGGCGGTGCTGCACGCATTAAACTCTTGCATTGCCAACGCATACATACCCCAGTTGACAGGCCACCATATCTTTTGTTCCAATCTTCTTTTGCTTTTACCCCTCAATTTTTGTTTGGCCTTGCATCTTTTTTACATTCTTATTTTATATTTTATCTTTTTTTTGGCCGATTTGACTCGCTCAGTGGAATAAAATTTCTCACTTTTCGCCGCTTTTCACTGGCTGGCGTGCCCCATCTTCCAACGCGAACGGTCCCCGGTTCATACGCCCTGGCATTGGCTTATTTTTATTTTTTATTCTTATTTTCACTTCATTTTATCCACCCTCGTTGTTGTGCTATTCATTCCAGTTTTACCCGCTGCGGTACTTCTACATTGTCATCGCAGGCGCTGACATCACCATCCTGGTACAGCTTATACTTCACCCCCCCCCCCCACCGTGCTTGGCAAAGAACCTCCAAACCCTTCGGGTTATCGCTGCTGTATAGTTTCGGGCACCGCCTCAGCTTTCTGCCCTACGACGTGGCCCGTTAGCCCTGCCAGTGAACACCCATCTTGATCATTGTACACACGGGTTCAGACCTGAGTCTTCCAGTTTGGCCTAGGCGAATTTTCATCGGGCACTTTGTCGCAAGCGTGACAAATCTGGGAATTCATTTCGCGATCTCCGGTAATTTGGCCTTCGCCCTCGTGGTCGGTAGATTTCGCACCAACAAAAGACGCAAAGTCGCATCGTCCCAGCATTGTCCGAGCCTGACAACACATCAACGCGTGAATCGTCGACTGTGACCCTTGTCACTGCATCAAGGCCCAACCAATTCGCACTGTCATCGCGCTGTTTCCGCGAAGGCAGAAAAATATCAAAAGAACTCATAATCGCGTTGAGATCATAGTTCTTATTTTTTTCCCCTTTTGACCCTGGACGAGTTTGTTTCTAGCTCTGCATCCATACGCGTCTTGAGATTCTTGCTCTCTCTCCCGCGACCCCATAAAATCGAACGCTCGGATTGCATGTTATTGGTGATTTGGATTTGTGCGTGACCTGTCCGATCCTTAATTCGTGCATTAAGTGCTAATGCGACCGTGGAGCTGCAGGCCATCTACATCGAATCAGCGATCGCAAAACCGAAGACTCCTCCTGATTGCTCCCCCAAGGCGTCTTCCGGCACCAAGACAAAGCCTTTATCCACCCATTCCTGCCGGCCGATTGGAAAACCACTCCACAAAGAAGTTCTGTCAACTACCCTTGTCGCAATTGTTTGTGGAGAGAACAAATAGATTGCTTCATTATCCCTCGACTATTCGACCATTCGCCCTGGTTGACGCGCCTCTAGCCGCTTCATCGGTTGGCAGCCAGGCAGACCCCTCGCGGCGCGTTACCTCATCTCCAAACAAACGATTCTGTGTGACGTGCCTGACAACCCTCCATCTGCACGTCCTTGACTCTTCACACCATGGAGTATTCGACGCAATACCCACAACCCCATAGTCAACACCCACATGCTTCTGCACATATGTCTGGCCCTTACCAAACATCCCAAAATACCGCCACGCCTGTTGGACAAATCGCATCCCCGACGAACCCCCAAAGCCAAATTCATCACGGCCACACGAACCATCAAGCATCACCGATTCTGCCGTCGCAATCGCATTATCAAGCACCGCAACCAGCCACTGGCCAGGTGCAGCAGCAGATGAACTTTTCTCAACCTTATGCCGCCATGGCACCTTCATACGGAATCTCTCCCACGCAGGCGGCAGCAATGGCGACAGCAGCGGCTTCGGGACAGTTTTTCCCTCTACATCAAGAGTCGATGGGTGGAATGGGACAAGCGGCGCGTGGATCGCCGAGAATGCCACAGGCTAATAAAGAGCGCCACCCGCGATCCCCCCCTCAGGTCGCCGGCCAGATGTCCTCATTACCCAACCAAGTACCCATGCCGCAGAATGCATCTATGCAACAACAGCGAAGAATGAGTCAACAGATGAACAGCCCTCATGTCCAAAACGCGCAGCCGGTTATGAACCACACCATGTCTCGCCCATCTGGGCAACCGTCGATGCCACCACCTCCCCCAGCTCACCAGCCGGTGCAGCAAAGTCAGCCCTCACCAGAAATGGTTACAGGCCCGGCAGAGGAATCGCCATTATACGTTAATGCCAAGCAGTTCCACCGCATCCTGAAGCGACGCGTTGCGCGCCAGAAATTGGAAGAACAGCTAAGGCTTACGTCGAAAGGAAGAAAACCTTACTTGCACGAATCCCGACACAATCACGCGATGCGACGGCCTCGCGGCCCCGGGGGAAGGTTCCTTACTGCAGAGGAGGTGGCTGCTATGGAGAAGCAGCAAGCTGCTAACGCAACTGGCGTGGAAAATATCCCGAACCACGCCGCTTCCAAAGACCACACTTCTGGCTCCACAGGTGTTGCATCCAGCACCACTATCGGACAGAAACGGAAAGCCGCTGGAGCTATGAACAGTAATCAGTCCAAAAAGGTGAAGCCTGGCCTCCAGCAATCCAGGATTTCAATGGCAGAAGGTGGTCTTGAGAACGATGTCGATGCAGACGGTTGAATGATACGCTTTACGATAAGATTATCATTTTTTATTTTTCTTTTCTACTTGTTCTTTCTTCTGTTGCTATCTTTATCTATTACGTTAAATTGCATGAGCGAAGCGGGAATGGGATTGCAAGGATCACAAAAGGAAGATCCGCAATGTTCTGAAGACTCTTTTTTTGCTGAGCAAATCAAACTCCAAGATAACTGCATACTGTCTGTGGTTTCTCTGCCTTTTTTTTTTTTTTTTTTTATCTACCTTATATCTTTTTATTACACTCGGAGCACTCCTACATATCCTTCGTATGACGACGAAGGGTCTATTTGGAAGTGCACCTGCAGTTCCACTCCTCTATTCATACCCACTACTTTACTCCCTCCCGCCCTCGTCGATGTCATGTCTCGCTAACAAAATTGAGCTTTTGATACCGAAATTCCTCTCATACGTTTCCCTTTCCATTTCCATCCTTTTTCCTATTGTTTTCTGCGATCGCCAAATTGATACTCATGAATATTTTAGGAAGTTTTTTTCTTACCACCCTAAGGATACCAGTTTGCTATTATTTTGTCGTTGTTACGTTTTGCGTGTGTGTTCCTCTTCTTCCTTTTTTTTTTTTTCCCTTGCGAAGCTTGGGCTTGTGTTTCCTTGGGTTCTGGGTTTTCTTCTTTCTCCCACCCTTTCTTTTTTCTCTCTGAAATTGTATTTTCTCAACTTTTGGATTTGATTGTTGATATGAATCTCTGGAAGCACACTAGGAAGGAACGGGAGGAATTTCACTTGAATATCTCTTATCTTCTATTTTTTTTGGGCGCTACCCCTGTTTTGTGGGATGGAGCAAAAGTGAGAAATTTGTTAGCTTTTTATTTTGACTGGTATTCTGGAATGGTGTAGGATCTTTGGCGGAAAGGGTAAATGGGCACAGAGATATATATAACTCAGTATTCCTTCTCATGTCTTCTTCCCCTCCCCCTTGATTTCTGTTTCCCCCCCGCCGGGGTGTATTTATGCCTGGATATTCTTGGCTATTCTGTAGATTTATGGTAATCTGTAAGGATTCACCCGCGAACCCCCTTACACAGACAAACAACCCTTGTGAGAGCTGGGCTAGCTTCAAATTCCCTCAGCTATACGTTTCTGCTGAATCAATGGCTTGACAGAGGTTTGATTTATGAAGTATTTGTAGTCTTGGTGTCTTTTTAGCCTTACATTATACCCTGGTTTCTTTCATAAGGGAAATTTTTCCAGCACTCACCACAGAATATTTGATAGATTAACATGTGGTAATAGTGATGAGTGTCATCTTCTTTCTCTCGAATGTGTCTCAGTAGACTGTTGACAGACTTGTACCCCGCGAACAATTCAGAGAAGGACATGGGAATTTATGTGACTAGGGGGCCTCTAGTGTTTTGCTAGGGAGGGGAGATAAGAGTGTGAGTTGCTTTATCTGCGTGAAGTCGAATATGCAACCACCGAACACGTTGTTCAAAGGATACTCTGCATTTAACCAAGAGCCATAGCTAGCTATTCAAACGTCACAAAAAGCCCTATGCAGGCTACTTATTTTAACAACAATGCTAGATTCTCTGGGGTAATCAGCAGTCAAACCCCCAGTTGGTGGTCAAGACAGTTGGCGCGTTAAATTTCTCCTGAGAATGCAGTTTTACATTTTTTACCCCAGGCACCTCTTGACTCTGGCACCCCTTGATGTAATGGATGTGGTGATCCGTTCTTCTCGGAGTTAAAGCAGACGGCTCTCTCGGCGACTAGGACGAGGGAGGATATCATATGGGGGCATATTCAGTAGAGATTCGCGGCAAAATGGTGGGAAGCAGCGTACTCATGATCTTTACAGTCACTAGGAGCAAGCTATCAGTGATTGAACCGCGCTCTGTTACCTTTAGGGGATTCCCCTAACAAAATCGCCCTGGCCTGTGGACCAAAAAAGGAGGAGCCTGACTTGATCTATCCTCTCATACGCTCACCCCCTCAGTGCTTCGTCTGCCTTGGAAATGATCAATTAGCCTATAATGCCAGGAACTACTCATTCTCTCGGCTGGAGCTCCTCAAAAGGCATATGCATGATTGCCATCTTTGCTGTTTGGCTTCAGATGCTGGTTTTCCATGGCCCTCATCCATCCTGTTCGGAGGATGTACAAGGCAGCGTGCATTTTCGATGGAAGTGGCGCAAACACGCCCGGTATAATGTGGCTGGTAGATCTGACATAAGCTGCCCCTTATTCGCTGGCTTCCGGGCGAGTCTGGGCCGAACCTTAATTTCGCTGCTTGGTCGACGGTGGCTGTTCCATGGACGCCCATGCTCGCTGTCTGCTTGTGACGTTGGCGAGAGCGAGTGTGTGTGTGTGTGTGTATGAGCAATCTCATCAAAGGACATTCGCTGCAGAGCTGTTCCAGTCCGGAATCATCAACTCCGACGACTGGCTTGTTATCTGTTTGCAAGAACCCCTGCGGCTCAGCTCGTACGCACAGAGGCCTCCTGTTGCACAGGGAAACGCGGTGCATCCCTCCACCACCGCCATCACCCCCCGACGCAACCCGTGGAGTTGTTGACAACTTCCCCGACGAACGCGCATAATCGTACGCGGTGTCTTCCGAACGCCGATATTTGATGCGTTAAAGGCACAGACTTCGACAACGGGAATTTTTTTTTTTTTTTTTTTTTTTTTTTTTTTGACAAAATCGAAGCGAGATAACCTTTCGTTTAGGAAAAAAAGGTGTTGACCCTACAGCTACAGGGTAGACTTCTGCGATAGCCTGCCCTGTTCTCCATACACACACATATCGCGTGAGAACGATTGTCTTCAGGATACCTTATACAGTGTGCTCTACATCCACCGTCCGCTGTCGAAAAGCTTGGGCCGGGAGGAGGAGCGTGTGCACCTGAGTGCATGGGGGTGTAGACCTAAAGATGGCTCCTGGCGGAGGAGGCAACATCAAGGTGGTGGTGAGAGTACGGCCGTTCAACAGCAGAGGTTAGCGCCCAGAATATCAGCTCTTTTCAATATCAACATCCTGTGTATATACCCGTTGCTAGACGCTTACCATCACCGGCTCCTCTTTTTTTAACTCTCTTTTGCTTCTTAGAAATCGCCCGCTCAGCAAAATGTATCGTTCAAATGCAGGGGAACCAAACGGTTCTCACACCACCACCCGGAGCCGAGGAAA